TGCTTCTTATACGTCGCATGGTGGGCCACGTGTTGCGCTGTGCGACTACACCTTTCTCACTTATACCGGGATCATCCTTCGGAGACCGTATCCTTTTCCCTTCTGCCGCCATTCCGGTTTTTTCTTACTTTCTCGAAGTTTGCTGGTATTTCAAATCTTACCGAAGACATGTCAGATTCGATCTTTTAATTTTGAACTATGTAACAAAAGAGGTCTCGGTCCCGGCCGTTTCAGCTAGGGAGTATTTCATGTATACGATGATACCATTGTGTCGAGGGGGAAGTTGGAGATTATGCGATGGTCGTGCGGCTCGAGCTTTTCTTCGCCTGTGCGCCTAGAGAGACAATCGTCGATTTTCACCTCGGTCTGGCCGCATGAACTTACCTCAGACCGGGACCTAGTCTTGACTGTCTGTCTTGTCCGCCTCCGCGCCTGTCTCGGGTTCCTGCGACGATAACCACATGGCAGCGTGGTCCTCCGAGGGGGAGGCGTGTCTAACGGCCGCCTACCTACCGTTCTCCCCTTGCCCTTGTTTTGTCTCGACGGCGCCCTGCTTAACTAACTATGACTAACTACCTTAGGTACTGGCTGATTACCTACCTTCTCTAGGTATGACACAAGAACGCCGCATCGCGTGATTGCTGAAGTCTAGATTCTTGATTATGCAGCCGTTACTAAGTCTAGACGTTGAAACGCGGTGCTACGAACTACGAACAGAGCAGTTGGCTTGGAAATCTTTCGACGGCTGAATTTATTACCCGAGGCCGGTTTCTCTATATTGATAATGATGGTTCGATGGTTCGATATTGACGAGTCCGTCAGTGCTATATTCGGACACGCGTGGTAAATGTCTTCCAGAATATGACACAGGAACGTGTCTATGGTCTTGGATTGCGAGTTCTTATGATACTAGGGGAGACCTGGCTAGGGATTCTCTTACATTACGGTCTCGCCCTACCCGGCTTGTAGGTTCCTGGGAAGATAGGTTCACGAAGAGTTTGATGACGTCTTGTACCAGTACTTCGCCGTTATTACGGCAGGTAAGTTAATCTGTCTAATTAGTATCATCAGGCTTACCTCTTTTGGAAGACATAGATTGATGTTCTCTTGATAGCTACTATAACTTGGAACCGGGGAATTTACAGCTCATAGTTCATCTCGGCCCTCGTGCTTGTGTCCGGGGTAATAAACTATTAGTAGTTTGTACTAGGTAGACAGCTATGTGCATACTCTCATATTGCTTATATGCATTTTAGGTGACAATGAAAATATAGCTATAGGCTTCTCGCGTTCCTGTGACCTGGTGTTTGTTTGTGTTGAAGTGATGTTGAAGCGCAGATAGGGGCTGCTAATTGCAATATTGCTCCTATTGAGGAAGCTAGAGCGTATTCTCACCAGCTCGACTACTTAGACCTACTTACTAACATGCCCAAGGGCTGTGCCCTCGTTTCTGTGCTCTTCGGTAGAAGTGAAGTGACTCTACGTCCTTTCATGATTCGTCATGTAGCAGGGAGGCCACCTATAAAGGAACAGATAACTTATAAGAGACGAATTCGCAATGATTCACTCGTACAGTCCTCTGTATGATTAGTATGTAGTTGTACCTATGTGGACACCGTAGAATCTTCTTGTTTGTCGTATCATCACCTAGTGGTTGTCCACCAACTCCTTATTCGCATTAGGGGGCAAGACATCTACAATGGCCATTCTTCAGAGACATTATAAAATGGGGGGTCTGGTACAACGACTCTCAGTAGGCGGTATAATACTGTATGAGTTACCAATTTCTGTTCGATGAAGCCGCCTATACGCAGAGTACAGAGTGTAGTCGGCTACTAGTCAAGGGGATGGCCTACTCCCGAAGATCGCGGGTTGGCGCAACTCCTTATACTGATAAGGCTTCCTGAACGTAGGATGGTCTCCTCTTCGGATGGTCTCCTGCTTCAGATTACAGTAGTTTAGATAATCTGATAATACTTCGAGGCCTCAAATAGGGGTGCGTAGGTAGCGACAGGCTAAACATCCATTCACATAAATCCTGCATATTCTGGCGATATCGTGTAGAAGCAAAGTCCAGTGATCATGTCAAGTTAATCTTCAAGTAGTAGATGACTATCTTCTGTGCTGGAATTGTCGTAGCCAGAGCCTGTTATATATATCCCATTACTACTCCAACACTCACCGCTTCATCGATCGCGAAGCTTCGACCCCCTTTAAACGTACCCGCCTTAGCGCCACCGCTGAAGAAATACGATACATATACAGTATCTGCACATCACTAACGCGGAGAGAGGAGCGCGGTCCACCGCAACAAAGTCAAAACGAGGATCGTGAGCGAAGGTCGGAACGGGATCCCGCCAACTTGTCCAGACACGCGTGCGGCGCAAGAGACAAATCGACATTGACCCCCTCGATAGTCCTCCGACTTAGGAGACTGAATATCATCCTTTGCTTGTGATCGTGGAGAGGATCCACGTAAGAAACATATGTGGATGCGATGCTGCTCAACTCCAGACAAACCCCATAGACCTACCTAGCTGCCCCTCGTGATCGCGAACCTTCGAGGCCCTCCGCAAGCCCGGTAAACGGAACCCTCGCTACGCAGCTTACTAACGCGCAGCCGCGAAATACCGCAAAGCTCTTTCTCATCAACCCTAAACGCGCCCTAGCTCCGCCTTCCGCGCGCCCCATATTCCCCATCCTCGTAACCTGCTAGCTACATATATGTACCACTTACCTATCTCGCAGAGGTCGTCTGCCTCTTATTCGTGTCCGTGTAGTAGGACTTTGCACGGGAGACGCCAGCCCTAGACCGCCACATCACCTCCCCACAAGTCCGCCACACCCCGTACCAAGACGAACGCCAAGTGTATGTACCTACATGTAAATTGCGCCAAGGGTTCCACCGCGGGAAAGAAGCTTTCTAGGCGCGGCGGCTCTGGTCTTGGGACCGGCGCGAGGCCGACGACGTTCGAGGTTTTCGGAGCGGATGGGGCTCCGATCGTTGTGATTAGAAGGCGTGTTATGAGCGGCTTGTGTGATTGTTCGACTCATTCGTGGTCGTGGGGGAGACTATAGACGTGAGACGCACCTTGTCAATAGAGATGGTATAGAGTTGAATCAAAATCTATGAATCGTTAATATTTCATAATTATGTAGAGTCCTAACTACCTTATGCACGGGTGTAGAGAAATCAATTGCATATACATACATTGATGACGAAAGTTTCTTGAAGAAAGTCTAGCATAGGCATAAACGGCCCTCTGCTCGCGAGGTACGCATGGTCAAAACAGAAAGATTACCTAGGTCTAGTGGTTTGTGGTTTCCGGTTTGTAGGAACATAACGCAGTGACCAGGTAGTGAGACTGACGAAGGAATGCGACTGAGGTCCCGGGCAAGCTCGTTGTCCCAGATTCCGTGATTTCATCTAATCGCGTCGTTCTTTGATGCCGTCGGATAGAATTCTTCCATACACCCTAGTTTCAAGTTCTACGCGCTTACGAAAAGCTAGGAACCTATAGCTGATAATGATATTCTTGGCAAAAATGGTTAACTCCTGTCTCTGCACTTCGAAGGAACCAGATAAACAAGATCAGAGGAGCTTATCCGTATCCTCTCCAAGTAATTTCTGGCTTCTGACAGAATTCGTTAGAGGATTACCCCTAAATTAGGGACATGTCGATCCGATTCACCGAAGCTTCCGATTCACTGGGGCCTATTACCGCGTTCGGACTATTTGGCCTCGACCATCCACAAAATATTCATGTTTCGTCCCATGGCTGGGTAGTAGAAGGTAGCCTGCAGTTTCATTATCTCAACTGCCATGATACCAGCGGTGCCGCGATAACGGTTATTTGCCTTGATAGGTCGCCTTGTTGGCGCCGGGTTCGACTGGTTGCTCGCTGATTGATGCCGCCTAGTTTATGATATAGAGTAGAGATCAACAAGGCTCCAATGACCGGCTATGTAGCGATAATTGAAACCTACCTCTTCGGTTGAATGTGTTCAGCCAGGTGACTTATACCCAAATTCTTGGCAATTTAGCCTGACTTGTAACATTCCTAACTAGGCCTTCCGTCTTGTCGGTCTAGATTGTCTGGACTGCCTGGACTCTCTGTATGGGGAGCCGGCGTCGAGCCGAAAATAAGTCGGGGCGGGCCCGGCTATGTGTGGACCAAGTGGGTCCCCGGCGCTATAACTTGACCCGAACCACTAATTGGTCCAGACTCGTGATGAAATTGGCAAATTGCGGGTGACTGGAGTCTTACCTAAGATGGGATTTTTCTGTTTCCTTCTTTTCTCAGGGTTTTTTCTCTCTCTTTCCAACGCCCTAACCCGCGTTACTTTTCGGTGGGAGGCCCCCACTTGCACATGTTCGCAAACTAGCCTGTCTCAAAACCTCGATACCCGTGCTCCAGTTTGAAGAAATTGCAGTAAATTGCCAATTGGACGTGAAGGGGGCGAAACAAGCTTTCTTAAACCGGGGAAAATTCTCGGACGTGGCGTGACTTATCCGATCTGTCAGACCACTTTGGCAGCCTAAAGACCCCTAAAAATGGTATCTTGCTTCTTTCTTCATAGCCCATTGGTGCCAGAGCTTCCCAATCCAGCCACGAGGCCCTTCGTCAGGGACCGTGTCGTAATAATTAATCAGTCACACTCTGACAATCGGACCTTATCAACCGAAGTCGGGTCCTCCACACAGGCCTCCCTTCGTAGATAGAATTTGACCGAGGTGAAAGAAATTTTCGGGAAAAACCTCCACGAAGAATGATGAAATCCTGACAGGGGGGCTCGCGACAGCGGTCCGTTGACATAAACTGCCACGAATTTTCTTCGTGTTGGTTTCCTTCTCGGTCTTCGGTGGATCGTAAACATTTTTTTCTCCTTCTCCTTATCTGCCGTTCCTTTTGTCGCTAGATTTTCCTTCTCTGCATCTTCAAGAATATTATCCGTTTCCTAAATATTATTAGACAACAATCTTCATCAAATAGATATATACCAAGCGCCCCGAGGCGCACTACGCTCTTTGTCGCGACCTCCTTGCCTCCAGACTCCATTGTATGTCGTGTGCTGACTTCCTTCATACTTATATTTCTAACCCTCCTGCGCAGATATAGCCTGCCGGAAGAAAGAAAAGAATAGAAAGAGTTCACACTCTCGCCGACATCAAGATGATCATCACACGTCTCATTTCCCTGACGAACTTCGCCGTCGCCTCTTCCGCACTTGGCTTCCAAGTCTTCGTCCTGTACCCATGGCACATCCAGCTAGACAATTCGTTCGAGGAACTTAAGAAGGAGCACCTCAGGGTTCTGGAGGCGGTCAGGGAGGTCGCAAAGGAGGTGGATCCGAACTCGAGGCAAGGCATGGCCGACTCAATACTGGGACGTCTGGGGATCAGCGCTTTCAGCGTAAGAAGGTGATTTCAACTTTAGCACACATGCAGTAACCATTGATTTATCTTACCAATTGAGGTCGACGCTTATGCCAACAATACCACAGTCTGTTCTCGCATAAACCAACGCCCCAAGCCATTTCAAGTGTGTTCGACAGCAGTAATCCTGTAAACTATGTCAAAAACAACATCGCCAATCTTTCCCCCGTGGCGGCCAGGCCGGACATGAACATGTCGGATATTGCGCGATACGCCGTCTCAGGAGCCATCTGCTGTTCCTTCACACATGCCTTATTGACTCCAGTTGACGTGTAAGCCAAGCCATTATGATTTTGTAGCTTTCCTCGACAATGATTACTGGGAGAAGTGTCTCCCGTCCACAAGGTGCTGATGAAGCTAATGCGTGCTCAGCGTCAAAACCCGTGTCCAACTCGAGCCCGCCGTATACAACCGAGGTTTAACGGGTGGTATGCGCCAGATTATCGCAAGTGATAGTGCCAAAGCGCTCCTGACCGGATTTGGACCGACCGTGACGGGATATTTCCTGCAAGGAGCGTTCAAATTTGGCGGCTATGAGTTCTTCAAAAGACGAACGAACGACTGGCTGGGCCCGGAGAAAGCAGCCGATCATCGTAATGCTGTATATCTTGCTTCGTCTGCCGCGGCCGAGTTCCTTGGAGATATCTTTCTTTGCCCATTCGAAGCTGCTCGCATTCGGCTGGTATCGCAACCTTCGTTTGCTCCTAATATGCTCTCGGCACTGGGGAGAATGGCTAGTTATGAGGGGATGGCCGGGCTTTACTCCGGGTTTACGCCAATAGTGCTGAAACAGTAAGCATTAGATATCAAGCTCCGAGTATTTCGTTTTACCTGTCGATAACTAACACCGAACCAGGGTTCCGTACACGATGGCCACCTTCGTTGTGTACGAGAAAGCTATCGAGACAGCACACTCGTGGATCAACAAGGAGACTGCGTCAAATTTGACGCTCTCAGGAGTAAATCTCGGCTGCGGACTCATCGCTGGCATGGCAGCTGCGATTGTCTCACAGCCCGCAGATACGGTGTTGAGTAAAATCAACAAAGAAAAGGGACGCCCGGGTGAAGGAACAGGTCGACGGATCTTCAATATAATCGGCCAGCTTGGTCTGCGGGGAAGCTACGCCGGCATTGGCCCACGATTGGTCATGGTCGGAGGTATGACCGCAGTCCAGTTCGGAATTTATGGACACATCCAAAGAGTATAATTTCTCCGATTTCCCCATATTGACCTTGGTTTAATCCAGTGGGCGACTGACAATTATCATAGGCTCTTGGCGCAACCAGCAGCACTGCTGAAGTGAAGAAGGAAGTTGTTGAGGTTGCAGAGGTCCGGAACCTCCTACAAACCGCAGAAATGTGATAATCTAATTCTTAATAAGCTCAAGAGCTAAGTCTTCATATTCGTTATACCCACCTTCATATGTTTCATTTGTACGAAGTTGGGGAGGTAGAAGATGCTAGCATTCCTCACATTGCACTGGTGCAATAGTGAGCAAGGTTTCGATTCAGTGTCCCGGGCAGACATAGAATGTGGGAGATGTGGGACGATCGGATATGAATCTGGTAGAAACGATATTCTTTTGTATAGATAGCATTGCATTATATAAGCATAGAGAGGGATTAGACAAAGGGCATATCGTTTAGCATAGAATTTAAATAAATAAAAGATTGAAAAAAGAATTAGCTGTGTTTGCCATGTAACTGCCATTACATCAAAAGAATATGGAAGAAATAAAAATGAAGTTGAGGGTGAAGTACGGAGTTAGGAACTGAAGAATGAGGAGAACTTTGAGGAGAAACTTGAAGCTGTTCCAAGGTTTGATAGAAGACAGCCAGCCAATAGCTTTACTAGTAGAACCTTGAAGCTGCAACGATTAGCTAAGGGAGCACCTACCTAAGGTAACACCTAATAGCGAAGCTTACATTGGTCGCTTGCACTTGCCACCCCGCCCCCACCATCGGTCGATGAGCAACCGGCAATTCTAGTGTTCCGCTTGTACTCAGAGACTTTTAGAGCATCTACATCTTTTTTTCTTCAAACAACACCTTACCTTTGGATTCTACCCGACTTCTGCCTCTATTGGATTCTACCCGACTTCTGCCTCTATTCGGTTTCTGTTTTGTTTTATTAATACAACGAAAAACAATGTCGAGCAGACAGCTGAGGAAGCTGCAGAAGCAGAAAGAGCTGCAGGAGCTCGAGGCGCAGAACGCCGCCCAGGATGATGAATCAAGTGAAGATAACCAACCTGCGCAAAAACCGAGAGCAAGCTTGTTCTCGGGGCTCGCAGCTCTAGAGGGTCACGATGAAGACGACGATGACGTGGATCTTGACGAAAAGGATGATGAGTCGACGAAGACACCAGTAATTGCCGTCGCCGAACCCGACAAGACCAACACCAACACACCCAAAAGCGCGTCGAAGAAAAGTAAGAAGAAGAAAAAGAAGGCTAAAAAGCAGGATGCTAGTCCGTCCAAACCCGAGACTGCCTCACATAATGGACCGGACGAGATCGACCAGGCATTGAAGGAACTCGATCTCTCTAAGAAACCTGGACAGGAGACTCGAGACGACGCCTTTACGAAACCTTATGAGCGAATATGCGAGCTTCTGAGCATCAATACCTACCATCTCAGAGTGATCAATGAGATGCGCAACCTTTTCGGCCGAGAAGCTATCGCAGCCGCACAAACCGAAGAAGAGCAAGATCAGACGCGCTCCAGAAGACAGCGTCATGCATTGCCACGGGAAGTAGATCTGGAGACCTTTCTCAGAGGAACGCCGGGCAAGAGCTTACCGGAAGTTACATTACGGCGAAACCCTTTCTTGGCCGGAAAGGAGAGTTGGCCTCGCGCTCCTACAGAGGGTTTAACGATGGAACAGCTCAAGGAGGAGGAGGAAGGAAGCTTAGTTTGCATGCCTGGTATCATCGAGTTTCGCTTTGCACATGATGAGAAATATAATAGCCTGGAAAGAGCATTCTTTGAACTTGTTCAGATGTATCAACCGTCGCAGTTAGTGCAATTTCTGCATCATCATCCATATCATATTTCCAGCCTTATCCAGGTCAGCAGAATCGCGAAGCAGGACCAGAACTCCGCCCTCTCCGCCGATTTATGCGAACGAGCCCTCTTCACCTTTGGTCGAGTCTCACTATCGGCTTTCCGACAGAGGATAGAACAAGGTAAGGCAAGACTCTCGTTCCGGAGACCCGAGAACCGGCAGTTCTGGCTAGCTGGATATCACTATCTGAAGAATCTGATTATGAAGGGGACATACCGGACCGCCCTTGAATGGGCCAAACTTTTGCTTAGTCTAGATCATAGCGACCCTTACGGAGTCATGCACTATATCCATCCGCTCGCCATTCGAGCGCACGAGTCAAAGTGGTTCATCGACTTTTGTGATTCAGAACTGTTGGAGGTAGATGCGAAGGCTCAAGACTCCCCGGATTATGTCAGGCAAACTCTGGTCTTGGCCAAGCTCCAGCAGAATGATATGGTTGGCGCGAAAGCATTATTGCTCGAGGGTATGGAACGATTGCCTTGGCTCTATGGAAATCTCTTCAAGTCACTCAATCTATCCGTCCCTCCAGCTGTATGGGGTATACAGCCGCGAAATCGAGATGAGGAGCTACACACAAACGTTTACATTCACCAAACAAAAGACTTATGGGATAATAAGCAAGCGACGACCCTTTTACAGGAAGTAGCAAAGGAGGCGAAGAAGGCAGATCCTAAGAAATGTCCATTCCCGCCTACAGTTAAGGACAATTTCGCGCGATTCGTATACTTGCTAGAGATTCCCTCGTTGATAGGCCTCATACCGCGGGATATGCTGAATAGTTCAACTAATTGGGAATTCGACCCGCTCCCGCCTGCACTTGACCGGAACATATTCTCGCACGAGTCGCAGAGACGACCTTGGACTCCCTCATCACTCCAGGAACGATTCGGAGACAGGCTTCGCGATGGGGATCGCCATGATCTTGGTCGATTGGTAGCCCAAGCGAGATTAGCTGGTGCACCGATAGGTGTTCAGCAGGATCTTGAGAACGCTCTCGAAGAGGCGCTCTTACAAGTAACCGATGATGATGATACCGACGCAGAATTTATTGACGACAGCGGTGAAGATGATGAGGAAGACGGATCAGGAAGCCGGCGTCCAAACGGTGGCTTAGGGGGTATCTTCCAAGCCTTTATGGATTTATTTGATCCTCGTGGCCTCGCTGGTGATGGGGACATTGCTGAGTCAGATCTGGAGGGTATGCCTGGAGGATGGCGTGACCTAGACTCAGAAGACTCGGACGGTGAAATGCCACCTTTAATAAGCGCTGACGACGATGATGAGCATGAGCACGAACAGCATGAAAATGGCGGCAATCGCGACGACAATGGCTCGGGCGACGACATGTCAGATTTGGTATGAATCTGACGCTATTCATAGATAAGAGAGATCCGTAATTGGTGTATGTATATTATGAGATCACTTTGGCAATCACTTTGGCAGTGCAAGCAACAAGGATGACTTCGTCATTCATTGATAGATCAGATGGGAGATAGGTCCACTGAGGAAGATGACAACCGAATGGCAAATTATATCGAGATCTGATATCTGAGTTCCGTGCATAAGCGCCTAAGCTGAATGGCAAAGTAAAGCTAACGAGCTATCCGATACGATGGTTCCTGCAGGAAGACCATGCGAAGACGGGGGGAGACGTAGATCATGAGGCAATAATTGCACGGGACAAGTTTCTAAGTCGGAGCTGGAGTCACAGCCCCTACTGCTCTAAGAAGATCGATATCAGGCTAGATGCTCCTTAAACTCTTACTACACATAATGTGATGAAGCGAGGCATCATAAATTCGTTAGCTTAATACGCCTAAGATTCGGAGTTCTAATCTTGTGATGAGCAAGTTTTCTCAACCCAGACGTGCGGCAGTCAGGGCGAGTTTCACATCTGGAGGAAAAGAAAAGGGGGGGTGAGATGGGAAACCTGCTCTAGTTTCATATTACGACGACCTTGAAGCAGTCGTCTTTTGTTGGCTATAGCACGCGAGGTTTATTGTCATATTCGTCAGATGTACCCTCACTGTCTTTATACTGTCTGCTTTTCTATCCTTATGAGAGAATAATGAGTATATCATACAGTGCAAAGTGTGATGAGACAATGCGCCACACTGTACTATACTTCTTTGAGGTCTTTGTGCGTGGCTTATGCTAGAACCCACCGTTACGGGAACCCGGAAGGCGGGGTGATAGGTGATAAGTCGTTATTAATCCCTCTTCTAGTTTCTGTGACGCCACCTAGGCACTTAATAGGCACTTAATTAGGCGCTGTACAATGCTGTAGGTACCCGTAGAATAGGGAACACATGGGACTCTAATCCTCTTCCATCACGACTTTGACAGCCTATTATTAATACAAACTTCGTGCGACCATCCATACCGACAGATTATTTCTCTATATAATAGATAGCTGTCCTCTTCGGAGCCCTGGCACACACCTCCTTTTTGCATTGATCCATACGAAGATAGACTTCTTAGGCCCCTTCAACCAACGTTAAACGTTCTGCATATCTGAACTTCAGTTTGCTGTTACCCCGCCGAATTCCAGAATCCGCGATTCGCATACCATACATAAGCCAACACCACCCCTCACTTTTTATTACCCCTCTTTCGTAAAGCAAACCAATTCAACCGAATATACCTTTCGCGATGGCCGACCAGGAGCACACTTACAAGTTCAATGTCAGCATGAGCTGCAGCGGCTGCTCGGGAGCCGTCAATCGTGTGCTCGGCAAGCTTGAGGGTTAGTTTCTCTCCTTTTCCCCCACTGCGATTACGTCTCGCGATGGCGTTATCGTCTTTTGCACAGACATGTGCTAGACATGGGTGTTTCAATTGACGTGCTACACGGTTGTGTGCTAATTAAACTGCTGTGAATAGGTATCCAAAACTACGAAGTCTCCCTCGAGAAGCAGGAGGCTGTCGTCGTCGCCAAGCCGGGCCTCGACTACGAGACGGTCCTCAAGACGATCAAGAAGACCGGCAAGAAGGTCAACTCGGGCTCTGTCGACGGTGAGGATCGGAGTATCGAGATCGCCGCCGAATAGAGGCGTATCGGTCGGAAACTGAAGTCGCAACATTTTGACATAGGGGCTGATGGATATCCCGTTGGGACGAAGGAGGCATTTCGACTTTCCGTCTACGCGTGACGCCCTTTTTTTGTGCTTTTCCTTTTATCCCGTTTTATGATGAGCGATCATAAACCGCCTAGACTTAGGGATACGATGTCTTGTCTTGGGACTGATATGTAGCCTGGCATGGATTGATTTTATACATCTGCTTGCGCCGACAATAAGAACGCCTCTGATGCGATTCGACGAATACAATACTAGAGCTATTGTGCTATAGTCTCACCCGTAGATGCTGTTCATTTTCCTTGTGTAAGCTTCCGTATCTGGACACTTACACGATAACTTCCGCTATGATGGACGACAAACTTCCGTTCATCGGACTAGGTAAAGCGCAAACAGCCCTGCGCGCTTCTTGATCAAACTCCCCTAATAATACAGCGCTTGTACACCCTAAATCAGCCCGAGTGGCCGCTAACCTTCGGTGGAAGTACAACCATATGCATCCTACGGCTTAGTGTCGGTATAGTAACCTGCGCTTTCCCGTTTGGTCGCAGTTCGGTCCTTTTCTATATCTAAAGTTTTTCCTAGCCAACTTTCCAACAGTTCACTAGTAACAATCAGCATTCACAGGATGCTTTCAATCTCGATTGGTCTAGTGGTCAGGATACCTGCTTGTCATCGAACAAGTACGCAGGTGGCCGGGGTTCGATTCCCCGATCGAGAGCATCTTTTTGATTTTGGTAGTATTCCGCAAGTAGTATTTTGAAATTCCATCCCGATTGATATGTGGATAAACAATTTCCTTTTTCCTCCTTTGTCTGTCAAGTTGTTGGCGGGGAAGCTTGTGTTTTCTTCCATCTTCTATGGTGTTACAAAAATCACTCATCTGTCGGCTTGTTACTATTCACTGGTTTTGAACCTCACTTTTATCCCGGATGAGCTCGTGTCTCAGCTGGGAACGAAAAGAATGATGGGTGAAGGTTTGACACTCAATATCTTTGATTCATGAAGCTTCAATGAATACTATACAGTAAGATCATTTATTAGAGTTGATGAGCAACAGAATGTTTCGCTCGTTTGCGACTTACCATAAGTCTATTAGGTGATATCTCCTCGAGGATATCGACCAATTCAAAGTTAGTAGACCCATGGATGTCATCCTGCTCACTCTTAGGCGCCCCCTAGTATAGGGGTAGGTAATTAGAAATCAAAGCGAATGAGTTTTATGGTCCGAAAATCAGAATGTGGTTAGCTTCCCTGCCAGTCGAATATAGCCGGCGGTTTAACGGAAAGTTCAATCTAAATGGAGCCAGTATCTTCTTCTCCGAAGGTCACTCTTCTCGCAGATGAACCCCATGGGGTTAAGACCAATTTCTACTTCGGTAGAGATCGGGTAGAGGAACCCCGGAAACTGGGAAGAGTGCTGTGGGATGAAGGCATCTCTGCTGCGAGAAAACGGCATGCTGGCATCGATTTGGGATTATGATTGGCTCGAGAGGTTTCGATATTGGATCATGATGCTGATTTTGGAGTCGAAGACCGAGCAACGGGGTACGGGCACCCTCATGCGATTGGGCTCTCGTTATGAACATTACTCCATCGGACGAAATCTCGAGAAGCTTCTCAGAGCAACGCTGTGGTATTGGGCTGCTCTTCAACTTGGGATATAAACCCCGGATACTGGGACCTATACGCTCGATTATCTTGCAACTGCCAAGTGTAGATCTCTCAGCACACAGCGACGATCCTTCGTGACAATGGCGCCTTCTAGTCTTCTATCATCTGCTATTATTTCCACTCTGCTTTCGGCAGTCAGTGTACGAGCTCATGGCATTGCCAGCGCCATCGTGATAGATAGCACGTTGTAAGTAAGCTATGTGAAAGAACTCAGATGCCCTTGGTCGACTCTGACTGACATCTGGATATAGCTACAATGGCTACAACCCAAGCTATCAATATCAGAGCCCACCCCCTACTGTAGTTGGATGGTCTGTCCCGGACGATTTGCAGTATGTCATTGCCCTTGCGTCGCCATGATTTTAAGACTGACTCTTGAATCGTGTAGAAACACGTTCATCTCCCCTGACAAGTTTGCTACCCCCGATATGGTATGCCATCTAGGCGCCACGCCAGCAGGTGCGGCTGCTCCCGTGAAGGGAGGCGATGTAATCGAGGTGCAATGGACGCCGTGGCCTCTCTCGCATAAAGGACCTGTCCTAGATTATCTTGCAAACTGCAACGGGCCCTGCGTAAGTTTCCATCTACTCACCTACCCCGGGCCAAGAACAAATTCCCCGATAAAAGACTAATCTTTCCCCAGGAAACCGCCGACAAGACCAAGCTCGAGTTCTTCAAGATCGGCGAGGCTGGCTGGGTTGACCAAGCCAGCGACCTGTGGGCGGCCAACGTGCTCACCAACAATAACAACAGCTGGCTGATCCGGATCCCCGAGGACATCGCTCCAGGCAACTACGTGCTCAGGCACGAGATCATCGCGCTCCACGCCGCAGCCAGCCCCAACGGCGCGCAGTCCTATCCGTTCTGCTACAACCTCGTCGTCGACAGCGAAGGCACCGCCAACCCCGGCGGCGTCCCGGCCACCGAGTTCTACAAGGCCGACGACCCGGGCATCAAGTTCGACTTGTTCTCGCACCCGACGACATACGTGATCCCTGGCGTAAGCAAGACCTGCTCTTTTTTTCCTCTTCTTCTTCCGTTTTGAGGGCTTTTGCTTGTTTTTGTTTTTTCATATTGGATTGGATCGAGAACTGGCTGAACTGACATCGTACATACCCAGCCTGCCTTATACAGCGAAGCGCTTCCTGTGAGTCAGACAAAGCCGGGGCCCATCACAGCCACAGCCACCGGCGTGTACGCATTTACCGCCGCGGCGGTGCCGTCGGCAGCTCATGTCAAGGATGCGTTCGCGACGCAAGAAGCTTCTGCTTCCGCTTCTGCGCCTGCGCCGACTACCCTGGTGCCTGCAGCTCGCGTGGCGTCGCCTGCAACGCCCCAAGTCACCCCGGCGACGTCGTGACGTCGGCTAAGCTAGGCCGCAGGAGGCTAGGATACCGAATATCGGTTTCTAGAAGGCGAAAGCGCAAATGTGGTTTGGAAATGGGTCGGTGGCTGGAAGGCTGAAAGCGACTTTGTACGATAGCTGCATGGCCTTGTTGTCGGGTTCAAACCCGGTTTCTACTATGTAGGTTAATGATTATTTAGCTCTAATTCGAGGACTATTGATGAGCGAATGATTTTTCAGTTCGATGACCGCCTTCATTCTCCCTCGATTGATAATGGTCGGATGCTACTAGGCACGGATGAAGAATAATAGTGAACACAACTAATTCTCCTTGTTTGGGTCGACGCTAGACCATTCGTGGTTCAATATTTCCGTACCAAGGCCTACTTGACCAAGTACGAACTTATACTACCCAAATTCTATGATGTGATAACATTAGGTAAACAGGTAAGGAAGATTGAAAGCCAGGATTCAAGATTGAGCTTGCGACGGCACGCCGACCAAGCTTTTTCGTTTCTCGTGAATTGACTCGTAGTACACGTCTTCTACGTCGCAATTCGCGCCTGTTTCATACCTAATCTGGTATTCCGCTTCGTTTGTATGAACGCGAGGCTAGCAGTATCCAGTTTCGATGTCAGGCTAGTGTTACTCCATACTACCTATCAATACGATCCTGTTGCCTATCATAGTACTATGGAAGGACTATTATCGTTTCGTTTCCTCTTCATCCTGGCAATACACGTGTGGCCGACTAGGTAAAGCGGACGATTAGAGTCGGGCAATATACTCGTTGCGGTTACGCAGCCATCTGAGCGCTGCCGCGAAGAGCATGCTACATTTATTTTGTGTGTGCGAAAGAATGATGAAACGGCTCGAGGGTCGTCATGGGCGATCAAAACGCAACCAGATGACCCATCCTCTCGGAAATGATGATGAGCCCTGTGAGCCTTGGCGCCTCCAGACTTATTGCGTGCCCGTTCGAGCTACGCCCGAACCGGCCGAGACTAGCGACGCTCTGCCGGGCAGAGCGGTCCAGGGGTAAGCACTCTTTGGCCCCTCACCTCTCTCCCCTGCTCCCCTTTGGCTCGTTTTTGGTTCGCTCTGGCTCGTGAAGAATTCTTGGCGCCTCCAAGCCCCATCCAAGGATGGGTGATGGGAGGATTCGGTCACGTGGCACGCTGCTATGCTCGGTCGAAGTTCTAGACTTGTCCTAGGTAGGCATGTAGGAATTATTATTCTGGCTTATGTGCGTGTTGACAGCGAGTGGTGGACACTGGGCAATTCGCTGAAGAAAAAGAAGAAAAGGAAAAAAAGGAAACCCTGGCAGCCCTGACGAACTCGATCTAAAGTATGTAGTATGACTCCATAGGCGGCGGCCGCCATCTCTTTTTCGACCTAGTAACTTCATTTTGTTTTATTTTTATTTTTATTTCCTATTCCAAGTTCCCAACACCGACACTTGGATGGCTTTAGGACTTAGCTGACTTAGGTACATTTTTTAGTCTGATGATTGATGAGACTGGGCTTGGCTAGCTTGGATCCTTCTAAGACTTCGAACGGGCTTTTTCACTTTTTTATTTCCCTCACATAATTCGTAACAGATATCTCCGCTCTTTAATCCGCGATTTGCATAGTGGTTTAACTAGTAGCGTGTTGTTTGTCTCGTCCGAGAGGAGCTGTTCTCTGATTTTTTTAGTCATCAGATGGGTTCCGCTCTATAGCCAGCAGCATCATCCAGACACGGACACGCTGACCTCTACCGTCATGCGGTCTGCTTGTCTGGCTTGGCCTACTCACCTCCATGAAACCGTTAATTAAGCCTAAAATCGGAATCGGGTCGTCGTGCTTGATTGCTTAGCTTCACCGCTCAGAGTCCGTCTGCGCGCGCGTCCCATTCCGCCATATCTTGCTGAAAAGCTTCGGCCGAGACGCCGCTCCTGGGGTTTCCAATATACGGAAACTCTCGTACGGAACTTCCCTCTTTCCCACCCCCATACCAATCCATAGCTATTATACATAATACCCATCCTTTATCCCCCCCCTTCCCCGCCCAATTTTTTACCTAAGCCAATGGAGAACGAGAAGTCGCCGACGTCCAGCACGACCACGACCAAGAGCCCCGTGTACAGCTTCGTGGCGCCGTCGCGCAGCGTCAAGCGCCCGCGGCCCGTGAAGAGCTGCCTGGAGTGCCGGAAGCGGAAGCTGCGGTGCGACCGCGGGTCGCCGTGCTCGCAATGCCAGAAGGCGCAGCGCTCGTGCCGGTACGCGGCCGAGGGGGAGGTCGTCAGCCTGAGCGACGACGGGTCCGACGCCGAGACTCCCGAGAGGACCGTCAAGCGCAACCGCAGCGCCGTCTCGGTGCTGCCGAATAGTCAGGAGGGGGCCCCCGGCCAGAAGAGCGCCGATGCCGGATACGCCGCCGTTCTCGAGGAGCATGCTGCCAGGCTCGAACGCCTCGAGCATCAGATGCTGTCGAGGACGTCGTCGATTGCGGAGTCTAGTAGTGCGCCGGCGCAGAGGCCGACCGCATCGTCGCTGACTATTCGTGGGTTGACGGTGAAAGGGGGATTGCGGTCGAGGTTTTTCGGTCAGATGAGCACACGTGTTCTGGTAAATCTCGTGAGTTTTTCTTAGCTTTGTCTCATGGCTCCGCCAAAGTGTCTCGTCTAACTTCGTCTTAGTTTGATGAGGCGAAGGACTTTATGTTTAGTAGGAATAAGTCCGCCGATATCAGGGAGATGTTCCTGAATATCCAGAAGATCCATAAGGCTCTTCAGGATGAGCATCGCAAGTCCATCGCCCCGATCACTGTGTTCGTGGACTCGATGACGCCGATTCAGAAGCGGATGGCCGATGTGTTGCCGAGCAAGGCTGTCTGTGACACGTTACTTAATATATATCTGAGTGGATCGGAGACTATATATCGTGTCCTACATATCACCTCGTTCATGAGGCAGTATAATCAGTACTGGGAAGGCAAACCTCAGCCCGACACATTCCTTCCTCAACTTCTCTCGATACTATGTGTTGGGTATCGGTATCTGGGTGCTGGGAAGGGACAATATCCTGACCGAGAAGGAATTCACATCCCGACAGCTAGCTCTCTTGTAAGAACCTGGCTCGACAGTCTTCGGGGAAAGCAATTGGTCGAATTTAGCACTCTCCAAACCGAGATCCTTCAACTCATGGCTCAAAGGATGATTAACCCACAGAACCAAGAGTCTTGGACGCATCTCGGCCTCATCGTACGAATGGCGATGACTATGGGATTTCATCGAGACCCGTCTGAGTTCGGACAGAAGATATCACCATTCTGGGCTGAACAGAGGAGAAAGTTATGGTACACGATACTCGAGCTGGACGTCCACATGTCCATGCAGTGTAACCTCCCTTGCTGCATCCGGGAGGGCGATTTTACGTGTCAACCCCCTAGAAACCTTGACGATGCCGATATCCACCCGAATATTGATCAACTCCCTCCTGCGAAACCCATCGACCAGGATACCGACTCACGTGTTCAGGTGTTTGCTGCCAGCACCTTATCTATGCGTTTTAGGGTTGTTGATGTAATCAATCGCACCGACAGTCTCCAGGACTACCAACAAGTCCTGGAACTCGGCAGAGAACTAGAACGGGTATTTGAAGATGTAAGGTATATCGTTCCACCAACTCACTCAAATGATATGCAAGAAGTTCGCCGGCGGTGGATGACGAGGGTTGTGTTAGACATGCATTGTCGTCGACCCTTATTGGCACTATATCGACCCTTCGCCTTGAGCGATTCAGATGTTCCCCAACAAATCATGACGGGATATCTAAGGTCGTCAATGGTCCTACTCTCCTACCTAGACGAATTAGATCCTTCGTCTCCGGATTACCATCATATCTGGCATATGCACCAATTAGTCCTCAAACAAGAAATCCTCCAAGCTGCCTTTAGCATCTGCTACTACATGAAGCAATCTATTCATGGCCCCGGATCACCGGCACCGTCGACATTGGATTCGATCATCAAATCAGAATCTGCCGAGGAATCGTGTACTATTGCGTCCGAGAGTTCGGTTCTATTGTCTTTACCGCGATTAAAAAATATCGTACAAAAGGTGCTAGATACTATGAACAAACGAATACGGGAGATCGGGACGGATTTGAGAGACGTAGTCTCGCTTACGGTTGTATTCAACACTTCTCTTGGTGGCACACCGGAGCAGAAACGGGAAGCTATTAAGTTGGGTCTGCAGGCAATTTTGGATGCGGGCATGCAAGCGATACACGCCAACCAAGAGAATATCGCTTCGATGCCGGTGAGAATACCTCTTAACCATACATTTCATGACAGGTTATTTACTTTGTATCGCAGATTATACCATCGCCTGTGTCAGTACAGTTGAACGCACTACAGCCCACCGGTTTCGTGACCCATATACAACCTTTCATGACGACGCCGGAGACTCCTAATTCTGTATGTTTCTACCCGAAAACCGCTACCGAGGAAGCCAGTCTAATTAGTCAGGTACCGGACGACTTGGCTGCCCTTTGGGACATGGAATTCTGGAACCCGCTCCTCCAATCTGGACCGTCTTGAAACCGAAAAACCGTACCTTCCCCGTCCTTCCGCGTACCTTTCTCGCTCTTCGGTATACCTGTGCCCTAAAGACCCACCCACCCGCCTTTCCGGAGACTGAACGAATCGAGGCTTTTAAAGCTATCTACTTGGAAAATGCTGCACCATTCTCGGGGATGCTCACCAATGCGTTTAGGGAATCCCATTGAGAGGAAATCTTGGTCATCGAGTTTCTACCCATATGTTGCTCAAAACAATACATTTTACACGATGGATTTGAGCTCAACACCAAAACTGGCTTCGCCATCTAAACCTACCTATCTATACGTCCCACCCTCTTGTCGTTAGCGAGAAATACACTTGCACAGGAAGAGTACGCCTCAATCGATACCTCATCCTATTATATTTAACTATTTAACGCCGTATATCACAAATTTTGAAGTTTACCTACGAGAGAATTACTCACTGTCCCGAAGATCTTCATAACACGATCTTGCTAGTGTCTTTTGAAGGATCGTGACGACAACAAACGGGATAAATATCTCTATATGCTACTGTTCATAGAGGAGTCTTGAAAATGGGAAAAGATCGATAATGAGAGTCAACAAAAAGTACTTATAGTGTATATGTGACACCCCAACGGCATCTTTTGGGAATAGGAATTCTTTGTTTGGTTTGTCATATGACTTTGAGGTAGCATAATAGCATACCCCTGAACGTATGACTTTAAGCTACGGTTTACCTAAGAAAGAAGAACAAATCCGAACCGAATTCATACTACTTGTTTGTTTTTGCTTCTAGCCGACCAGGTCGGCACGTACATCATACTAGTGATAGAAATACACATGTTCGATTAGTTGTGTGAGTAGGTAGTAATGTACGAATTGACTCCGATACTATGTTTTATATGGATCTGATGTGCTCCTTACATGGCCACCATTGGAAGGCTCCTATCCCTTAATCTAGCACGAATCAATATCTTCACAAAGCCCAACATATTGATCGTCGACACGATATCACCATAATAAATACAATTAGCGAAATAATGTTACATAAGCTGTGTAGCTTTATGTAAGCAGCCTAGGTACACAAAATCATATAAATCGCAGCCAATCAGATCATAGAGATCATTCCCAATTGGGGTATTGCCTCGGCAGATTTTAGGCCCCGCGTGGAGAAAGCTCCTTATTCCCCACATCCCTCCGATACACTTTGCATAGGTAGCCAGGGGCGATCCATTCTTAAGGAGTTCGGATCATACGGCCGTAGTACAACTTCCAGACCTATTTAATTATCGATCTGTCGTATTCCTATTATGACGACACCCCTATATCACAAACTCCAGAACCGTGTTCGAGATCTGACGTGCGGTCGGACAAGATTCTGACATACCTGTCTCACTGTTTCATTGTCTTCTAGGGCTAATTCTATTTGGAAATTGATACCGATTTATCCATCTAAGATATATTCGGACTTGTTATTTGAACCTCAGAAGTGGAGACAGACATCAAAATGCCGGCCAAACAAAAGCAGCCAGTATACGTCCTCGGTGTGGGTATGACCAAGTTCATCAAGCCCCGAGGAAAGGTCGACTACACGGAGCTGGGCTTCGAAGCCGGTGTCAAGGCCATGCTCGATGCGCAAATCAATTACGACGATGTTGAGCAGGGCATCGCTTGTTACTGCTACGGTGACTCTACTTGTGGCCAACGGGTTTTCTACCAATTTGGCATGACCCAAATCCCTATCGTCAACGTCAACAATAATTGTTCCACGGGGTCAACCGGCTTATCAATGGCCCGGAATACCATCGCGTACGGTGGTGCTGACTGCATTCTCGTCGTGGGGTTCGAGAAGATGATGCGCGGGAGTTTACAGTCGTTTTTCAACGATAGGGAGAACCCTACTGGTACCTCCGGGAAGATGATGGCCGAGACTCGGGGTTACACAAAGGCCCCCGGCGCCGCTCAGATGTTTGGCAATGCCGGGAGAGAATATATGGAGAAGTAAGCATAGCTCTTCCAATTATTCTTCTTGAAACAAAACAAAAAAAAGTACATTCTTATGAATAGGTAAACTAACGACCCATCATAGGTACGGCGCCAAACTCGAGGATTTCGCAGAGATCGCTAGGGTCAACCACGAGCACTCCGTGAACAACCCGTACTCCCAATTCCAGGACGTCTACACCCTCGACCAGGTCATGCAGGCACCCATGATCCACGAGCCGCTCACCAAGCTGCAATGCTGCCCGACCTCCGACGGCGGCGCCGCCGCGGTGCTCGTATCGCAAGACTTCCTAGACGCGCGCCCGCACCTCAAGTCCCAAGCGATCCTGATCGCAGGCCAGTCCATGGCAACAGACTCACCAGCCCTGTTCTCCCGCAGCGCAATCGATCTCATCGGCTACGACATGAGCAAGCGCGCGGCCGAGACGGCGCTCAGCGAGGCCGGAATTTCGCCTAAGGACGTCCAGGTCGTGGAGCTGCACGACTGCTTCTCGGCGAACGAGCTGGTGACGCTGGACGCGCTGGGCCTGTGCGAGCACGGCAAGGCGCACGAGATGGTGCGCCGCCGCGACATCACGTACGGCGGGAAGTACGTCGTGAACCCCTCGGGCGGCCTGATATCGAAGGGCCACCCGCTCGGCGCCACGGGCGTCGCGCAGTGCGCCGAGCTGGTCTGGCACCTGCGCGGCTGGGCGAACAACCGCCTGGTCCCGCGCACGCGGTTCGCGCTGCAGCATAACCTGGGTCTTGGGGGCGCCGCCGTGGTTACCGTGTACAGTCGCCCGGATAAGGAGGAGGCGCAGGCGCTGGATTCGAAGGAGGTGGGTGAGCGCAACGGGCTCGGGTATAATCCGGCGGTCGAGGCGAAGGGGTTTACGGCGGAGCAGGCGCGGAGGGTGCTGAGTCGGTCGAAGTATAGCGAGTGGGCGCTGCAGGATACTGGGAGGAAGGTGCAGGCGAGGTTTTGAGGGTGGGGGTGAGAAGGTAAGGGGGGATAGGGGGGAGATGGTGGGTTGATGGGGATGTTGAAAATAACGTCTTTTTTTCAAGTGATTATGCTTTGAATAGGTAGGTGCCTATCTAATTAGCGTGTTATAGTTTGTTTAGGCATGTAATAATGACTTTGGGGATTCTGTATACGTTCATTGACTAGCTGTCTTAATAGGGGGTTAGGGGGGTGGTCCGATGGTCGGTCCGGGAGACTGAAAGTGAGGGTGAATTGAGCTGATAATAGAAATATCTACGACCTATATATCCCATGTTAGAGGAAGTTCCTCCTAATTCCTGGAATTGCCCAAAGGTCTATTACAAGAGGTTTCTCCCGATAGTTAGGCCTCGAACGGACTAGGTCACGATCTTTTAATTATGAATTGACAGTATTTTTGCAATGTTTGCCATCATGATACCAAATTATTCCTTGGTTCAAGGCTGAAGTACAAAACTTCCACTAAGTAGTACCTAGTTTATAAGATAGCCCTCGCTAACAAGCTCGAGGAGTTTCGGCGTAGATCCTGTCTCTCACAGTATTTCACTTACCCGACTCATTCCATAATATTCAGTCTAAACTCTCATTGGTCGTTCCCGAGACCACCACCTGTCGCTTTCCTAAGTCGTACTTATCACCATCCTTCAGAAAGTAGAAAATAGACGAGCTATCCGGAAGGTGTTTTAATTCACTCCCCTCCCTCGACCAGAATCCTCCATCGTAGATAATCACATACGTGCCGCGATACACCTCCGCATCGTTCTTCGACACGATGAGAGCAGTATTCTCATCGATAGCAATACCCAGCAACTCCGGCTGCACCTTAAGAATATCGAACATGTCGAACTGGCGACCGCGCACAAGCACATGCTGATCAATAGCAGCGTTCTTCAGAAACCCAAACCCGACCGTGTGGTCCCCGACCAAGATCTGGTTCGTCGCCGAATCGCCACGGGCCAGGAAACTCCCCTGGATCGAAGCTCCGGCCGAGCTCCCGCTAACAACGCCCCCGCGGTCAAGCACCTCGTGGAAAAGCCGCTCGGTAAGGGTCCCCGCATACGCGTCGACCAGACGCCACTGCCTGCCGCCGCCGAAAAACACGCCCTTGGCCGCGCGCAGCGGCGCCGCGAACTCCTCCGTGTCGGCGACCTGCGGGTCGTACGTGTGCAGCACCGTCACGTTAGCGGCCCCCAGCCGCCGGAACGTGGCCGCCGACGCGGCGTCGTCGTCGTACGTCGGCGCCCCGTCCGCCGTCGGGATCGTGACGATGGGCGCGTCCGGCCCGCCCGCTAGGTCGATGATGCGCTGGTATATGGCGTCATCTTGCGCGTTGCCGCCGATGATCACGAGGGTCCCGTTTTCCGGACCCACGTACGGCGAGTCCTGGCGCGGGACGGCGGGGCTCGCCGGAACGAGGGCGGCTTGGGCGAGGAGGGCCAGTGTGCTGGTTTGGATTAGGCTTTTCATGGCTGACTATTTGAACTAAGGATGGATAGGTAGGTATGTATGTAGCCTTGGATATCAATAGGTGAGATATTAATTAGATGGCTTTTTATATTTGACGCTATACAATCGGTTGTAAAAGAAAGACCCGGTTGCTTCCCCGCCTCCCAAGAGTTGACTTAGCGAGACCTTCCTATTCCATCTTGCTTTTTACCCCGGCGACCAACCGGATTGTTTAATTTAATGTCGTGCAACTGTGAGTATATATCGCCATCTATGGCGTATATATCGAAATAGATGACTATCGATGAATTATTTGGGAAGGTTTCCAACGAAGTTAGTGGCGTCAAAAAGATTATGTTAGCCTTGAAGAAGAGGCGGTCATTAATAATTCTTCGTATGTCGGTAGGAATCAGGGGTAATCTATAAGTCCGAATCACTCCCCAGCATTAACGATCTTCGAATGAACTAAGTTTAGCAGCATATGAGGATAATTTATCGCTCGTGAAGGGAGGCTACTGGATTCATGTTCCTTCAATTGGCATCCGTTATCCAAGCTTCGCTCTTTAGCATCTCGTCGAGCTTTGATTTAATCGCTCCTGGATTGTTTACCAATTAGAACTTATGAGAATCTAGGAGGCCGAATCGGTCGACCAATTAAATGCCTAAACTTAGAATGTTGGATATTCAGCAATATCACAAAGCTGGAGGAGGCCCCTTTCGATGGAGTCTATCATTGGTGCCCACAGTCCTAGCACCTCTTTTCGAATACATGTCATAGATTCAATGGCAATTGGTACATACCTAACTTATGTTATTTAACGGGGAACTACTCTGTAGGATGCAATTTCTATCTAGATCAGAACGGCAGATCTTCAACCAAGGAGTAGCAAGACATGGTGTTTAGGCATTCATACAGATGTTGGCTGCAAGGCGTATACTAGGGCCATATCAACCAATCTAACATTTTTGCCTCTCTAGGCTCTGAGTTCCGTTGTTAGATCATAAAATCAAATCATATCTCTACTTTAACTCTAGTTGGAGGGGCCGACGTTGGATAGTGTGGGATTGTTGGTGTACTCGCACGAAAACATTACCAACGGGTCTGACATTATTTGGAAATGAGGATAGAGAATTATACTCCTATCTCACCCCTCAGCCTTAACGTATATCCCTTGCTTTGTTTTATACTGATAGTACATGATTATATAAACCCTGTTACACTTGCAACTGGACTGGACAATATATAAATATCATACCACATATTTTCTCTTCTCTGGGCTATGAATTCCCGAAGTCCACCCTCTAGTACTTGTGCTTAGTTTTACATGTCTTTCCCATATCATAATATCACAAAATGGGTCAATTCAGTGAACTACCTGCTGAGCTTCAATCGGTGGATATCATTGTTGCGGGAGGTAAGAATTTTACATAATAGACTCCGTTTTATTTATTAAGGACTCTAATTCTATGGCGACTAGCTGATTAACGAGTTATCGTAGGTGGCACCGCCGGCTGCATCGTAGCTTCAAGGCTGGCCGATGCTGATCCAAGTCTTTCAATATTGGTTATCGAAGCAGGACCAAATGGCGCTGGTAATCCGGCGGTCGACTACCCTGCATTCTTTCTCAGTAATGTTGGGCCAGGCACTACAACAGCTGCCTTCTACAAAGGCAACAAATCCAAACATACAGGCAATCGTGATATTATTGTGCCCACCGGCTCCGTTCTCGGCGGCGGCTCTGCAGTCAACATGATGATGTACAGTCGGGCCCAGCGATCCGATTGGGATTCGTGGCAAACCGCTGGCTGGTCTGCTAATGAGATCTTACCGTTCTTGAAAAAGGTACCGTCATCCTTGTTTACACGCAAAACTCTACGGACATAACCCAAAGGGCTCAGACTTACTTTCTCTTAGTTAGAAACATATCATGGACCTGGCCTACTAGATACTCATGGGTCCGATGGTCCAATCCAAGTGTCTACTGGCACCTTCTGTGGTAGAAAATCCCAAGATGACTTCGTTTCCGCCATGAACAAAATTGGTTGGCCAGAGATCGAAGATTTAGGGAGTCTGGATGCATGCAACGGCGTCCAGCGTGCGGTCAGGTTCATCTCACCTGATGGGAAGCGCCAGGACACGGCCAGCCGATATCTGCGACCCCGTCTTCAGGATGGTCTACATCCCAATCTCCACGTAATCATCAAATCTCAAGTCGTCCGAGTTTTGATCGAGGACGGGAAAGCCACCGGCGTCGTTTACAAACCAGAAAGTGCCCCAGAGCGGACAGTCAAGGCCAGAAAGACCGTTGTCCTGTCTTGTGGAGCTTTTGGAACACCAACTGTCCTCGAGAGATCCGGCGTAGGCGATCCTGATGTCTTAGGTCGTGCTGGCATTCCAATCGTTGCCGATATCCCGGGCGTTGGCCATGAATACGAGGATCACCATCTTATTGTGTATCCTTACAAATCCAGCCTTGCTCCCGAAGAAACTATGGATGGGATATTGACAGGGGCTCTGAATGCAGAAGAGTTAGTCAAAACCAATGACAGGATCTTGGGCTGGAACGCGCAGGACGTTACTTGCAAACTCCGACCCACAGATGAAGACGTCGCCTCTCTAGGTCCCGTATTTCAGGAAGTCTGGAACAAGGAATTCAGAGATAATCCGAACAGACCCCTTATGATGATGTCGCTGGTTAACTGGTGAGTTTAATCCTCAAATCATCTGTTGTATGGTAGGCTGATGATTACCAGCTTCCCAGGTGATCCTACTGGGATTCCACCAGGACAGTATTTCGGTATCTCAAGCTTCACTGTTTACCCATTCGCAAGAGGTCATGTCCATATTACAGGACCAAAGTTGACTGACCCACTCGATTTTGAAACTGGCTTTTTCTCTGACGAGAAGTGTATCGACCTTCTGAAACACAGATGGGCATATAAAAAGCAGCGTGAAGTAGCACGCCGTATGGACGTGTTCCGTGGAGAATTGGTTAGCCATCATCCGCCTTTCCCAGAGTGGTCTAAAGCAGCATGTGTGTCAACGAACACACCCCTCGATAACGTGCAGGATATCGAGTACTCGGCCGAGGACGATGCCATTATTGATAACTGGGCCCGTGAGAATGTTGGATCTGCTTGGCACTCCCTAGGAACTTGCAAACTAGGTCCTGTCGACCAATACGGGGTTGTAGATCAGAATCTAAGTGTTCATGGTGTCAAGAACCTGAAGCTTGCTGATCTGAGTATCGTGCCAAAGACTGTTGCTGCAAATACTAACAACACAGCTTTGGTTATTGGTGAGAAGGCGGCTGACATCATCATCAAGGAGCTTGGTTTAGGGAAGTCATAGAATACGAAGGTAGACTGCATTATACGACAGAAAGTTGTAACTCCAAGATGAATGGTTGCACTGACTCATAGAACATGTAAGCTAGAATACCCGAATAGTCTTATTTACCTATGCATCCATACTCGGATTATCCACTCCGGCTTTGGGAGCGTCTGGACATGGCTTGGCTCAGCGCTGGCTCGCTAGATCGCCTGCTTCATAGGTATCTTACGACGGGAGAATTATAAGCTTTGTATGGTGAAATCCTGGGAGGCGCATCTATCGTCGGCGCAGGGATAGATGGCTACCTCTGTGCGAAAGATTCAAACTAGAAAATAGCTACAGAGGTGAGTAGCAGGAATGGATTAGTAACGTACCTATCAATGGATTGCGGGTGACGCCACGGGAAGCCCTAAATTTATCGCGACAGCGCTCACGGGTCACTATCGTGGCGCCTGCACTGCTCTTTTTCAAAGACATCCTCTAGAGGTGCTCGATCATTGGACTGTGCAGAAAACTACCCCCTAATTACCCGACTAGGCATCTTACACATAATATGGCGGGCAATGGGCGTCGATTAAGTAATCTAGGGGATAGCTTTCTCCTATTAATAATTTATTAGTAATTAAGGCACTTATTTCAACAATTCTCCATTAGGCATGATTCATCTAGCTGCATAAAGAGCCTCTAGATGACGAGTTCGAACTTTCATGGCATGATAAGACTTTCTATACTAGTAACCAGTAATCATAAAGCCGTCATGAGTAGTCTACCTCCGGGCGTGGTATGAATACCTCTACTACCTGGGTAATTTAGAAAAATCCAAAATATCTCAAACAAGATGTAGCGAATATGCTCTCCCTATTAATCAAATCAAGAAATAGAGTAGATTTATTGTGTATATCATACTTCATTACACCCCCTAACCAAACCGCCTCGACCTTTAGAACCCCCCCTTCCTCTATCCCCTTTACCCCCATTCCCAATAAAATAAAATATTTCGATACGGTATCTGAAAGACAACGCGATCCCATTTTTGAAAGCACCCTGAAAGCATCGATCTTAGGTACGCCTTTGGTATCTCATGCAGGCCGGTCTATGCGTATGCGTATGCGTGTGTAATAACCCCCTTCTCTCCCCCCCCTCCTCCTCCCTCACTTAGCTTTCATCGTCCACGCTTCTTTTCCCCCATTGCCACGCTCTTCCCCTTCTCCTTCCCATCAGAGCGCCGGTGGGCATGGGCATGGAAGTACTTGCAATAACGCCGTCTAAATGCGGACCCCCAAAAAGCGTTTTAGCAACCCGTTCTCAACAACTCGTCGATCTTAATAAATAACATATAACATGAAATAACATGTAAATAAGTTTACCTTATATCATGCGCCAAATCCCTCTCCGAATCGGCGCGCTCGGTGCGCTCCCACGCCGTCCACCAGACCCCCACGTTCGCCGCGACGACCAGGTCCAGCATCTTCAGGCCGTCATCGAACACGATCAGCTTCCCCATCTTCGCCCTCTTGCCCCTGTTGCCGCCTCCGGCCTTCTCGCGGCCTAAGCTGAGATCGAGGTGCCAGCCGTCATCGTCGTCGTCGTAGTAGTGGTCGATCCCGTGCGCCTTCTGCAGCACCTTGTTGAACTGGCTCTGCAGCTGATCCCTGGTCCTGACTCCTCCCTCAGTGGACCGCTTCTCGGCGAATAATTCGCTGCTAGGCAGATTGAACCGCAGCTCGCTGATCGGCTGGCCCTTCGGCTTGTGGCCGTGGTGCCCGGCCTCCTGTCCATCTACAAGCGGGTTGAATACCGTGCCGGTGTAATTCGGCAGCACGTGTCTACACTTGAGACTGCGTCCGGCGTTGCCGGTCACGAATTCGCAACGCCCGCCCCACGGGCTCTTGAACATGTATCCGCGCGGCTTCAGGCCCGGCGCGGGCTGCGTGATCACGGGCGCCTCGCCGCCGTCGAAGTCCCCGCCAAACGACCCAATCGAGCCCATGCTGCCGTGGCGAGCTTTCCTCGGCGGGAATACGGGCGGCGGCGAACGGTCCTCGTCCGAGGTGCTCCTGTGGTGGTGGAATTTATCGCGGATGGTAGCGCCGAAGGACTTCGAATACGCCATCACGACCTGGCGCTCGAAGGCGTTTGAAGTGGTAGCCGGGGGATTGAGATCAGGTATCTGGGGGAATTTCATCGAGGACGATGCGCTGCCGGGACGCATATCCAGACTAGCTCTTATTTCCCTTATATCTGCTGACGTCGTTTGAGTTGGCATGCCCCGGAATTTAGCGTACCCGGAGGTCTCTAGGTGTATCATGATCGATGGAGAGGGGTGGCGGTGCTTCTCCTCGTGAATAAGCTCAGGGTTCTCCAATTGGAAAGATGCCACTTTGCCGACGTTCCATTGCTGCCCTGAGCTCGGATCCCGTCTTATGAGAGTCAGTGAGAAGGGTGTGAAAGGACGTTGCTTGGAGGGCGATTTGGGTGATGGTGATCGGCCATAACCAACAAATGGGTCTTCAAGCTCGCTAGGTCGTGGTGGCAATGAAGGTACTTCCATGCTTGGCCTCATCTGATACTCAGGCTGATCATAAATTGGCGACAGTGGTTGGTTCCTCTCAGGAGACTCTGAAGCAATTGGCCTAGGTCCTACAGGTCTCCTTGGAGGAGGTGGCGGGGGAGATACGAATTGAGAGGCTGGCGGTCGCTGAGATAAAGGAGCTGATGCAGACTGAGGAACCGGCTTCCGCAGTGAGGGATTCCGCATCGGGGGCTTCGTTTGGCCGTTATTGCCTTGGTTTTCTTTGATGGATGGCGGTGGTGCATTTTCATCTACTCGCGACGAGGCAAGACTTGAAGCCCCTGGTACAGGTTTCCTCTGAATCTGGTTTGCTGACCTTGAACTCTCCCCGCTCGTTCTAGGAGACGGGGGCTTGGTCTGGCCAGGAGGAGGGATGAGAGCCTCATCCTCGGGGCCGTTCAGATGAACATAATACAGCGAACTGGCTACATCCTCAGCCGTCACGCTTTTGACCTGAGGTTTCAAAGTTGAGAGAATAATATCTACAATCGGCGTTAGAATAGAATTCCAGAGTTTGAAGGATTTCAATTGCGTGTTATGAGAATCTTACCCCTTGTGCCGGGTACTCGAGAGATGTACAGAATAATCGGATCTTGCCTTTCCTCATTGGGCTTTTTCGGATACTGAGGCGGATTGGCTGCCAGATAGTTGAGCGAGGCCAACGAACGGGCCTCGACGTGCTCATCCATATCTGGCCCTTTTCTTAATACTTAGTAGACCTATGAGTGTCTAAAATGTGAATATAGCAGTCAGTGAGAAGTGTCGTCTGAAAGTACGGATTACCCTGTCACGGATGATGTCGTTAACAGGGATGAAGAATCAACTGCCGATGCTGCCCCTGAACTTGTAGGAACAGTGCTGATAGATACCGAGACTCTAGTAAACTCTATCCGATCGCGCCACCTCGTGTCGAGGAAGAATGTGGTGACGATTCAAGGTTCGACTACAAAGTTGGGTTGAATCTAAATATAAAGGTTTCGTCGGGCAGGGATGATTTGTTTGATGTCCCTTCAGAACGAAACTCGAGACAAACTAACAAATATAGGGCTGAAAGAGGCTGCTATGATATTATTCCTATAACCCGGTTTCCCGAATGCGAATGGAATAGCTTATGCTGCCGCCTGTCGCGCGGTTAAGGCAAGCATAAAACAAGTATGCGTCATCGTCGGGGCTGAGTTGGCTGAGGTCTAGGTGTTGAAATTCGCATTTCGCGATGCATCTGCTCGAATCAGACGCCGTTAAACCTCCTTCTCCACTAAACAAGCACTAACTAGCGGATTACTTCGAGGGCACTAATCGCTATGAAAAGCAAACACTTATTTAGTTGAATATTCGTACGTACAAATGCATATTTATACATATATACGAGCTTGGTATATATATAGATAGTGTTATCCAGCAATCCGTCATCTTAATAACCAGGTTCCATCTTCTCCAACAGAATGTCTCATCGCAACTTCTGACAACTCTCATCTGAACCAAACATATCTGTCCTCACTGTTTTGCCACATGGATCCCAGACATTGTTTCTTTTCCTATCCACCAACTCTGTTGATATGAAATATATACGGAGGACAGCGTATCCGACATTGTTATTAGGCCAGAAATGAGGTTGCCTCCGGTAGCTCGGGTTCCTCGGCTTTACCGATCGCCAGCGGATTGAGAAACGCCTCTCATCTTAAATTACATCATTATGCTACACGTTGTACCGCATCTTGGCTCGCCTGGAAATTTTGTATGGCCACTCTTGGCTGGTTCAAGCACCATCCGCCTCATGAGAGAGTCTAGATGAATTTTCTCTATGTTTAGGTAGGTAAATATATTGATTCGCAGAGCACATAGGCTATGCATTTTGTTGGTCCCACCGAGTATCCCTGGCAGACAACCATGTGGATACAGAGAACATCAACCTTGGGTGGCCTGAAGAGATGAGAGTTTGACGGATCTCGTGGACTGGACTTCTAGGTTACCAAATAACTGCCTAGGTAATTTTCGAAGGTCATCAGCATGAACCGACGACGGCCTAGGACGTCTTCCAAGTTACGATTTTAGCATAAGCCGACGACAGACAGCACACTCCATCGAGACGTCGATTTGAGTAAGCCTCTAACCAAGAATTGGCTTGTATCTCTATTCCCTATGCGTATGTAGGGCTATGTAAAAGCGTTTGTTTCCAAGTGTACCCATATCTCATAAACCCATAATTCTTTAGTTTTGTTTGTTCTAATATCCTATTTTCTTTCGTCAATGTGTTGCAACGCCAACGCTACTCCAGCAAGGTACGCAGCCTCCTTTCGGGACTTTTCGCTCATATACCTAGAGAGAGCTCGACACGTATTCCAATTTACATGTCCAAGTGCTCGTGCTTAACCTCGACCTCGCTCTTGCCCTCGGGCTCGGCGGTGAGGTCGATGCCACGGTGCCTCTTCTCGAACTGGACGGTGCCCCAGGCGGACGGCGACTGCTTGAACACGAGGTCGATCTCCTCGAGGTTGCGACCCATGGTCTCCGGGTACAGGAAATAGACGGATACTGGCACGCACGCAGCGATCACCGCGAAGACTATGTAATACTGCCACCCGATGCTGTAGATGGCTATCGGCGTTACCATTGCGACGAGGAAGTTCCTGCAGTTTCCCTATGTTAGCACACGTTCATATCTTCTAAAGTAGGGGAGAATGAGGCAAGGAGGCAGTAGGATACAATGATTAAAGGAGTGAAAAGGGGGAGCATACCAAGCCCAATGATTTGCCGTCGAAATCGAACTCATCGCCATACGCAATCTTAGCGGCGCCACCTCGGTACAGTACAAGAAGTTGGCGCCGAGGAAGCCAATCGGCACGAACGTGTTGTATAGGTAGATGAAGCAACCGGCCGCAATCTGGGAGGAGCGATTCGAGGTGGGGAACGAGGTAGCGACGGCGAGCGCGACCATGCAGCAGGACATGCCGACACCGCTGACGATGAAGACCGCGCGACGGCCGAACCGATCGATGGCCACAAACGCTAGAAATGAGGAGAGGAATTTCCATGTCAGGGCTCCTCCGGAGAGCACCCGCGAGATCTCGCTGCTGAGCCCAAGGTTCTCTTGGAAGAGGATTGGGGCGTAGACGCTGATGAGGTTGCTTCCACTGCCCGGTATATTAGTCCTGTTCACTTCCTAGTCCATGAAACCTAACGTCTACCTGGGTAGATGAGGTCGAGGGACAAAGTTGTAGGGAAGTCCGCTACTTACGACATCTGCTGGTAAAATTGCAGTAAAATACAAAGCCCAAATCGGTAGGCCAGCTTATCTTCACCCATTTTAAGGAGTTGGCTCAGCTTTGCGCCCCCATTAGCCGTCATCTCGAGACTGTGTTCGATACCCGCAATCTCAGCCTGCACCTCCTCCGACTCCCGCGGCAACGCGCGCAGTATGGAGAGAGCCTCGCGGGCCTGCTCGCCTTTGTTCACCATCAGTAGCCAACGCGGTGACTCGGGGAACATGTAGATGGATGCCGACAGGATGATCGAGAAGAGGGCCGCAATGGCAATCGGCACACGCCACGTCGCGGGTCCGTGGTGCAGTTCGAAGAAACCCAGGTCGATCCAAGACTCGAGGACGTAACCTAGACAAATGAACAGTCCGTCCAGCACAACATGCCTGCCCCGGTTCTTCGCGCCGCTCGTCTCAGACTGCCAGACGGGAACAAGCGAGCTCAGTTGGCCGACACCTAGACCTACGATAACACGACCGACGATGAACTGCGGCAGCCCAAAGGAAGAGGCCTCGAGGATCTCGCCGACCAGGGTGCATAAGCCGGCGACGAAGATGACGTTTCGACGACCGAAGCGGTCGCCCGTGTACGAGCAGGACAGCGCACCAAAGAGGGCGCCGATGACGAAGACGGCGACGACGAAACCCTGGAGCGTTGTCCTCTGGCTCTTGACGGATTTCGGCGCGTTGACGGTGTCGATCTGGGGGAACGTCTTGACCCAGTCATCCTCCGTGATCAGGCCGCCGATGCCCGCCTGGTTGTACCCGAATAGGATGAAGGATGGAGCGACGATGAGGGCCGTCTGCAGCCTACTCAGGACGTGGCCTTGGAGGCCGAAGTATTTCTTAGAACCCATATTTATCTATTATCTATTATCTAGGTAGGTTGATGTTTAGATGATAATAGGATCATAGGTATGGGACAAGAGAAGCCAAGAAAACAGGTAAGCTAGGTAAGCAAGTAAGTAGAGGCGGGAGTTATCAGGGTCAGATATTAAAGGTGCCCTTTATTAGCTTGACCTGTTAAACCCATGTAAAGGTTCGTCATCTAACCTACTTGTCAACCTCCCCTCCCCCCTGCCTTCCCCCAACGTTGTGGGAGGCATGGATACGAAAGTTGCGGAGTCCCCACGGGATCACAAGGAAGAAGGCTCTGGAGAATCATAATAAAACCGGGGATCGTTGGTCGAGCACGGGCGATTTCGGTCTTCCGAACAGGTTAGGAGCGCCTGGGGACAGCGTGACATGGCGGGTATAGGGCGAGCAGGAGGACCGCAGAAATTTTAGCATCGTGGCGGCCGTCGCGGCCGGGGGGAACCCTATCCAAAGGGTATAAGTGCGAAGGGGTAGGGCGGGAAAGGACGAGTCTTCGACGACGACCACAAGATCTACAAAATTGGCATCCGGCCCTTCTCTGGGTCCCTGTGGATACCGCGTTCTGGGTCGAAGGTCGATCTCGGCAGATACAACCGGTTTATGAAACATTACGTACGTCTTTACATACATCCATTACATACATAAACATGCCTTCCCATCACGTTTGGGCGAAAATCTTCGATCGAAAGGAAAACGTCCTGCATGATGATTCTCTTCCTCGATATCCCGAGTACCACCATTGATGCTTTCGCGTGACACAAAGATAGCCAAGATACACTGCATATGCATAGGCGGGAAATTCCTATCAAACAAGATTTGTCGCGTGAGGATCTCGCGATCAACCCGATGGACCCTTACCCCTACCACAACTCCTAGACTACCCCTATTAAGGTTAATGAGGCTCAAAAAGGCCAAGCAAAGTGGATAGACAGGGTAGACAGATGCTCAACGTCCCACTGCGAGTGGCGGGACTGTCTTCCTTAAGTAATTACACGAGAGCTAATAGGCCATTTTTATAATGCCGCGCAGGTTAAGCTTTTAGGAACCGCATTGACTAATCGCACCCGTTCCGCAACCCCGGTGCCGGTGTCCGGAGGCTAGTGTGTATACCATCGTGTGTTAATGGCTTTTAGCATTGAGGCTAGCTAGGTATATACATCTCCTACTATACAACACGTCCCTGATTCGTCAATCGTCCTGGCCTAGATGTTTCTCCGCCCCATCATCCAGCGGTCAATTCGCCAATTCTCCTTTCAATGTCTGGTACCTGTCGGAGTAGAACTTCCAGATCTTCCTTCTCATCCTCCAGTTTCAACCTCCTCTCGGCATCGAGCTTCGTAAATACGAAGTGACCCTGTCCGTCGAACTGCAGGATCCTACTATGGTACTTCCATAGACTTCGCCGGTGACTTACGGTCATTAAAGTAATTTCCATGGCCTTCGCATTATCGTACATGACCTTTTCAGTCTCGAGCGTCACGCTGCTTGTGCACTCATCGAGAATCGCGTAACGCGGCTTGTGGTAAAATAGACGAGCCATGGCTACGCGCTGTTGCAGGCCTCCCGAGAGGACGTCTCGCCACTCGGCTTCCGCGTCCCAGCCTTCCGGGTAGAGATCGACGAGATGCTCCAGGGAGAGGATTCTTAGAATGTCGAGTAACTGGGAATCGGTCACGCCGCGCGCGCGAACAGTTCGCAGGCTATCCGGGTATGTAATCTGCTGGCGAAGGCTGCCGCGTGATAAGTATGGTCGTTGGGGAATATAAAAGATGTCCGTAAACGGTGGCTTATATACGGTACCGCCGTACACGGGCCACAGACCACCCAAGATTCGGAAAAGGCTTGATTTTCCGCAGCCGTTCGGGCCAACGACAAGTAGATGCTCGCCTTGTTTGAGCGAAAACGAGAGTGCTCTAACAAGGACGTCTCCATTTGGTGAGATGATCGGTACATCGATAAACTCAATGTCCTTACTCTCTATCACTTTCCCTCTGCCTTTCAGCACGGCTTCATTGTCCTCGATGCCCGAACTGGAAACCAGCTTCTTCTCGAAATGTCCAGCCTGGATATCGTCCATAACCTCCAATAGTGATGCGACACGTGATGTGTAACCAGCCAGCTCCATGATCTCGCGGTAAGAGAACATTACACGGCCAAATGCGTCGGATGCACTCAGTAACATCCGCCTATTGGTAATGAATGTTTCTGTTCGGTCTCCCATGTTGGCGGTCGCACCAGCTAATTGGTTAGGCAACTTGAAAAAGACGGGCACGCTGCAAAGCAAAAGGCCCAGAGCACCCCAGAAATATTTGATGACGAAATCTTCCATCACTCCATGGTAAAATCTCCGACGCAAGATGTAATTCACATGCTTGATTAGCGTAAAGTAGCCCTTGTCGAGTGTATCCTTTTCTGCTTCGTGACCGTGGTAAAGTGCCACTTCCTCGCTGTGATCAATGAGTCTCGAGTGTTGGAATCGGAATTCACCCTCTAGTCTCGCTTCATCTGCGACATATTTCCCGAAAGGAGGCGTCAAGGCGCGCATGAGGTGAGCTGAGAGCTGGACAAGTAAAGACATAAACATGACACCCTCACCACCAACACTCTTCGACAATGACCATGTATATATGGTCTAGTCTTGTTAGCTTCATATAATGCAGAAGACGATGCGCATATCTCTCACCATATCTAATATAGGCTTGGCTAAATTACTATATAGCTCAGCTAAGCTGTTCGAGAACTTAGCTACGTCAACAGCGATGAGCTGATCCGGGTTCTTTATCCGATCGTCTAGCGCAGAGATGCCGTAAAATGTGAGTTGGGATAGGTACTTGTCGTGGATGAATTGGGTTAACCGTGTTCGGTATCTGAGCGACAATTCGGCTTGATGGTATGACAACTACAGTAGTATGCATCATTAATATCATCTCACTTAACAACCATCGGATTAGGTCTCTCACCATGGAATTTGTGAAGGTCGCAGGGACGGCGATCAACATCCACCATACGATTCTAGTCAGGAATTCTTTCCCACTTCCTTTTACAAGTGCTTTTACGATTGCGCCGTCCATCTCGGCGACTTTCAAGCTTATAAGCGTCCGTACGACCAAGAAGAAGCTGTGGCTAATAAGCAGCCGGGTCTCCTTGCTTCGCGCGCCGGGCACGACTATCTTTAGCAACCTTAACAAAGACTTGAAGAACTCGCGATTCAACTCGACTTTTTTCTTTTTCGTCACCTCGGTGCCGTCGCTCGAGGTCGTGCCCAATTTCCGCTTCGCCGCCTCGCGCGCGGACGCGGCCTTCTGTTCGGATATGGCATGCCGGACGCGGTTCACGAGGGCAACGAGTAGGGTAAGGTAGACTACGCGGGAGATTCGGGTTCGGTTCTCGACGTATAGATGCGTCAATTGGGCGACGACACTCTTAAGAGACCGATCGGGCAGAACGAGTTTAGACTGCGCCGCCATGATTTCGATCGTAACCTCGGCGGAAACGGGTCGAAAACTGCGAAGGGATTGAACTTGGATAGCCTGGATTCCAACGCTTGTTTACCCCGAAGCTAACGGAAAGTAAATTCGGCCCATGAGGGAGGGACAATAATGAAACAACAGATTGAAGCTATACTATACAATGTGGATTATCGTGATTACATGGTTGCGATGGATTGAAATTGCCTTTCTGAAGTTGGAGGAGTTGAAGGATAAACGTCCCTCGGCGATTGCGACCAATACCGAAGCTTACCGTACATGTACATTGCTAAATTGGTGACGTTCTTGTTGCATGTGATCCGCCGATGGTCAGCATCTGAAGTGGCTGGCTCTAATGGTTTCAGTGGCTTTGACTTGAGCTCAATGTGGCTTCTAAGTGTGGGGTGGGAAACTTGGTTTGTTGCATAAACCGATAAATTAAAGGTCGCCCCTATCCGATTTGGAGTTGGGCGCGGGGTCTTGATTTTATGAAAGACATTTTCAGTTTTTTTCTTCAAGGTGGCGGCTTATACACGAAACTCAAGCACACTTCAGGTATAGAAACTAGAAACATAGAAACATTCGCTATGGCCAACGACGAAGAGATAGCAGTCTACGACGAGGTCGAGATCGAAGACATGACCTACGATGAGACACTACAAATCTATCATTATCCCTGCCCCTGTGGCGATCGCTTCGAAATTGCGCTCATGGATCTTCAGGACGAGGCAACGGACATTGCAGTTTGTCCAAGCTGCAGTCTAATGATTCGGGTTATATATGATCTGGTTCGTCTCACACCAACATTATCTTTACAATGCGCATACTAACGACACTAACCAGGACAATCTGCCGAAGCCGGATTCTGATCCTTCAGCACCAGGACCTGTTGAGAATCAGGTCACTATCGTTGCTTGAACGTTCGCGATCCAAATATGTAGGAATCGATTAAAAAACGAAGCATGTGACGCGGCTTGAAGCGAGCGTGAAAGATGAATAAGTGCCAAGCCGTCGGCAAATCGACTATGGCGCAAGGGCCTCGACTAAGTACGCGTCACCTGGTGAAGTTGCATCGCTTTCAGCTCACTAGGGATGCGACGGTAGTGTAGAGATGTGATTTCAACGCACGTTCTCTCATCAAACTGCTGTTAGTGATGCTTAGTGATGTGGCAAGTGGATGTTACCGCAGACTTCCCGGGCCAAGAGGTGGATGCGGGTGGTAGTATACGATACGGAGCTCCGGCGCCGATATCGCGTGTAGAACTCGAGATGCGGCCAGATGCAACCCGAATCAAAACACAGAGAGCACTATCAGATTAGGGGAAATGTGTATGATCACAATCCTGTTATATTAATCGGATCTGATTGGATCCGGAACGGATTGATGGCGACGGTATTGAAAGCAGATGCAGCCATCCAATGGGTATATCCAAATGCCAAGACATCAGCCAGAACGCCGTCAAAGCCTCTGAAACAATGCTAATCCATGCCTAATCATGACCCCCATGGCATTCATGATTTCGTCCGCCAACGCCGGTGAAAATGCAAAATGGTCGATAGCCCTCCCTAGTCCCTAATTCATAGTAGATAAAGTCCGGCAGCCGAAAAGACGATGAGACCCATTACGGAAGCTTCTAATGCCGGCTTCTCCGCAGCGACGGTTGTTAATGGTTTTGAAGGTCGCGCGAGCGAGTCTGAAGAGTTGACCAGAACAGGTGTAGAAGCTGTCGAACGCAGTCAGCTACAATTTTCCTCTCATCGAGCCAAATAGAACACAATCCAACTCACCCACCGACCCAGGCGCATCCTCAATTTTCATACTTGTCGAGTGGGTCAAAACTCTTTGTTGAGCAGCAAGGACGGCTGGTAAAGCTGCGGCGACAATTACGCCGGCTAATCGCATCGTAGCTAGCTTTGTGAATGGTTCGTTTGTGATGGCGATATTATCATTCGAGTCCAACGCGCAATGTTTTTATTTCTTTTTCTCTTTTCCACGTGAGATTCGCGACGATAAGGTATTAGGACAGCTGAAGCAATGCAATGCAGAGCTGTCTAGCTGCTAGCAGCTCATGGGAAAAAGAAAGGATAAGCTTGGAAAGTCTGGAAGGTTGCTCGAGATATGAACCGTAGCTAATATGCAGAGCAAATCAAGGTAGGGGGAGCTACTAATACGAAGGTTTTACCAGTTTAAACAAGGTACAATAGTTGGTAACATGGCGTTAGGGTGGGCAATAAGAGGACGGACGAGGCGTCTAGATAAGGCAAAGTTTACAATAAAAAGCCAGGACACGGCCATGGCCTGTTCAAGAATCAAGATGGTGTGTGGATCAAGCCAGGGAAGAGAAAGGGCCTGGGAAGGGTAGACACTCTAGCACTCTAAAGAAGCAAGGATGTGTGGATCGCGATGCGACGACGCGGCCCCAAGTTCGGTGGGTTGCGTTATCTGGGACGAGAAGCAGAAACAAGATTTCCCTTATCCCACGCAGGTCATGTCGCCGCATGCAATCCTACAGGTTCCTATCGGCCATCCATACATACTGTCATAATACATACATGCGGTAGCAATGTATGCAAGCAGGATGTGACGCCGTGACGAAAGAGGTTGGTAATCGGATTTGCGACACACTAGGGAATCTTCTGAAACGAGACACTGCTCTCATGCTCAATTCAAACAAACATCGCACCAGCGCTGCAAAACGGAATCTTCCGTTTTCAGAAACGCCAGAAACGCCGGACTTGGGGGTGACGAGGTTACTTGGGTAACATCTTCTTACACCTGGGAATAGGTATCTTATCGTAGGAGATTACTTGCAGTAGGTGATCTATTGAAACGCCATCGAATCTAGGATTTTTCGAAATTCAAAGAGAGAAAAAAGAACCATGTGTCGCGGCGGATCAGTTTAGTGCCCAGGTGGCGATCCCGGCTCGGCCAAATCTCACCTAGCCTTGCATGGAGGTCCTGGGCGGACAACTTTAGTCAGGAGTTAGCTCACTTATGAAGAAAGCTTGGCAATTCTAGCAGTGAAGAAGCTTTAGGTAGTTAATAAGTCTCAATTGAGAAGTCTAGCCGAGCGGTAGAGGAGAGACACAGAAGTCACGAAGAAAACGTGGGTGACTTGAACGGAGCCGGCTGGCGGGTTGGCGCGGTAGCTTTTCCTTGTTTGTGCTTCAATGAAAGAAAGCATACGTCATGTTATAGCTGGGCTAGATTGTATTGCATGGAGGTACTGCAGCAGGGTGAAGGGTTGCATGGGTTGCGCTGAGCACCTCGACGTTTTCGACTTGCAGGAATGCAAAAATAGAAAAAATCTCCGTAGGGAAAAAGAAAGCTATTGAACGCCAAATCGGTGATTGGTGCGCCATCCAATGGCTTCCCGTTGGTTTGACACACCCATTACGAAGCTCAACGCCTTTCTATCTTTCTATTGCATCTTCCTGCATGCGCCATGTAACCTGTCGAGGAAACACGAATACAGATATTCTGAAAAGTTGCCCTATAAAAAGCATGCGACATGGAATGAAACTACGAAGAAACTACCTATGCGAATGAAGACAATAAGTCAGCTAATGCCAAGAGTTATTACGAATGTCTTTGTTACGGAATATCATGGGAAGTTTCGCCACTCATGAACGCTAATGGTCTTAATAGTTAAGACTATTAAAACTTTCGACACAAGAGACTTTCATGAGGAGAAGCTGTCGCTAGCTACCGATGCTAGCGACAATGAACACATACTCAACGAGCCCAACAAAATTCTCCAATCAAGATCGAAACACCGGACTAAATTTGAATCCTAATTGGCCGTACTTCTGTGATACTTACGTGAGATTCTCCGGCATTTGAGAGGATTTTGCTGGTCTTATTTCAATTAAGACAAATGTTCATTAGGTAACACTTGGTTGCACCTTTTTAAAAAAGCTACTATCACTTAACTATAAGGCATAGTCATAATTAAGAGATTATGTAAACTATCAAACTCGTGATCGAGGACAGCTGACCAATATCGGATCGGGATAATAACATTAATTGAACTTCATAGCAGGAAACCTAATAGAACATGAGTTATATCCTAGATGTGGTATTCGAATACGACCTCTGACCTTGTGTCTTTTATTACCAAGTTTGCTACGAGTTTTGACCTCCGCTCGTCCATCAGCTCTTTTCGTATCGAACGACCTGTAGGGTCTTCTGAATAGACAATATGCCCGGCTTGCGGGTTTCTTGGACATATGACGTCTATAAGCCTCCAGTTTTCGAAGCGGTTGACCAGGGTTAGCCTTAAAGATTCTTGACACGATGAACCATGTCTATCCTTTTTCTGGAAAGGTTGAATCATTCCAGTCGGAGATCTTAGGCATCAAAAAGCTTAGGTGAATTGCTTCAATTGACATCATTCTCTAACTTGGGGCACTCGATTCTCGTATATAATAATATGCGTGGTACAATCCCTGCAACCTCAAGAGACTGGATAGCTTAGTGAAGTTGTACCACTGACTGCATCACGGTAAAATAGGTGACGGATTCCCTCGAATGACATCAAGATCTTCATGCGTAGATGCTACATCTACCTTTGTAAGACCAGATCCAGCTTGGACTGCTTGTATAGGACTCAAGAGCAATCAAAGTATCGATGCTACCAACTGAATAAATTGCCGAGTATCTAGGTGGAGATACTGGGAGATGATAGCAATTCTTCAAGATCGCGATTCTCAAGCAACTCCTAAAAAATGAGTTGCGTTTCTTCGTCCTCCGAGGTACAGATACTGACATACCTCACTCTCTATCTCTGAAAATAGTTATCCTACGTCAACACTTCAAACATCGCCTTTTCTCCTTCAATACCCAACTGAATTCGCCTAGGATCTACGGTTTTGGTAAAGAAACTAGAGGAACGGTATCTTTAAGGGATTAAGGGACTGTGTAGTTCTCATGAATCGGGTTCATGTCGGGCAACCTCCTATTTATAGGTCAGCTATTATAAGGAATATATCCCATGTTAGATACCTAAAAGAACTTTATGAATGGGCATGAAAACTGGTAAAATCAAGGGATGTCACAACGACTAGAGGGTAGTCCACACAACAAAATAGGGGTAGGTGGGCTATTTAGGTAGCTATCTAACACGGTGTCTTCGATGTTGGGAAAGACGGTAGCATTAGAATGACCTAAATGAGACCTGGCTAAGTCATCGAATTCTTCAATGGTTAGAAAGCTTTCGTCGCTTTCGTCTATATTCACGGCGCCTTGACAAGTGCCTCTTTTCCCCTTTGCTTATCGTCTCTTCTTGGTTGATCCCAAGATAGGTTTGGGTGATACTGGAAAACTGAGATACAAGATCTGGAGGATCATTACGAATAAGCGAGATAGTTGTAACTTATACTATACAAGTCGATAGCCGGTTATCTTGAGTTCTACTTCTTTGACGATATTAGAAAAGGGGTGAGGATGATAGGGGTTAGTTACGTAAGGATTGTCTACTGTGGCTAACACTTTTAGTGAGGCTGTGCAGTAACCAGTCAAGCCACAACGCTCTAGAAAATACGTCCCACTTCAAGATGGAATTTCGTTGCGATGAGAATCAGCCCAGTGGACTGGGAAGCAAGGTCAACAGCCCACCATGTTTCCGACACTAGTGCGCAGGACCGCCGAAAGGCTCACCTCTTCTATGCTGAGGAATACGACCTCGACAACCTCGACGGCGGCTCTTACCGGCCCGTATAAGCTGAAGAAGGTCTGGCCCCCAGACTTCTCCAAGCTTTCCGAAAAAGACCAATTCCGATTCGAACGGCGATATAAACGGAGACTTAGACTCGCGACTGCGCGGCCGCGGTGGGAGAAATTCATAAAATTGGCGCAGTTGTTCAGTATGGTTTGTAAGTCTGATAATTATTAGGCGGTTTGATCAGATGGGGAGTGCGAGTTAACATATGGTCTACTATAGCCGTCTTTACTTATGCCGTTTTATTCATGGACTGGGGCGCAGAGAATAATCCATTCCAGGGGGTACGTCAAAGCTTATAGCTTAATCACTGCCACCTAGTTAGCTCACGTATTAACACATATACCTACATAGGCAAGAGACAAATTCTGGGATGTTTTCGGCGCCTTCACGCCTGAGCAGAGACATCAAAGGCGCAACCCGGATATAGAAGCGATCGCAAACCCAAAATAGCTCTGTTACTATGTACAATACGAGTCTCACGTCGCATAAGTGGAGTTATGGGGGATGGGAAAATACCCAATTGATATTTCATCCGCGCCCGTCCACTTGTGTGAGCACGGAATCTCCATAAAAAGACGATGCTGCTCTCCGTCCTCGATGCTTATACCATACCCGTAACCGCGAGAACTCCAGACACCTTTGCGGTTGACGATCTAGATACCCATCTATAGACATATTCTAGGTATTGTGCCATGTACCTAAGCGCATACGCACGCACACACACACATACGTTCGCGAGACATCACCGACCGGGCCAGACGAAGTTACCGCCCATGCCCAAACCGCCGGCGAGCCCCGAGCCCCTAGCCTCGTTGACGGGCCTCTTGGCGACGGTGCCCTGGGCGCGGACGCCGGCGACGATGCGGTCGAGGTTGGTCTCGATGACGACGCCGCCGACGATCATCTCGCTGAGGGCGGCGTGCAGGGTCTCGAAGTTGAAGATGAGGTCGAGCTCGCACACGTTCTCGAACAGCTTGTCGAGCGACTCGACGTAGACCTGGATGAGGTCGAGCAGGGCGAGCGGCGACTCGGTGGACGTCGATATGACGATGAAGTAGAGCGTCGCGTAGTGCCGGTACGTCACGAGCGACGGCACGTCGTTGTGCGGCTCCGACGCCGACTGCGAGGTCCCCGAGGCGGCGAGGAGCGGCGGCAGCGGCAGGAAGTTGCACGCGCCGTCCGCCCGGTTCGACACGAGCGTGAAGATCTCCGAGATCAGGCGCTGCTGGATGCTGGTTTCCTACGGTAACGATTGCTGTTAATACATGTCTGTCTAGGTACCTATGTTTAGATGGACTGAACTGCTCAAGTGACCAAGGCTGGGTTCATTTCAGGTTGTAAGTTGTTCCGGTGTGGGATGAGGTTGTAGGATTGTTTGTGGTAGTGAGTCATACCAGCTGAGTATAGAACTTGGTCAGCCTAGGTTGGCCCTGGCCGTTGAAGACCAGAACTGCGTTTATCATCGTGGGCGGGTATCTGAAGTCATTGGTATCCTGGCGTATGGATGCATGTGTGAATTAGCGATAGTGGGGCTAGGCTGAGCAGATGTCGGTGCATTAAGAATCAACTTTTTTGACTGCCTCGATATTAGCATAGATGCTCAATCTGATAGCATTCATTAATCCTCTTATCGGGGCTTGGCATCTAACTGAATAAAGTGGCGTGTGTTACTAGTCAGCGTGCTTTGCCCACTAATGATTGTAATAGGTAGCTGAACTTTAAACTTTACGCGTTTAAGTGCATTCGACGCGTCTAATCTCGGGGCCCTTCACCACTACTACTAATCTAGGGCTACCAACCTACATATTTACATGCGCAACATGACCATTCCTCGCCCTTCGACAGAGTAGAGAAATGCAGGCCGGACGCAATGGCGAAATGGAAGGAGCTTGGAGAGGTGCCAGATTCGGACGACGAAAGCGGCTTCGATAGCAGCCAAGAATCTGAACATGAACTCCCCCAGCAGCTAAGCAGTGCTGGCGTTGAAAATGGATTTGAGGCAGAGCGCGTGGAAATGAAAGGCAGTAGGACTATTTGGGATATACCTCTTTCGTCTCAAAGTTCCGGGAAAGAACACAATGCAGATCGAGATCTAATTCCTCCACCACTTCAAGCGCCCCTCGAACCGGAACCCACGCGACAACTCGTTTCGTCCCCTCTTTCGTCGCCACTCCCTGAACCAATTGATGGCTTTGGCAATTCCATACAAACCGCCGAGGCTGAAAGAATGGAGCCACACAGGCCTCAGGTGCCAGAAGTACCATTTACTGAACAATTTACAACTGCAGTCTTCGAGGTAGAGGATATTACCGACGAGGATGAGGCTAACTCTGCACGAGAAGCAACTCGACTTGGGAGATCATTGAGACCAAGAAAGCCCATTCAAGAGCACCCTTATTTGCTAGAAAGCGCCCAATATAGCAAAACTTTGAAGTCGCATGGTGTACGGCCCCTACGTGTGCAGATCGAAGAGGCGGCTAGAAAGAGGCAAGAGGAAGACTCGCAGGAACAAGATTACGAAGATGAGAGCCAATCCACTGTGCGAGGGGTTGTGCCGGAGGATTCTGGTGAAAGCCAAGAAATCCAAGATAGAGTTATTTTTGATGATACCGAGGAGGAAACCGGCCCAACGAGTAGTCCACCACGGCCCCCCGGACGCCGCGGAGAAGAACCGGAGCCTTTGTTGAGAAGCTCTCAAGGGGATGATGAATTTCCCGACCCGGCCGACATAGCTAAGTGGAATTTGGGGAAGACGCCAACTGGGGGTAAGAAGAGGCAGACTTCGCCTAGAGTTTCCAAGAAAAGAAAGCTCCCAAAATTGCATCAGACTGCGAGACTCACGAGAGAGGCTTCGCCACAAGCATATTTTGACCATATCTTCGATATCCCCCCTTCACCTCCCCAGACCAGTCCGAATTTCCTTGCGGGCACGCCTGTTACCGCTATTGGACTCTCTAGACCTGTGACGGCACTTACACCAAAACCAAGTAGCATTATGTCATCACAGAACCAGAGCCCCGTCCCGGCCAACCAAAGCGCTGGGATGATTGACCTTACGATTATGGAAGATACCAGCAGCGAGCATAATTCGGGCTCTGGAAGCGACTCAGAAACCGACACAGAGACATTGCAAGCCGCTATGAAGAGAAGATTGCGTGGTGTATTGCCTGCATCTTGGCTTCGACTTGATCAACAGGGGCCTCGTCGGAAAAGCACGCAAGCCATTCCGCAACGAAGCCCAGACCACTCTCCAGAGAGGACCCAGAGGAAAGGCGTAGCTCAACGCCGGCAGGTTTCCCCTAAACCTAGCAATGGAGTGGCCCTATTTCTTGATGACACGGATGATGACGACATGACGCTACAAGCTGACGAGGTTGGTGAGCTCCACCGCAGCAACAACGACAACGTCGGTTTCTCCATTTTCGAGGATGATGCCGCTTCCGTTATTGAAGAGGATCCTATCGATTTTATGATGCCAACAAGGAAAAGATCTAATACACATCTTGATGGATTAGAAAGGCCTAGGAAACGAAAGAAAAACCAGCAATCTACGTTCAAAGGTCAGCCGGGACGAGTAAAGCGACAACAGAGGATCACTGGGCTACTGGATAGGGCAAAGAGCTCGTCAGGTCAGAAAAGCGCTCAGAGGCATCGGACAAGCAGTAGTTCTAAAGGACATCGAACAGGAGAACTTGGTAGAACGTTAGCTAGGTCTACGCCACCTCCTCGGCTTAGCATCTTGGATGTCGTTGAGCCAAACGCACCGTCCTTTATTCGCATAGCTGCCCGGACAGCAAGTAGGAGACGAGATAAGGGTAGATCCAGCCCCTCAAAAAAGCAGATAGCTTTGGGGACGCGCCAAGACAACGTTGATGCCATCGGTGCTCTTAGAGATTGGAAAAGGGGTCGCATTCAACCGAAGGCTCCTTCCAATGCCCTAGATAAGCCTCGATCAAATTCACCAAAATCACTTCACCCTATCTCGAACAATTCGGTTGTTCAAGCTCTGAGAACAAGTTCGAAACCACGACAGCGCCGAGCTGTGCCCTCAAGTCATTTCTCGCAGCCTCAGCGAATGGTCAAGCAGGCAAGTATCGACAATTTCGTGACCGTTGAAGCTGCAGCACCATATTCATCAGCGTACCTCAATCCTACGGGTCCTGTACCTAAACGCTCTCAAATAGCTCGCGCAAAGTCATACGGCAACGCAACTTCGAGACCCGCACAGCTTGAAACAGCTGGCGAAAAGGCCGGACGTCATGTATTTGATGCGCGAAAAAGAGCTCTTGATGCATTATATCGGAAATCGCGCAGAGCCTTGCCAGCCCCGATAGGTATTGGGCTCGAACGACTTGTGGACAGGAGAGTGATTATTGACAATTCCAATGAACGTGCTGAGGACCTTGCATTAAATAATAATGATCCAGCAAGGTCCGAATCCACTCCAATACGGAAACGACCGAAGCCTCGAAAACGTTTCCAGCCTCGACACGTGGATATTACCGCTCCTCAATATGCGCATGCTAATGACCCCCTGCCCCGCGAGACGAGTCCTGTAAGCCACATAGTCGAGACGCATACGGCTGAGTCTACGGGAAAACTCCTAGGGCTTGGTCCATTCGGTACTCACTATACTCAACATTTTGAGATATTTCCACTAGACCTTGGGGTTTTCTTCCATGAAAGCACACTCCTTGGGAGCGGTCGGTTACTCAAGGCATCAGACGAGAAATCTCCCAATAGTTTACATCGTCCGCGGGGTCATATCACATTTACCCTCGATGAGAAAACACTACGTTGGGGTCAGTGGGACGCCCAGACTTCATCAGAATTGGGAATTATCTTTGACTGGATGGTGGATAATCTTCATTCCGACTCTTCTGACTTCAACGGGGGTGTTAATCTGATACAAGCTGCGGATTTCGTACTAGATTACCTCCAAGACTACATAAATTTCTCGGACGGTGAAAGTGAAAAGCATTTCGCTGGCCGTGCCTTAGAAATACTACGAAGCTTCGTACAGCGCTTGGACATTCTAAACCCTCAGTTTCCAGATCAGATCCGGTCTCTCATCGAAATCCTCAGTCGCAGCTTGATTGTTCTACTCCAGGTCTTGCGTATTTGTCACAACCTTAATCAAGTGTCGGAAATATTCCAGCTTGAAGAGTTATTGTCAAAAATAGCCAAAAGAACAGTCCGTCAATTGCTCCAGACAGAGTTGGTAGATATTCGAAACCTATACTATGACCTACAAAGCATACCATTCCGGGAGAGAGGTATTCGTAATGAGCACTATTCGGTGGTCTGCTGGGTTATTCTCATCCGAGTACTCGAAGAAACTCGCATCCCTAGGTCTGGATTTTGGGATGTCGTGTCTTCTGTTATACTTAGCACGAACCTAAACTCCATTAGCGATGCACACACCTTCGAGCGGATCTGGTACGATTTATTTATTCTACTCCCGTTGGGTGAATTTGATAATACTGGTGTTCTTGTGCCGGGTTCCAGGCATACGACGCCCTTGGAGGGTTGGTCCCTCCCACAAGCTTTACTCCGGCGTATCTTTCAGCTCTATGAAGGCAACCCAAGACAATCTCCGAGTTTCAACGATTATTGCCGAGGCATTGTCAGCCGCTGTCATTACCTCGTAGAACAGTGGGGATGGCGAAAATCTAATGGTATAATAGGGACTATCTTCGACTTCTTTGCTGCTCGAGGGCTCTCTCATTTGCGGAATGAGGAAGTATACAAGTCACCAGACTTCCTAGAGTGTCTGTCGGGATCACCGCCTCTTGCTACTGTACCAGAGGACAGATGCTTCCATATTTTCTTGAAACTCCTGGCTTTATCTATCAAGAACTTGGAGAGCCGGGGCTTCACCAAGGACGCTAGGAATATGGTGGCAAGAGTATTACCGAACCACAACCGGCAGTATGACAAAGAAAAAGACATACACGAAAGTGATCTAGCCGCCCTAAGAAACCACCACGATCTCCTCTGCACACTGTTTTGGGCCGCACCAGCGAGTCTGCGGCCTTCTGTACAGACTATCGAAAAACTGGTCGTACCCGCGAGCTCTCATAAAGAAGCCTGCTTGATTAGCTTACGAGCCTGGAGTCAACTATCTCGATTCGTGATATCATCAGATGAAGGCATTGACGCATACAAACCTTTTGCTGATTGGCAAAAATCAATGTTCCAGCAAGTGATGGAGCAGTACTTGTCAGCCGAATCGGATATTCAACAGCAACTTTCAAGAATGTCTAAAGACGCCTCGAAAAATATCAGTCGAGATATGATGAACGCGGTCGTAAAACTGAATAGGAAGAGCGCAATGGATGTGATCCATTTCTCAATGAAAGGCTTCCTAAGTGTCATTAAGCACTCTTCAACACTCGGTGCCGCTTCATTCATATTGAATAACTGTACGTCGAATCCTTCAGCCACCCGGATGAGCTCTGCTAATATCTCTTAGACCAACTGGACCAAGTCTTCACCCGTTTCCCATTCTCATCTCAAGACTTCGACTGGAGTAGTCTACGAGTTGCCCTGGATATTCTCGACTACTACGTCACTGGGATCGAAGAATTCTTGGTACATGGTCCAGCAACAGCCGATCACTCGTGGCATGGAGAGGATGCCATCATGGTGAGCGCTCCGCATTTTAAACGAAACTGGGTCTACATTCACTAACATTGAATTAGCTCCTCGAACGCAAAATGGCAGTGCCCTTTTTCTCGATGGCCCGTACTATTATTGGGATGGATTTTAGAGATAGCGGACTTGGTCCTACAAGTGATCGTTCTATATGTATGGAACAGGCTGTAGCGCTAGCAGGACGGGTAGCAGCACGCTTAGTTCATGCTCGGCTTTCGGTAGGTGTCCTTGAATTAGGAACGTATTAACAACTAACTTGTGTGGCAGCGAGTCTCCCAATTCTTCGTTAGTGGACGATACGGCATATTTCAAAATATGCCACGAGCCATTAGTTCGCCTTCAAGGAGATATCATGCCCTCTTTCTTGCTATGCTAATCCAGCAGGGCATAGACGATTTTAAGGTGAGATCCCCTTATGCCTTGGGTTGAATATCGCTGATCATATTCCAGGACCTGGGAGTGACGATTCTTGATTTGTTCCTGATGGAACTCGCAAAGCCTTTAAGCTTTCTGGCCTACGAAAATAGATTCGCTCTGGCAATCCAACGCCATGGGGACCCGTATCTGAAAGACGCGATCATAGAGATCGGCAATAATCCCGACTATAACTCAAACCTGGAATTATTTAGCCGTAAGTTGTTTCCCTTGTAGGCACGTTATTGCTGTTTACTGACTTTTTCAAGGCGTCGTTTCAATTATGCGTAAGACATTACGGTTTGCGGAAGCAAGCCGGAAACAGCAACTCCAGCCTCAGTTCTCCAAGGCCTTGAAGAGCACTATGGATCAGATAAAGTGTGACCTAAAGTCTATCACACTAGACTCACCTGAGCACGCAGATTATATTGAGTTCGTCCGGTCTATCATCACCGTGATTAGATCGCAAGACCTGTGTCCTGTGGACTCCTATTTTTATCAAATTAGCCGGGAATATTCTCCCTCTAGTCAAGATCCTCGTCTACAAATAGCGGGTATATTATCATGGGGTCTCAAGCTAGAAGAGGGCGACACAAAGGCGACACCCGGTCTTTTCTACCTACTCTTTCCTAACTTCAAGCTTGCCCTCGCGAATGGTAAACTTGCGGATGAAAGCGTCATCCTCCAACAAGGAATGGGGAACTCTCATGTGTTTTCTTTCATTTTGAGCACGATGTTCCCAGCAATCATAAAAACAGCGCTCTCCGTGCCCGAAGGATGGGTTATTTTAGTTACTTACGTTGACGCCTTCGAAAAGCTGCTCACAACACCTTGTATACACAGGGCAATTGTGGGGGAGGACGCGAATGGGCTTCTAGCCGTTTTGGAATCCGCGTTCGCTAGTGTTCACCAGCTCCAGAGCCTTGGTGCTTCTGAACTACGCGAAGAGCATATCTTCACTCTCAGTCAGGTCATGCGCCTTCTTAACTTGGTTTCGCCATCTTTTGCGGCGTACCTGATCAATAACCCAACTTCTCGAATAGCAATCGACATTACCGAGGCAGCCAATGCGTTTACAACATTCACTCGAGCGGCCGGTGAATACCTGTCTGCTCTTCTCAAAGGATCAGAGCAGGCAGATACTGTGTATCTGAATAGATTCTTCAGGGGTCTTCATGGACTGATGCCGAGTTCTTTCTCGCAGCCTAATGAGCACGTCAACAAATTTGCTCATCACATGGTCCGGGATATCTGTGATAACTGGGTGTCGGACGGTTCGATCATCAATATAAGAGGACCATCTAGAGTGCAGGGACTTGGGCAAGGGACCACAAACCCAAAATGGGATGCGAGGAAGCTGATCCAAACCCTTCATGAGCAGCTTCAGGAATGGAATTATACCAATGATGTGGAAACGACGAGGACTTCAAAGCGAGCTAAGTTGCTGCTTGAAGAGCATTTGTTTTAGGACGTATGGATGCATTCAGCCTGGCGTTGGGGTTATAATCGTGGATAAATGAATCATTTAAAATTCTTATCCATACCTAGGTACCTACCTATATATACGTGAAATCAATATGCAATTATGCAATTATGCAATTATGCTTAAAACCTTGGAACAGAAATGAACCTTGCAAGCTCCCTGTGCGAGTAGGTACCTAAGTACCTAGTACCGTCGGGCTGGGTCGGTGTAAAAACGCTATGGCCACCACGGCTGCAGGGCTAACTCCGGGCCGGTGCCAATGCCGGCCAACGTCGGCGAACATCGAAATTTGATCTTTTTTCTTGCAAGTTCGCAAGTTATGCATGCGCCCGCTCGTTCTGAGCGCCAATCCTCCGAATGCATAATTTACCAGTGCGTGCCTTTCGACTGGCAGCATTTGGCTTACAGAAAACACCCTTAGCGACACGTCCCGGTAGACTTTTTCACGCCTCAACCCGCGTAAGAGCTGCAGACGATAGCAGCAACAGTGCTCCCAAAGACGGCGGGGAAAACCCCGAGAATGAAACACAGACTTCAGAGGGTGACAGGGCGGAGGAGAACACACCTGGAGAGAACCTCTTCACGACAACTGATGAGAGTTATGGTCGTAAGAGAGCCGGGAACGGCTTGAGGACACGTACCACTAGGAATCGCAAGCCTGAGGAGCTCCCCCCTGTGAATCTGCCGAAGTCGTTTCTCTCTAGGGCTGTCTGCCGGTTTGAGGATATAAATGCGAGCACCAGACTGAGTAGCATAGATGAAAGGGATGCGCGTATCATTCTGGAGAATGCATTACTTGATACAAAACCAGACTTCAAGTTTGAAGAGCACATTGCTTACATACTCGAAGCTGCGGCTTGGACTGAGGAAACCTTGAGTGAAATCCTCGAGACTCTAAAATCTGGTATCGGCCTAGATGAAAATTTGATCCATAAAAAGGGCGATATCCTGGTGGCTGCCGCTTTCTGGTCTGCGCTTAGATCAGCCCGTGTGATCCACGGAGTCGAGACCGTAGATGAACTGTTCGAACAGAATTCAATTTCGAGCTCTGGGAATCTATTTACGACTCTTAATTACACGCAGCTGTTTGGGAAAAAGCGTCGAACACCACATCCGAGCCAGGCCAAGGAGATAATCCAACGTGCGGTGGACGACTACGGTCTACAAGAACATCCCGTCTCCTGGTTCTCACCCACCTTAATTAGCGAGATAACAACTTTTCTTCGCGCTGACTTATTAGTCAAAGCTCCGAAGAATGTGAAGAGTACAGAACTACGCCGCCCCATTACTCTTCTCAACTTCTCTGACTACTCGGGATATTCCATACCCCACGATGTCGTCCGTCATATTGCTCATAAGCTGGAGGCTGATGTCCTGCACTTGAGAGCCGTTGATATTGCACATATCGTGGGAGATTATCTTGGCCAAGATGCTGTTAGAGCTTCTGGAGCAGTCTCGCAATTGGGGTATAAAGCTGCGATAAATAATGGAAGGCAACCCAAGAATGGGAACGAATTAGATGCTTTCAAGCAATCCTTGACCGTCTTTTCAATTTTGTTGGACCGTGGTAGGGGTAAGAAAGATGATAGGAAATCCACAACGGACGAACTACTATACTCATCGTATCGCGGAAAGAACGAAGACTTGAAAATCAACACGGCTTTAGAGGAGCTAATCCATTCCGCCGATTCGGAATCTACTGAGCAAAGGCCGCTCATTGTTCATGTTGATGACTTTAATGCACTTAATATGGACTTGGAGTGTGGTGCCATGATCATAAGCAAGATTCGAAAAATCGTCGATGGACTTTGGGCAGAAGGTAGAAAAATTGCTCTAGTGGGCACCTCTTCGACTAGAGGTGCGCCGAGAGAATATTTGGCCGCACTAAGAGAACTTGAATCGACAGAACGAATAATACATCTTAGTACGGTTTCTTCGTCAGAAACGTATACGTCGTCGCGCATAGACTTAAGTGTAAGGCGAGTTACGTCCGACATGAAGCGCGATGCTTTAGAAAAGAAGGACTACATTAGGGAAAATGATGGCAACATTACGAAGGTATTGTCATCAATGGTCGAGCATCCTTCAGATGCTACGATAGCGACTACTGGAGAAATAGGGCTGGATGGGTTGCATAGGAATAAGTTACCAATACCATGGACAAATAGCGTATTACCGCTTAATGAGGTATATCGCATTGCTACTATGATGATTGGCCATCCTAAAACCACGAATCCCTCAGATGTGCTCAGCACCAAATCTGTAGAAAAAGTCATATCTTTCATCAACAATATCGAGGATTCGAAGGAAGAGTCTTCCAAGACTGTAACTTCTGCAGATGACCAAGAAAGCTTTAACCCATCGGCGAGCATATTCCCAGGCGCAGAATTCGACCATGTAGAAAGACTCGAGTCAGGTCTTATAAACGCGCAAAACATCCGTACAACATTTAACGATATCCACGCGTCGAAAGACACGATCGAATCAATCAAAATGCTTACCACGCTCTCCCTCATCCGCCCGGAAGCTTTCTCCTACGGCGTCCTCGCCACGGATAGGATTCCTGGATGTCTACTCTACGGCCCTCCGGGCACGGGTAAAACGCTACTAGCGCAGGCGGTGGCCAAGGAGAGCGGAGCCAACATGATCGAGATTAGCGACGCCACCATTAACAACAAGTACGTGGGTGAGAGCGAGAAGACGGTGAGGGCGCTGTTCCAACTAGCCAAGAAAAGGGAGCCGCTAGTGATCTTCATCGACGAGGCGGACGGGTTGCTAGGGAGCCGCGGAAGCGAAAGGGGGCTCGGAAGCGGGATCCCGAGAAGAGAGACGATCAACCAGTTCCTGAGGGAATGGGACGGCATGGAGAAGACAAAGGCGTTCATCATGGTGGCTACGAACAGGCCGTTCGACCTGGACGAGGCGGTGCTACGGCGCCTACCCCGGAAGCTGCTGATCGACCTCCCGACGGAGGCGGACCGGGCGGCGATCCTGAGGATCCACCTCAGAGGAGAGGAACTCGACCCGCAGACGGTGTCGATCGAAGACCTCGCGAAGAGAACGCCGCTGTACTCCGGGTCCGACCTCAAGAACGTGTGCGTGGCGGCGGCGATGGCGGCGGCCAAGGAAGAGCTGGAGCTGGAGGAGCAGCAGCTGAAGCAACAGCAGACGGAGACCGAGGAGAGTAGTACTAGCAGCAGCAGCCACGATCCCGACGGTCGGATGAAGAGGCGCGTCCTCCAGGCGCGCCACTTCGACAAGGCGCTCCGGGAGATCGCGGCTAGCGTCAGCGAGGACATGGCAACGCTGACGGCGATCCGGAGGTTCGACGAGAAGTACGGCGACGGGGGGTCGGCTAGGCACCGCAGGGGGAAGGGGATGGGGTTCCAGATCGTGCCCGAGGGCGCGGGGGTGGGGGATGGTAGGGTTAGGGGTGGTCGGTGATTATATAACTACAGGTACCTATGTAGGTGCCGACTTGCCTGAATATTACGTAGGCTGCTAGTTACGTATGGATATCAATGAGGTCACGAACTACATCGTATGCGACTCGATTTATGGCTTATATGGGTGTTTGCTACGAAGTAAGGCTGTGTATAACTGTCTATGCCCCTTTTCCCTCTTACAATCTATCATTGTGCTTCCGACTTATTCCTTTGCCTGTATCTTGGGGTTTCCCTCTACTGACGAGCACGGGGCTAGGTAGCTATGTTGTCGATGTAGCTTTGATTGTCTGGATTCTATGTAACCCATCATGCAGCCTCATCTTTCAACCCCGATCTTAATGTCCACCCTATTTTGCGCATGCCTCATAAACCGGGCGCCAACGTGGCGACGGGCAACCTATCAAAGCACAGTCCTCGAACTTCGGCTCACCGACTGACTGCACTCATCAGAAAGACACTTCCACCCTATTTATTAAGTACCTTAGGCATGACTATCTTAAAGCAGCGATAATTTTTGGACCCTCGGAGAGAAATACAGCGTCTCCCCCTAACCGTTTCCTTTACGTGTGCGCACCACACTTGCACTCAGTTACCCACGTTATTGCTTACATCAAGCCCTTGCTATCTTTTCAATCTCTTGCCGCTTCAACCAAAGCCCCCTTGCCAAGATGTCTGACTACCTCGAGTCCTTAGACTTTGACGTCCTTTCTGACCGTGACGAGTACACCATTGACTTTAGCGACTTGGACAACTGGTATCCGATTGGCGAAGACGGACGGAACTTGGCCCCCAACACTGATACACCACCAATGCCTATCGTTACTGTAGCGCCTGTGGAACCGTGAGACTTATTTTTTTTTAATGATTGCTAACAAAAAGGGTGTGCGATTTTCGGAAAGTGTGGTATCCGGGCCCCACTTTACTTCCATTGGTCCAAACTTTCAGCCAGCGCAATCTACTATCGCTAAGATTTCTATGTAAGTCACGAATACTTCATTGTCCTTGTATTTATTTAATGAACAACCTCTAGGCCATTGGACACCGAATCACGATCAGAGTATTCGCTTTCTCAGCACGGTTATGAAACCGCAGCTCTGGAAAATCATCAAACCCTAGAAGAACCGACTACCGGGTTTGATAACAGTACAAGCCCCGAAAGCCACCAGCACAGTCTAAATGCACCTGATCATCAACAAATTCAAGGACCTACTCCATTTTCTTGCCTTGTTTGTCTTGCCTCATTCCCAAGCAGAAGTCAGCTTGAAGTGCATGCAAAACAGTCCGCACATGACGCCTTCGCCTGTTCATGCGGTCAAAGTTTCCAACGTCTAGATGCCTTAGTTCGTCACCAACGTTCCTTCCGCCAAGATATACACCTGTTTCCTTGCACCTTTTGTAAACGTCATCGGGGCAAACAGGGTTTCCGCCGGCGTGACCATCTTGTTCAGCATCTCAGTGGTTACCACAAATTCAACTCAGACAAGATTGTGGAGACACTTCCCAAGCAGAGACATAGTTCTGATTTCGTCCATTGCATATACCCTGGGTGTGAGTTAAACCCAAGCGAATGGCATAGGCATGACTATTCCGAACAACCGAGAGTGTATTATTTCACGAGACGTTCCGACTATACCAAGCACTTAAGGGAGGTTCACGAGATTACGCCTTTTCCTTGTCCCATAACCGAATGCAAACGAGTGGGGAGCAAAGGATATTCGTCAAGGCATGGCCTCGTAAAGCACCTAGCTCGCGAGCATGAGGCTTCCCCTGAGTCTTTGGTGCCCGAAGAATACGTTAGGGGTCGCAAGTGCGATCACTGCGGAAAGCGGCTACTGCGGCTGGATGATTTCAACATCCATCACCAGGTTCTACACCAATCCTAGATCCATACATACGACCAAAAGACAGCAAGTTGAGCACCATGGTTAAAACAAGAGAGGTTTAGTGTTGGATTTCTATTTTTCTGGATACGTTAAATGTCATTTGTCCCCTTATGGATCGATTCGGTTCTCTGGCTTAGGGAACTGGTTTACTCTCCCTGTTTCGGTTGGTGGGTAGTATTTATGGCTGACCTTGTGGGTGCTGGATATGGAATACTTTCGTTTCAGAGGTTATCTGTTGGATTCGCTCATTATGTCACATTATCGTCCTATTAGCTGGTAACATGAGATATGATCAATTTCATTTGTTTCTTATACTAAATTATCACATGTAAGCGCAACTCAAACGCCATTAGTATATTTTGGCATATATGGTTCATGAGGCGCGCGAATAGCCCCCGGACAATCTTCCCTGCGATCGAAATACACCCCTTCACGTATGTCGCCGTCTTGGCCGCCAACAGCACCCGTAGCACAGAATCCCAAGAATTTTCTCTGTCGTTTCGACAACTTTGGGGCAACATCGGGGCGTAATGATACTATGACTGGTCAGACTATTACTGTTTGAATATGGGTGTTATAGCTCCCGTAATCGAATCTGTCCAGAATATCTGACTTGAGATAGAATCAATAGGGGATAATTTTGTTGAGATTACGTACAGGGATAGTTTTCTTGCGAACGGATGAACGAGCGCATGAAAAACATAAGGATAGCGGGACGTTCTGAATCAGGCGAGCCAGGAGTCAGAGTATTGGCACCCGTCCCGTGCCAGATCCGGCTTTCGAATATGAAAGCGGTACCCGCGGGCGCCTCCGCAGCGATCGTGCCTTCGGTGCTGAAGATATCGGCCGGAGCGACGTGGCCTAGGTGTGACCCAGGGATGACTCTTGTAGCCCCGTTGCTAGCATGCATATCGGTAAGACAGAACATGATGTTCTATAATACGAGATATCGGGTACTTAGCGTAAGTGCTTTTATATCTAGTTAGGTAGGCTATATGACTGAGGAACTAACCACACCGAAGACTAAATCCCTGATTGGGGGTTGGATGGCGACTTGATCCGTATGCATCTGCATTGGGATATTTCCCGGACGCGCGATATTGGCAGCGTACGCGTGGAGAAGAGCGTGATCTCCCTTGATTAAATTAATAGTTAATCTTCGGGTGTGATGGTATACCGAGGCGAATTCGACAATAGTGAGTCGTAAGAGATGTTATTCAGGGGTAGGTAACACAATTTACATAGATCGGAAACTCCGTCACTAGATGTCTGGGATCGGATGAGAGAAATGGACGGTGTTACTTACAATTAACCATGGTACTATTTCGTCAATCAAGGGGTGGTTGAGCAGATCTAGGAACTCGTCGCCTTTGTTAGTGAGTACCCAGAGGCGTTGGTTCGGACCGCTGCCGGCATCTGGCCCACTGTCCATCCTCGCAATGCCGGCTTTGCGCTCGCCTGCTGCTTGTTCTTCTACGGCCTTTCTGAGGACCTGTATATGTTAACCACGGGAGATAACTTGTCACGTTATATAAAAACTTTTCATCTCAATTCTAATCGAGCTGGCAAAGGTTTCTGGTGACTCACAGCTACTTGAGTCGGCGTAAGTGCATTCTTAACGAAACCGTACCCAAACTGTTTAATATCCCGTTTCACTTGGGCTATATCTTCCGTCGGGACCGGTAGTTGTTCAAGGACTCCTGGAACAGGCAACTTAGCCTCTGCTGGAGGTCCTTGCGGCGTCAGGAGGTCAGCAAACTTGATAGCAAGAGGTATAGTCTCCTTGCGCATCGCCGTGTCGTAAAGATAGGCATCCTTAAAAAGTCCGAACCTAGGCTCTAGATGGCCCTGGGCGAACTGGATGATAGAAGCAGGTTGAATGGTCACCTGACTGTCCGGTTCCGCCCCATCCTCGGGAGGAGTGTCAAGGAGTTTGGCCGGAGAACCGGGGGCTCGAGCGTCAACGAAGAGAGGTGGATTTGTGCCGAATGCTACCGAGACAAGAGCATTCAGTTGCGCGAGAACGGGCAGCTTCTCTTCGATGACGCTTCGCGCTTCAGCCGCATCAATATCGAAACGTTTAGATAGATTTCCGTACGGTTGCGAACTGAAGTCAAGCTCTGGAACCAGCGGCTTGCCTGGGAGAACACCCGCCATTACAAATTAGATAGATCGATTACCTTCCTCTTTTCCTCTTGAAATGATCTTGCGACTAATGGACTTTGAATAGCCGGCATATACATGTATACGTGTGTAGGAAAGAGACACAGAAATACAAATCGTGAAAAGAACCCGGGAAAAATGGACTGGCAGCGGGCTGAGTTCGAGCTTACTTTACATCGTATAGCTGAGGGGCAGTAGGTATCGAGGCAGAGGGTTTTAAGGTCTTATCAGATGGAAGCGAGACTTTACCTACGTAGGTAGTAGGTTGATATGGTCCGTGACAAGCCAGGGCTTGGCCTTCATCTAATCCTGCTAACTCATAGGCTCTTTTCCGCTTTAACGGATTTGGATCCTGGATTTACATAATCGCTATCGAGTCTTGGGGTTCGCTGTTACGTGTTTCCCGTATGACATTACTCATTCTAGAAATTGAAGCCATCCAAGCCCCTACCTGCTAGCTATGCCCGAACTGTGCTAGAATGTGCCTCTCTCGCATTACCCCATATATTCCCACGACATGCTAGTCTATAAAAGTCGTAATCGAAAGATCGCTGTTACGGGGATAATCATTTTGTGCTGTAGGAAGGAATCCCCACCGAAGATACCTATCTAAAGGAGACTGATATATCGAATCGTAGCCCACTTAGATTGCCGCTTTAGGAAAGCTGATTGCAGCCTATGTAACCCCAAACTATGGATATCAACTTTGATTGGTTACCATAATCCAATGCCTGGTATAATAGGTATTATTACTCTTACGTCCAAGACTTAGTTCTTTGCTGTGCCGTTTTTTCATTCCGAGTTATTACGAGATAGTTTAGACTCGTGAAATATATCTCAAAGCAGCCTTAGAGGATTGTGTTCATAATAAAGCGGGTGCAGTAACTTAGTAAATATGTTTGCCTGCCTGTTAGATAAATACCTAGTTGTGCTACTTACCTAAATACTTAGTAAGTAGGGTAAACGAGGTAGCTTATAACATCTGCACAACTTCAGGCCTGTCATCTCACATATGATTAGTCATCATGCGATACTCCTTAATGAGTAGTCGACCACTTGATAGAGCGGGTGCTTTTCGTCGTTGACACGATGGCAAGGGGCTAACAATGATACATGCAAAATAATTAGTTATTTATGATAAGATCATGTATGTTCCGTTCGGATGTCCAGTAAACCCCCTTAGTAAAATAAATGGAAGCTTGTGGCTGTTTGCTACCCAAGGAGATAGTCATTAATAACGCTTGTTTTCTTGAGATATTGATTTCTACCTGGTTTACTACTTAGCGAAATGAATGAGTGAATATTTGAATACCTATCGGAGAATCTACGATGGATCATACATTATCTAGTACTTCACCGCAAGCGAAACTCTTGGGTCTTTTCCTGAAGCATCTTTGGGCTGATGCTGTCAACAGCCTGTCCATCCATCTTTCCGTATATAAAGGCTTCGCCAATGAACTCATAGTAGTCAGGCTGTTCTCCCTTGCTGATGTCAGGTTTACGTAGGTTTATATCGGAACTTTGACCTGGAGGAGCAAACATCCAAGGCCGGATGATGCAGGGCACGCTACACCCAAATATTATACAGATCAAGTCACCCATCTCTGTCAGCGGGGGCCCAATGCCAACCAGGTTCTCGTTCGGGTTGTTTTCATCCATCGCCTCAAGAACGACTCGATTCCAGGTCACGGCTTGCACTCGCTTGATGTAGTCATACATGATCCCGGTCGAGTTCTGCTCCAGAATGTTCTTGGTAGAAATATGTCCGTTCGGAGTATCCTGCACTAGACACCGAAGAGATGCTCGGTGGTACCAACTTGGAGGCGGTTTTCCATCTGGCCCGCGATCAGCCACCAGAGTTCGCCAGACTTTGTCTGGGACTGAGAAGACTTCGTCCTCGCCGCATGACCATCCTAGTCTCTGAAGCGCACCTTGGGGGATGATGCCGTCCGGTATAGGATCCGTCTTCCATGAAACAGTGCTCAGGATGAATCCGTTGACGTAGATGGATGAATCCCTTTCTTTCAGCCTCTGGCGCTCTTCGGCAGGAGTCCTAGGTCGGCCATTGATTCGCAAGCTAGGCCGCCTTGACGTAGATGTTGCACTACTTAAACCATCTGAGAAATGGGATTCGGTAGGTGAGAGGCCGTTTGGTGATTCAAGTTTACCATTTGGTGACAGATTGCCGTTCCAATGTGTTACTTTCGTCACGACCTGACTTGGTACGGTAGTGATGCCATTAGTTACGGGGGAGTCTGGCGATCTCATCGGCTCTTGCATCTCCATTCCAAAACGGACTTCTGGTGGCTTATTCCGGGACGCATTGTAGATTTTAGCATTGGGTAATCCCACAAAGTTATCACCGTTCTTTCGACCATTCAATCCCTCTCCCTGCTTGCCAAAAGGTGACTCGGGGACGGTTTTGATCCACGATGGAAGTTCCACCAGTGTCTCGTACATGATCGCCGGTTCCTTTCTCTCGGGTAAAGCCCATTGACGACATAGAATGTCAAGTGACTTGCTACTATCAACTACGTAGCGGACAAAGTCAGTGTATACCATCAGGAGATCGTGCGTGTATTCAGGGGTCGGTGGTTGAACAGCTGTCGGGCTCAAAGGAACCTTGACACCAAACTTAGTGGTTGTGTCTCTAGCAATGTTGAGAAAGGAATATATAGTATCGCGCGGGTCGGTTGTTTCAAATGTCGACAATGTCGACACCAAAGTCTCGAGGGTCTTTATAGGTTCAAAAAGGCTCTGGTCGGCAGCCCTGAGGAATGTGTTGCTCAGTTCGTCTACCAGTATCTTCGCTCCAAGTGGCCCTAGCTCTGTAATCGCATTATAGTCCTTAGACTTATCAGCAAAAAGCTTTCGAATCTCCTGGAAATTCAAATCGAAGAGACTAATGGCATCGGAGAAGTCTCTCCAATCCACTTCCTTCGCACCACAGCGAACTGTGGCTTCCTTTGCCAGAGCTAATTCTTGTATGATCCACCTCCGAGAGAACCAGCTGCATCTCATCAAGAATATAAGATCACGCCAGTATTCAGCTAGATCAGGTTGGATCAAAGACTCTATGTCGTCTGTGACGACCTTCGGAATGAAATCCATTGCTCTATCGGTTTTGCCATGCCGATCGGCCAGGCCTAACCATACGCACACTCTCGTTGCGCAGGAATAAATGGTCGCCATGTTCGGCACTTGAGCTCCTTTCTCGACTTCGTTGCCCTGGTCCATACACAGCCCATCAGCCCATAAGAGGATTACATGATTCTTATCGCGTAGATATCGCAAGGCTTCGTATAAGTTATCCTTGACGTAGAGGTGTAAGGAGACCATAGCCGCGACGTCGCTCATGTGAGTCATATCTCCCATCGCATTGTGCGCAGAATGGACGTAGATAGGATTGTCTGCTTGACTTTCGCCCCAGTGGTATGAAAGAGCTTCATAGGGGTAATCCTTCAACTTGTCGATAGGGATCGTGACGAGTTCTGTAAACAGGTCTCCTTCAGGATCTTGGCTGGGCTGCAGGGCCATAAGGCGGACTTGGTTGCTTTCAATGTGATCATATCGGTATAGGAACTTTTTAGCCTTCCATACGGTATGGCGAAGCCTGTCTCGGGTATTTCTCTTGTCTCGACGCGGTGACGGGGCTCTATAGCGCAACGTTCTTCTTCTTTCTCCCGTTGGGCCAGTGCGATCAGGCAATCTGGCGCTATGGAGGATGGAATAAGCAGCGTTGTTGGAAGCCATGTTGTATTTCACAATTGGTGAATATTGATAATTGGTACAATTTCCCCCGACTTTTCTCACGAAAGGCTTCCGAAGGAATCTTGTATGGTATTCTGAGGAGGACGGGCTTCGAAAGCGCTAGCCTTCTTGGGATTGCGAGATTTTGTGAGGATTCGCAGTTCAGAGCTGAAAGGGCGGTATTTCGGAACGGTCAGCTGTAAGATGCGTTAGACCCCGTCTAGTCATAGATGCCCGGGAAATCTGCTTATTTAAGTAGCTGCAAACGCTTCAACGGAAGAGAGAATGTGAGCTGTTGTATTATATTACGACTCCGTGTGAGAGCTTCGCCAGCTAATTTTCCAGTCCTGAATTGTGGCGGCTTATCTTGCTGATGACCTCCTTTTTAGAGCAGTTGCAGAGTCGGGAGGCGCTTCAATTTCGAGTCCAATTGGCTACCCATGTGGGTTCTATTGCGTCTAGTGGACAGCCTGCATATCATCCTTGTAAACACGACCAGCACAGAAGGCTGTAGTTATAGTAGGATAGAGCCTCGTTGGCATATGTGACATCATGGTAATGCTTGCTGATCGTTCACACCGAAACTGAGACGTTCATGTGCTCGCCTCATGCTAGGCTTGACTTCCTATTGGCCCACTAATAGTTACTAATCGTTATTATTAATGGATTGGAAAGTCTAGAAAAGTGTCGTAGTAAGGCTATGGCTCCAGTAATGTTGGTATTCTGAATTGATAAGGTTAATACCCGATGAAAGAATGTTTACCTGCCCAGGCAGCTAAGTGACGAGAAAAGAACGTAGTCACCCTGGAAATATGCATAAACTAATAATATGTCAGTAAGTTCATGGGATTGCACTGAGGTTCTAATGTTTCACCTCACCAGTCTTTAACTCCCAAGGTTCGCATGCTCTATATCTAGGACAATGGATGTTGTCCTTCTGGCACAAGGGTCCAAGGAGAGAATCCAGGTGCATCCTCTTCTTTTATGATATCTGTACCAATTTCAACTCGCAAGACAATGCTGGACTCCATCCCTGATCGACGCTTATGAAAGTCTGGAAAATACGGGATGGTGGCGCTTGATGCTTTCCACACATCAGTTAAATCATTTGATCGGGTCTCTCCTGTTCGGATTTCGCTGCTGACTTGTACACCCTGGAGAACCCTAAGGGCCTTGGTCTGTCCGGACTTAAGAGCCCAGTCGATCGGGCTTTCTCCCATGTCGTCTACTGCTTTCACATCTGCTGAAAAGCTCAACAGTAGCTGAACGAGTCCGATGTCGTCTAATGTAGCCGCTATGTGTGTTGAAATAAACGTAGGTTATGAGTATCATTGATGTAAATTAAAAGGTTAAGTTACTAAAGATAAATACAAGTAATTAAATAATACATTATATACTTGTGGATACAGGGCGTAGATTCCTAACTACTTAATATTTTAACATTCCTATTTATCTTATATTTCGGGGTAGTTAATATTTAATTAATTTTTAATTTTTTTTATTTATATAATTTTTTATTTCGAAATGTTTTTATTACTTTTTAACGCTTGCGTTTATAAAGGATACGAGGTTTAAAGTTTTTATTATTTCCTAATATTTATAATTATAAAGAAAAAAAAGTTTAAAACTTCCATTAATTGTTGGTTGTATTTTATAGGGATTAAAGCCGGGCTTATAAAAAATATTTTTCTTTTACTTTTTTTTAATATTCTTATTTATTTTATACGTTAAAACTTAATATATTTTTAAATCGTATAAAAACGTTTTTAAGAAATAGTTTAATAAGTTTATTCGTTATTTATTTAACGGTTTTAACGTATTTAAATTTAATTTTATTATTAACTTGTTTTTTTTAAAAGAAATAAACGTTTATTTTAATATGTTTAATACGTTTATAAAAATAAAGGTTCTTTATAAATATTAAAGTTTTTTAATTATTTCTTTAAATTATTATAATTAATAAATTATTTTTATTAACGTTAAATTTGTTTAATAATTTTTAAAGTTATATAATTTTTTTAATGGCGTTTGTTATGTTTTTAAATTCCGATTTATAAATGAATATAAAAACCACGGGTTATTATTTAAAAAATTAATTTAACGCACCATTACTTATATTAAAAATATATTTTAATATTAACTTTTAAATTTAAGTGTATCCGGCGTAGTTGGCGTTAATTTACCCTGTAAGGTTTTTTAATTTATTTTTATAAGTTAATTTAAAGTTGAGCGTTTTTTTTAAATATTTAAATATTTTTCGAATAACGGTTAAATGGGTTATAATAAGGTTTTTTATGTAACGATTTAAATATAAAACAACGTAAATAATATTTAATTTAATTTTTATTATAACGTATATTAAGTATTTTATAATTTTGAAATATTATTTAACGTTTATTATTAAAGTTTTATAATCTTTAAAAAGTTTAAATATTTTATTAATTTTTATAAACGTTACGTTAAAATTAATATTTTATTAATTTAATTCTTTAATAATTTATTTTAAGTAAGCTTTTTAATTTAATATAATAATTTTATTAACTTTATTTCGTTTAACGAATATATTTAAATAATAAATATAAAACTTTAAGTTTATTATTTTAAAATATTTAATTAACTTTTATTTAATATCGGTAATTTTTTCCTTAATAAATCCAGCGATAAAGAAATTATTAACGTAAATAATAATATAAATATAACTTTTAATAAATATTTTAATGTTTAAGTTTAAAAATTCGAAGCTTAAGTTTTTTAAATAAGTAATTAAAGTTTAATATTATATTTTAAATGATTATTTTAAGTTATATAATATTTTATTAAATTTATAAAATTTTTTAATTTTATTTTTAAAGTTTAAAAATTATTTAATATAAATATTTTCGTTTATATTTTTATAAAAAAAAACGGTAATAATATTTATTTATTTAATTTTAAAATTTAATATTATAATTATAATAAATATAACTTTATAACTTATAAGTTTTATTATTAAAATAAATATATTAATATAATTTAAGTTTTTTATTTATTCGAAACTTTTTATTATTTATTTAACCTTATAATAAATAATTTTTTTATAAAACCCACGTTTAATTTTATAAACTTATTTATTAAATAATAATTTCTTTCTTTTTAAAAGTTCGTATATTACCTAAGTATAATTATTTATTAATAACTTATATTTTAAATTTATAACTTTTTTCCATTTAAACCGCTAAAACTCACTTATTATTTACTTATAAAATTTAAACTTTATTACTTAAATTATTTAATATATTACTTTTAAAGTTATAATAAACACCGGATTAACCTTTAATTAATATTTATTAAATTAAATATATTAAATATAAAAGTAAAAATTATAAATTAAAAAGTTTATTAATAAAATGTTTAAGCGTAAATTATTTTAAAAAAGTTTTAAAAGTTTAAGTAATTTATTATTAATGGATTAAAATTTTAAGTTAAATTACCGTAACATATTTTACTTAAGTGGTTTATAAAATAAGTTTAAAATAACTTTCGTAATTTTTTATTATATTATTATCGGTTAAAACGTAAAAAATTCCGGCCTTTAACGTTTTCTTAACGTTATAAAATCGCTTATAAAAATATATAAATAATTTTCCTTAAATATAACATTATTAATGTTAATTACCGTATTATTATTTAAGTATAATATTTAATAATTTATATTGTTTCCGTCGTACCTTAACATTTTATAATTTACTATTTATTTTTTTAATATATTAATTTTTTTATTTAAAAAATAATAACCGTTTAAGTTTATTATAATTATATGGGTTAAATTTAATAATTCATTATATTATACCTTATATAATATTTTATTTAACGTGCGGTTAAAAGATTAATTTATTATATAAATAATTATTTCTATAATAATAAATTAATATTTATTAAATATTTCGTTATTTTAAACTTAAATAAATATTATTTTAATTTTATTTTTTAATTTACCGATTATATTTTTTAATATATCGTTTTATTAATATTAATTAATAATAAAATAATAAATAATTATACCCTTTTAACGGTAATATTATTAAAACTTATAATTAACGTGGCTTTTTAATTTATTTAAAGTAATTAAGTAGCAACGTTTTTTAAGTTTTTCCTATTCGTTTAAGAAATTTTTAAACATTAAAAATTAATTTTTTAATTATTATAAAAGTAATACTTAATTTATATTAAAATAATTATAAATAATAATAAATTAATTATTATATTTTCCGTAACTTTTTATATTTATAAATATTTTAATTTTATTTAAATATAAAGATTTTAACTTATAAATGTTTTTACGTAATTTACTTTTATAAGGTTTTTTATTTATTTTATTTTATATGCAAGTTTCGTAAAAATAATGTTTAATATAATAAGTAATATTTATTAATATTATTATTAATTTTTTTAAATTTTAAATTTTTAAATATTTTATATATTTATATTAAACCTTTAATAAAAGATTAAATATTAAATAAAAATAAAATATTAAATTAAAACTTATTATATTAAAACTATTATCCTTTTAATTCATTATATATAAACCGTTCTTTATAAAAGCCGTTAAAAACATATTATCTTTTATTATTTCGTACGTTAAGTTTTTTTTAAACAAGAATTCCGTACTTTTTAAAATAAATTAAAATATTAAAAAAAAGTTACACGTTAAATCAAAGTAATAAATAACATTATTAACCTTAATTTCTTCGGTTTAACTTTTTATAATGATTCGGAATATAATAATTTTTTATAATTTAATTTTTAAAATTTTCCTTTTAATTCCCGTTATAAAAACCTCGTTAAAAATTTCTAACTTTAAAAATAACTTTTTATTATAATAAACTATTTAATTATAACCGTTATTAAATATTATAACTTTTTTTAATTTAATAATTAATTTATTAATTTTATTTTTAAATAATGTTATTAATTTAAAAACTTTTAAAATAATCGTTAATATTAAATATTTTAAAATATTATTAAAGGTGAATTATATAATTAAGTTAATTAATTTTAAAATTACGTTATTTATTAATAAATTTAATATTATATTTCTAATATAATCTTTCCTTAAAAAAAAACCGTTAAATAGTTTTCCTTTAAATATTTTAAAAAATATATTAAACTTTAAAAGTATATTTAAAATATTTTTAATATCCTTAAAAACCATAAAAGTAATTACTTTAATAATTAATTTAATATAAGGATTTATAATAAAAATAATTATTATTATTAATATATTTTCGGTTTTTTAACATTTTTTAAATTATTATTTTTTAAATGTTTTATTAAAATATTAATAAAAGCATTTATTCGATTTATAAAAAGTTATTTTACGTTTAACTTCCGTATAATAAATGCAAGTTATTTTATTTTTTCGTTTTTTATTATTAAAAATAATAAATATAACCTTGCCGCCGGTATTTTAACTTTTGATTTTTAAGTTTTATTTTTCGTGTTAAACGGATTTAATAACATCGTTTATAATAATTATAACTTTAAAAATCGTTCCGTCGGGGTTTCGTTTAAAAATAATATTATAATTTTAAAAAAAAAAAATTAAAAAAGTATTATATTTAAAGTTAAAAAAAAAAAAAAATTTATTAATTAAATAAGGTTTGAAAATTACACAAGTTTTATTAAATTTTTTAAAGTTTTTTTACAACCGGCATAACTTCGTAAAAAGGACCGTAACGGTTTTTTCCGTGGCAAGTATAATAATTTTTTATTTAAACGTTAAGTTTTAAAATATAACGTTTTTTCGAGGTTTATATTCTTTTTTTAAAATACGTTAAACCTTATTAATAATTTCGTAATTTTTAACGGTTTTCCTAGGATTTTCACTTAATTTATAACGGATGTACTTTATATATTTCTTGTTTTTTTTATTTTAAACCTTTTATTCCTTTTTAAATTCCGCCGGCATTAATTTTTTAAATTTAATTTAATTTATTTCCGATTTTATTTTTTTTTTTCCGTTCGGGAAAAACCTTTTATAATTTTAAATTTTTAAGTAATCGGGGAATTCCTTATTAAATTAAATTCATTTATTCGATAAATATAACGTGGTTAAATTATTTAAAATAAATCCGTTAAGTTTTATTTCGTTTAATATTATTTAAAAAATTTAAATAAAACTTAAATATTCGGGAAAATTTTATAATAAAATACGCATTAAATTTAACTTTAACGGTGCCGGTTATAATGGATTTTAATAATTAATTAACGGTAAAAATAATATTTTCGTTCGATTTAAAAATGTTTTTACTTAAAAAGGATTTTTCGTTAAACTTTAAGAAGTTTTTAAAAGTAATAATTTTAAAGTTAAAATAATTAACTTTTAAATCCTTAAATAATAATAATAATAATATATTAATTAATGAAAATAATTCGGGTTTAAAAGTTAATAAAATAAATAAATAATTAAAATTTAATAAACATTTTTTTAAAAAGGAATTTAAATAAATTTTTTTTAACTTTTCGATTTAATAAATAAAATAAAAAAAATTCTTTTCATTAAAATATTTATTAAAAAATAATTTCCGAAATAATTATTTTTAAAAGTTATATTTTAAATTTTTCATTATTTTTAATATTAAAATTATTTTATTTACTTTTTTATAATTATTTAAATAATAATAATAAATATTAATAATTTCGTTAATTAATAAATTTAAAACTTATTAAAAGGTTTTTAAAAATACCGTAATAAATGTTTTTAATAATATTTAAAACGTATTAATATTATTAATATTTTAATAATTATTTTATTATATAAATGGTTTTTACGTAAGGTAATTTCCGTAATTCCGTTAAAACTTATTACTTAAAAATTAAAATTCGTTTACCTTATGTAATAAGCTTCCTTACCGTTAAATTTTTTAAATAAAAATTATAATTTAACATTTTTATAATATATTATATTAAAATAAAACTATTACAAGTTTTCTTTATATATTATATAAGTTATAAAAAAGTATTTAATGTTTTATATTTCCTTAAATTTTTTACGTAATAAAAGTTATAACAATTATTTTTTAAAAAATTATATTTTTTATACCTTTAATTAATTCGGGATTTTATTACAAAAATAACAAATTTAATTAATAATTATAAACTTCCAAACTTATAACTTATTAAAATAAACGCAAATTATAAATATTATTAATATAAATTAAAAAATTAAATTATTAAAGATAAATACAAGTAGTTAAATAATACATTATATACCTATAAATACAAGGCGTAAACTCCCAGCCACCTAATATTCCAGCAGTATGTAAGGGAGCGACTTTTAAGAAATCGGCCTTATTAACATCGGCGCCGGCCTCTAAAAGTAGCTTCACGACTGGTGTATGGAGACGATATACTGCCCCATGAAGAGCAGTGCCACCATATCGACTTCCTGGGAGGTTCAGATCAATGTTAAGCTCGATGAGCTTTTGAACAATACCGGTAAGCCCAAAGGTGGATGCGTAGTAGAGACTCGTCGCGTGCCGCGGATAGAAATCCCAGGAGAACGGGTTGTCAGCATTGATAATTTGAACCCAGGACATAAAAAGTTTATGATTCTCCTCTTGAAATAGTCGCATCACAGCGGAATTTAGATCATCGCTTGGTATCGCTGCTCTGTAATAATAAGGCCAAGAGATGGCCGCATGTCTGAGGAGAGGATACTTTCTGACTCTTTCAAGATAGTCTTCCGAGGTGGTCGAAGGCCCTACCTTGAAATCATTGAAGGAGATATAGGCCATACAACATCGAAATAACAATACATAAGACTTTTCGATAGATAGAGAGAAGCCGTTTGTAGCCTGGGGTGAAAGTAAATAATCCTTAACAGACATATGGGCGAGAGTTATATGGCCTTCATTCGTGACATTGACCAAGCCACCAACCAGATCTAGTATGTCGTGTGGACTGCGTAGTAGAGACTCTTCATCAAGGTGGCTCATTTGCGGATCTATCGCGATTGCGGTGTGTATTTCTTCCAAGGTTAATGGAGTGACAGCAAATGCAACCCAAAGGAGAATTCTTCGTGCCGATTCCTGGTCTGCCTTAGGGACACGAGCTAAAATCCGATCGTATGTTTCATGAAGGTCTTGGGGAAGCTGAGTCAAACTGTTACGTATAGCCTTGATTGTGCGAAGCTTGCTAAAGGCCTCTAGTTGACATTGGACCCAGCGAAACCTTCTCCCGTTAATATGTGACACAATTAAGCATAGGAATACTTACATTCCCGCGGCCTGTGTCTGCATAGATTTAGAGACCTGACCCTTGATGTGGTCGTTAAGCCATTGTAGGTTGGGATCCACCCGCAATCTATAATCAATGTACTTTGCAATATCTTCATCTACTTTCAAAACATAATCCTCAATACGTATATTGCGGAATTTCTGTAAAGATTGTCGTATATCCTGGGTCTCGCGGCTTGTCACAAGAAATCTAACGTTATTCATCGTGTCAAAAACTTTTCGTAAGAAGCACAACGACTCTGTTTGCTCTTCGATCTCGTCCAAGGCGTCGATAACCACAATGAGGTGAGCTCTCGAAGAAAGAAGCTGTAAAGTCTCGAGGAGAAAGGCGACATGTGGTTTTCGATAGAATCCCGCAACCGTACTTAAACAGTATTCTTCTTCTACTAAGCTAGGAATTTCCCCAGATTTTAGGAGAATCTGGCGGATTACACTTCCAAGAAGGTTGGATAGATCTTGACTTTTGCTGTTGCGGAAGTCACAATAGAAATAGGCTATTGTTGGTCGTTTTTCTTCTTGCTGAGCCCATTGGCTTAGGTCTCTGATGATATTAGATCTGTAAAGCAGTAGATGTTAACCACAGTCAAGAGTCAATTAAGCCATTGCCGTCAGATTAGCCTACATTAACACCGTTTTGCCTGATCCTGCTACGCAGAGTGTTAGTTTACCAAAAGGATGATATACAAATCTGTGGGAACTTACGGAATCCGCTAAGCCATAGATTTGGCCCACCATGATCTCTCCAATCTTGGAACACCGTGGAGTCTAGGAACCACTGGCCTGTGCCATCATGGCAGCGATCCATCGCAGGTGCATATAGCTCCCAGGGGTCAACCGGAGACAACCATCTTAGGATTTTCTCCTGTCTCTCGTCTGCCTACATTAGAATCACATATCATAGTAGAGCAATTGCCTTACTGATATGGCGAGCTGACACTTCAGTTGTAAGATCTGCTAAAGTGCGACCGATATTGAATACATCGTTTTCCATTGATGATGACAGCTTCCTAAGCTCTAAAAGTAAAGTTCTACACAAAAGGTGAATATGTAGGTACATAATTAGGATCAAGGGTCGTTGATTCACTCACACTTCATCTGCTGATATAGCTAGATTCAAGGTTGATTTTGATCGCGCTAGTCGGTCGATGATTTGCTTTATTTCCTTCTCGGATATATCCCACGATATGGCCCGCATGGCGGCATGGAGTTTTGTCTTGGGCTGGTCCGTGTATTTTTCCAACAATATGCTTTCTAGCGCGCGTAGATCTTCCAAACACAATACCAGTGGGCCTCTGTTTTGTTGACTTTGGGAGAGTATTCTCAAGGATCCGTATTCGTCGGGGTATTCCTTGGAGTCTTGATTATCGACCGCCATTTGGAAAATGGTCTCCAAAACCCCCCTGAGCTCCCTAACCTCATCCTGAACTCTAGAGAGACACCAGGGTTTACATTTTAAGATGGCATGCGTATTGTAGCAAATGTGTAGAATTGAGCTGCATACTTGGAGCAGTGCTATCGAAGAAGCTGTGATGCTTAGTGGATCCATAAGGAGCTTGGATTGATTAAACCTATTTCACTATGGGAAGGTTATAGTGTTAGGTTTGTAATGCGAGCAGGAACTGATAGGAGGGCATGATAGGTACCTACCTATTTAAACCCCTCACAGCTAGCTCTATCCCATAGCCCAAGTGTAAGATTGCGTGGCGGTGATTTTACACCTTCTCAAGATTGACTTCTCATACGCCAATCTATTTGAAAAGAGGGGCTTACATGAAATCGGGATAGTTTCGGATGTAGGACGGCTATGCAAGAGGTCATTAGGGGATAGCACTTGGAAATGCATTTATAGACGCCTCCAAGGCGTTTTAATATTGTTTTAATATTGAAATCCTGTCCTAAAACTTTCGATCTCAAGACGAAAAAAGGATGCGATGCATGTCTAAACTCAGGTAGGTAAGTGTCATACGGCAGGTATCATCGCCACTCGTCTTTTGAGTGGTACATGAATAATATGCCTACACTAATTCGCAGATCGAGCTAAGGTACTGCCGTGTCAGCCTTATACCAAGAAGCACTGCCCTGCTCAGTAGAATGACAGGAGGGGAAAGGTGGCTTCGAATTCTTCTAGTAGGACTTCCAAAGGTTTTCTGGAGGTAAGCTTCTAATTTATTATAATTCCTCATATGTAGGGGGAATTCACCCTATGGATTATCGCCCGTTTCGCATGGGCTCTCACCTAAAATAGGTAAGCAATAGTTGAGTAGGTAGGTAGGTACTGCATCCATAATGGATGGATTACCTACAAGCTAGGACTTAGGCCTATCCATGAGTAACCCTTCACTAAAATTTAGTGGGTAACCGCCACAGCTTAAGGGGCTCAGCCACTGATGAAAACTTACAGTACGAGACTTTTCAATCCACATGGTCTAGTCCACGAGTAAACGTGCGAAAGTTTTGGTTGAGGTCTTTCGTAGATAGGAATCCCAAATGGACGGGTATGAATAGGTACCTAGGTATTTATCATAGCTATCTACCTAGTATACTAAGCTCATCAATTTCTCCCCGAGTTTATCCCCTTGACCACAGGATGCTCACATCAGAATAGTTTAGTTCTAGAGCACGGTGGAAACTAACGGCTTATTCACGTTCTTCACGTAGTTTGGTTGGAAGTCCAAGGTTAATAGGCTCATAATTCGGATACAAGGTGGGATAAACTCACCGGCATTCTTGTGCCCCTCGGCAAGGCGACCCTATCTAATAAGATGCAGAATTGAAGGACCATTGTAACGGTAGATCCGGGTCCGATAACCGAAATTGGACTTCCTCCGGGATAGAGCCCGGTTCAATCACGGCATGAGTCCTAGAGGTCGTATTTACTAACTCCTCAGAGAGATCGAGAACCCAGCGAACCTCCACGTATAACAGCTTGCTAAGACTATGACTCTACATTCATAACTATAAATATAAGAGGTTCGTTTCTCTTTCCATTAACAATTTTCCATTGACGGATAAATACTCGCACATAATAATGCCAGGAATAAGTATTTCTAGCTTTCTTGTCAATACCCAAGTCATCATCATGGCTACCAGGTTGTTCTTTTTCGCAGTCCTCCTAGAAGTAGCTGCCGCAACACCAACTGATTTAATAAGACGGCAAACTGCTTGCCAAGAAGTACACTTTTTCATAGCCCGCGGCTCAACCGAACCTTATCCAGGTCGTCAAGAGGATCTTGTTAACGCAGTTTGCGAAGGCCTACCCAGTTGTGGGTATGAAGCCATCATATATCCTGCAGCGTTCGAGGATTACTGTGGCTCAGCATACGGGGGCGTCGTAAATGGCACCGCTCAGATTACAGCATACGCCGAGAGTTGCCCTGACGCGAAGTTGGTCTTGACGGGCTATTCTCAGGGTGGGCACGTCGTAGGTGATATACTTGGAGGCGGTGGAGGTGAAATCCCGAATCAGGGTTGCACGCAACCGGAAAACACACCATTGTCACCTGAGACTTTTCCTGGCAATAAAAGTACGACACCTCAAACCTACCTAGACAATATTTATTTTAGCGAAGTGTACTAATCGGACCTTTGTAGTTGTCGCAACTACCTTGTTTGGGGATGTGCGCCACACGGCATCCCAGACCTACAACGTGGGGACCGGAGCAGCAGGTAATGGAGTAGGTAGTCCACGAGGATATTCATTGAACACTGGAGCTAACACGTTTTACAGATCCTGCCAAGATCGGGAACTGAGCTCGAATCTCTTAATAGGTTCTCGGAGTTATTGCACTCGTGGTGTTTCGTTGATGACCCAGTTTGTGCCGGAGGCTCAGATGTCAACGCGCACCTCGAGTATTTCGATGCGTCTATGAGCGAAGCGGCCGCATGGGTGAAGACTAAGATTTGAATAAATGATAGTCATTTAATAGATCCTTACATATATACATCCTATTGAGTTTAGGCTTTCTGGATATATATCTCCGAAAAGGAAGTTCTCAATAGACCCAGATATGATTTGAAATGTTCATAACGTCAATATTCAACAACGCGGCTTCTCCCAATAACACATAAATACTGAATTTCTCAGTAGTAACCGCACTTGTTGAACTTCATCCACATCTGTGTAATCTCACAGCTGTGAGGGTCTTCTAGACAAGGTGCGTGAAGAGTCGGGTCCGTATCTCGCAAGATGATCTGGACGCTGCAATGATGAGTATGCAGCGGATCGAGAATATCATCGTCCAAGGGCTTTCCATGATGAAAACCCATGTCGAATTTGCGCCAGCTGTAAGAGCAATGATACATATGCCATGACCACGGACCCCAAGCTCCATTATAACCACCTGTTGCCCAGACTTCTCTCGGCAACTCTTCCTCCGGCCGTGTAGCATTGTTAGGATAAAAGTGCCAGTCTGTGATATTCAGGAAGTGGTTTATCAGCTCGGCGTTGTAACACTCGGGCCGCTGCCATGCCCATGACATTGGATCGAAAATGCAGCCGAGAGACTGAGCTTCGCCGGGAGAGTGGCCACAGGAACCGAACTCTTCTCCTGTTGGCTTTGATGTTTTCGGGTGAGTTGGAGGGAGTCCTTCCGGCAAAGTAACTCTATATGATGGAGGGTTTGACGCTGAGATCGCCTGGAGGCTCGCGACTTTTTCTTCCATCTGGCTGATGACAGAGTCTAATCGAGCCGAATTGGATGAGCACACGGCAACGAGCGCCATGCCGAGGAAGAAACATAATATTGTAGGTACATATAAGAAAGGCGAGCGCCAGGCTAGCTGTCTTCTCGAGTGGCCGAGGAGTTTTTCATGATCTGGTGGCGCTGTGTCGGACTCGGTCGGGAGACTTTCATATTGTTCTTTGTGTTGAGTTTGTAACATATTTTGAATCCTCTCAGGTATTGCCTTTGGCTTCTTGCTACAGCTAGCCATATAAAATCAGACCAGCTTCTGCCTTTTTGAGCTCTAAGAATGTTTCTTGGATCAAGAGCGTAATGTGAAGAGAAAAGGGGATGATCGTGTATGCCCAACGTAGTGAGTGCGATAAGCGCCAACAGAACTAGCGCGAAGGTGCATATGGTCTATCAAGCACATGAATAACAGTTAGGCACACTTGAGGATGACCTTTAACCCTATTATTCTCGGTATTCATGGAGAAGGGGGGGAGAATCCTTCATGGTGCCTCTTATGACCGGGTTGAAAATTTCGCCGACGTTCGACATGCAACTATAGCTTTGGTACGGCGTATGGATGTTATCACCTAGTACACGCATGTATGAAAGTGGGATATCATGTGATAAGTCTGACTAGGTATGTAGGTCTAGCTTACACCAGCAAAGTTGATCATTTGGTGAGTACCTTAGGGAGGTGCCCAGACAGACATACACCGCTTATGCCTGGAACTTTTTGGCACTTGAAACTCCTATACCAATGTGTTTATCCGTCACGTAACCGAAGCTTGTATGCCTTGGCGTAGCTACTCAAAGTACCGAGAGTAAACTTATTTGGGTACCTGGACCTAGACACGTGCGTATACTATGCAGGCAGTTGTGAGGCACAGTATTAAATGCTCAGCCCGAACCCCAGCACAGCATGAACATTAAGGTAGAAGATACTTGATTCTATCTAACGAGTGAATTAAACGTTCATTGGTCTCTCTGCTATGGCGTTTTATGACGCCTTACAGATGACCCCATGTATATTCAGTATAAATCTCCAACCTGCTGTTGTCAACTCCCTAATCAAGTAACCCTTTAGCCCAGACCGAGGTCCATGCATTTACCTGGGTATATTGGTATTCACCTGCAGCTTACAGCTATGCTTATACGACACTGCTTACCTTCGTATCGGTATGCTTGATCAACCTACTAGCATCGTGCGATTGACTGCATAGCAGTGTTGATCCCCTTCCTATACAAGTTCTCCAGCAACCCCGTTAGCCAGTCGGGATTCAGTTGCTAGTCAGATCTATTGCTTATAGATTTATATGTAGCATCACTCCTATTGGCACGTTTTCCGAACTATTACTAATCCTAGAGACGTCAACGAAGTTCGTTATACACAATATCAATAGTTGACTGATGTACCTGGTTGAGATGGATTGTATCATGTAAGAATTCGTGTAATGTAGTTGAGCTGAAGTTAATTATGTGTTCACAACCGGAGCTTTATGTCCGGAGTCATTGAAATGAAGGCATTGTATGGTCGTTTGGTTAATCTGTTACTCCATGAAAACTACCTAGGTGATGATAAGTTTTCGACTGTCAATACTACGACTCGGAAGGACCATGATTAGACCCGCACATTTTAAATGACTTGCAGATTGTTACCAGGGCTGGATTCTCCTTAAGTAGGTACGTATTCCTTAGCCAATTATCTCCAACCAGTCCTTTATTGCGGTGGCCCTGGGAGATAGACTGTATTCTCATCGGGTTCGGGATCCTCATCAGGCAGAGCATTCTTATCAGCCCACTTCACAATCTTGTCGAGCTTGCGGCACTTATGCTCTGTGCTAAAGTCTGGATATATGCCCCAGGGCTTAACCCAGTTGTAAGTAATGATACCTACATCAGCCTGGCAGAGAAGAGTCTCGCGCAACATCTCAATGCAGTGATCGATATGAGCGCGGATAATGTGCTCAGGATCAGTAAAGCTGTTTGGTCTGTTCTCCGGCTTGAAGTAGTACTCTTTATATGTGTACTGGCGGATGATATTCTGTTGCTTTAATTAGTTTTTAGCGGGTGCTTATGGCGCGAGGTCGACATACCAGACAGTGCATGTGGTGGAACACTTCAATGCCGACATCATATTTACCCCCTTGAGACTCTGGATACTTAACGGCTATCCGCGATTTTCCGATCTTGTCGATAACATCGCCGCTCACCCCGGAATTGTTCACTAGTCATGTAAGTTTTGCCGGATTTGGATTTAGGTCGTAGGCCGGCAAAGGGGGCTTACTGTGTGTAAGAACTGTCCAAGCTTCGTCAAGTGCCTTGTTTGGCGTGCCCTTGTAAATACTTTGGTGTTCGAGAGCGCCTCGGAACCTACGGGTCTCGTATTCTATAACTCCGGCATCTTTTTCCAGAAGCGGAGCTGCTACTGTTAGTCTCGTATACTCTCCCGGATCTGTTCACATACTTACAGTAGTGTGAAGTCTTAGCAGCGCACTCAACTTCCGAACACCCACTCCTTTCGTGACGGGAAAGCGAGAGCACAATGATGATGCTAATTAAGAGAACGGTGTTGACAGCTGCAAGAACTTTGCCTCCTGCTCTTGCCCAAGAAGCAAAGCGAGAAGGTCGCTGCTTGAAATGTCGTGACAGCATAGCCCTGTCTTCGCCTTGACTTTCAAGGCCATCGGAACTTTGTGAGGGTCTTGTCTCATCTGAGACCAATGGTTCATATGCCTTTTCTTTGGGCTGGAAACCCATCTTTGGAATGAAAGACTTGGGATTTTCAGACTCAAATAGATAGGTATTGTAAAAGTTTGAGGCGGGATGATCTAGGGAAAGACGGGGAAGGGGGCTAGTTAGGTAGACATAAAGTCTTGAGTTCTAGTTTCTTTCCACAAGCTTAATATGTTATGATCTACCTGTATATAGAATCAAGGACTTATTGATCCGCAGACAGTACAAAAATTAACAGGTGAGACTCTACGCCGATGCTTGTAGAAGCTATACAAGCCCCACTCGTACCAGAATTCTGGTGATCACGCCATCTACAAGTCGTATTTTATGACTTCCTATATCTGATTCACTAGTGATTTTCAACCATGCATGATTTTTGGTGCTCTTCAGGATGGAATCGTTTAAACCTAGTTACGTGACTGAATTATGGGCCACACGATGAAATTATCATTGGAGTTACATATGTGGTAAGATTTTAGGCCTGAAGCTTGTGGATGTTGTAGAGCTGGCCCATCACGCAATTTTTGCCAAGCTCTTGGCCTTCGGCGGCGGGAGCTAGGAGGTGTCGGCATTGAAAGCTTGGTTGGTTCACTGGTCTGCAGGAATACGGCGTTAAGTATACCGGATGACGGGCCGTGAAGATGTGGAGGATCGAATAAGTTATAAGTGTGCCTTAGTAGGTACTGTACTAGTCCATTCAAGATTTCTATAGTCCGGTGAAGTTAGTTTAAGCATATCTATATCCTTGGTGCTTACATATGATTGGTCTTAGCTTTAGTGTGCATGATGACATCTAACCCCTGAACGCTCACAAGCGATCTCTTCAGCATCAACAATAACAAGTTGATGGAACTTTTGGTCATAGGGCCATAGATCTTACGTGATGGCATCTTTGTACACCAATAAGGCTTACAGATTATTTTGCCCGGCAACGTGAGTCTTACATTGCGCAACGATAGGATTCTACATTTAGGCGAACCTAGCGAGTTGATATGCCGACAAGCCTCTTGTATTAGTTTGAGATTTATTCATAGCTGCATTGTTCGTCGGTAGAGGTTCGATAGAGAGCTAACAACTACCGAAATCCTAAAACTGTACCATGTGATGGACAACTACATGCTTACCTAGGTAGACAAGGATACGATAGTCCTACCTACTCATTAGTGACTGTGATATCTGCAAAGCTTGCATTGCATATACGGTCTAAGGCCTAAGTCTTCTAACCGGCTATTAAGGGGAGCAATTGATTGCGAATTTGGCTTCCTGGACTACGTGATTTGCAGACTCAGAGAACAAGAATGAAAATATGATCTCGGGTGAAATCTATTGACTATAGAGATCCACTCATCATACGCAGAGAGGTATTTATGAGAAACGAGGTTTTCTTTCCTCTCTCCCAAGTCAAGACTTAAGAAGATACAACTTCCGCAACAGTTCAACTCATACCATCGGCATCCCAAAGATATACCATTGACTTAGTACCTTTATACTCACATAACATTGATTCACGCAATATGCATTTCTTCAAAGCCTCTATTGTCATCATCGGAGCTCTTGCTTCCACGGCACTGGCACTCCCAGTTCAAGACAACTCCCTTGTTGTGTACGTTTATAGACCTTTCTAACTAATATAATATAAGGAACTATAGACTAACATAATTGGCAGCCGTGAGCCTTCCAAGGAAAAGTACGATGCCTACGATGCCTCCGACGTTGAGAAGCGCTCCAAGGACAAATATGCTACTTATGACGCTACTCAAACGGAAAAGCGTTCCAAGGAAAAGTACGCCACTTATGACGCTTCTCAAGGGGCAGATAAGCGAGAACCGTCAAAGGAAAAGTACGATGCTTATGATGCTTCCCACGTCGAGAAACGTTCCAAGGATAAATACGCCACCTATGACGCGACTCAAATAGACAAACGCTCCAAAGATAAGTACGCTACCTACGATGCTTCGTATGTGGAGAGCCGAGAGCCATCTAAGGAAAAGTACGCAACATACGATGCCACTCAGGCTGAGAAGCGAGAACCTTCCAAGGAAAAGTACGCAACATACGACGCCTCTCAGGTTGAGAAGCGCTCGAAGGACAAATACGCTACCTACGATGCTACTCAATCTGAGTAGGCGCAGTCCTTGAGCTTGAATGGTCATACAGAATGATATATATTGAGGGGCGATATGATTCCTTGAATCGCCTCGGGCACAACTTACCTTATACGATTTCGCATGACTGCTCAAGCAGTTGTGAGTTGGTGGTGTTTGGAGGTATCGAGCAATTGCTGGATGAAGTAGACGAACGGAGGAGTTAGTAGGCTTCTAAGGACACTCGTTAGGAAGATAGTTGATAACTACTACTTGCCAAATCTGCCCATATATGTTATACGGTAGCTTTCAATCAAGTGTTACGTAGACGACTTTAGAATTGTCATGCATATCACATGAGAAATAATGACATAATCCCTTACATATGTAGAACGGACAATGCTACCTTATGTAGATCACGCAACATCTCCTACCAGATTTGTACCTAGTAAGCCCGATGGTCTCTTTGCTATCGCCTGCCCTCCTGGGTATTTATGGTTGGTAGATAACCACCGGGTTCCTGCATAAAAAGTAGAATTGTTCAATGACATCTCCCCCCTTCACCTATAATCAATCAGCTCACCCCTCCAACCGCATTCAGACAAGAAACCACTCTCGCTAGGTAAACCACCAGGCTACCTTTACATGCATGCCGCTGAAAGCTTCATATCAATTGTGACAACGTCGTCGCACAGCCATGGCATCCTGGAAAATCGAAGGCTGCACCGTCGCCGACGCCCCGGCCTTAGCCCGCAACAACATGAGCGCCTTCTGGGAGGACCCGACGTGGATCCTTCTCTGGCCGAAGGAAATCACTCGGGAGTTCCTCATCAAGCAGGGCGAAAAGCGGTACCCGCGCCTGCTCCTGAGAGATCGCGAGGTGACACGTCATCAGAAGGCGGTGGACCCCGCTACCGGCGCGCTTGTCGGGTACGCCCGCTGGATCCTGCCCGCCGGCCGCTCCACCGCCGCGGACGGAAGCCCGGAGTGGGCTTCGGCGCAGGCGCCCGACGTCGGGGACGACGAGAGGAGGCGGTTCGAGGAGCTGGCGGAGTCGGCGTGGTGGAACGGGAGGAAGGAGATGAGGCACATTGATGATAAGAATGATGTTGTGATGGACCGTATCTTGTCGGAGAAGTCATACATTAGTAAGTACCTTATCTAGGGGACGGATATATGGCTCGAGGTGATGGAAATACCCAGACCCGGCCACTGACTGGTGTTTAGAACTCGATTATCTGGCTGTTCATCCCGAGAACAAAGGAAAGGGGGTTGCCACCGCACTTGTTCAGAGCGGGATCAGGCATGCGGAAGAAATCGGTCTTCCGATATTCGTGATGTCGTATAAGGCCGGTCGAGGTGTCTATGAACGGCTTGGATTTAAGGAGGTCGAACGGGTTATCCAGGATGACACGGAGTATGGTGGTAAAGGGGAATATGGTACATACTTCATGATCTACGATCATGGCGCATCTAACCCCACATGAGGTTTTCGATATCGAGATCACTTTTATCTTGCGGCATTCAATTGCATCTATACATACGTAAGCAGTGTGCCTGATATATGTAGAGATTTAGGAACAAGAGGCATACGAGCTTAGAAATTACATACCTACCTACTTAACTGACCTGTTCATGGCAACTGAGATTCTGAATTTTAAGAGGGAACTGTATACCGCAAGGAGACTTAGATCTGTCTCTAGGCCAAGCCCTTATTTGAGTTACTGTTTTTTTATGAGACTCAGAAGTAACGCGCAATCCTTCTAATTTATAGATATACAATGCGAATCAATCAGATACTCGTATTAAAGAGTGGTTGATCATACTTAGATGGCAACTTACTGAGTAGCCATGTAATCGCCTAGTTAGTGAGGTATTCACCATATTCTTCAGACGGCTTCACTGAAAATGCCATGTATCAGTGGATCTTTGAAGACTGGATAACATCTAGATAAACCAATAACTGGGACAGTAACTTCGTATGACTACGAAAAGAGCAGGCGCCTGGCCCTAACTTCATTTCGAACTACGGGGGGAAGCTAGAGTTTCGCCTGGTAACACGAAGCCTAGACCCATGCATCAAGAATTACCAAATCTGGAATGTCTCATGGCATTTTAGCCAATGACAGCTAACTAGGTAGGAAAACTTAGCGGACTAGTCACCTTTAGAGTTAGGCCCTGACAGAACTCATTGGCATTTCGCTGCTCTGGGTCTAGAAAGTAATGTGGTTCTTGGGTAGATGAAGGTATAGTTGTCACTATCGAGATTATTCGTGTCATAGAGCAATTCGCTGTCGAGATACGTGGGTATTTGTAAGTGCCCACTTCGGTTTTAGGTGCACTCACTTCAATCGTTTCGCCATATTATTGCTGGAAGGTTGCTCTTATAGATGGATAACTTTTCATTATTTAGTTATCCTGATCGCGGGTGGCTATTTGTGCACGGGGTATCCTTTTAATCTCAGTAATCGTACAATCCACGCCAGGCATATCCAGAATGTCTAATGTACTTTATATTACATAGACGCAGAATCCAGAGTTGAATCCTACTGTGCATTTTTTGTGTCGTGCTCGCCCCAGAATCAGGCATCTTCCATGACCAAGTCAGAGTCTAACTCAGTACCCAAGTCCCGGTCCTCTAGGAACGTGCGTCCAAGTAGTGCGTCAGGAAGGTAATCCTGCTTCACCTTTCCATCCTTGTAATTGGGATTGTATTTATACTCTTTTCCGTATCCGAGCTCCTTCATAAGCCTCGTCGGCGCATTTCGTAGATGAATAGGCACGGGTAATGCCGCCACGCCAGGTTCCTTTAGAGCGGCGAAGGCGTTATTTAATCCTCTGTAGGCGCGTGTGCTCTTTGGCGCGAGGGTGAGTGCTACCGTACAGTGGGCTAGAGGTATGCGGGCCTCTGGCATACCGATTTGCTGAGTTGCGGTGTAGGTCGATGTTGCTAGGGTGAGAAGTGAACTATCTGCGAGCCCGACATCTTCCGATGCGATTACAACCATACGTCTTGCTATGAACAGCGGATCTTCTCCCGACTGAAGCATGCGGGCTAGGTAGTATAGTGCAGCATCCGGATCAGAGCCCCGGACTGACTTATGGAATGCGGAGATTGTGTCGTAATGTTGATCGCCTGCTCGGTCGTAGACTAAGGTCTTCGTCAACGATGCCTTCATACCCTCCTTTGTCATTCCCTCCTTATTTGATAAGGACATAGCTAGTTCCAATAGGTTGAGTGCCGTTCGTGCATCACCATCGGCGAAGTTGGCAAGGTAGGTTATTAGTTCCTCGTCAAGAAGGGAGGATGGCGGCGATGATGTGATGGAGAGTTCAGCTTGTAATGCTCGCATCAATACACGTTGGACGTCGGTAGTCGTTAATTTCTGTAAGGTGAAAGTACGACATCTCGAAAGCAGCGCGTTGACGATCTTAAAACTTGGATTTTCGGTTGTTGCGCCGATGAGCGTAATAGTGCCTGCTTCAACAGGTTTGAGAAACACGTCTTGCTGGGACTTCGAGAAGCGGTGTATCTCGTCGCAAAATATTATCGTTTTCCGACCAGTTAGTGCCAACTCATTTGCTGCGTCATTGAATATTTTCTTGCATTCTGCCACTCCCGAGCTTGTCGCGTTCATCTCGATGAACCGTGAGCCGACCATACTTGCGATGCAACGTGCGATAGTGGTTTTGCCCGTACCCGAAGCACCCCATAATATCATAGATGGTACTCGATCGGATTCGATTAGTGATCGTAGAACACCATGCGGGCCGACTAAGTCTTGTCCGAAGACATCGTCAAAATTCCGAGGTCGCATGCGCTCGGCCAAGGGGGCTGCTCTGTTTGTCTTCGTCCTCTTTAGTATCGGCCCGGTCTCTGGGGGTGCTGCGTCGTCCGTCCTACTGCCCCCATTCTGCAAAGGTGATTCCTCGCCCGGTCCCTCGTCGAATGAGCGTTTGAGGCCCCCGTTTAGTTTTGTTGCTCCCGTATTCCCGTTGACTAGGGGTGTGGCGACCTTGGCGGGTATCGAGTGTTGACGTTTGGCAGAAGGGGTTTGGAAAAAGCTCGATGCAGGCCGTTTCTGCGATGCCGACACGACGGTGTTTCCCTGAGTTGAAGACATGTGAGGAGAGGAGGATATCGTTGAGGGATCAATAATAAAAGTTTCGCATCTTTGATCGAGGTGTTCGTTGATCTTCGGGGACTGGACTTGTTTCTTACAAATTGGGCACTCAACCATTATGACGACCGGAGTTGGGGACAGAGGACGAAAGAAGGAATGGAGGGTTCTTAGAGAAACATTAAAGAACCATTCGACGGAAAAAATAATAAACAACCAAGCGATTCAATCCAATTTTTCCTTTAACTTCTGCAGAATTCTTGACACGAAATAATTTGGACTCGGAAGACGCGCTCTGACGAACTAGGTAATTCAAGTCTTGGATGGGGACAAATCGATTAGATAAGCCCCGATATGCCTTGCCGTGCTTAGTAAGCACCTAAGTATAGGTACCTGGGTATGACGGACCGGGGACGACAAGGGTTGTACACTACTAATGTACCTAGCTTCCCCGACTGGGAAACTGTACATGATGTAAGCGGATTTTTACTTGCCATTGATCCCGCTTAATTGGTACCTAGGTACAACGGTTTCTTAACACAATTTCGATGATAGAGGCTCCTCATAAGCATATTATCACAGGCATTGGATTGCCTACACCAACACAGATTCAAGTTCCTAAACAAAGCTACGAGCTTAGCCATCAGTAATTACACCTTATGGAAACATTCAAGCTTCACTGTCATCCTCAATCCGTAGAACTGCATATGTACTTGTGTACTAATGGCACCACGTCCCATGGAATTTAACCTCAAGAATGATATCCGAGACACCCCAAATATCAATTAATGTATACAAATTGAACATGAAGACCTGGTGCGACAGCAATGTATTCAGAAGAAACGGGTATCGCGTGAATTGGGTCGAAATCATCTGTTCAGAGCCATCTGTCAGAAGACTCATCTCCGTTTTGTTCTTGTCCGTTTTACCGGTCGTTGAGGTTCTGCCACCTCAGGTTCACTATCCTCCTCGTCTGACTCAACGTCTTCATGGTTTACGTCGCTTTCGTCTAGCTCTTCTTGGCCCTCTAATTCAACCTCATCTTCTTCAATTGGCTCTTCATCGTCTTCCGAGTCATCCTCAGCTATGCCATTGGTGACCGGTAGCTCGTCGTCATCATCATCTAGGTCCATAGCCCCGTTGACTATTTCTGCGCCACTTTCCTCTCCCTCCACATAGACGATACCTTCTTCATCATCGTTGTCGTCGTCAGAGTCTACATTTCGTTGCAGGCCGCGGCGTAATTCCATTTGCGCTTCGAGTAAATCAAGTTTTCCTTTCAAGGCGAGCAGGGAATTTAGGCCCCTTGATCGCTCCTCTAATACTCGATGTAGTTCGCCGAGTTTCTTGGCTAATCCAGGCTGAGTTGCTAATGCACCTCCGTGTGCGACCAAGGTCCATTGCACCCATGTCATTAAGCTACCAGCTCGTCCTGGGCGCCTGTGCATTCTAGACGCAAGTTTAATAAGTAATGTCCCCGCAAGAGTGGAGTCAAGCCTCTGAATGGTGTTGCGAATGGTAGTCAGGTCATTGGTGTGAAGACAAGATTCTAAAAGATCCGCATCATCGGTGCGGAGTGCTTGCGACAGAACAGTCCCGAGGGAAGAAAGGCTAGGGGGAGCCAGAGCTCTCCCTGGAGCGGGTAGAGTAGGCGATTGTGTAGATATCGCGGCGGGGACATCAATGGTATCGTGTGCGCGGGCGAGTTCGCCGAATGTGGGTTGCGTAGATTCTTGGTCAGATTCGCCATCGGTTGCTGGCTTAGGCGACGGCATGTCAATATCGGCTCCTCCGTTGATTTCCTCTCGTGATTGTAGCGCATTCCCTATCGTAGATTGGCCCTGGGGCGCTTCAACCTCGGACTTTGGCATGTCGTCTAACTTTGCATTTTCACCAGCATCTCGCTCGTCGTCTGTGTAGTCGTACTCGCTGCTACCCGAGTCGCTCGAGATTTCTATTACTTGTTCGGCCGAAACATCGTTTGCCTTTGAAATGTCCGGAACTGACACAGCTGTCTCGGACTCGTTGATGCTGGCCTTCAAAGGTATATTTGCGTCCTGCTTAACGACTGGGTGAGTAATCTTAGTCGGCAGTTTTCGTTTGGTTGACATTATGTCTGGATATCAAAGACGCAATATTGAAATTGCTGCAGAAAGATGAAAAAGACGAGTATGAAGTATGGATTGAAGAGACTAGAACCTGAATAAATAATTCCGAGTTGTAAAAATGTCAAGGGCGACAGCGCAAATCTTTAAAAATCTTTCGTACTATGCACGCGAGTATTTGATTTACTGGTAAGCTACCTCTCGTAGGTTTTTTTTTCTTTTACTGATAACATCAAAATTATGGGACTTGTTATCGAGTATCTAGTTACGTATGATAGGCGGCTGGTATTTCCGTTGCCGAAAAACGCATGGACCATGAATGAGGCCCAGGTACGTAGAATAAGTGCAGCAGCTGGCAAAATTCTGGCTCCAAGTGCTTTGTACAAGCGCGGCGTGTGTATGAGGGATGTATCTATGATTCATACTGTACGCCCCAACTCAAAGCTCCAGTGCCCCGTTAAGTCTTTCGGATTGAATGGGACTCATCTGCAAAATTTCTCTCCACCGCAACTTTTTCTATTGAGGCCAACCTGTTCTATTTGTACGGTTTTTTTACAATCGTGCCGGATCCGAGTATTCAGCATCCCATATACGAAACGATTACCTGGACTGAAGCTTGAACGGATAAGGTCCTCGAGATTCTGTCTTGTTCCCTCGATAAAGCCACAATTAACACGATTAATTCGCCGTCTTGTTGAAAACAAGGAGGATCTTCGACAGCGGCATTTTAACATTACCTAAGCTATTCCGGAACCTGGATCATGTGATGATTGATGCACCCAGTGGCCAAAACGGAATATCCGAATATCTTCCTTGATGAGTCAACAATGAAGGAACTATCCTTAGTTTCACGCCCGGGTAGCAGCAACCATCAAAAAGAGACTACCCGGTGGCTTCCATCATTTCAAACGAGCATGGGTCTCAAAGCACTACGCGTCACGATTGGACGGTCGCCGGAAGACCATCATTGCGCTCAAACTCTGATTGGTCCTTCGTATCTAGCTCGTCAAACAATATTTCTCGTCAAAATCTTTTTGAGCACCGGGTCCTTCGTTGCTTCAATGTTGCGTGCTATCAGCGAGACCGCTTACATAGGTACACATCGAATCTATCCCTCACAGTTAATGGGAATAGATTGTTTCGCAACCATCTTAAACCGAATCCGACGAGCATATTAAAGAGATTGGATTATAGAAAAAGAATCTGACAAGATTTAGATCTAGATTCAAGTCTGTCCGTCAATTCAGCTGCGGTAGGTGACCATTTTGTCCCCGATTCATTTATAGGAGCTCTACACAAACCTTCAACCTTTGCACACACAATGTGCTTAGATGGATAGGTATACTTGGTTACAATCTTGGGAATTGGGAAGTGTGTACCCCGATCCATGTCTCAAAGGGACCCACATATTGGTATCTCGGCAACGTGATTTGCTATGAGCTTCTTTGTTACGATCACAGTGGGCGTTTCCCCATTGTAATCCTTGTCGTAATTCCCCAGTAATGGCGAACCGTGATTTCGCAGCCCGGGAAGGCGCGTTCTACAAATAGGAAAGTGGCCCCAATCCAGAAATTTTCGCGACGAAGAAAAAAAGAGACCTCTGATTCCCGAGAATTTTTTTTACAACCCTTCCTCCTATTTTTCCATTTCTGCCCAACCCCAACCCCCCCTCTAATATTCCGATCACCGACACCGCCTCGCATCTTCAGAAATTGATTTCATACCTCACCACCACACAACCACTACCACTACTCACTACTACTACTACCGCCGCCGCACGCGCACCACGCGACAAAAAGTACCGAGGTACCTTTTTCATCCATCTCTCTCTCACGCTTAATATTTTGTCTTGCCTTATTTTCCCTTAAGTGCAAGGCTGCGCATCGATTCGCTGTTTAATATTTTAAGTTTTTATTCATTCCCATCCTTCCCCCAAAACGGCAGTACCGCGCAACTATCGCGACCACTACCGCTTTGGCCACCCGTGCATACACCATCTGCCGCTGTCGCGATCGCGCCTCATCGCCCCAGTCGTGAGCCTCATCGTCGCCTAGTAGCCACGGTTACGGTATTGAAGCCTCGTTTATTTCGTCATTCGTTTGGTCTGATTTAGTTCACCGCACCAAACACCATTTTATTCTGACGTTGTAATTCGCAAACGCGCTTCTTACTGCACGTTACACACTCACCACGCCTTCTCATATTAATCCTCACCCATCGCGTATCAGAGGACTTCATCTCATCGCGCCTCATCTCAGCGCACATACTTCGCCTCTACACACCTCTAGTCATTAACTCCTGATCTTCAAGATACGGGACTTGACTTGGAGCCGTCGTGTTCTTAATATCTAGAGATTTAAGGAGGTTAGTAGATCCAAGTTCTTTTGCTGTCTCGTCACTTACCTTCCTACACAATTCTCCCCTTCCCTACTATTATCTGTCTCGCCCTTATCTCCAATATTGCTCTTCGTCCAAGTCGAACATACACACGACGACCTCATTCTGTTTTGCTTGTTATGGCGCTCTAAGCCAACATATCCACGGGCAGCCGCCTGTTGTGATTTCGGATTAATGGTTGCGGTCTCGGTTCTCTACGCCAACGATGGTTTTAGATGATGTACCTAGGTAGGTAGGAAAAAAACAAGGGCGCCATTCACAGCTGCAGCGATACTTCCCGCCTTGCCACTTTCGCACAATCTGATCACACTAATGGCTAGGACTTCGAAAGTTTCATAAAATAAGCCGGCAGGTGTTAATCTCAGATTAATATCGTAAGATGACTACCGGAATCGAAAGGACTTGATATAAAAAGCACACTCTCCCTTTCCTTACGACTAGTGTATTTCAATCCCCAGTCTTATCCAATCCAACCTTCCTCCAATTGGTCAGCGACCTTGCGATTACCCCCTCCCAGACAGTGCTAGGTTGTCGCATTTCGCAAGGCTGGGTAGTCTAGAGCAGGAGCGACGAGCACCACCGTCATTAGCCCTCCTTCATCGACAGCAACGGCGCAAAACAAACAGAAGCGCCTACCCATATCGCAAATCGTTGGGTTTACTTCCTACTTTCTACCTATTTAACAACATCAAATTCATCCTTTTCGAACTGCGCTTCATCCAATTATTATCACATCCGATCACAATTCTTTTGAATCTTTATGAACTTGCAATCGCAATCATCGCTAACTGAGATTTTAGTGAGACCGAGACTTCTGCACTGCCTGTCTTGAAAGGTAAGTAATCGCAATATTTATCTCGAGGTTCTTATCACCTTTGATCCTTTTATCCCTAAAGCTTCACGTACCTAGTACTGGAAAGTTGTGATGGTGCTCACTCCCGATGCGCCACTGGTTGTTATTCACGTCACATTACCAAAGTGTGGCTATTTTTTCAAATCTGACCTTACTTTTTCTTTTAGGCACACTTCTCGAGGCTCACGACAAAATAACTGAACCTTTTGCCCCGAGGTACCAATCGTATTATCAGCTGATTGTGATCCCGTGTTCTTCAGAGGTGGATGGCAGTCATGGCGACTGAAGAACCCCAAACACTACCAGTTGTTCAGAAGAGCACAGAGTCTGCACCAAGTGAGGAAAAGTCGAACGACGACACAAGCATACATCCCGTCAATGGGTAAGAGCATATCCCACTTGGCCCTTTGCAATTAGCACACTAAATTTAGTCCCCATAGACATTCAGAAGACAAACCCAAGGCCGACGAGAAACCCACTGTTAACGGCAAAGCGGAACCAGCAGAGTCGACTGTTGATGATTCATTGAACCAAAAAGCGTTCGCCGCTAACGGCACTCTTCCAGACCAGTCGACTGAAGCCCCTCCAAGTTCAACCGATGTCGAAATGGCCGATGTTAATGGTACGTCGGCTGTGAAGAACTCACCTACATCTACATCTGAGGTGGCAAAGGGAGATACTGCAGGTTCCTCGACATCTGACAAACCTCGTGTCCCTGAGGAGTCAGCAGTGGAAGACCCAGTTCCTGAGAATGTTGGCGAATCAATGGATGTGGACACTCCTGCGGCGCAGCCAGATGAGGAGCCAAAGGTTGACCGTGAAAATGGCGCCCAGGATAAGCCCGAGGCCAATGATGTGACGGAGCCCACATCATCTCAAGATGCAGCAAGTCAACCGTCAGCCGGTCTTGCCAAGTTGGACATCAAGGCTACTCAATCTGATGTGCCTGCCGCTGAAGTCGATACTCCTATGGCCGATCAGCCTATGTCAGCAGCTAAAGTCTCGCGAGAACGTGAAGAGGATGCAGCTGAGGAAAGAGCGCCGAAGCGGGCAAAAACAGAAGAGGACGCGAGTGGACCAACATCAGACTCGCTTGTTGTCGCAGACCCTTTGTCATCAGCACCAGGACCCAGTGAATCCATGGACCAAGCCCCAGACGACCAGGTCATCACACCATTCCAGAACCGCCAAATCAGACAGATTCTAGCAGGTGTGAAGAAGACAAAGAATGGCCTCAATTTTAGACAATCCGTTGAGAAATTGTGGCCGGGTTTATGGGAAGACTACAGAACAAAGATAGAGAACCCCGTGGATATCTCTCTCTTCGAGGCAAAATTACGTGAAGACAAGTATGCCAATTATGGTGCATTGAAGGCGGATATTCAGTTGTTGTATCAAAACTCACTCGCATTCAACGGTGAATCGAATGCCATCACTATGGCTGCGGGGATGGTCAGAGACACGATATTCATGCGCCTACCGGAGATCTCCAAGTTGGAAGAGCCTGCGAAACCTGAGAAAGGCAAAGCGCACCCAACACGCCATACGGAACCTCGGGCGGCCACTCAACCACGCCGACAGTCGCAATCACAGCCGCACCCACAGGCGGCAAGCCCGAAACCAAGGCGTGCGTCACCCGCACAAGCTACACAATCAGCTCCTTCATCTTCGGCCCCGGCTTTTGCAATCCCTCCCAATGGGATTCCTCAAATTCGTCGCGATTCTACACGGGAGGACAGTGACAGGCCGAAGCGACCGATCCACCCACCGAAGAATCGCGACCTTGATTACGCCGCAGCCAATCGCAAAAAGCTGGAGCCGGAGCAGCGCTTCTTTGAAGTGGTCCTGGACGAGGTCAAGAAAGGCAAGCATTACGCACTTAATCAATGGTTCCTCACACCCGTCGATCCTGTAGCCCTCAACATACCGACCTACTTCAGCGTTGTTAAAAAGCCAATGGATCTCGCTACTATGACGCAGAAGAACTACGAGGGCGAGTACAAGAATGTGAAGGACATTGAAAAGGATATGCGACTGATCGTCCACAATGCTGAACTCTTCAACGGCCCGAGCCATGATGTCACGATGTTAGCGAAGCGCCTCGAAGAGCTTTTCAAGGGTGAGCTAGCAAAGAGAGACTCGTGGATGAAGCGGCATCACCCTCCCGAGCAACCTTCTACGACGAATGCTTCTGCCCCTAGTCCTGAACGAAGTGCCCATGATTCAGAGGAAGAAAGCGAAGCAGATGGTGACGACGATGAAGGCAATGAGGCTTTCCGTACCCTACAAACTCGATTAGATGAAGAACAAGACAAACTCAACACTCTATTGGGCTCAAAGAAGCCAGATCTCACCATGATTGAGATCCAACAACAGATGGTGTCGATGCTTCAACGAAAACTTGTTGAGGAAAGAACAAAGTTGCACAGCGGGGAGAAGAAGCCTAAGTCGAAGAAGAAGGCTACTAAGAGTAAGCCGAAGTCTGGCGGCGGTGGCTCGGTTGCAACAAGCAAGAAAGCGGCCGGAAACTCCACGACCGGTAAGAAAGCCTCTGGGAACAGTGGCCATAAGAAGGCAGTTCCCAAGGGTCGGCCTGTTGGAGCGCTGGAGAAGGCAGTCATCGCTGAAGGTATTAACGAACTCGATGGCACCACTCTCACTCGCGCTGTTGAGATTATCAAGAGAGACACAGGTCAGAACGTAAGTGCTCAAACATGTAACCCTTCGCATTCGTTTGCATTTGCATTCATGCTGTGAAGTCGTCATCCTAGTGTAGATCGCGCTAACTCGGTTGTAGGAGAACGACGATGGCGAAATGGAATTGGACATAGATGCCCTATCCATGGATGCTCTCCGAAAGCTCTATGACTTGATTCACAAATCTAACCCGCAGGTTCGAACGGCCATCGAGCGAAGGCCAGAATTCAGCCGACCGGCAGAACCCGAGCCCAAGCCGAAGACAAGCGCGCCACCTAAGCCGAAGAAGAATAAGCCAATGAACAAGCATGAGCAAGAGCGCAAGATCGAGCAGCTTCGTGAGCTCAGAGCCCAACTTCAGCGAGGGGGGAGCGGTAGTCAAGAGCCTCTACCCAATGAAGTTGAGGACAGCCGAGCTGCGGAATCAAGTGAGGAAGAGAGTGACTCTGAGGAAGAATAGGAAAAGAAAAAAAATCGACTATTCTGAGCACGCGTAGGCTCAGAGTCAATGTCAGAAGGATGCCATTGATATTTCCCCAACCCCTTGGATGCCTTGATTTGGGTGATTTAATTCGCCGCCGAAATTAAGAGAGGGTATGCTCATCGCTAGAACCCTTTTCGAAACTGCACTCTAAGGGCATAGTTCCCTTCTGATTATTCGATTTAGGAGACTCCATAATTAGGGTCTATCCTGATCATTGTGTCGGCTAGGTGGCTACTCGCAGACAAGGTGACCTCGAAAAGAGGCCAAGTAGGTCCTTCAGCTGAGTGTCGGATGGCGCATGCTGCGGATGAGCTTCTATTGCTGTTGCCGCATTGCATATTACTGCAGAAATGAGAATTCGATGAATTGACATGTCATTCATATCTTGCCGCGTTCCCAATTGTTGACTTTTCCGTGCTTATTCAATTTTTGACCTAGATTAAGCCTTATAATCGCATTCGTCTCGATTCCGTAATAGTAGTAGGCGTAGCTTTTCGTCGGTAGTCTATCTCATGACCGTTATCGATCACTTCTCAATCTTCATCATATTACTCGTAGCCTCCCATCGCGAGGTGATGGCGTCGACCGATCGCTCGAGAGAATTAGTAGCCCCGCTAGAGGTAAGGATAAACAAACATGATGTTAGCTTATAAACAGGTGGCTTTGGTTGTAGGTGGGAAAAAGGGATTGGATACCTAAGAGATAGGTACCTGAATATAAGACCGAGTAGTGTAAGTTGAAATTTCCAAGGAAATATTGAGCTATCTTCAAATTTCGATCATACAAGGGAGATAAGATAGCCCAGCTTCTTTCTGTACTAATATAAGGTAGGATAAGATTTCGGGATCTATCATATAACTCTACCTATACAGTACGCCTAAAAACTCTATCGCCTACGAAGCAGGAACTCGCTCCTAGAATTCAAGTGGCGGTTGAATTTAGATGAATCAGAGTGTGTGAGGCGTTAAACAAGAAAGCCAGGGAGTAAAAGTCCAACTTAAAACTCAAGTTTAAATATGGCGAAAGTAAGGAGCCTCGTAGTGTCCAGCCATATCCGACGCGTACTTATTATATATAGCCCAGCTAACGCGCAATGCATACAGCAACAATACACAAGCAAATGCCTCCTTTTTTATCTAATCCCTATATCACACGAGTTAGATTTATCCCGACAAGCCGAAGAACACAGCGTAGAATCGCAACGCTGAGACGAGCAACTAGTTACTACATATTCCACACATCATCTTCAAGAAGACATGCGCTTCACCACGATCGTGCGCGCGGTTATCGCCGTGTCGCTGACCCTCGCTGCTGGTACGGGAGTCCTGGCCGCCCCTGTTTCATCCGCTTCGGCTCCGTCCTCTGCAGCGGTCGAAAATACAGAAGGCGACGGGTACGCGTTCGCATTATCGATTAACGACGCCGCAAACGAAGGGAATGTGACCGTCGACGGGGGACTTCCCGGTCTGCCGTGGCTGTCGCATATTAGGTGTATACCAAACTTCTACCGCGGAAAGAAGGTGTCGCCGGTCGAGCGCGAGAGGCTGCTAGGTTGCTACAAGAAATTCCAAGAGAAAGGTACGTTCGCGTTTGCGTCCGCGTATCATTCCTCATTATTTCGCCCCTCCCCACCCCCCTTTCCCTTCTCATGTTCGTGTCTGCATCTGGAGCAGTGCAGGCGTGTGCACTTTTATGGTTATGCCGCCTGGAAAATAAAGATAAATAAATAAAAAATAAAAAATAAAAAACGTAAGCAAGGGATACTAACAAGTTCGACTAGGGGAATGGATTAGCAAGATGACCAAATGCCCGGATACGAGGAGGTACTTCCAGTCCTGGGGGCACCACTGGGATAGCCCGCCGGATTGTTACAACGCCTGTAAATCGTGCTTCGAGAACTCCGTCTTCGACCAGGCGGCCAACTTTCGCTGCTTCAAATATGAGGGGATTACGGCTAGGTGCCACGTCACGTACGAATGATCGGGTGGGCTATCTTCCTAAACTCTTTTCTGGTTCTTTGGATTGAAATAGGGCTTCGAGATAGTATGGATATGGATGGCATTGGCGCGCTTATTTTGGGGGTTTTTTGCCATGCTTGTACAATTTCCGGGTATGTACCACTTGGCGGGAGGTTATATGGGGGGAAAGCACGTACAATGAGTGCTTAGATTGTCTAAACAGCACCATCGTAACAGAATATTATGGAACTATCCCTCTATTTATCGATAATGTGCCCATTAAGTAACTCAGCGCCATCTTCCGATAGTAGGTGATATGAGACATCTCATATTGACTATCATCGGCAATCCTCAACCGAAGATTGATGGAGGTCTAGGGGAGATATAGCAGAATGTGTGGGATTCTCTTTTAATGTTATTATTCGACTAGCATCATCAACACGGTGACACTATCAACTCGTACAAGATATGTTCCGTTTGGCACCCCTAAAGTGGCGGTCCGAGGACAAGGAAATAAATCGATCTCACTTATTAAGTATTGAGTTACACGCGGAATGAGACGAAGAAACGTGCTATACCGCACGTAACCGATGAAAAGATGGTATGTTTGAGCCACCCACGTGTTCCTATGTAGAAGGGACCGACTTTATCGTGCTCCCTATGTTGCAAGTCTTTGGGGAAGATTCAGAGTATTGCTGTGAAGGTCGGAGAATAAACCTTCCTCGCCTGGCCGTTTATCCAGGCCTCGAGTACAGTTTCGATAGTAAAAGCCCATCTATATATCAGAATCAAACCAGCAAGCCTCCATTCGTCGTCGAAATAACTCGTTGCCATACTAAAATCTCGTGATAAATCGCATTATAGTGTAAGCGGATCTTGCGTGGTTTCGCCAAAGGCCCAATTTATTGGATCCGGATTACTAAAGTCGAAAAGAGCATCTGACATCTAAATAATTCCTTAGCGATTGACAAGCCATGATGGTGATCGTGTAGGTACTTACTGAAAAGTCCCAGTCCCCCAGCGACTGAGGCTCCGTATTCATATGCGGTTGCTCGAGTTCCTTAGTTGCACTCTCGGTCTGGTACCGAGCCAACATTTCTTCTAGTTTCGGTATGCACTTCTCTTCAGCCTCCTCTATAACTTTTATGAGAAATGAGGGGAGTTCCTCCTTGCCAAGACCTTGTATACGGCCCTCGATATGGGCTGCTAGTAAGGACGCGAGGAAATAGCCCTTGATACTAGTCTCTCCAGCTTCGATAGTCCTCCAGGACCAAGTCTTTGCTTCTTCCATTATAGTTAATAAGTCTTGGCGGACTATCCCAGGCCCCAATATCTCTTCTTCTTGCAATTGAGCCATGAGTTCCATCGCTATGAGAATGCTAGCTTGTAACGTAATGATGCGAAAAAAACCCGAAGCGCAGATAGCAAGTCGCGGTAAGTCGTGATAGTTCGAAGAGGGTACGTTACGGGACGGTTGAAGTGTCGTGGTAGTTGATGGGTACATTGCACGCCAGACTTTGATCGAAGTCTCAATGATTACTTTCCTAGAGAAGGCATACGCTGCCTCCTGCATCGCAGAGCTGAAATATGGATTATGAAGGGATAGTATGTACCGATTCATCAGGAGGCTCACCATGTCCACTTCAGTTTCTGACGGCCGTAGCCCGGAACCCGACTTGTAGCCTTGGAGGAGTCGAAGCACAGACTTGTATGCTGTTCTCAGTCCCGCATCAAGCCGAAGCGTCTCCCCATACGTACCGCGAGAACTGTGATCGTTTAAAAACTTGGTAATTGCGAGACGAGCCGCGAACGTCTTGCGGAGGGCTATCGCTATAGATGTTTGCGTGAATTCGGCTTCTGGCTTCGGAACGGGGTCATCAGCCGTAATCTGCTCGTCGTCGAAGTTACCGGGGGGTTCGGTGTCAAACCCATCGAGAGAAACGAACGGGGGCCCCCCTGAAGTCAAACTCAATTGCGTAGATAATTCTAAAATAGTGTTCCATAGCCTTCGGCGCATCTCTGCTGCAAAAGTTGACATTGTTGGAAGTCGCTTGGGATCCTTATGCAAGCCCATGTAGATTGCGGTTCTGAGTAGTGTGCCAGCGGCAATCCAGACTAAGTCCGGACCGACGTCAACAAATTCTCGTGCTATTAATAAAAGGATATTGGTTTGCAGATACTGGAGATTTAACCTATGTTTGAATCCAGGTTCGGAGATCCAAGTCTGTGCTTCATAAACCCACTTCAAGGCCGAAGGTTTCAGAGAAAATAATTCATCATATGTAGTAGCTCCGATAGCTAACACTAACTTCAGTTGAACTAGGAATGCCGTATTGGGCTCATTGCTTGTTGATACCCATTGTGCCGCATACTCTCTCCTAAAAGTAGGAATATGCAGAATTCGGTAGATGGGTTCAACGGTGCGAAAGTAACGGTCGACAAGCTCGTCAGCAATATCCTTTGATGGTAGGTCTACTACTGGCAGTGAAGGCCATGGTGGAGAGCGCCGGTCTTTAATAGCCCTTGCCAAAGACTTGGACTTTTGCATAAGAACGGAGATCCTGGATGACTCGTCCCGTACATGAGGCTCGAAAATGCCTATTATATCTCGCACCTAATACTTGTCAAATCTACGAATCATCCCAGATTATTAGTGGATAACATGAGAACGTACAAGTGAAAAGCCTGTAATCCAATGGCTCTGACCAAATACCCGGGTTTTATGGGTAACACTACGCGATATAGCCCGTGGTTGGCCAGTCAAGTTGTTTTCGTGGTGAATGTAAAAGGTTCCGCTGATACGTGAATTGATGGCCTCTATGTTAGAATCTGCGGGCGGTTGCGAAGGAGTCAAGTTTGTTTTGGACAATTGTTCTTCGAGCTGCCTTATTCTGTTTCTCAGGGACTCGACTTCTTGAGAAGAGTAGCTGGTAGGAGTTGAGCCTGCCGTTGAACTGGCTGCCTTAGGTGATGATTGGGACGTGTGATTGGGGGCTGTTACTCCTGTGGCCGTGCTAGAGATGCTTGTAGTGGGCGCTGAGTAGTGAGACTCTGAGTAAGCTGGGCCCAGACCGAGCTCAACTCCAGGTTGAGCATGTGAAATGAAGTTCTCATAGACGCAATTCCCACTCCTGGATTTTATGCAATTGCTGCAAGGGCTCTCTCTGCTACATCGGAGCTTGCGTCTTCTGCATAGGGTGCAGGAGCTGTACGTATTGCGGCGTTCCGCTATGGTCAGCACTATGCACGGCTAATTTAAGGGGTCCCAATCGCAACATACACGGGCGGTCTTCTGCGCCGACGTTCGGGCTCGGCCATAGTTTATCGCTTGTTGAACCGGACCTTTTCTTCTTGGCTTTGTGAGAGGTATGAATTGAATCCATAGGTATGTAGGTGGGTAAGTTTCATGGTGAATGGTGTAAGCATGAGATGTGAGATGAGTCGCCCATTCCTTCGGTTGGGGAATTTCCCGAATCCGGCGACCGATCCCCGATCCCGATCTCTTTATCTCCGAAATACCCTAACAATTCTTCGCCTGAACTTTTCGTTCACCATCATTCTTACCCACGATCTCGCCATTACACGAAACTAGGAAAACTAGTCAGAAGGCCTAGATAGTTTCAGTAATCTTATTATTCTATATATATTTCCGTGTTGATAGTCATAGTCATGATGTGTTTCCCTTCACAGCAAAATTCAACCGAACAGAGTCTCGCAGTTAGACATCAAACCCCCATTATCGATCAAGGATAAATCGAACGAGAACGTGTTAAAAATGTCCTCTTCGGAAACTGAAGTTCAAGAGAAAGGCTCTGTCTCTAGCTTTGAGCCCGGGCAGGAGACCGCGCCTACCAACATGCTTGACTTCGAAGAAGCCCCTGACGGAGGTCTTCGAGCGTGGCTTGTTACTATCGGGGCTTGCTGCGTCTTTTTCTCGGCTCTTGGTTTCTCTAATGCTTTTGGGGTCTTCGAAGAATACTACTTGACACACCAACTCAAGGAACAATCACCGGATAAGGTGGCTTGGATCGGTTCCCTGGCGGTGTTTCTCCAGTTTCTAATGGGCAACATCGGTGGGCCATTGTTTGATCGTTTCGGAGCATGGGTGCGTAGTATCTATTTAATATCTTTAGTACTGGCCAGTCCGCTAACTTGGGAACAGGTAATCCGTCCCGCCGCAGTCCTTTATGTCTTTGCCATAATGATGACCAGCCTCTGCAAAGAGTACTGGCAGTTCATGCTAGCCCAGGGAGTCCTTCTGGGAAGTGTCATGGGCTTTCTACAATTTCCGGCTATGGCAGCAGTGTCGCAATTCTTCAGTAAGAAGCGAGCGGCTGCGCTAGGCGTTGCTGTTGCAGGATCATCCGTTGGTGGCATCGTCATCCCCATCGCACTGTCAAAGATGCTAAATGGCTCATCAATTGGGTTTGGCTGGTCAGTTCGAATAATTGGTTTTATCACCATACCCCTTCTAGGTTTCGCGTGCATCGCCATCACTTCTCGCCTACCACCACGAACAACGACCTTCTTCCTTTGGAGGGCCTTCAAGGAGCCGAGATTTCTTCTATTGACACTGGCATTATTCTTCATGCTTCTTGGTGCTTTCACCCCGCTGTTTTACATCCCGACGTACGCGGTCTCGAGAGGCATAGAGCCGACGCTCGCATCTTACCTTCTTGCTATTATAAACGCATCCTCTACTTTCGGACGCGTCATCCCAGGTGTTTTGGCGGATAAGTTTGGACGGCTAAACATACTCGCATTTGGTGCTTTCGGTACCGGAATTGTCATATTATGCTGGGATAAGGCAGAAACCACTGCAGCGTTGGTAGTATATTCTATTGCTATCGGATTTACGTCCGGGACTGTCATCTCAGGGGGCTCTGCAGCCTTCACAGAATGCCCTAAGGACCCCCGAGACCTTGGTACCTACATGGGAATGGGAATGGGCCTAAGCTCTTTCGCGGCTTTGATAGGCCCTCCGGTGAGCGGGGTGCTTGTAAGCAAATACGGAGGCTATTCCCAAGTACCATGGGGGACCCACCCATGGGCCATACCCCCCCGGGCCACCCCGTTTCTCATTAAAATACACACTTTTCAAGTGCTTGTATTTAAGTTAATTAAAGTTTAATAATTATAAAATTAATATTAGTAAATAACGTTTTAAAAGCTTAATTTATAAATTTAATTAATGGTTTAATTATTTTTTTTAAACGTATACGAATTAATATTATAAAAGTTTTATTTATTTTTATATTATTTATTTCGGATTTTTTTTTATTATTTTTATTATTTTTATCCGAATTTTAATTTAAAATTATTTAATTTATTATAAAAGTTTTTTTAAACGTTTTAAATTTTTCGTTAAGTATTTTATAAATTATTAAAAATTTAACGTTCGGATTAAAGATTTTTTTTTTTTTTTTAAATTTTACTTCTTTAAATTAAAACTTTAAAAATTTAATTTTTAATTTTTATAACGTTAATTTTAATTTAACGTTTATAAAAACTTACGTTATTAATTTAAAAATTATTTAAATAATAAAAAACTTAATTATTTTTAAAAACTTTATTTTATTAATTATAATAAAAAATTATAAATAATATTTTAAATTAATTAACTTTTTATTTTTAAAAAATATAAATATTAAGTTTTTTTTATTTTTTTAAATCTTAAAATATATTAAAGCTGTCACGACAGGGACAAAGAGCCTGCGGGTGGAAGCTATCACCTGCCAATTGAGCCAACAACCACCAAAAGACAAGAATCGCAAGTCGAACAGCCTCGCGACATTACAGGTGATAAGGCTGATCCGTAACACTACCCCTCCCTTCTAAGAGGCTTCGTCCCCGAAGCCATCCACGGCTGGGAGCCTCTCAATCCGCTATAGCAGGCTCGATGGGACAGCATCGACCTGTTTCCCTGGGACGGCATCCACCCGTTTCCCCTGCTACAGCTTCGTGGATATTATAGACACTAGAAGGTATGGAGTTCTAAGATCAAGTCGTCTTGAACCAAAGTGGGTGGCACCACCTTGGTTCGAACCCTGTGCCTAGGGCCCTTTGACTTGCGATTATGTCACGACAGGGACAAAGAGCCTGCGGGTGGAAGCTATCACCTGCCAATTGAGCCAACAACCACCAAAAGACAAGAATCGCAAGTCGAACAGCCTCGCGACATTACAGGTGATAAGGCTGATCCGTAACAAAAGCCTTAAATTTATTAATTAATTAATTTTTTATTATTTTAAATTTAACTTAAATATTTTTAAAAATTAATTTTTTTTTTTAATTTTATTATAATATTTAATAAAATTAAACTTATTAATAAAAATTATATTAATAAAATTATTTAAATTAAATAAATGTTTTTAATAAAATATTTTTATAATATTAAAAAAACCGTTATTAAAAAGTTATAATTTATAAAACGTATATATAAAAAAATAATAAAATAAAATATTATTAAAATAATATATAATTATAAATTTATTTTAATATATAAAAAAATTAATTACATTAATTTATTAAAAATTAAAAAAAAATCGGAAAAATATAAAATAAAATTAAACTTATAAAAAAAAAATTAAATTTATTATTATATAATTTTTATATTTATTAAATATTAATAAAACTTTATTTATAAAATTAAAATAAATTTTATTAAATTATAATATAAAATAATTAATAAGTTATTTTATTATAATTTTATTATTTATTTAATTTTTTTTTAATGTAATAAAATATTAATTAATATATTTTATAAACTTTTTTTTAAATTAATTTATTTATAAATTTTTATTTTTAAAAATAATTTTAAGTTTAAATATTTTTTTAATAATATTAATATATTTAATAAAAAAAATTTATAAATAATTTTATAAATTTTTTAAAAAAACTTTAATAATTTTAAAAAATTTTATAATTAAATTATTAAATTTTATAATATTTATATTAAATTAATTAATTAATTAAGTTTAAATTAAAAATTTACCGTGGTTTATTATAATTTTACTTTTATTAAAATTAAAAATAAACTTAAAAAAAATAAAATTAAATTTTTTTTTTTTATATTAAAATATTAATATATAACTTTAAAAATAAACCCGTTAAAACGTTTAATTTTAACTTTATAATTAACTTTAATTTAAACTTTTTTATATTAATATATAAACTTTTTAATTTAATTTTTCTTAATAAAAAATTTTTAATTATTAATTTATATATAATATTAAATTATAATTCGTATTATAAAATACGAGAAAATAAATTTTATATATTTTTATATTATAATTTAATTAATTATTTTAATTTTTTACTTAAAAATTAATTTAAAAAAAATATAAACTTTTATAAAAAAAAACCGCTTTATTATTTATATAAATAACGTTATATAAAAAATATTATATTTTAAAATAATTATATAAATAAATAAATTATTTTTAATAATTTTAAATATAACGTTAAAAACATTTTTTTTAATATAATTAATTATATTAATATTTAATTAATTAAATTAATTTTAATAATATAACATTAAATTATAAATCGGGGGGTTCGTAAGGTTTAAAAGCCCCGAAAACCTTTATTTTAACCGTTATTTTATTATTTAATAATTCCATTAAAACTTTATTAATAAAATTAAAAAAAACAATATTAAATAAATTATTTTCGAAATTATAAATACACGAAAAAATTATTAAAAGAGCTTTAATATTTGTTAAGAATGGTATAAGTAAAGTTAAAATATTTTAATAAGAAACGGGGTGGCCCGGGGGGGTGTGGCCTGTGGGTGGGTCCCCCATGGTATCCATATGGTGTGGTATGACGGTTTTATTTGGTGGAATTATTGTTTTAGCTGCGAAATCTTTCACCCCAAAAGGCGTCCTGGGAAGGATTTAGAATCTACCTAGGAATTTGCCGTCCATCCATCCATCTCTACTCTTATAAACCGCCAAGATAGATACCAAGATACTTTGCATTAGACTTAGACCAAGGAACTTCCTACTAGAATACTCTAAATAACACTACATACCTACTATGCAGCGTATTACTCCAAGGTCTGTGACGCCCTCTCGTTCCCTTCAAACCTGTGTGCTGAAGATACGATTCCAGCGTTTCCCAAGACTTCTAGGTTAGCTCGCGCTATGTTCGAAACGCCCATGCTTGTTTCGAGCACAGTCACAATAGGCTTGGTTCTGCGACGCTCAGTCCTAAATATCGTTTTACTACCGCCGTTGGGCATGCGGAAGTTAAATTGTAAGACGTACCTCCCAGTTTGAGTATTCTGTCGTCGGTAAATATCCTAACTGCCTACCTGCTGTGTTTGTTAGTGCTAGGCGTACTTTATTGTTTTACAATTCGTGCAACTACTAATTTCAATCCGGCAGCATTTACACAACGGCAATTAGCTTCATTATCCTGCTAATTTCGGATTCCTAACCGATGAACTAGAATAGATTCTAGGTACCTGCGCTCCTTTCGAAAACTCCCGATCCGGAGATAGTAACTATGGAATACGTGCTAGAGAAACCTCATGGTACACGTCGCCTATTCGAGCTGCTGACACTAAAGGCTCTCGTAGCTTTTGGCACGACGAAAGCTCTTCGCGGAATTTTGAGGCTTCTTCCGCAGATCGCGGTTGGCACTACTATATTACTATTCGGGTCATACCTATGGTCCTCGCACTTTGCTAGTGTCACTACAAATCCTGGTTACCGCAGGGTCACATTCGAGACTGCTGGGGCTGCAAGAGGGGATGTAGGCGGCCGTGGACTAAGGATTGTAGTGTTTGGGGGTGGGGATGTTGCCACGCCAAATCGGGTATCGTGGAGAGTTGATGGACCTACCTCGGCTTGGACGGATATCCTTTGCCTACAGGTAAGACTCATGATTAAAAGAGAGCCTACATTATTGACAACTGCTAACTTTTGGTCACTCAGTTGAATTGTAACCCTTATCTTTCATATGTGCCACTCACAGACAGTGACGAAGGTGCTTTCGTATCGAATTCATTATTCGAGGCTGCTCTAGCTCGTACATCAGCGGGAGATGATGACACCACTGCACGGCTTGATTACTCCTGGCTAGCCCAGAACTATCCAGTTCCATCCCATAAAGATCTTCTTCATCAAGTTGAGGCTTTCCTTGCCAGTCCTCTTCCTCGAAGCCCACCTCGAGAGACGCTGTGGGTTTTCAATATCGGGTTCTGGGATATATGGAGCTTATCAGCATTGCCTCTCAAGGTCGCTACACGACTCATAGAGACTCAAGCACAACATGTTCTCTCGCAGATAGAATTACTCTACGAGGAATCACATAAGAACGATTCAGTTGCTTTCTCAGACTATTATAACAGCATGGGTTCGAGTCCCATGCACATCACTAACAAGGACCCCTTACCTGGAGTCCCTTTCCGCGTATTTATACCGAAACCATTCGATGTATCCATGACGCCTGGCTTTGAAAATGCCCGTTTCGCACCTCCGCCGCCACACGTCAAGGCCGAACAGATGCGTAACGCGGCGTTTCTTACCAAGCACTGGGATAAGGTAATTCAGAACATGCTCAAAGAGTGGATAACTCTTCCGGACTTGGTGGAAAAGAGCGCGAATATAAATGGGGTTCCCATGCCGTCTGCCCGCCGTGAAGCTATATCATATGATATCTCTAGCTATATCCAGGAACTTATTGCCGAAAACCAGCTGCGGAGCGCGGATCTCGTCGATCATCATGCGCTTGAGTCCGTAGCAATGACTGAGGGGTATACAGAAGTATCGAAGCCTTGTGTTCAGAGGAACTATGTTTTTGGCGGGAATAGCAGTGGCACCGAAAACGCGACGGAAAATGATGGGTGGACTGTGTGCGATGCACCTGATGAGCATCTATTCCAGACCGAATTCACAGTCAACCGACGGACCATTTTCGAAGTTGGCAAACGGGCTGCTAAGCTATTGAAACGACACATGGAGATGGACGCAGAGTGGGTTAAGAAGGCTCAGCTACCACTGTCCTCTCTGCGTAGAGGAGCTGATGGAGAACCTCAGACTCAAGACTTTTAGATATGGTGCAATGATTTACTCAGGTTAGGTGGTTATTCAAGGTAGTGGATGATACATTTGCTTTTCTAATTTGCTTTTTTTTCATTAAAGGGGGGTGGCACCTGAGTTGTTTTGTCCTAGCAACTGAATAACGCACACCCAGAAAGATGTAGTCATAATATTCCTAGTTGATGCACACAGTATTACTCCTATCCTTTGAAAAATGTATAAACGTATAAAATAATAGGAATTCCTTGGGCAGTAAAGCAAAACCCAAAACCGAAAATTCCAAAGGTCCATAAATTCTGGAATAATACCGGGAGTATGGATCCTCCCGATGGCCCGGCGGCAGAGGATCCTTACATGCATTCAAAGTCTTTACTGTCGGATTTGGGATTTATAACTTAGGCGACGAACCGCCATCCCAATATACGGGCAGTCACTCTCAAACGAATCGATTCGGGCCTATATGGTTGCACCCTGGGGGCCCATTTGAATTCCCCTTTCGAACGCTTTTAGATCTTTGCTCGCCTGGCCCGGACGACTTGACACTTGAGGCGAATCCGCCTATTCAGCTAAATGAATCGAACACAAAATGGGTACTGTTCCTGGACAATCGTGTCGCTTACCTCCCGCGCTCCAAAAATTTCCAAGCCAACACCTTCCCAGCCAGTGAGCCAGTCACTACTGATCATATCAATTGTGGTCGAATTGCTCCTGATTGGACTGGGGCGTGGATTGTATTCCTTCATGGAGTATATTGGCTACCTCCGGAACCGGATGACACTCATTTAGCTATGTTTATGGGGGAGTCACACGATGAATTGTTGCAATTTGATCGCGATGGACGCTGCTGTGTCAATTACAACTACGACTCCGCCAATCAATTTTCTGAATGCTCTGATATTCATTGATGGATCAGGCGAGATGTATGTTGAAAGTGGGTTTTACGGAAAGGGGGCGATTAAAGTACCAGAATCAAAATTCATTGCTGTCATTCGAGGTTCCGTACAACCTTTGAACCGTCCACCGTTTACGCAGTGGAATAGTCTCAGGAGAGCTGCCAATGCTTTCGATGCTGCGGACCACAGCTCCGACACCCCACAACAAATTAGTGTTACTATCGGAGAGATAGCTCATGATATTGGCCGCGCATAAACGTAACGGTGTCATAACAAATAGTGTTTGTTCGTCACAGAACAGCATCAACAATGAATTCTATTTAATAAGAGGAAAGAAGAAAAGGGGTCAAATGTGGGGAACCCCGATGTGAGTGGATTACATAATACAAGCGACTCTGGCTTGGTGGGGTAGGACTAACCCCGCCCCCGCCTTAGTAGCCTCCAACGTACTATCATGGATGTACGGTAGCTGGCTGGTAGGGAACTAAAATTAGGTCTTAGCACATTATTACAGCTGCCCTTGCCATTCACTCTGAACCCCTCTTCTCTCATTTCTTCTTGTTGTTCACAGGAAGAATCATTACCTGGTTGAGCTCATGACAGCTTCAATTTGCCTCTTGAACGATGCCTCTAGCCCCTCCAGCGGAAGGCATATTCCCTACAATAGAGGACTGCGAGAGAGCGGTGCAAGCTCACGCAGCAGCAGAGGGCTATGCCGTAGTTTTACACGCGAAGGCCAAATCGAAACGTACTGGCGAATATATCAGATATCTAATCCGTTGCGATAAATCAGGGAGTTTCCAATCTAAAGCAACAATCGGAATTAAGAAGACTACCACTAAGAAGACCAACTGTCCATTTTCTTGTGTCATGAATAAACGTCAGGATGGAGTCTATTTCGCCGTGACCGTTCCACAGCATAACCATCCCCCGTCTAACAACCCCAGCGAGCATGTACAGCACCGAAAGTTGACCGAAGATCAACGACGCTTCATAGAGGCTGGTGCTATGGAGAAGAAGACGGTCAGATCTATTCATGAGGAACTCCTTAGGGCATATCCGGAATGTCTCGCTAAACTTGAGGATATTGGGAATCATGTCCAAACTTGGAAGAAGAAGGCGAAGGAGAACGCTACGGGAGTGCAAGCTCTCCTAATAAACCTCCAAGAGAGAGAAGACGTCTGGAGCTTCCCTTTAGAAAGAAACGGTAGCTTAGAGGGTATGTTCTGGGCTCCAAAATGGTCTCAATCTCACTGGCAGCGACAACCGGATATTCTCATAATAGAGACGAAACACATGATTAACCAATCCGTTCTCCCCGTTATCGAGATGAATAGCGTCCTGGCCGTGAATTCGCAACTCGGTGCTGGTTATGCTATTCTTCCAGACAAGAATGACCCTACACTTTGCTGGCTTATGCAAGCTGTGGATAAACTCCGCCAACGCTTGAGAATCCCCAAGCTACAGATCCTCAACATAACAGACTTCAAAACCGCCGAGAGAAATGTCCTAGTTGAGGTTCGCGTCGGACGAAATCTGCGCGTCGTCTGTGGAAGACTCCTCGACTCCGGGATGGAAGCGTCTGGTAATCAGGATGACGTCAACGATGACCAGAGCTTCGGACCAATTATGCGGGAATGATCACGATCATTTTTAAGCGCCTACTACGTGTATGAATGTTGATCTTACAAGTATCGCCCAGTCACAAGTACAAGGATAATATGCTGTTCTCAGGGGCAAACTCCAATGTTAACGATTCAAAAAACGAGTGGCGCCTAGGTTGGTTATACTTAAGGACTTAGTCTTGAATTTGGAGTCATCACGAGGTTTATGCTGACGCGACTGAAATTTGCCATGGTAAAAGTATATCCTAATAATCTACACCCAAGAGATGGGGAATTACTTTCGCAGGCATTAGTATTTGTGGCTAACATGCTTTCCATTTCAAACATCTAGTCATATTAATCATGAAGTATCTACCGGAATATGAATTAATCTATTAGCAGAAATATCTATTTACTAGCTGCTAAGAAAAAATCTAATGGATATCTCAAAACAACGTCCTCAAACAGATCTCACATCGTCACGCTCGGCAGCTCAGTCAGCCCTAAAACGAAAGAACATACTGTTAGCAATCACGCATCATTCAAAGTCGTTAGCTTATATGGAGACACTCACATCCGTCTATATCCTCCTTGATGGTCTGCTCCTTCTTGCAAGCCGCGGCCTCGGCCGGCGTCTGGGTCTGAAGCTGGGAGCACTTGTCGTTGGAGCATCGAGCGTCCAATGCGCGTTGCAGGGCGTCTCCCTTCCAACCAAACATGTAGTCACCATGCCAGCCATAGCCGGTTTGGTCGTCCATACTGTATACGAAGGGCTGGCTACCATCCTCAGGCCAGATTGAGGGGTCGTTGAACTCTCGAGTGTCCCACATTACTTCGTACATGACTTGCGGCAAGCGCACCGGGTGCGTCGACGGGCATGCGCTGGACATCTCGAAGCTCCCGCTCGACGGATACGCGACGTGGCTCTTGTGGTCGGGGCTGTCCAGGTTTTTACCATCCCAGCAACTGGAGGAAGTTGGTTAGTTGATGCTCAGAGTTCCTCTCATATTCGGCTGAGGTTCTTGGAGTTAGGGCGTGATATCTTGGGACTCACGTTGGGAAGGTAATGGTAGCACGGATACCGCCGTCGCATTGCTTGTTTGGGAGTGCAGCTGTATCCATTTGTGGGTCTGCACAGGGTGCACCGCCGAAGGGAGTCTGGTTGACGTTGGTGTAGCAGCGGTGGCAGAGCTGCTTTTGCTGACCTTGGGCTGTGCGTAGCATGGCCTCACCGACGAGCATTCGGAAACCCTATGAACTCGTTAAAGGGTGTCTCGGCGACTTACTTTCTCGATGGACTTACCGGCTTGAAGGCGGTAACCTGGGTGTGGCCGTCATAGGGCGGGATATAGTAGACGGTCATTCCCTCCTCACCTTGAAGACCCTATTGGGGTGTGAGACAAAATCCAAAATCGGGAGCGGAAATACTTTCTACGTACTAGGTTAACCATCTGCTTCACCCTCTTGTAAGTCCCGTTGCGGGCTTTGAAATACAAGTTGGCTGTCCAGTAGTTGGAGAAATCTTCGCTGAAAGAGCAAGTTGTGCAGGTCGATTCTGAGGGAAGGTCGTATTCAACAGGTGCCATAGTCGCATTAAACGAGTTTCCGCCGACAACCTGATGTATATGGGGCGATTGGATTAGGCCCGGAGACACGAGGGGGTCTACACGCTCGACAACTAGTCTGCCTCCCGTGTTAGAATTCGCGCCTTTCTCTTTCTGTCCAAGGGTCTGGTATCAAACACAACTTACCTAGAACACTGGAAACGCATCATGGCCGCCGTGGCATACTGGGCAGAGACTTGCTGCGGGATCGCCGCAGCGGCTAGGAAAAGGGTCTTCCACTGCATGTTGATAGGGAGAAGCAGCTGCAATTGATCTGCACAGGACAAGATTGGGCTGAACTGTAGATCAAAAGGGACTGGCATGAACGGATCAAGGATGGGAACAAATCCTTATATATCTCACGAGGTGTCGTACGGAATTCCCCTTTGAGGATGTCGTGGCAAGGTCGCCGGGTAAAGTGCATTTTGCCCAGTCTTCAACCAACTGCCGAGGACAGCAGTCGAAATATAATTTGACCGAGTGGACAGTTACCTCCGAGTACCTAGTTATGAATTATTGAAATGCCTCTGCTATTGGCCAGAAATGAACAGATGTTGCAGAAGACGCGGGTTGTGCTGCTGTCTAGTCCAGGTGTTCTATATTGGGATATATGAGGGAGCAGGGCTGGCCCAGCAATGGTGCAGTAGCATTTCTATATCGTTTTCTCCCGGATAACGGGAAGAGATGATCTGCAGGAAGGCGAACCTGGAATTCGCGTGCGCGGGATGTTATGAGCCTCTGCGTGACTTTAATTTGAGGTTCTATTCAGGACCGAAACGTGGCGTTTTTATCCCATTTACTCGGTTCGGGCTTCGTGATATATGATGCTTGACAAATACTTACCCAGGCCGGTGGGCCTTTCCAATAAACTCGATTCTATAATATTCTCTTCGGGACACTTAGAGTTACTTACCTGACGACCTTGAGTTGTGGTAATGAAATACTCCGATTACGTCTGCTAATGCCTAGTACTCTTACTTCATCTAATCAACTGTAGATAGCTCTGGTCACCCGTATAGCTATGGAGAATGCGATTCACTCGGGTCCAAAATAAATTTATTAAGCTTGAACTATCGTCTAAGTCATGTCAGTACGCTGTTTAAATAATCCCCACCGCGTAGATATGCACCTAACAACCGGTCTCTATGAGAATGAATCTTGTTCATACTAATTTCACACTGACATCGCGATGCTATTACAAAGGTACCTTAAAGTCAATTAACCTCGCTTTTACCTATACTTTTTATTATAAAATCTTTGGATACCATTACTGTGATTCCGATAGTAAGTCTAATCGAATGTAAGAGATGCTTACGTACATGGTGGCTGCCCCTTTTCCCAGGTTCGTACTTTGCTTAGTCAACTCCACGAGGAAATGTGGATCTATATGATTTCACTACCTAGGTACCTATATAAGCCAGCTGCTGCCAGCTGGCAGTACCTTAGCAGGCTTAGGTAAGTTAGCTACCGCTTGTAGATCCCGTCCTGCCCGCCAAGCTGCCCGCTAGCTCAAGCTATCATAGTAGGGGAGGGGCACACCGAGCTTGCCGGTTATGGTGCGTTATCGACCTATTCAACTGTCCAGTCGGGAGGTTCCAATTAAACCTTATGACCTGTGACCTTGTGGTGAAACATACGATCAATACTGTCTGTCCGCTAGATTTTCAATTGGTCATATTTCTATAAAGGGTCTTTGTTTCTGTGTTGCACAATGTCGAAGCGGTTCAGTCAATCTGCCTTTTTACGACCACAATTCCTAAGAACCAGACCCCCTCCTCGACGATCATTCACAGTTGGCGCAAACCGGCCCAATAAGTCGCGTTGGGCCAACGGAGCTGCTGTTGCTGTCATTTCATTATCGGGTTTGCTCTTCGCAATGGTATCTTCGACCCAGACTCCTTCCGTAGCTATATGCCACCCAATTGACTAAGTCCGCGTGCTCCAGGCGTCCCAGAAACCGGTTAAGTTCGATGCCCGCTCACTCGCCGAGCTCGACGAGCGAACGAAACGCGAAAAGGGCATTGATGAGAATTCCCCTATGCGTTTGCGTATGGAGCAGTTCATTCGCGAACAGCAAAAGGCCATTGTTTTCGAGCTTGAGAAATTGGACGGCAAGAGCTTTCGTGAGGACACGTGGTCCAGGGAGAAGGGAGGTGGTGGTGTCTCCTGTGTCTTGCAGGAGGGCAACGTGTTCGAAAAGGCTGGCGTGAACATCAGTGTCGTGTATGGGACGCTGCCGAAGCCTGCTATTGCAAAAATGAGGGTCAACCACAAAAATCTTGCCGAAGCCGATGAACTCGACTTCTACGCGCTAGGTCTGAGCATGGTCCTGCATCCTCACAACCCAATGGCACCAACCGTGCACCTAAACTACCGCTACTTCGAGACTATGCTGCCGGACGGTACGCCACAAGCCTGGTGGTTTGGCGGAGGTAGCGATCTGACCCCGAGCTACCTATTTGACGAGGACGCCGTACACTTCCACAAAACATTGAAGGAGGCTTGTGACAAGCATAACAAAGACTACTATCCCAAATTCAAGAAATGGTGCGACGAGTACTTCTGCAATACGCACCGGGGTGAATCCAGAGGTATAGGTGGTATTTTCTTCGACGATCTGGACGAGACTGTGGCCGATGCCGACAACACTTTCGCCTTCATCCAAGACTGCCTTAAGAGCTTCTTGCCCTCCTACTTGCCTATCATGCAAAAGAGAAAGGACATGCCTTTTACCGCAAAGGAGAAGGAGTGGCAGCAGGTGCGGAGAGGCCGATATGTGGAATTCAACTTAGTTCACGATCGTGGAACAGCGTTCGGTTTGAACGTCCCTGGTTCCAGAGTCGAGAGCATTCTAATGAGTCTCCCATTGACGGCGTCTTGGCGGTATATGTATGAGCCTGAGCCGAGAAGTCGGGAGCAAAGACTAGTCGAAGTTCTCAAGAACCCCAAAGAATGGGTGTAACGATTTGCTTACGCGAAATGTAGACCACGAATATACTGGAAAGGCGCAAGAAGAGGAAACTTACAAGGGCTGTGTACAAAATCAGATACCATTTACTTAATAGATACACAGGTATATACAAGAAGTTACGATAATATCTTATTGCATTTGTCTTATTATTTTACACCTGTATCGACTTTATGATCTTGGTCACTTTGTGATATGGGAGTCGTTGCAAGTACATAGGTAGGTAGGCATGTATTCCGTAGATAGTGATAACGTATTGACTAAACTGTAGTTAATCGTACAACCTGACATTTCACATATCCATAATAAAAAATCAATCCCTTGTCTCTAATAAGGCTGATAATAGAGTTTTGGTAGATCGTCTGTATTCTCAATTAGAGTTTATTGGATAATATGGGTGAGGACCCGACAGGACGGGAACCGTTTCAACTTTTTGACGTTGGACCATTTAATGTCCCGAGAGCACGTGCCAAGTCTTGATTTCGTGTAAATCATTAGGTGGATTAATCTTGGTGGGGCTGTGACAGACGCGGCAGGAAAAAAGACATGGAACCTTAGGAACCTTGGAAACCTTGGAAGGTCCTACCCGTATGAGGTGGTGTCATCAAAGAGAAATCGAAAAAGACTATAACTCGGCTTCGAAAGCTTAAAAAAAGTAAACCAAGCTCAACTTTTTTTCTTCTTCGCTCGTAACTAATAATGACATAAATTTTTGGAAACACGCACCTTTTCACCCTTCGTAACCCCTCTTGATTGAACCAGCCTACTTTAATATTACGCTCATTTACAAATCTCTTACGTCGACGCGATCGTCGTTACATGTATATATACAAACGTTACGTTGCCTCACCTTTAAAGATCGTGTCGATCCTTGACATCTGGTCGATCCATTTTTCTACGTATCCCACGTATGCGACAGCACCACAGACAAACAATTTGTCTTTTCAACGTCTGGAAGCTGTCGCGTAGTACATTCATCCTTGTTTGACACATTACACTGTCTACAGGAAATCTAACGCTATCTTATCCGAGTCATGTTCGGGGTTGTCTTGCCAGATCTAAATTATTAGATCCAACCCGTCGGAATGCTTTCACACCTTCGCTTCCATAGACGGGGCCCGTCCACTCCCTCGTCTCCCATACCCGAAAACAGCCCCTGGGATACTGCCGCCCTTCAACCAGCCCAGCTCGTCCCTGAAGATGGTGTTCCAGCTCCCGAGATCCGCTTACGGTCCGATGCCGCTGTTCCCTTCGCCCATGCTCATGGACAGCCAACATCGCAATCATCTCAACCCACATCGCCGTTATCGCAGCAGCAGCAACCTTCTCAACATAATCAACCACCAGTCTTGCCCCCAATTGCCAAAATCTCTTCGGCCGATTCCGATCTATCCATAGACCTTGCTAATCTCGACTCGAAACAACGCGAAGAATCGAAGCAAGAACTGAAACCTCTACCGCGATCGCCTTATAATGAAGACACCGGGTTTATTGGCGGGCTAGCCTTACAGAATTATCGCCGGGAGCAAGAGGCACTAAAACCAGGCTCCTTAGATAGAAATACGACAAATGCGTCCGATTCTGTATCGCCCAGTGCCCATCCTAGTGTAACTAACTTCTCGAGCTCGAACCGTCCACCACCACCTACTAGACCTATCAAGGCTGCCTCCTCCTTCATCCCGCCTACCTCGCTTCAGAATGCTACTTCAACGAATAAACGATCAACAAGTGCCAAAATGGCACCAGAATCGCCGGCCTTACCATCCCAAGGCATGTCTCTTGATGCGCCAAGGGGCAAAAAGGGTCTTCCTTTTCTCAAAAATCCTATGTCAACACTGTTATTGCGGAGGAAAACTAGCCAAAATGTACCAGATCTGACATTACCATTACGCGGTCACGATGAAGAACCTACGTATGATCCTCGTATTAGAGGAACCCGAGTTCACGATTTTAGTGCTCCACGGCCGAGAAAAGTCGTCTCTATCAACGAGCCGACTAATTTAGGCGTCGAGAAGCCTCGTCAAGACACTATATCACCTACCGCGGAGTACAACTCCCCTGTTACAGAAGCGCCTCCAGTTCCCCCGAAGGACGACAATTCCCAGTCCACCCGATCGTCTTCAACTTATTCTCGGACAATATCGGTAGATGCTGCATCTCTGCAGAAGTCCCAAGATTCTAGGAATAGTCTTCCTAGTGTTGGATCTAGGAATGGACAAAATAGCCAGAGGCGGAAGAGCTCTATTCCACCTTCACTTATGTCATTATCTCGTAACGTTTCAGAAGCATCCGCTCGAGATGTCCTCTCGTCATTACCCAGGCATATGAAAAGCACGTCTTCCCGGTTTAGTTTTGATATGATCGGTGCGGCAAAGCAAGAGAAGCTGCTGGAAGAGCGACACCGGCAACGACAGCAGGATAAAAAGGCAGATGAGACACTCGATCAGCGGGATTCCCGTTTTGATGATTTCGATGAAGATGCATTTGATTATGATGCGATGGATTACGACGATGGTCTAGAAGAACGTATACCAGGGGTAAATGCTGATTATGAGGAGGAGGAAGAGTTTTGCGGCGTCGATGATGACCCAGATAATGATCAAGAAAATTTTGCAGGCTTCGTTTTCCAGAGATCTAACCCCATATCAGAGATAACGAGCCCTCATAGTGCCGGATTGTTACCTACGCCTAGGGATGAAAGTGGCAATGCCATTGGCTATGCAATGACTGAAGAAGACTCGTCGAATATTCCGCCGCCTTTGAATATTCCCGTTAATGACCGAAGCGAAGCTCCCACGCAGCAGCCGTCGGAGGGTGATACTCCGACAGGCTTGGGTATTCAGGGACTTGGAGCTGTTAACGAGATGCCTGAACGGATGTCCTTTCAGCAGCAATCGCAAGAAACCACGACACAAAAGCCTCTCTCCAAGGATGATGAACTGTATTTCAATGACGGACTTATTCACGATTTCGATGGAGAGGGTGATGGTTCGGCTTTTGATGAGTCTATATTTGACCTGGAAGATACAGATCAATATGGTCGACCTATACCTGGATTGTTTGCCAATGCGCTATCGCAAAGACAAGCTGCCCAAGAGGCAAAGAAACGAGAATCTGATATGACATCTAGGTTGTCAGCACAATCCGAAATCTCGCAGTCTACTGCTCACACCTCGGTCAGTGCTGATCTACAACCTAAACCAATGGAGTTAGAAATAAATGAGGAAAGGGTCCCACGCATTGAGGAGCGGCAGTCATCTATTTCAGGCTTACCAGCTGCAGACCAAGATCAAATAGCCGCCTACCAAGCAGCTCTGGCAGCGGCGGCTCATCAAGCTGCTGCTTCTGGGAAGTTCCGAAGGGATTCATCTCCTCCTCCACCTGCGACGTTAACCATAACGTCCCCTACGACATCCGGATCTTCCCAATCCCAGGGCCATCCCGAGGAAGTCGATGATTACGAATATGATAATGATTTATCGTCAGGATTGGATGATTATGAACTCGATGATGATGATATCATCGCAGAAGCTAATGCAAGTGCCCTTGCTAATGATTCAGATGGTTGGTATGGACAAGAATTCGGTTTTTATTCTGCACCAACGCCACTACATGTCCATCATGGTCCCAGTGTCCTGAGTGAGAAAAATATCTACCAATACTCTCACGGGGGCTATTTTGGTCCAAGCGGTGTCAACCGGTCTACCTCGGGCCGTATTGTCTCCCGTGAGCCGAATTTGACGCCTATCACTGAACGCTCTGAGTATTCAAACCGGAATTCAATCATGAGTTTAGGCGTACCTCAAAGCGCAAATCCTAACGGGCCGCTGCAGAGTCCTGGCTTAGCTCAACTGGCGATGATGGCTGATGACGATAACATGTCTCTGTCCGCTCTGCTCCGGCTACGCTCCAAGGCGTGGGGCGACTCTCAAGCGTCGCTCGTAAGCTCGCGCGACGGTTCACCTAGTGATAGGAATGGCGCTACCAGCCCGTGGGGACAAGACCCGCTCGGCATTGGACCTTCGCATGGGCGCAAGAATTCAGCCTTTTCTATCTTCAGCCAAGACTCGACAGGAGCGGGCAGTGGCTCGGGAAGCCCTACACTAACCATGTCGATGCCTGGCGTTCCGAACCATGCGATCCCTCCCCTCAGTGTACCATCTATCTCGAACCCTGCTTCCACCACATCCCCCGTCAGCGCACCAGTCTTTTCTCCTTTACAAACATCTTCAGTGTGCCCACCTGTGTTTGAAGACGAAGAGACCAGTCCGCTTGACGAGAGAAAGACCGAAACGAGAAGCGCGAGCACGTCAGCATCAGGCACATTGTCAAGGCCATTTTCGGAGACTATGAGTCCAACTGTGGGTATGCCCTCGCAAAAGAGGCCGGGCATGGGGCACAGGCATAGAGGAAGTGCGGACAGCATTTCCTACACGAAAGAAGAAGACAGTGGGGAAACGCGATGGATCATGGAAAGGCGCCGAACCTCAGAGTCAGGCGAAATTGAAGTCCTTGGTCGGCAGGTGGTCGATCGGGGCAGGATCTAGTGGCTTCTGAGATATCTTCGAGATTTGTGATCGAGCGATTGCTCCATTCTCGCTATCTGCAAAAGTATAAGGACAGGAGACCCGGCGCAACGGTGGTAAGGTGATGACATATGGAGCACGCCCCCCGACTTACATGTCACGCTTGCTCGGTTTCTATAACGTAGCATCAGGGGAACTAAGGGCTGGTAGCATAGATATATAAGGGTTTGCCGGAGTACAAAAGGATTGGGTCATCTGGCTTTCTTGGATTCAACGGAGGCTATCGGGCACAGAGTGGCTTTAATCGTGTATATCTACGCAAATCGTTGTATAAGTACAATGACGCCTGTCGGCAGGCAGGATTAATGTTTACTATCCCATAATCACCATGTGTTATGAACTGGCTTATATTTTGGGTCACCAGCGCTCGACCAAGTCATGTTCTAACATATTGGCAGCGGTTAATAAATAATACCAATCTCACGATGTTCTGTGCTATTGTTACATTATCATGTAGGTAGCCCCTAGCTGAATCCCAGGTGTGGTGATACGATTGAAGGCTGGAGGCTGAGGGATGGAGGATGACGTCAGCTTTGCGGAACAAGCGTAGCCCCTGCATCTCTCTATTTATCGTGTACCTAGGTATGCTCAGACTCAGCTAGGTACTCCAAGAATAATACATCTAGAGTTGAAAGAAGCTACACATACTCCCTAGTGTCGATTATTTACAGCCACATGCGTAACTTGTGGGGCCTCATTCCAAGTATTGCATCATAGCCATTCTCTACTCCGTAGTAGGATGTCTTTATCAGTTCACTCAATTCATTCACGCTCAAGAAATCTGTGAGAAAAGAATACATCTATTGCTAGGCTTTTTAACATACGATGAAACAGCTTCCAGAGATTGGGGGTTTAGGCAAGCCGTCGCCAACTGGGCCAAGAGCTCCATCTATTCGACGAGGGAGGTTGTCATGGCGATATGTCCTCTGCTCATTAATCGCAAGTTACATTGTATATTGTTACGCGTTCTCATTGCCCCTTTTCGCTCATCTACTTCCTGAATACAGTGGTCCGTATCCAGTTGGGGCGGTCGATGTCGAGGTCCCCCTTGCGTCGCCTCGCGTTGTTGATACGGCGCGACTAAAGGGGTCAAAAGAGAAAGCATTTGAGATAGAGACGGTACTCTTCACGATCTATTATCCAGCAGCGCAGAACGCTGTTAGCCAGAAACCGAAGCACTACTGGATTTCGAAACCTATCTCGGCGACGACTGCCGGATATGCCAAGTTTGCGCATATCGGCAATTTTGTCGTGGACAAGCTCCTGGCCGGCGCAGTAGGCGCTCTCGTCGGGAACATACAGGTCCCCGCGCAGGTTGATGTGTCACTGGCCGACCTAGTAGCTACCGTTACTGAAGTTCCGGAGACTCGAGACGATGTTCGGGAGATAGAGAAAGTGATACGGATCGCGGAGGGTGGCCATCCAGTTATCATATTTTCACACGGCATGGCTAGCGGTCGTACGAGTTACACCCACTACGCCGGCGAGTTAGCGTCGCGGGGCTACGTCGTCGTCATGCTCGAACACAGGGACGGGTCCTGTCCGGGATCCATCATCACGAAAAACGGCGAGCCGGACAAAACCAAACTCCTCTTCGACGTCGGAGACGTCGAATCCGCGTCCGGGAAGGACCTAAGCGTACCCGAGTTCAAGCGCGCACAGCTCGACTTCCGGGAGGCCGAAATCGAGGAAGCCGTCCGCGTCCTAAAGCTCATCAACGCAGGGCAGGGCGACGAGATCTTCGCGAAAAGCTCGCGGGGCGAAGGCGCGGATTTCCGGAACTGGAAGGGACGCCTCAACACGGACGACATGGTGGTCGCGGGCCACAGCTACGGCGCGACGGGCGCGATGCAGGCGTTAAGGGGCGGGCCGAGCGCCGCGCGCCCGTTCAGGGGCGCCGTCGTGCTGGACCCGGGGAAGCACAGCGGCCGCCTCAACGACGACCTACGCGTCCCCGTGCTGGTCGTGCATAGTAATTCGTGGAGCAGTCGCGTGAGCCTGTTCTACGGACGCCCGCACTTCGACTCCGTGCGCGAGATCGTCGAGAACAATGTGCTAAGGGGCATGCCGAGCTGGTTCGCCACGTCGCTGGGCACGTCGCACCCGAGCGTCACGGACGCGCCGCTGCTGGAGCCGCTGTTGCTTAGCTGGACGACGGGCGCGAGGATCGATGTGTATGAGGGCTTGAGGCAGTATGTGCATGTTTCCGAGGACTTTTTATCGTTCTTGGGAACCGGGGATAAGAGGGGGTTGCTGCGGGAGAAGGCGGAGTTTCCGGAATATGACGAGGGGAAGGGGTTTGGAGTGTGGAAGCCGGGGCAGGACCATGGAGAGGCGGATAATTGGAGGCGGTATTGGCAGGTTCATGTCTCTCCTAATTAGATATTTAGTTTCGGGTTGGGGGCGTGCGGGCCGGCTGAGCTGTCAGGTATCACCACAGCTGTCGTGTTACGTAGGACCGTACCGTGAGATGTGGTGTTCAGGGGCTTGATAAATCTACGAAGTCCCGATTCACGAATGGCTAGGCCAAAGTCGTTATGTCCAGTAGCTGCTTTGGTCTGAAATGTATAGTAATCAGAAACAATTCCTGAAGCTCCTGCCGCATTCACGCAGGAGTTAGGGATGGTATACAATTTGATTAAGTCATGAAAGGCCTTATCACTGACACCCCTTTCCTGAGCGCAAAATATTCCAGCCCTATCCGGCTTCTCTACGCCACACCCCTATATACTTCCAGAACGGTGTATCCAGCTCAAGGTTGTAGTTAAGGACTTATCGGTACCGATGTTGGGTGCTCGTGAGATCATACCATCCACATAGAGCGTAAGCCATCAAGTTATGGGCTGAAACTGGACCAACCAGAGGCTTTCCACTAAAGCATCTTGCATATACGCAGGTCTCAGTACTAGGTAAAGGATCAACATGTGCGTACTACAGTAGCTGCCGTTTTGTGGGGGCTTAGAAACTTCTCAGATGCTTTTTAAGACATCCCTTATTTAAGGCTGACAGGTTGGCCTCATAAGAGTTACGATCAGATGGCGACTCTTCCCTCGGACCATAGTTTCCTCGTAACCATCATGTTGAATACAATATTCTTCCATATGCTTGCTCTCCATACAAGAGCTAAGTGGTGATGCTTGTGATAATGAAATGTTTATTGTAAGTCAACCGTTAGAAACACCCCGTACTACTATAGCTAGAATCTTATTCATACGCATATAGGCCCCAGTAACACATAGTCTTTCAAATAAAACAATACGGTACACCACGAACGATGACCACCAACCTCGGGCCTCTAACTACCACGTTCACGCCGGCGCCAGAGTGCACCGAAGTCATATCTGGGATTATATATACGCAGACCGGAACCGATGGTAATACTACCACCCACAAATATCATAGTCTCGGACCGGCCGACACATCGGAATGTTACCCGTCGCCTTTTCAGATCACATCAGCCTATTACTCTCCTGGAAGGTGCCCTTCAGGTTGGTCATCGGTGTGCGGGTCCGTTTACATTGCCAGCGGAACTATTACCGAGACCACAGCTACTTGCTGCCCACCGTACGTTTTCTATGTGCGACTTGGCCACCTCATATAGGTATATGTGATAAATCCTAATTCGAGTGTTCTTCTTCAGCGGGTATGCCTGTATGCAAGCGGCAGATGTGACAGACTCATGGTCGACATTATCATGTACGAGGGCTATCGAATCAATGGTCAACGTAACTGTACCGGATGACAGCCACCAGTACTATAGGGTCACCCAGCTCTCCCATGTCTTGGTAAATGCCGCAGCCATCACGGCGCGCTGGCAGCAGACCGACTTCGTCGCATCCGAGACCGACACATCAACGACTCCAACGACTTCAATAACTTCAACGACTTCCGAAGCTACCTCTTTCTCTTCTGCCTTTCCAACGCCTTCATCAAGCGATACCCCTTCCACTAGTGAGGACACGGGGCTAAGTTCAAACGCGCAGATAGGAATAGGGGTGGGAGCAGGACTTGGGAGTCTTCTCTTAATATTAATCGGGGCGGTGTTGGGTATAGGGATATGGTGGAGTCGTAAAAGGACGAAAAAAGGACCAAACGACACGATCGCCCATGCCACAAACCCGGAGGCTGCGAAGCCGCCGGTGGAAATGTGGGAGCTGTGGCAACAAGAGATGGAAACTTCAAACAACAGTCATGAAATGGCCACGCAGAATAACAGGCACGAAATGCCGAGTACTTCGAGGCCGGCGGAGCTACCATCGAATCGATGGAGCCAACTTTGAACGGGATAATAGGTACAAAGGTAATTGATAGTGAAAGCGGCTACACAATACATGATATTAATATACCATGCAATTTAATTAAGTGCACGAAATAACACGAAATAACATACGGGCTAAAGCTGTAGCCATGTATCTAACACGGGTAAGCGCCTACCTAGGTACCTACCTAGGTATTGTACGGAGAAACTTACATATATAGGTCGGGGGCATAACATAACTGATGGAACATTTACACACCCGTGACATAACAAAGGAGTATTAGCGAGATATATGAATAGCTTTTCCATTTAATGAACTTCTATCGGGAGACATATTCTAACGACGGATCATGATGGAACCTTCATGACGCTGAGAGTGACTTTATTCGTCGTGCTTGGGGGTAAATGCCCTCCTCCTGCAATTAGGAGTTGACTTTGATCTTCTTGGAATACGTGTAAAGATCTTGTATAAGAGACTCCTTCGGGCGTCGACACTTTCTTCCACGCGCCTTCAGCTCCTAGTGCCTCGTTGATATAAATCTCAGAGCAGCAACCTGAAGACACAATGATGGTTCCGTTTACTCCGCCGGCTGATGACCAAACAACATATGGCGAGCCAGTAGGAACAGTGCCGTCGGTGGTTTGAAGTACGTGGTGAGTGGCGCTGTTGAATGACTCCGGATCGCTGGAGAGACGGTAGTAGACGGGGAATGTTCCTGAATTTGCGGGATTCGGACCACCGCCGTATTCGTAAGTGTAGATATACTGGCCATTTGGAAGCAATGCTAGGGTAGGCATGCCAGGCCGCTGACTGTATGTAGGATATGCTACATCGTCCACCACGTCTCCCCAGTTAATGAGGTCTGTACTAGTCTGATGGACAATCTTCTGGCCGTGAGCCGGGTCTCGCTGATCAGAGTAGTAGTAGATAAGTTTGCCATTGTGAAGCAACAAGAACGGCTCCCACACAGGAGTCAGGCCGTTATTCGGTGAAGCCTGGCCCCCAGCAGCGACGTGACTGAGAAACTCCCAGGTCTCTCCACTATCCTTAGACCCGTAGAGCTCGAGGTGAGTGCTCGAGAGATTCGTCGGGATCGATGAGCCGGCCAGTAGTACGTCCCCCTTCTTATATCCTGCGAAATCCTCCGGTAACACATAGAGAAAAGGCTGGTATCTGAGACCATACCCGTAAGACTGATCGGTAACATTAGACAGCGCTGTCCACGTAGCTCCCTTGTCGGTGGACTTGTAGACGGGAAAGTAGACTGCGGGTGGCTCCGGGCTGTAGTTTTCCCATGTTGCTAAGATGTCATCGTTGGGAAGCTGAGCCGTACGCGCATATAGAACCCTAGGATCCGTATAAGTAGAAGGTGGAGTGAAGATGACAACCTGCGAGAGCTCCTTGATGCCAGACCCCTGCGCCAACACGGAAGAAATAATGGCCAAACTGGCCAACAATCGTTCACCAAGCATCATGTTCGCTAACAACGAGGTATCGATGAAGGCGCCGAAGATGTTCACACCGAAGTCTACCTACACAAGTTTTATTTTGTTTATATAGTTGCATCCCGGGCTGGCCGGTTAAACCTATTCAGACATTCGCTGTACTCTCCGCCGAATAGCTCCGCTAAATCAAGATCTCCCATTGCTACCCCGGATTTTGAGCCGAGCCAATCAAGAGTCATCTCCAAATACGAACTTGGTAAGGTCCACAGTCTAGACCTATGCCGATTCATGGAAATATCTTAGTCGTATTTCAATTGCCCAGCAACCGGAATATCATAGGCCTCAAATGATCGGCAAGTTCCTGACTGCTTGTCGTTCTCCACGTGTCTTGAACAGCTGACTGCGATTTTATGCTTCCAAGAGCCTCCTTATGCGCGCCATTAAAACGAAGAAAACACGACGAGATGAGTGGAAGCTAATTAAGCAAAGGACTAAACATCGTGCGATGTTGTCGCATGGATGTTCTAAATATATCACTCGGCCGAAAGCGAAGGGGAATGTCCGCTAACAGAGTTCAACACAATCAGCCTATATACAATTCGTACCTTATTGGGCTGAAAATGTATCAGCAGAAATACGGGATTAGACTTAGACTATGATGTTTCTCACAGCTTAGGATAGGGAAGTTTATAGAACACTCGGTACGACAATATAAGTACTAAGACGGCGTTTAAGAACAAGTTAAGACTATGACCATTTGACCCCTACGAATTTGGTCTATCTACATACGTAATGTCTAGGAAATCTGTAACTCAATGCTCTCAAAAGATTTGACATCTACGCCACGTCAAGAGGCTATGTTGATGCTGTACCACTATGACAGAGGTCTACTCTGTCGAGAGGTCTAGTAACTGGGGGCCTAATGGGACGGGATGATATCCAATAAGATTATTCACGCCCAAAGGGCGTAAACTTTCGGCTCTTGAAAGAATGGGTGGAGTCCCGGGAAGGCCATCTGGTGGCTGGCCTTAGAGCAGATTAGACAAGGGGCTTTTCCTGTATGTATACCATAGTCTCTTGGGGAGACAGTTCACAGCTCCTCACACAACAACATCGCTGTTTCCCATCTCCTTAGTTCCGCCTCATGATACATCAGACACGATGGGGCTAGGCTTCGAATAATACATCAGCAACTGTCTCTATCATTATTATATCAAGGTACCAAAAATGGATACCTCTACAAAAGCCTGGAATAATCTTAAACTTATACCTATGTTGTTGCCTACATCATATCAACTCGACAAAACCCCAGAGTGTCATGTCTTGCAAATCCGCAATAACCTCTATAGAAGGATACTACAGTGGAATTTTATCATTATGATAGCTGAGATACTTATCTTATTCATTGAAGCACGTCGATATATTTCTTGTAAAAGGGGGAAATAGACCGTATTGGTGTGCCTCCTAGGTAATCAACGAGATCATAATCTCTCAGCAAGAAGTTAGCTAAAATCATCAGTTATACAGAGTCTAATAACCTGACATCAATCAAGTAAGTTCAGCTAGTTGAGTCAAGTAAACTTGGGTATGTTCATACGTTAACCAAGGTTATAGGAAGTTCGTATTAAGCGAACTTGCATAGGTATCTCTTAGCTCATAACTAGAAGACGTGCCTTTTAGTTCATTGAAGGGAATTAGATCATTGTCACCGTGTGTTTCTGCATTGATGGCGATAAGAAAGAATTCAATGGCCAGAAGCCGAGTTATAGGCAACACAACGGATTACACTTGCCTTCCGAGAATAGGAGGCAGCGAGATCCAAGAACTGCCGAGGAGTTCATCAGAGAAGTAATATCCTATGCTTGGGCATACGCAGTCTGAGTTCTAATAACACAACCTATATCGAGATTCCACCTACACCGGTAGACGAATGCTATTCAATGGCTAATAGGATCATGTAATTCGTTTCCTACTGCCCTGTTAGAGGAAAGGGAGTATGTTTTTCCTTTCTACAATGTTTCTATCTAACATTTGTGGTAATTTTACTGATAATATAAAACAACTTATCTCACAGACTTATGATCTCAGGAACGAGTTTCTCAACAATTACCTGGCTATTGCTATCGGCTCCTAGGTTTCATAAATCCTGCAAAGTAGGTATCTGTTTATCAAAGAATTTTAAAGAATGACGTCTTGACTATAAAGTCCCTCTATCTGGAGATACTGGTACGTGTTAATACCTATGAGTTGGCTACCGGGAAAATGCTAGCATTATATGAAGGAGCCTAAGGAGAATCCAGGTGTTGATATTCATGAACTAATACATCTAGCAACGAGTATCTTGATACTATCATTCACTCTATTATGCAGCTACCTCTAGGGGGTCCAGCTCCTCAACACCTCAAGGATAGGTATTCTCCTAAGGAAACATTTGAACAACTGGGAAACGAAATTGGAATACTGATTCGTGGATAGCCTCTGCTCTCAATGCTGAGCTCTCAATATATCGTACCACTCACAATGTAAGGCTCGAATCATAGACAAGAAGAGTTTCATTTGACTACCTAGGTACTTTGTCTATTCGAAGATCTTCTCTGAACCGGCATAGATGGATAAATAGATATCTAATCATAACCCGCTACCATAATCACGACAACGAGAAGTTCTTTAGGAGCCACTGTGGAAAAAGCGAATATTCATTAGCTCCAAGGATCTAAATGTGATATCTTCACCTCAAGATTATGTGTAAAAGGATATGCGGACCATAAGTGCAGGTAACCGCCGTATATCTCGCCATCGCTCACGTGTGAGGTCCCAATTCTCTTTACTTGCTGATACCCAGTTTTTCCTCTCACTAGATGTTTCGTCGCCCCACGTCCACAGTGCCAAGAATGTTTCTCACAGGAACTGTATCATATCTTCGACCGGTAAACAAAACGACCGAGGCCATCGCCGTACATACGATCTAAGTGGATTAAGGCACGTCGTCCACGATGGCCCATCTAGCGGCCCGCATACTCTTTACATACACGCCCATTAAAAGCCCCAGCCTAAGTCCTCCACATGAGCCACGAAATGTTACCGGGCTCGCAAGGATTGCGGTGATCAAGTTGGAGGTCCGAGTGCCTCTATCGACGAGCATCCTGCCTGCAAAAGGTATACATTCCGTAAGACATGCCGTATCAGTATCTGTGTGTATGTATACTTATGCAAGAAAACGGATACATGGAATATCTATCACGATGCGTTCATCCACACAGGAATATCGTTATGTACGGAAATCAAGAACTAGATATTTTGACAGGTGGATTCTGGTTCTATTAGTGCTGTATGGACGGCGCCAAGCTATTTGGGTAGTAGCAGTAGAGTGATGACAGGTGGACCTCAGCAATTCGATAGTGTGCTGCAGTACTGCCGTTAGCATCTATTTGGTAGCCCATAGCTGAGCTCTGCCCGCCACACTGCGCGAAATTCTTACCCATGGATGCGACTCTGTTGCCTCTTACAGCACTGGAGTTCGGGAGCTGAGCAGTTGAGTACGGTACATGGCGCAGATGGCGTCGTCCCGGATAGGCTCCCCCGCATCCAGACTGCCAGCCCACACACACCCTGCAGGGGCTTAGAATCCAGGGCTTTCTCTCAACTGGCCTATCTTGACCCTAAGCGTCAGTGAGGCGGGCGATGCTTAATGCAGGGGCAATGTCATTATTGCATGCGCACTGTACTCCGATTGTACAATATATACAACTCTTACTCGCATAAGTACGCATATGGCATATAGAGACACATAGGCTTTCGGGGACCACACAGACAGTGGGGGTTTGTGAGATCGGGTCGCGGCTATGACGGTTAGATAGAGTATTGTCTATGCTTTCGTCAATCTACAGCAAGATCTCGGGCTTTCTAGAGATGCAATGTAAGCGGCAAATCATCAATTCAGCGGTGTGATAATGGGAGATATGGCGCCACGAGACCGGTAAAAGTTGGAGACTTGCTGTGTGATCTATGGCTTGTTTGGGCACTGAAGGAATCCATCGTGGGTAAACCGAGCCTCATCACATCACACCGATGTCGCAGCGCCGCCGGCGGGTTAGAGCACAGGAGTAGAGGCCGTAACCTATCTAGAAAGATCATCTAGTCACTATTATGCCATTATTTCCATTTAGAAGGGGAAGGTCTCTGGCGTTCTAAGGCATGAGTAGATCGCGGCCTTCCTGCTTCTTATTTGAAGAGAAGACAGAGATCGAAGTTTGCACACAAGGCTTGATCAACTATGCATGATAGAAAATAGGCACTGCGGAAATATAACACGTTTTCGGAATCTTCATCTTATCACTTTGCGGCCGGATTCATGCAAAATGCGCAGAGTGGGGTGACGAAGACCAAGGCCGGTCCCTGGTTGATGAAGATCCCTCCCTTTCTACCTTTAGGAAGATATGCGGGGAACACACGAAGAGTCTCGAGCTCTCGCGAAGGAAACAACTGAATCTCAGGGCATGTGATGCTGCAAAGGGAAAGACACAGGGTCAAAGCACATCGATTCCTTGATCAACAGTATGTGCATGGTGACAATCATGCTATGGCTACCGCTATAGTCGCCACCATTTGCAGTTCCTCGTGATCATATTCCTAAACCATTGGCATGATATTCGTAGCAAAGTAAGACCTTGCACTCCAGAGATTTCCCACCTCTCGGGAAAAATAACCTAGAAAGCGGGATTGCAAAATCCATCTAGGGTCCTTTCTGCGGCGACATAAATCGTGCTTCGCTGACTTAGGTTGTGATCAACGATAGCCATATCCACCTGTTCGAGACCCGGATTCTGGTTTCGCCGGCCTTTAGATACATCGTAAACTCGAATCGTCCGAAAATTCCATTTTGGTGCCCGCGTTTGCTTGTTGGGAACTGCACGTGGCCAAGGGACGTGCATGTTTGAAGCCTGAAACTATCAAAGTCTGATGTTGAAGGCAAACCTTGCGACAGATCACCATAAGATCTCCTTCGCCCCTGTTATACACCACAACGCAACGGGTTCACCCTAAGCTTGCTGCGTTGGTGATAACCTCACGCCTACCTACACAGTAGAGAACGTGCGCAGTCCTTGCATGGGGGCATGGAGGATGTTGGCACCCTCGATCGTGAACCGGATGCTTGGCCGTTACCGACCAAGACAACGGACAAACCCTTTCTCGACGTAGCGTCGCCCGATGTACCACACCGGACGGTGACTAGAAAGACTAGACTGACTGGCAACATATAGTAAGTAGGAACGACAATGTTGGGCATTGACGACTACTTATTACTCTGTATTGCATTGCCGTCATTTAGGGCTCTAGCTGTGGGGAATAGGGGACTTGTTAGTCTATTATGCTGCTGCTACTAACACGGCCTCGGTCATGAATCTGGTGTAGCTCAGGTACTAGGCATGGCCCGCGCCACGAGATAATACCCAGATCAGAACTAGCACTAGATCTTTACCTACCTACTCTCTAAGCGGCGCAGAAGAATAAGATGACGGTTCTATAGCTCAAATGAAATTAAATGCCGGACATCATGACTATTTCTACTACTTTCACGTGCGATGACGATTGGCGATCTAAGATACTCCAAGATAAATCTTGGCAACCTTGAACAATGGAAAGTGAGGTATACGTAAGCTAGTGCAGCTGTAAGGCCAATCATTGTAGGGGCTGAGAGCATGAGCTGAACGAATTGACCAAGTTCTCTGCGGCGATAACCGTTAACAGCAGCTAGATTGGTAAATGCGTTGCATCGACCGCGGCCCTTCGAAGAAACAACGCCGGTCGAGCTCCCCGTTGTGGAATCGGAGACCGAGCGAATGGAGACATAGAGACATCGCGAGATGAAAGATACGACCTTTCTTAAACCCCAGGCCTTAATCGATCTCAACATCAATATGGGCCGCTCGGATTTGTGCCGAGGATGGGCAAATAGAATAGCAACATAAAAGGTCTCGAACGGGATCGACATTTCGATAACGAAGATAGGATCTTCCCATCGCCTCTCCCGCACCGCACCGCACTGCAAAGATGAAGTACCAGATTGTCAACCTTGCCATCTCGGCCGGCGGCGCGCTGGCAGCCACCAGCGGCGAGTTCAACGTCCTAAGTATGAACGTCGCGGGCTTGCCAGAAATCCTCAACAGCAACGAGGTCCCGGGAGACAAGACGACCAACTCGGAGGAGATTGGCGCCAAGTTCGCCGAGTACGATTATGACATAATTAACGTACAGGAGGTAAGGCGACGCCCATTTTTCCCATTTCATACATACCTACACTCTCTCCCTTTCCCAACACTCTCTCCCTGCATTCATGATACGTGAAGGTTTGCGGAACACGGTTGAAGTTTGAACCCCCCCCCCCCATTAAAATCCTTGTGTGTCTGCTGCAACCCGCCCCCTGTGCCGTTCAACCTGCCCCCCTTTCGTTGAAACGAGAGGTCCGAGCACGCACACATACCGATACCGCGGGATACCGAACAACCAAAGATCTTGGACTAAAATCTAGATGCGCAGGACTTCAACTACCACGCCTACATCTACTCAACCGACACGCACCCGTACCGCACGGCCACTTCCGGCGGGGTGCCCTTCGGCTCCGGCCTCAACACCCTGGCCAACTTCAACTGGGTGGACTTCGCTCGCGTCAAGTGGGCCACCTGCAGCGATGCCTCTGAGAACGACTGCCTGACTCCCAAGGGGTACACTTTCATGCGCGCCATCATCGACGACGGCGTCTACGTCGACGTGTACAACCTGCACGCGGATGCGGGAACCGAGGACGGCGACGAGGTAGCTCGCGCCGCGAACCTGAAGCAGGTCGCCGACGCCATCGACGCCAACAGCGTCGGCAACGCGGTCCTCGTCTACGGCGACACCAACAGCCGGTACACGCGGCCCGACGACGGCATCACCGTCTTCGCCACGCAGAACGGCATGACCGACACCTGGGTCGAGCTGATCCACGGCGGCGTCGTGCCCACCGTCGAGTCCATCTGCGACAACCCGAGCCTGGTCAACACGTGCGAGACCGTCGACAAGGTCTTCTACCGCGGCAGCCCTCTCCTCAGCCTGACGGCCACGTACTGGAACTATGAGAGCACCAAGTTCCTGCAGTCCAACGGCAGCATCCTGTCCGACCACAACCCGATCACCGTGAATTTCACCTGGGCGGCCGGCTCCTCGCTGCGCCAATCCGGCTACTGGGGCGGCCCCCACGGAACCTGGTTCACCGACGTCACCGCGCTCGCGTCCAAGACGTCGCCGAAGGCCAGCGTGCTCAGCTTCCGCGGCGGCAGCCGCCTCGACAGCGTCGGGCTCACGCTGACGGACGGGACCACGTTTACGCACGGCGGCACGGGCGGCGATGCCGCGACGCTTACCCTTAACTCGGGCGAGTACTGGACCAGCGCCGAGCTGTGCCAGGGCCAGAAGAGCGGCGAGACGCGGAACTTCTACATCAAGGCGACCACGAGCGCCGGCCGGACCCTCGAAGCCGGCACCTCGACCTCCGACTGCGCGACCTTCGCCGCGCCGTCCGGATGGGGCATCGTCGGGTACCTGGGCCAGGACGGGGACGAGATGGACCAGCTGGCCTTCGTGTATGCGCCGCAGTAAAGCGGGTTAGGCCTTTTTACCGCAGCGGAATAAATCGTACATAGTAGTAATACATAATCCATAATTACCTACCTACCTTGTACTTCCTATTTAGCAGTTCGTACAGTGAAAGAGAATTAAAAAAGAAAAAAAAGAAAAGGGGAAGTTAAACTTCCTCGCCTATCTGCCTAATCCATCTAGAGCGTACGCGGCTATGTAGGTAGGATTTGCATCATACCGTCGCAGCAGCCTAAATGGGGGAAACATTAACTGCCGGGCGGGTTGTTGTTGATGAGATTCTTGGGTGTAGGTTCTAACGTGAAGAAGGGGGGATCGGCACTGCAAGATGCAGGCATATACAGATCTTCAGCGTGTACCGCCCCCTAGAGGGGGTCGCAGAGGGCCGCGGCCACGTCGTCTCCATCCCTTCTAGCGTAGAAGGGACGAAAGAGGTAGGTTAGGCAATTATAATTAGATTGGGAAATCCCTCGTGGCTATTCGCGTACCTGCGTAGCTCGCGTGGCTTCCGGAATGAGGAATAAGCATTTTTTTTTTCAGCCTTGCAGTGCGACGGTGTATAGGTCTGATACAGTACGATATGGGATGATACGTTTCTGGACCAACCCGATTCTGACTTGAGGTGGGCACCCCTATTTCCCAATTCAGATACCTGCTGTTCAGGACGGCAGGACGGGCAGAATAGCGTCAGATTAAGTCCCCCATGTACCAACTAGCACTGTATCGCACTATACGCCAAATACGTACAGTATAAGTCAGTGCCGGGTGGCACATGGGGAGCTTTTTCTGATTTTATTCTGGACGGGATAGAATGCTGCTCTGTAACGGACGTACATAGTCCGACCGGAAGAGCCGGTGGTAGTAGGACCAATACGATTGCTGACGATTTTTGAGTGATATCCTCTTTGCCAAGACATGCCGTTGGTGGATCATTGCCACGAGGTAATTGGCTATCCGACGTTACCGTACCTGCGTAAGTCTTTAACAAATGCAAATTGGTGATTCGCCTTGCGTCTAGGCGTTAGCATCAAAGGGAAGGACAGATCATAATACATACCTAATTGCACCTGGTATCATTTCTCGTTTCGTTACTTGAGAGGCGAAACCAACTGTTCTATGCTCGAGCCCGTGCTTATGCTTATGCACTGACCGGAATCAGATCAGATCCGAAGTCCATGTCGAGTTGTAAAATATCCCTGGAGCGATCATCCTTTCAGCCCTTCGAGGTGTCACCGTTTCACAGAGGTCGCATCCGCGAGATCTAACTTAATCTAATTTATGACACGAAATGACATTTGCGTCCACCCAAATATTTTCAGCGGCAGTTCCGCGAGAGGTAGTTCCATGCGGGCGACGAGGCTGAGAACTGTGATTGGTTATCGTGGTAATGGTATGTGACGAGTTGAACGCTAGGTAGAGCTTCGGACCAATGCTGGGGATGCCCAGGTAAACGGTTAGCAAGGACCAACGGTTCCTGTAAATTTATGATTATCGTAGCAACCTATCCAAGTATCTAAATAATTCAAGGCGCCATCTTCGGCTAAGCGCATTAGGCTACGCCACGGTCTCTAAATAATCACGGCAACTTGCCTCGAGCCGTCGCCTCGTCTTGTTCTACGCCCCCCGGCGTGGAAGTTCGCTCAAGGATAGTCTGGCTTCGAGAAACTACATGTTCTACTAATGTCTTAGAAAAGCCGTGTGGTTTGCGCTAGGTAGTCGGTATTGCATTTGATTGGCCATGTTCTAAAGGTTAATTGCCAGTACCGGTTACATAGCCCCTAACCATTGGCAAAAGGGCTACTATGTAAATGAATGGCCACGATGATGGCATGATCAAAATGGCGACTCAAAGTCCACTCATCTCGCACTTGTTCTAAGACATGGAAAGACGGAAGACTATAGGTAATTTATAGTTTACGCCAGGCGTAGCCGATGGGTACTAGACAACGAGGAGCCTTTCCAAGACTGAAAGGGAGCCAATGGCTTCTCTAGGGGTCCATATCGAGGAATTCTGAAGACTCGGTGCAAAGAATCACTGTATACCTAGGTTAAGATAGAGAAGCGGCAAATCCCGTCGAAGAAGTAGCTTGGAAGATCCTGACACCAAATTCCGTCGATGGGTCGATTAGAATTCGTGGCACAACGTATTGCAAAACCTGAGGGGCATGATTTACACGTTCTGAGTGAGACATTCTGTCCCGTGAAAATATCGCACGCGATTTTGTTACTGTTTCTCGGGTCAGGAATAAGGGAGTAGGTTGAACGTAAAAATCACCAGTCCTACGCTGACTGGCTGATGATACTCATCGGCGGGCTATTGTAGCTGGAATCCGTCCGCTTGGTCTTTACTGTGTATCCAGGATTCGTTGGTACCCATTCGTACGGTTCAAGAGAAATCCCTTGCAGGACTTTTTATTTGGAAGGACCGTTGGAATATTTCGGAGAGTGGATCTTAATCCTACGCATCGTAGAACACGAACATCATCCTGGCATCGCTACTAGTAGTGGTAGGACGGGCCCGAAAGCCTGGTTGGCCCTAGTTCGAGCGTACTCCTGAAAAATTTCCCGCCAGGTGTGGTATCTTGGTGTAGAGAAGGAAGAGAGAGATGTCATATTGACAACAACTGTGAAATACGACAGTCGACGTATATGTTGTTTACGTAGAGAAGGTACGATGGTCACTTCTGTCAGGGGAGTTGGCGAATCGATCGGATGATTCCCCTTTGGTAGAATAGATTAAGAGATCTTTTAGAATGTAGGTTTGCTAGACGGGCCTGACGCACGCCTTGCTACTTTGTCGATGTCATTTCGTAGATTGCCGTTTTACATATAGGTTCGCATTTGAATTGCAGCAAGCGTCAATGTTGTTGTAGCGAAGCATAGCCGTTGACAATGGGGAATAATACCTAATCGTGCTCAAGCAATAAGATCTTTACCAATCAGCTTAGAAGAAACCTCTGTAGAGTACGTGCTTGGATTTTTTGCATGGGTTAGCGACTTTGAAAAATCAACTTCGTCGAGGCCCTTGCTCAGATCAAATATGCGTTGTGACAAGCGAAACGTATGTGCGTATGTGTTCGGGTTGGAGCGATTCCATTTAGATCTCCAAGGGTTGACCCTCGAAATTGCGTCAGGATTTTTCCGTTCCATGACCCAACCTTCCTCCTCTGTATGCACCTCCGGAACGCTCCCGGGTCAGCATGAGCGGGACTCTTCTCAAATTTCATCTTGGGTGTGCAGCTAAAGATAAGCATCAAGTAGATAGGTGGGGAGGTTGTGAATTCTTTGCCTTGCTGGAGTACCAGTGAGAAAGCGCACAGACAAACCGATCTCCGTACGCCGAGGTTCCCTGACGACGGTGAATCGATAGTATTCTGTCAGATCCAGAGATAGTCCGTGTACGATGACCTCGCAACTTAACAATTGGGATGTAATGTGGCCATTGCGTACGCGTGTAATTGACGACTTGCGCTACAGACCGGCTAAGCTAGGGTCAATCCTTCGGTATTCTAGACTTTGCCCATAAGAGGCTCCCTGGTCAATTCTAGAAGCGGACTTTACGGTACGCATTGGGTGGAAGTCTCTCTAATCTTGCAGGTCGTGGGAGTCGGCTTTTAAGATTACATTGACCCGACGTTGGCTTCGCATTGCGAACGAACGTACCTAAGGCTGGGTACATAAGGCTTGATAGGTACGCTGCTAGGTTAGTAAAAAGTGATATGTAGTGGTAGTACCCAAACGATATCAATTGGAAAAACGTTGAAAGATTTTTCTTTTGAAACATACCTATTTACATAGATGATTTCTCCCCTCGTGGCAAACTACATAGGGAGATACAGTACCTACTTGTCGCGATGTTTATCTTCTGGTAGCGTAAGTAAGTATGTATGTGACGTTATTGAGACCTAGATAGGTATTTTGATGCTGAATAACGCGTTCGGCTTAACTCTGTTAGTCCATGTACGCATTCATAGTAGCCTTGGCAACTAAAGTCCACCCAGTCGAGATTCGTGACGACACTAGGGAGGGAGAGTTTCTCTCGGCTCTACTCCCCAGATTGGCATCCGAACAAGGCAAAGAGTTGGTCGCTCGTAATCATAATCTTAATTCTTTTGGGACTCCGGCTCTCTTTGGTAGCTTGGTGGATGCTGTTAATATCTTAGCAATTAGTTTTTCCATAGGTATCTTCGATTCAACGGTCTCGCGTGGTTGTTGCAAGCTTCTCAGCGTTGCTGGCAGGCTGGTTACTGTAGCAGAAGAAGTACTTTGGTACATGGTGAATATTCGCCAAGTCGACCTGCATCGCGGGGCGTGGCATTATGATATCTACACGACATTTTCCGCAGACCGCAGGCAATAGTCGATAATTTCGACGAGATAGATTTCGCAGCTAGTTGTCGCCGGTCGTATTGTCTGCGATTGGGGGAAAGAACACCCAGATTGCGGCTTTGGCTTTGGTGCAGATACGAGCTTTAAGTCTAAGGCAACTCTCACGTATCCGCTGCTAATTGGACCTAATCGCTCGACTTAAGAAGTAATCTAACTCTCGAGGATACGGTAGCAGCGATGCGTGGCGGCCGTTATGCTTGCCAGACCTTTGGCGCCGTGGCTTTGCGCGGAACAGTGTAATATGTACGAAGTATTAGACTCCTCTGCTCCGAAGAGTCGATCTACCTTAGCCGAACGATGTTGCTGATCTAGAGAAGATCGAATTCGGAAGCAGGTGAACCGGGTGAAGCTCCGGGCCTTTCGCATAATCTAGTGTTGGCGATGATCCGGAAGTTCGTTCTTTTTTTGGCGAGCTCCCGAACTCGGCCAACGTGGGTGTTCCTAGTTTACACATGTCGCAATGAGCTTACGCGGGAGAGGATGGAAGAGGCTTGCATTAGTAACTCGAGCTTTTGCCAGGCTAGGCAGGGTCCTGACATTGTCACAAGGAAATCCCTGAGCTGTGCGCGTGGATGCCGCCAACCCCTTGCAGCCAACAGTATCAGAATACCTCTGGATACGGTATAGCGGCCGAAAGGCACGTTCTCAGTTACTTTTCTTTTTCTGTCAAGTGTGGTTCGCGTGGCACTGTGGCAACGCCATTATTCGTAAGGCGGCCAAGACCAATTATATCGACTATAGCATGTGTTACGTCTGAATACGACTGAGCTGCCCCGAAGAGAGCTGACAAGCTGGATAGTGTCAGATCCGGTGGCGACGTACTAGATCCTCTGGGCTGGATCTTGCTGGTGGTACGTAACTGAAGAGATACCCCAAGTGGATGTTGGTGATAGTGACAATGCAAGCCTCGGAGACTCGTAACTAATCAAACTTCCTTAAAAGTGCCTATAGGTGCGCTGTGGCGTAGGAGGAGAAGATTATGCAAAGTAGGATTTCGGAGTGGGTTGTGTATTATTGAAGCTGTAAGAAAGCCTTGAAAATGTGATTGGTAGGGTTGGTATTCGATGTATGCGCAACTAGTGCCGCGTATGGTCGGGAGCGATTCTATTGAACAATTCATTATCTGATGGACCCTTATGGTTTGTTCCTGAAGATCATTGGAACGACGATGTATGCGGGATGTGGGACGCGGGATGAAAAATGGCGTTCTTCAGCGGTAACAATGCAACAGGTGCGAGATGGTGTGTGATGTGTGGTGGAATTAGCGTTGACGAAAAAAAATTGTGTTGCAAAATCCAATGAGCAAATAGAGATATAAGGTTGCACTAAATGCATGCGTCATGGATTGGTCTCCAATTCTATTGGTCTACGCCATATGTACATATCCAGTGGGTGATGTGATATCGATGTATGTATGTATAAAGATAATCACGCTCTAGACTCTCAGTGCTGCTACTGTTGGCGATGTTGTGTGACTTCCAAGGTTCTTGTATAGGTGTAGGCTTTATTATGGAATAGAATTTACGTCTGATACCTATTAGGTTTACCTAAGTATTTTATTGAACCATAGATATGGATAAGCTGTCACATCGCCGAAGCAAAGTTTAAACACAATAATAACATCAGGTAGGTAGGTGAGGATCAATGATCGTATGCTTTACCCTCTATTACATATGCAGGTACATATATGCAAATTAAAAACATTAATACCGTAGAGAGGCATGCCATCTAAGGTAGTCACACCCGTACCTGCCGCACGTATTATCTGATCCGTAGTATTTTTTCCCCATGTCATCAATTAACATAGCATTCAATATCCAACTATCTACCTCTCCAAGAGCTGGCGTACCATTTTCATTTCCCAACCGGAATCCGGATAACCAAAAATCTTAACTAGGACTTATTTTTCCGCCGGACAGCTTTGTGTGGCTAGAGGGGATCTACCATTCTACCACTTTGATATTTCTCAAAGAACGGTACGATCCGCTAGGTTGCTTACGACGGCCCATGTTTCTCATGACCTTGGTACACTAACACCAAAATCCCCGACTATACAGACAGATCTAAAGGTATTATAGTCTATGTTATTTATTAAAATTCACATATCTTAATTCGGCTAAAAGTATTAGAGGCGTATCTTTGATTCAAATGGCAAGTCATAGTTCTTAAGTTAGGTAGGTATTACATTACGTAGAAAAGGGAAAAAGGAGGGAAAAAAGAGTTAGACCTCGGAGTATGATAGCTGCATGGGTCCAGCAATAATGTAAATGCACCCATTCAAAGCTTAACACCGTGGGCAATCGAGATCTAAGTTTATGGGGTATCTTTTCCTATGAGACTTTGTTGGATGGTTATATTCTAGTAGATTGGATGCTTTAGAAGTAACTGTAACCAAGAGCAGTCCCATTGGAAGAAACATTGGAAATAGAGCGCTTTCACCGCGATGAATTCTCACACGTCATTGCCAATGGCGTAAGATAGATTACATGAATTAGCATTCAAAGCAGCATGAATGAGCACATGCGATCATTGTCGACTTCTGGTCGTAAGTCTCAAAAATTACGTAGTTTACAAAAACGTCATAAGGTGGATGTCGCATGAGGACATTGAAGAATCTTTTGCGGTCGATTGTACCAAGTACCCAAGCATGGAGCTGATGATGGGCTGAGTAAACGCCTCCCGTGGAAACTCCCGCGAACGATTGAACTAAGCTCGAAGTTCTCGGCTACAGTATACGTTACTGTGCGACCTGATACCCCTGTCATAGCCGAATTAGGTTAGGTGTCTGTTGACTGGGGAAACCCCGGATACCCTGCACCTGCAAGATTAATCCTGGTATCCTGTCGTCCCACCACTAAGTTTGTATCCCTGCTAGGTCGTAGTGGGTGTCAAATTAGCAGCCGTCCTAACCTAAGGCTTACCCAGAACCTGCCAATGAGTGGTGCTAGACTACTGGAGCTTGCACCTCCCCTAACAGCCTAACAGCTCCAACCCATCATGGTTGCGTTCCTGGAAGCACCCCGGTCCCCTTCTTGCCCCTACCTCCAACTGTACGTAAGTACAATATAAATTATATCCATAGTAAATAGTATGTATGGATGTACGTATATTGTACATGTTCCCGGCACACAGGTCCATCATGCCTAAAAAAACGTTGCCGAGTCTTTGTTAGGCATAGCTGCATGGGGGGTAGCAACGGATAGGTCCAATAACGTGGATAATAAGATAATAGTTGATAGCAACACATGCAGGAGCGTACTGGTTAGCTTCCATTTTTTCTCCTGCGTCTCCCCCTACCTGCCTTAACCTACCTTGAACATCTGCGTTTCGTCTTACCACTTTCTTCACACTTACCACTTACCACTTACACAGATATATCCTAATTCAACACTTGCATACATACGCACCCACGCACCTACGCACCTACGCACATACATACACAAGTTCGGTTTGACATTTTGCATTGGAAGTCAACTATTCGCGACAGCACAAGATTCGACGCAAGGTCCATCGCACGGATCCGAGAGTACAATACGACGCATCCGTCTTTTATCCGTCTATACATCTTTCCCACGCATCCCCACTTGATCACGTCTATTGATACTTCTTTGGACCTCTCGTTATATTCATCGATCACGAATACTTCTGTCACTTTTCTACCATCTATTCTGTCAATTGATCGTGCAAATAATAATTAGATCGCATTGGAGAGCAAAGTGTATAACTTGCGATTAAAGACAACGCGACTTGAAAAGAAAAAGAATTCGGACCTTCTGGCAAACTGGTGGAACCGTCTCGAATAATTCTCGTCACTAACCTCAAGTACCTACCAACTTAGCTTTTTCTTGAAAAAGAAAAGCTTTAATTTAGGTGTCTTCTTGGATTCATCAGTGGACGACCGCAGTAAAGGTAAATTGCAATTTTTTTTTCTTTTACGAATCTTCTCGACTTTGTACGAAAAAGATCGCTCCCGATGGTCTTCCGTTTGCCGGGTTGTTGCATCAAAATCCACGAGGTACGCATAGTGGCATAGTTCCCTTCCGACTTCCAATTGCGCATGGTGGAACAGAGGAAAGGATCTTCTTAGGTACTTCTGGCATGTTACCGGTTTAGTGGAAGGGGCTTCGTCATAGCGAATAAGGCCTGAAACTCGGCGTTGAGAACATACCCTGAATTTGTTTAGCTAAGCCTAGACAATCTCGACATTCCTAGCTTGGGCCCCTCCCATCATCCTAGGACCCGATACTACTTACTTTGGTCTCCCTTCATTCCTCCATGTCTTCAGATTGCTTTGAAAACCAAACTCACAAACAACAAACGTTCGCGTACTAACCTATCCCTCATTTCTTAGCACAGGACCTTCTGATTGCCTCCTGACGCTGCTCCTACCTAGCAAGGTAGTGACTCTGACACCAATATCACGACAAACTTTCCTGGGGGCCACCTCCTTGATTCTACTGTTTATGGTATTGGAAAGTTATTGGACTTCGAAAGCTTATAGGAAGGCCCGACACACGAAGCAGGCCCAATAGAACACCTGCATTCCGAGGAGGTTAGATATCTCCTCTACAGTCCTCAGCTGTTGCGAAAGTAACAGCAACAACTTGTTCCCATGGTTCTCTACAGCGCAGTTCTGCAGCAATCATGATGCTGGATGACCAACCTATGCGAGCGAGCCTCCAAGTGGCGCCTCTCACTATCAATAAAAGCCGGTCCGAAAATGCAGCCAAGGATTCGGATGATGGGAGTGAGTCGGCGGCATCCACAAACCCATACTCTCAATCCCAAATAACTCCGCCCTCAACTCCCAATGATTCGCAGGAAGAATTAATCCCCCAACCGACGCCATCAAATCCTATCTTCCACAACTTCCTGCGAGCTTTCTACCCGTTTCATCCGACATATGCTATGACTGATTCGACTGTTACGTTACCGCTGAATGAAGGAGATGTAGTCCTGGTTCATTCGATCCACACCAATGGATGGGCTGACGGGACTTTACTTGTATCCGGCGCGAGAGGTTGGCTACCGACGAATTACTGCGAAGCATACGACCCCGACGAGATGAGGAACTTATTGAAGGCGCTCTTGAATTTCTGGGATCTACTAAGAAGCACGGCAACGAATGACCGGGACATCTTTGGTAACCAGGAATTCATGAAGGGCATTATTGCGGGCGTGCGCTATCTTTTGGTAAGCTAAGCCCTCGTCATCTAATCATTCTTTCGATCTTTTGCGACTAATCCTTTTTTTAGGAACGCACGCATTGTTTAACTCGTGAGTCAGCTACAATACAGAGAAGTGAAAGCCTGCGACGAGGCAGAAAATCACTGCTTTCCGAACTCTCATCTTTGGTGAAGACTGCGAAGAGGCTGCAGGAAACATTAAGAGGGCTAACGCAATCTACCGACGATGTTAACGACATCATCGACGAGATGATCCTGAAAGCTTTCAAGATCGTCGTGAAGGGAGTTCGATTTCTCGACCTAATTGAAGAAGATAGGCAGTTACGCGCGCCGGCAGTGACAGTAATGGCAACTGTTGTCGAGGAATCGTTTGTTCCACCAACGCCACCTTTGGAGTCGACGGCATTCGAGAACGGCCAAGGGGACGACCAAGCTGCATCTTCCCGGGCGGACATCGAAGCGGGATCCACCAAAGGGCTAGCACCACCAGTTACCGAGGGCGTACAAACAAGTGAATCAGCCAATAAGCGTTTGTCACGCGTTTACTCGTCTGGTAACGCAGCGAATAATCGGATGTCTCAGATAAATCCGCTACAGGGGAATCGATTATCGGCTAGTATATCACACAGGGTGTCTCTAGCCGGTCCTTCGCCATTGTCGCAGTCGCAGAAGCTTGTTTCGGAGCGGCTTAACTCCTGTCACGATACTTTCTTGTCGCACCTTGGATCCTTCATTGGCCGGCTACACGTCCAATCGCAATCTCGACCGGAACTTGCTCTCGCCATCAAGCATTCGGTCATCTCTGGTGGCCAACTCTTTGCAGTGATCGACGCAATATGCGACCACAACACGTCTGTTTCGGAGACGTTAGGACAGTCACGCGTTGCCATGTACGACCGCATTAGAGATTTGGTATACTCAGCGCGTGAAATTTTAGGTAACAGAGGACCTGACGGTGATGACTTAATTGTTCCGCAGGACAACAGCAGGCTTCTTCTTGCTGCTACCGGATGTGTCAAGGCGGCTGGTGAATGTGTCGCAAAGACCAAATGGGTTTTGGAGCGGATTGGAGATTTCGAATTTGAGGTTGAGAATGGAAATCTGGACATTGACCTAGGCATTTTTGAAGCTGTGTCCGAAAGCAGGCCTCGCACGCCAGCTGAGTCAACAATTTCGGAATCAAGGACGTCTGAACCATCGCCAAGGCCTACCCATTCTGTTCATTCTTCTATGGATAAACCTCTTCCCGATGTACCGGTTAATGACTTGACACGGGACCAGCCGAGCGCTGAACAACACGCCTCCCCCCCGACATCCAGGCCTCATTCTATGACTACAGATGATGCGGCCTCAAGCATGGCATCTTCTGTGTCCTCCCTTCGGCCTTCGCTCCCGGCGCTTCCGAGACTCACAACTTCTCTTTCTGTGGACGAACCGTACAGCCCGGCGACAGAGACTTCACATGATGGCGAATATCATACTTCATTTCGGTCCGACACAGGTACCGCCTCTAGTTCCGGGAGCAACAGTACCTATCTTAGCCGTGATTCAGAAGCTAGCATGGTCTCTGATACCTCAACACGTGCCACTACACCTGATCATACACTTGTACCCAAAACACAACCCTCCCTATCGGATATGAGCACCACGGCGAGCTCTAGCGTAAGCGAGGAGGTTGACGAGTTAGAGTCAAAATTGTTAGAGAAGACGTTCGCCCACGAGCTGATGTTTAATAAGGAAGGCCAAGTTACCGGCGGTTCACTGCCTGCTTTGGTAGAGCGACTCACGACTCATGAAGCGACACCAGACGCCATGTTCGTTTCCGCTTTCTACCTCACGTTTAGGCTATTCTGCACGCCCACTAGGCTAACTGAAACTCTTATTGAACGTTTCGATTACGTGGGCGAAAATCCTAGTACGGCAAGCCCGGTAAGATTACGTGTCTACAACGTCTTGAAAGGATGGTTAGAATCGCATTGGCGCGATTCAACTGATCGCGAAGCGCTTCCGCTTATTCAACACTTTGCCGAATCTAAGCTCGGACCTCTTCTTCCTTCTGCAGGCAAACGCATCACAGAACTTTCGCAACGAGTCTCTACTACGGACGGTTCGCTTGTCCCTCGTCTAGTATCTTCTATGGGAAAGACGAGTACATCGATCTCTCAGTACGTGCCTGTCGATACGCCGTTGCCAAATCCTATTTTATCCAAGAGCCAGCATGGCTTACTCAATAACTGGAAGTCGGGAGGCAGCTGCCCCTCGTTCCTTGACTTTGAACCCCTTGAGATCGCGCGCCAACTAACTCTCAAGCAAATGAGCATATTCTGCTCAATCATGCCAGAAGAGCTGTTGGGTTCGCAATGGATGAAGAAGAACGGTGCTTCCTCGCCCAATGTGAAGGCAATGTCGAGCTTTTCAACTGACTTATCTAACCTCGTGGCCGATACTATCCTTCAGTACCCGGAAGTTAAAAAGCGGGCAGTGGTCATCAAGCAGTGGATCAAGATCGCTCACCAATGCCTAGAGCTGAACAACTATGATGGCCTCATGTCTATCGTATGCAGTCTAAATAATTCGATCATTAGCCGCTTGCGAAAGACGTGGGACCTCGTGAGCCCGAAACGCCGGGAAATGTTGAAATCCTTACAAGCCATCGTCGAACCAGCCAACAATAACAAGGTGCTTCGAGCTCGCCTTCAGAGCCACGTTCCCCCGTGTCTACCGTTCCTTGGCATGTTCCTAACTGATCTAACATTTGTTGATATTGGCAACCCGCCCACGAAGCAACTACCTAGTGCTGGCGCAAATGATGCTGGCTTGACGGTGATTAACTTTGACAAGCACACTCGGACTGCTAAGATTATCGGGGAACTTCAGCGATTCCAGATCCCTTATAGGCTCACAGAAGTTCCTGACATGCAGGAATGGATTCAAACACAAGTAACCCGAGTTAAAGAAATGGATCAGGGCAATGTTCAAGTCAGCTACTACCGGAAGAGTCTGTTACTTGAACCTCGAGAGAGCCTCCTTAAGACCCCGATTGATGGCGCGGCTACTACGCCATCTGGTCAGAAAGCTGACTTATTCGGCTGGATGTCAAGAGATCGTCACCATAACAACACCGTTTCCACCTAATACCCTACACTCAAATTCCTGTTGTGACAGTAGATCTACAGTTATTGCCATTACCTTCTCACCTTTCTCCGCCACTTTTTACTACTATCCTCTTAACTCCTCATTTCATCTCATCTATTGATACCCCTGTCGTTTATTGTTTTGTTATTCGGTTATGAAGCATTTGGGGGGATTTTGGACGGTTGGTCCATCGGTTTACACATCATTTAACGATCCATACTGGTCACTGGCGTTTACAGGCAGGGAAACGGAAATGACCTTAGCACTTCTATTATCGACACATATTGTTTAGTCACACACATATCATCCGGCGGACGAATCTCACGGAAGTGGATCCCCTAAGTGAGCACTCGGCCATTCACTATTACACTTGATCGAAATAAAAAGACGGCGGAGTTTGGCATACCTTGAGGCAGCATTCGCAGGACAACGGGAAAAGCATTTGGGTTGTGACGTGGATGTTTGAGGGGGTGGGGGACGGAAGGAAATATCAGGGAGGATATACGAAATGTCCACGGGTCCGCCAACCGCATTGGGAACAACCTGTTGTATAAGGTGTTTGTATAAGGTCCAGGGAGATATGGATGTACTACCTTAGCATGCTGCGCCATGAGGATAAACTTATCAATCAAAAGCACAATATCATTGCTGAACCCAAATCTGCCTAGAGTCAAAATAAAGGCATGACGTATTAGGACATGTGTTATAATATGAACTCGAGATCTGGTGATGCTCTATGAATGTTTTAAGATATTTCTATGAATGTTTTAAGATATTTCTATGAATGTTTTAAGATATTTCTATGAATGTTTTAAGATATTTAATTACCATTGATAACAGAGGTGTCTTTAGGTTGAGAGGTTGTCGTGAATTTCTAATAAATTTCCTCGCGCATTTGTTTAAACCAGTACCGCCGTGGGTTGTTGACTGGCGTAGGTAACTTTGTATAGGTGGACTCTCAGAGGCCAAAATGAGGCTTGACCTACAGTGCATCTACACATCAAATCCTGTCTAGGGATGTATTATGATCGTATGACATAACTCAACGTGCGCACAAAAGCGCCGGTGCCAATACAACACCCGAAGACATCCCAATGTTTCTGATTAGTTTTCATAATGTCATCAAGTTTCCGGTGCGTTCAACCTTTCGACTCAAGACTAAGCATCTGGTCTTGACTTAGATTACCGCAATGTCTGTCAAAGACAATGCTTAGCGTGAGAGTTTATATACATATATATGTTAGAGAGACTTTCATAAAAACTTTACGGTCACTAGCAGAATCATCCAACATGCTTGTTGGTGGCGTTATGGTGGTAGTAAACGGTGTATATGATTGCTTGTGGCGTGGTCCGTCACATCCATCAACGTGGCCTTTGGCATGGATAGATGACTACATGCTGAACCTAGATACAGCAAGTATGTATCTAGTTCAAGAAACTCAGGTAGTTTGAGGGCTAAGGAGTCGGTAATCAAAGTGATTTCATGAGTCCCTAACGTTTGGGAAGGTTATCTTGTGATTCCTATAGGAACTGCTTGCGTGGGCGTTTAATTACATTTGGTGTTAGAAGCTTAACAAAAACCTAAGTAGGTAGGTGGCCAATGATGGGTCTTAAAATAGCATAACTAATAGAAATATGACTTTGGCGTCTTTCAGCTTCATCATATGTATGAAATTCGATAAGTGATGCAGTTGATTATGGAGTTTGGAGAACGAGATACTGTTCTTGAGCCATAGTTCGATAGAGCAATAGGGAATTTCTATTAGCACAAGAATTTCTTACTAGAAAGTGCCCCCTGATGAACGTTTGTGTCACATGAACCACTGTAACTATTCTGTAATTGTGTTGGCAGTAGGCTTACGTTTGCAAGAAAGGGTGACATGCCTGCCGAATTTGTGAGTAATCAGACGACTATTAAAATGAAGGAAATGTTTCAAGAAATTATCCGACCGAGACCAGAATTGAATCTAGAATGCGCCAAACGGGAGGAGCTACAGCATACCTTTAAATAGAGTTGGGGTAGGCACCGTTGTATTTTGCTTATGTACCCCGGATCTGCCTAGGAACTTTGTACAACGTTGCGAGTGGACTAAGCAGAAAAGGAGGCTTAGGTAATCCAGTCAGATAGTACTCATGTAGGTATTATCCTTCATCCTGCTTCAATGCGGCTCTGTGAGCCTCGCCATATCGTGTAGAATGACTCTAGATAAGTTTCAGGGGGGCAATTGTCCTTGGCCTGTGGGATGGCGATGACGTGTAGTAGTTGTGATAGTAAGACAAGACGAAGCTGATTTCCCCGCATCGAGAAATAAGTTCACATTATTCGAGATGCTCATATGTTTCGTTGTGATAAGTATCCGTAGGTAATCTTTACCAACAATTTCAACTCGTACAATGAGAAAGCGATCGCGTTATCTTCGAAGGGTGTTTTCTTAGGCTACATAACTTTCTTCATATCTAGATTTTTTTCGTAGAAGTGTTTAGATGACGATATGGAAAAATCTCCGAAGCTATTTGCCTTGTATTTGATCAAAGGGGGATAATCCTAAAAGAAATTCGGCCCTGCATATTGGAAGCTGGGGTTTCCTTGTGCTTACCAGAGAGCCGGGAGTTGCATAACTTGGAAATGAGTTGATTACCTAATATATAGTAGGCGAGGTTTGTTGTTTGTAAGAACAATCATAATTCTGCTTGCTCTGGTATCATTCTAATCTGGAATCGTAATCCGTCACAATCGTACATGATGGGTTCTTGGAGATGCAGACGTGTGATCAAGCGTTGAACCGTGGGATGTAACCTCACACACTTGCATACGGCGACATTAGGTATGCAAGAGCCATGGAAGGCAATTCGGACCTAAGATTCCTGTGTTACCACGGAATGCGACTGTAGGTTTGGTGTCTCACATGAGTAATATTCTCTTGGTGATAACCCTCGACGCCGATAAGGTAAGCTTTTTAACTGCCTACCTACTTCGATCTAGAGTTTGATCAAATATGCTTAAGTAAAGTAAGGTTAGGTCCATCTCATAACTGATACCTACCTAGTTTCGCGTGGACTAAGATGCAGCGGATCTGTTATCTTTGTAACATTACCAAAGCACCGGGTCGAATGATATGCATCGTAACAGTCAGTTACCAATCGAGGTACAATTGTAAATTTCGGGTGCTAGCGACATTTGCTAGTTGGAAAAAAAAAGCCTCCTGCGAAGTTGGTCGTTAATTATTCCCATGAAGGAAATGCTGAGCGAGGAGAAGGAAAACTGGGCAACGTTACATATGGCAGAGGCACAAGTGACCAACGAATGTAAGCCTAGACGAATAAGGAGGAAAGTCTTGTCTAACCGAACGTTAATGAAATCCTTCTCCAAGAACAAACTTAGAGACATACAGTAGTAGAAGTAACTTCCTTCCCCGGACAGAGCCATGTCTGGGTTTCTAGCCAATGACAACTCTCAATTGCCATGTACATAGTTTGGCTTGTGACTTAGGATTCGATACACCCAATCAGAGACGGCATGGTTTCCACATTCGGTCCGCCGCTATCTTCTCCTTATCGGCTATCTCGCGAACTATCCAGGTTGGGATAGTGCTCAAAGGATTGGAGAAGAAAATCTAGACGAATTTCAAGGTTTTTGTCACACTCGTCCGGCAAGGGCCTTTCGATCTGTTCTTCACCTTTCAATTAAGTTTCCACATGATCTATGCTGAAATGCGCAAAGATAGATTCACAATGGATGAGATGGTCGGATCGCTTACGATTAGCATCAGTTTTCTATTTCTAGAGACGATTCAAAGAAACACGAGATTCCTCTAGCACCTATACGATAGCATCGTACGGCTTGGTTGAGTTGATAGGCTTATCACCTAGGGGACGGAGCTCGCGAAGGATCATCTAAAATCTTACCCACTTTTACTCGGCCATAAGCCGTCTAGCGCACTTTCCGCGCCCCAGCATCCCCAGAACCCTAAATCTTATTAGTGGAGGGTCCTACATCCTGGATGCTTTTTCGTCTCGTCCCGCGCTGCGGACCAGACGTCAAAAGATATGCGAATGCCGGCCGTGTCACGTAACCATCATCTCAAGCAACATTCACAAATCACCCTCCGGAGCTGGAGAGATTCGGCTGAGTGCTGATGGTGCTACCATACCTGTCAGGGTCTGTCAGCTTGTGTGCCATGGCAACCCATCCATACCAGACTCGAGAAGATCCAGGCCAGAACGCATGTACCGAAGTATCAAAGCTATGCACCAGGTAGCATCCGATCAGCGCTAGGTTAGGTAGGTGCGGCTTGAGAATCCCATGCCTTTGTTGGTTGGTTGGCGTGGTCTTGGTAGGCAGTACATCGCCTAGTACATGCATAAGTAATGTTATTTTCTTATTTCACACGTGCCATACATCGTATTAATCAAAACATCGCCTTATCTGACTAGTGAGGGCCCATGTAGGTACCATAGTACAATGATTATTTTATATTATCTCCCATGCCCGCTTCGGCGCATCGAGAAGTTCTTTTGTTCTTTCCATCTCCTGTCAACTTCAAAGGTCGAGTTATTTAGCCGCGACGGCGATTAACAATTCGAATAAGGTACGCAATTAGCCTCATTCACATGCACGTAGACATCTTAAGCAGTTGTCCTTTATAATGTTTCTCTCCAGCTTGCGCATTATGGGATTTGTGATGACCATATGAGCTGACATTCAACAATCGTAGGTCTTCTAATAGGAGCTCATTTCGACCATATCTCGAATCGCTTAGACATTCGATCGACAACCACATAGCTAAGCGATTTTCGAAAAGCTATAAAATGGCAGATGCGAAGGGGACGATTGGGGCTGAGGCCGAACCTCACTCCGATCTCAGCACCCACGCCCCGGAAGCGCGCCCCGATGGTTGGATATACAAGGGGTTTCGCGTCGGCAAGAAGGAAATATGGTATGCGTCGCCAAAGATACAACTCCTGATGGTGGCCTTGGTGTGTTTCCTGTGCCCTGGCATGTATAATGCGCTAGGTGGTCTTGGTGGTGGTGGTCAGATCGACGGCACCGTCCAAGATCATGCATCTACCGCTCTTTACTCCGTCTTCGCCGTTGTTGCCTTCTTTTCCGGCTCCTTCGCCAACAAAGTCGGTGTCAAGACAACTTTGGGTATTGGCGGCTTGGGTTACTGCATTTATTCTGCCAGCTTTTTGTGCTACAACCACACGCAGAATGTTGGTTTTGTTATTTTTGCTGGTGCTTTCTTGGGTCTTTGCGCCGGTTTGCTTTGGACTGCGCAGGGCGCTATCATGATGTCTTACCCGCCCGAGGAGTCTAAGGGCCGATACATCAGTTGGTTCTGGATTATCTTCAACCTCGGCGCTGTCATCGGTAGCTTGATTCCTCTCGGCCAGAATATCAACAACACCGGTGGCACGGTCACAGATGGTACCTACGTTGGTTTCATTGTTCTGATGGTGGTTGGTGCTGCTCTCACTTTTCTCCTCGTCAACGCCGACAAGGTCATTCGAGACGATGGCTCGAGGGTTATCATTATGAAGAACCCAACTTGGCAGAGTGAACTCATCGGTCTTTGGGAATGTATCTCCCTAAGTCCTTGGGTTGTTGCTCTGTTCCCTATGTTTTTCGCATCCAACATCTTCTACACATATCAGCAGAACGGGCTCAACCTTGCCCACTTCAACGTTAGGGCTCGCTCGCTGAACAACTTGCTTTACTGGCTTGCCCAGATCTTTGGGGCCGTTATCTTCGGATATGCCCTCGATTTCCCCAAGATCCGACGCTCGATGCGTGCCAAAATCTCTTTTGGTGCACTTTTCACTCTAACCTTTGTCATCTGGGGTGGTGGATACGCGTGGCAGAGGCAACAAGTTTCGCGAGCAGTCACCTCGGAACCATCTTATGAGAGCCAAAAGATTGACTGGACCGACCCTAAATTCCTCGGCCCCATGTTCCTCTACATCTTCTACGGCTTTTACGATGCTTGCTGGCAGACATGCATTTACTGGTACGTCCATAAGTTCCACAGTAGTTGATTGATTGGATGAACAAAGTCTAACTTCGTCATTAGGTACATGGGAGCGCTCTCCAACTCTGGCCGAAGAACTGCCAACATGGCTGGCTTCTACAAGGGTCTCCAGTCAGCCGGTGCTGCAGTCTTTTGGCGGTTAGACGGTGTTCATATCGAGTACAACACTCTATTCGCCGCAACGGTAAGTTTACACTTCAATTCTGCCAAATAGATTTGGATCCTTGGCTAATAACCAATAATAGTGGGCTGTTTGTGCCGGTTCCCTCGTAGTTGCCGCTCCGATCATTTTCCTCAAGATAAAAGATACCACCGCTCTCGAGACGGACCTCAAATACAGCGATGAGAGACCGGAGGATGTTATACCAACAACCGTCGCACTCGAAGAGAAGCGCACTGACGTTTAATATTTCCTTTGAGGTAACAATTTATTGTAAATCTGTTAAAATATACTGCAGTGGGTTATATGGGTTGTAATATAGCCACTCAAGGCTGGCTGGGTAATGTTGGGTTACGAGTTGTTGATACCAGATATTGATGGTGGTGCATGAGTGAGGATTTTTGTATGAGCTATATACCCTCGTGCCATTACGAACATATATCTATAGTAACTACAAATCACGAACCTGATATCTGCCAATCTTTTGGAAATGCCTAGAATTGCAACCCAAAGAGTGTTGGTTAAGCACCATCCACGGATGTAGCCATGTTAAGTGTCATTTGTAGAAAACCAAAGCATGTGACAAATTACAAGGTTATCAATTTTGCCCCAAGTATGCAGACTTAGCCGTAATAAGGCTAGAACGAAAGACGGGTGAATTCATCATCATGTTGAAAGAACGCTCGGCATCCATGTTAGAATTTGTACCTTAAGCTCCGGCAGACCCGTATTTCCCGGTCTCGGGCCGGGCCGCGCTTGACGTGACCCGGCCTATCCTTCAAATGGAAGAACACTTGAATGGAAGCGTTAGTGTGACTGGCCTTTTATGATATCCCTTTTCTCAAGGACCCACTACTGAGAATCGAAGTATGAATTTTGTGACTTCCTATGTTGTTTTGAAAGGGGTTTCTAAAGGTCATGTCCAGATTTGTGAGAACTTGATATCTCTTATCCTCCACTATTTTCATTTTCATTCCCATATCTTTCGTCCTATTAGAAGGGCGTATATGAATACGCACGATTTTCCAGCTAAATTTGTTTTCTAATAAGATAGTGTGGTTAGTTACGAAGTCTCGTTCATCCTTATGACTTATCTATCCTGTGAAAACTGTCCATACAATAATTCTATTTCGAGTTACATAATTGTGCTTAATATCATCCTCGTGCCTATTAAAGGTATGGGTAATCGATGGAGTGCAATAAATTTTACTTGCATTTGAAATCATATGCTAGTTTTAAAGGGACACTTCAAGAACAAGTACTAACCAAACATACCTTTTCCAACTTTCTAGTGGAAATTGAGGTCGCCCATGAATGTTAAACCGTTCAGTAGAACGAAACTAAATTTCTTTAAAAATTAGGCTTTTATATGCCTTCATATGTATTGGCCACGTTAATATCTTAGTATATTAAACATCCTCACTAACCTTAACACTTAAGTCTCGTGGCTCAGGATAGATTCACATACCCATACTACAAGTACATGTACATTTATACACAGTATCTACCTAAGTATTTGCTTAGTAATTGTTAGTTATATCTTGTTAATATGGATATTATGGACTATTAAACTTCCTTTATAACACCTGAAGACCTACGAGTCGACCCAACGTTTAATTACCTACTAGAAAGGGGGAAATATCTACACCATATTTTACTTTTATTGACATTCGCGGAACATGTGGTATAGCAACAACGACAGCAAACTTAGCGATCATGCTGCTCGTTTCTAGCTACTCTTGAAACTACGACGTTAGCTGCTAGCCAACATCATATAAAGGATAACCCTATGAGAAAGAAGACGATAGCAGATATACATGTACCTAGACCACTATTTCTAGAATATCTACTCCGTAAACAGTGTACACTTGGCTGGGTACATCGACGACACTTCTGTTGACGGTTTTGGCACCTACCTAGGTATTTTGAAATGGATTCATTTTCTCGTTCAGGGCCTAAACAGCTGGCTACTACTAGCTTCTATGGCGGTAGTCACCTTCGCAGTTACTGCAAAGGAAAAAAAAGCAGACCTGCGAAATTAAATCTTTCTCTCTACACCTTTCATCCATTTTGCAAATTCCTTGGGGGTGAAAAGTGAGCCACAACCACATCTTCGCCTTCTACTGAAGGCATTCTCTGGTAACCTTATTGCATAAGGAACCTCTTCAGCTATACTATAACTTCTTTCTCATAGTTCGCTTTTCTATCCCACATCAACATGGCTTCGAGTCAAGATCAAGCCTCTGCCAGTACCGCGGTAGAGCCCTACAAGCAGCCTTTCCCGCCCGAGGTTTTCATCGTTCTAGTTGAGAACATGCCCGACTACATGTTGCCCTACCTTTGGTGCAAATTCCGTCAAGTATGCAAGGCATGGAAGGCCGAGGTCGAGAAGGCTTTTCTAGAGAAATATCTCGCTAAGACCAAGGTCATCATCAAACCCCCGTATGATCGCTTTGAGAGCGAGTTGCATTTTTCTCGAGTTTCCAAGGGCGACGGAGAGCAACGAGCGTTCTTCAAATCGGAATACCTCCAACCCGGATATTTTATGCCGGTGGTAAAGATCAACTCCATGGTTCCGCAAGCAAACCCGACCCTATACCGCCCCTTTCCTGGCATTGTGATCTTGGTTAAGATGGAGAATGTGGCGATCAGTGACCCTGCGATGGAGGGTTTCATGGTGGATCGGCAGCGCAAAGAGTTGTCGTTCCTGTGGAAGCCGATGATGAATCAGTTGATGGGCGACGAGCTTCGTTTCCGACGCGAAGCTTGCAAGATGATCGAGTCTGCACAGAGCCCCGCGCAGAAGCCTGAAGTCAAGAATACCAAGCCAGGCCCCGACACCGAGTCCGATGCGAAGACACCGGGTGACAAGACGCACACTACGAAGAGAAAGTCGGAATCCGACGAAGAACTCCAAGTCAAGAAGATCAACCTAGGCCCTGAAGTCAAGCCCGAAGCGAAGGTAACCACGCTACAACATGATGCCCAGTTCGAAGCATCGCGCAAGAAGGTTCAACTCTACATGCTCCTCCGCAGCGAGAAATTCCGTGCCGTGATGAACCAGGTCCGAGAGTCGCGTCTACGAAAGCAATACGCAGCTTGTGGCGATGAGTTCGTATCGATCGAGGACCACGACGGCATCCCCTGGGATGATGATGTAACCCGGGTCATGTCGGAGACGCGCCTACGCTTCCGATCTCCAGGATTCTTCCTGGAGTTCTAATATCATTCATTCTGCCGCCACTATTCAGCACCTCACACCCGACTACACTTGAGCAACGATGGACTGTTTGAACCAATACGGGCTTCAACAAGATAAGGGCTGGGATATGTTGCGGAGAAAAGAATGCAGGGATGGTTGATTGCTCTTGTCGTTTTCCATTACTACGCACTACGCAGATATGCTGGATGACAAGGCTTTTCTTTGTACTATAGGAACTTCCACTCCTGATGTAATCAAAGCTCCTCTTAGCAAGGATGCTTGAATATTGCCTTGCAATATACTGAATTCACCACTCCGAAGAACAACGAGGATAAATAATATGAGCGTAGAAAAAATGATACAAGGGTGATCCTAAAACATACCGAGCTAACGTAGAGACAGATATTTCAAGCATTGGTACAAGGTATGAGGGTATTGAAAGGCTGTGATCGCTACGCTAAATGTAGGGTCTCGATACTGACGAAGGCTCTGCCTACTTTTGTCCTAGGCTAACCTGGATTTACATATTCTCATCGTCCAAAGAACAAGCTGTCATAATTCCACCCGTAATTGAATCATATCAATGTTTGCCGCTCCAATCTAGAGCCTCCACGATCTAGCCACCCACTTACGACCCGCCTAATCGGCTCGAAGCACCTCCTACCCGTCTCCTATTCCTCACATGCGGCGCCGCCGTAAGCTCCTCCTCCCTGGAGAAGCCGCTATTAGCCAGCGTGATAGTGTGGATATACCTTAACTTCCCATTCTCCATGCGGAACTCGTGGCTATCGGGCGCCATGCTCAGGTGCTCGAAGACGCACAGCACGCTAATGGAGCCGTAGGTCGGGTCGACGACGTAACGGCGGCCCGAGTTAGGCGCTTGGTTGTTGTTGGTCGGGATGCCGACCTTGCAGGAGTCGGTCGGCAGCCCCGAGCCGGTGTACACGCTGCCCTCGAGGCGGACGCACGGCGTGCCCCACGGCACGGCATCGATCGCGCTCTTGTTGCTCCACATGTCGAGGTACGCGTCGGCGGCCTGCCTTAGGGCCTCGCGCGAGTCGCGCTTGTCCTCGTCGATCAGGGTCCAGTTCTCCTTGGACGCGTACTCGAGCGTGCGCGACGCGTTGAAGAGCCACGACCCCGTCGTCGAGACGACCAGGTCGATCAGGTACACGCTCAGGTCGCCCGGGCTGTGGCGGATCTGCGTGCCGATCACGTAGGGTGCCGGCTCGTCCGACGCGTTGTGCGTGATGATCAGCTCGGTGAAGGAGGCGCAGTCGACGTCGTCGACGATGGTGTGCCGGTGGTCGATCTTCAGCGCGTTGTTGAAGATGCCGCCCGTGATCTCGGCCGTCTGGTTGTTCTCCATGTAGGTGAAGTTGTCGGCGATGTTCTCGAGCTGGTTGAGCTGCCCGCTCTCGTGCGCTTTGACGTACTCGTCCGAGAAGGCCTGGATGTAGGTCCGGTTGCACTGAGCCGCCACCACGGGCAATAGGGCCCCGATGGCTGCGGCGCAGACACCTAACAGATGATAATGCATGTCGGGCTTTCTCTTCCTAAGTATAAGTGAAGTTGCTAGTATGTCAGTGGATCCAGCTCGAGATCCAGGAAGGGAATTGTCAGATCCATCTATAGTGGAACATTTTAGTAATAAGTATACGCCCTGGATGGATATTTAAAAGCAAGTGCCGTTGCTTCTACCCCAAGACCTGTCATGGCCATAGACATTCCCGGTCCCGGGAGAATGAACGGGAAAATTGCATGCTCATATTGCAGCTTGTATTCTGCCCCACGAACACTCCGAGGATATTAAAATGTGACTCGGAATCTAGAGAGGGACAGGCTTCGACTCAAAGGGGTAAAAGACAAGCAAAGCTACAAGCTTTGGCAGCTGAAGCTCATGCTTACCTTCTCCTCCTTTCTCCTCACGCATAATTATTGTCTACAGCTTGGCCACCCATGTCTAGATTCAGAATGGCTAGATTTGACATCTCGGCTATCCGCGAGTAGAATAGAGGTGAGCAAATACACATAATATAAACGCGGGAGATCTATCTCATATATGTCTGGGGCTAGATTCTTCTACTTTACTACTACCTTATAAGACTCCTGGAATCTTAAGAGCTACTAGGCTTTTTCGCGATCCTTATTAAATCCTCTGGCATTAACGGCTCTTTCTCGAAACCATTAACGACTTGATCTAGCATTGCTTTCGCAACATCCACGACACCAATGCTAGGGATTCCTACACTTAGTTGTACCAGCGTGCCAGCGATATATCTCATCATCTCACCTGGTGCAGTGATGATACCTGGCTTGGCACAACACGCCTCAACCCCATCAAGCTCGGAAGCCAACGCAAGTACCTTATTTTCCGTATCTCCCTAGATCAACTGGTTATACTTTTACTGGTGAGGAATGATAAATATTTCCAGCACTTACTCGCATGAGAGAGTATTGTGGTTGGAATCGCGGGGTCTTGGTCTGGTCTCTCTCGGCTGCGACACCACTCATATATAGAAACCGGAATGGCTTCGAGACGCCAGACTCATATATGGAATTAAACCCGTCAAGCGTGCATGTTTGGCAGACACGCTTGACTTCTTCGAAATCATACATCTTAGATTTCGCTGGGGTGATCGCGACCGTCCTAGTATTGGTCAGTGACCTATCCGGACTTAAGACTTATGTCCGCCTTGAAAAAGAACGAGTTGAAATGTTCATTACCAGATGCATGCCGAAGCTCCAGCAAACTCCTTCTTGACCTCTTCCGGATAGTGATTATAGTCGTTCACGACAATGCTTCTGAGCTTCGAGGGGTCTGCACCCTCTCCAAGTTTCTCCGGAGCGGACACCGGCTTGCGGGCTAGGGCCACGACCGAGGTGATCTCGCTTATGCTTAGACTTTGCCGTATGATCTCTTTGGCAACGAAACCTGTGGCCCCTGAAACAATTAGCTTCATCTTGCTGGTTTTTTTACCTAGATATTTAACATGGAATTTCTGAAGTTTGAAAGGTGAGATGAGCTAAGATAATAAGTTGCTTGTAAACTAATTGCTGGTTAGAAAAGGGGTCAGACTAATCGTACGCCGTACACGTGGTACCAAAGCTATATACGGTCATGCAGACATCCCCTTCCAGTTAAGATATTATATAATCACAAGATCTTACATTTTTGAGCCGGGTGTCATGAAATAAGTATCAAAGCTCAGTGTTGGAAATGGCATGATTCACTCAGGGGCTGGCTAGATATGGTACATAAACAGAATCTTAGAGTCAACAGTTTTGACTTTAGCTTCGGAGAGGAAAAATCCCTTCATTATAATTATTGTATTCATATGTTGTTATAGTATTCGATAGAGATTTAGCTTGAATGAACCATATTGACATTGTGTAACCTCCTTAGGTTGGTAGGCGCTTGTTCGTCAGGGCTTAGAGAATATAAGATGCTGTGTCGAAATTCTCGGAGTTGACTCTACTTAACACTGGTTGAGTATGACGTTCCAAGTATGATCGTCCGAAAATATCTGTCGGTAGTCAGTTAGTATGCCTGTACCAGTAGCCGGATCCAAGAGAGTTATGTAACCCTTACCTGCCCATGTGTGAAGCTGGTCCAGGTCTCGTCACCATTATAGGTAGTTGTCTGGCAGTTAATCAAGACTTCGACGGCGTTACTAGAAGGCACATTAGACGCGTGTCTTCCAAATTGTCTTGCCAAAAACCTACTCTGCAATAATGGTACAAGGGATGTTAACAGTGTTGCTAGCGTCGTTGCACAGCCAGATACCAGCACCCGAATTACAGCTGCTTACGCTACAACCACCTGCTCCGGGACTTCCTGGCGGAGCTGAACAGTCAGCATTGGCGATGCTGTACAGATATCTGACCCCTGCGCCGATCGACTCGGCGTTGACGTTGTTGCCGTAGGTGCAAGTCCAATCCTATAAAGGGGTTCGCACGTTAGAAGAGAATATAGGGCGGGTTTTGCTGGCAACTCAGCTAAAAAGAATAGGGGTCACTGTACGTCCGAAGTTGTGGCGCGCTTCTTGATAGGCTCTAGGCCCCTCCTTGCTATGGTCGACTGGTTGCTGTTCAAGCCTAACTCGTTGTCATAGTTGGGGTTTATTTGGATAATCTGCTTATAGATCTCCTACGAACCCAAATACGTTAGATTCGACGACATATCGCCTATGTTTCCCGTTGACAACAACTTACCTCTGCAGTGCCCGTGATTGACAAGACAGCCTCTCCGGGCTTGACTTGCCCCGTCCATGTTATTTTAGACGTTACAAGATCATTAATAGTTCGAGCGGAGTTCTCAGCTGGGAATGCCTATACAAGTTTATGTTAGCAACAATCAAAAAGAAAGGCAATATTGAATAGGTAGACGTACTGCAGAGGTTGTGACACCTAGGAGAAGGTTGGTGATAGTCGAAAGCAACTTCATGTTGAACTTCACGGAACTACCTCGCATTTCTTCCAATCTACAAAGCAACCTTCGAAACAGCCAGTGGTAGCCATGGCAAATTTACTATATACCTAAGTCCGGCGTGATGTATATCTTAGCAATGATACGACATCGCTAGCCAAGCCAACGTAACTTGACCTGTCTCCCTTTCATTCAACAATTTAGTTCAAATAGGCAAGTGCCATGGTGCAGGATCCGAGTGATTTCATTTACACCTTGTTTGTCGGACGGATTTTACTGACTTAAGGCAGTCAAATGAGACCATAGCCACCTCCGCTTTACAAATGCGGCGTGACTATGTGCTGGACTCGGCGTTCTATATCGCTGCTATTGGTGGGTTTAGTTCCAAATATAGACCGTAGTAGCTGGGGACCAAGGTGGGAGGGGAGCATAGCGAAATACTAATCACGCTCATATACCTGCTAGGTATGCAAGAATCGTAAACTCACCAATAGCTCTAATAGAAGATGTAACGTGCCTCGGTCGTCATTAGAATCTTGTTACCTGATTATTAGACGCGTGCACAAGATCTTGTAATTGTCTTCTCCGTGCAGGAGTGAGACACCGACACACAGGCCGATGACATTTCCGGTGTTGCACATATGCTCCTAATATAGGTATCTGGATATGTCCAATGGAAGTTTCGAAGCATGTAAGAATGAAATAAGCTTAAACTGGCATTCGTTAAGCCAAATCGGCAATTGGATAGCATGTATGCCCAATATTTTGGGCGATCTGAATAGGGAATCCCGCTCTGGTTCATTGTGATAAGAACGGAATACTTGATTACTCCAATATTAGCCTCATTACAAGGATTTTGTGGGAATAGGTTTGCGGCACAGCAATAGCAAGGGCAGGTTTAGTGTAGAGAGACGGTCAAGATTGTTCGAGCCCGGAGGATCGTCCCGGATTTTCGTTGGTTGACAGATCTTATCCTTGTCTACAAACAAGGGGGTGGCGCGCTATCATTAGATCACTAGATCATTAGATGTTGATGGTTTGGGCAGCTCAACCGAGTATTCGAAATTCTTTACGACGTAAACAGTGTTGAGGGGGGAATATACAATCCTGTTCCTGCGAGGGTGATGCTTTTATGTAAATCCTATTGTGCTGAGAAAAGGAGGTGAGCAATGCCGCAATCCCCAGGGGACGCACCGACCTTGCATCATCCCATCTTACTGCCTAGTGCATTTGCTGGGCTGCCCTTAGCCTGTAATTTCAGCCCCCTTTGTGACTTGTTTACGGCCACTTTTGTAAGCTGACTTCCATGTCTAAATCGTAAGTGGCTTACCTACTCTGCCAAAGTACATGCCACCGCCCAACGAGATTCTGGTTGATGGAACCCAGATGGTCATGTCTCCAAATATCTTCCCCCGGTAGTCTTAAAGCTTGTAACCTGTGGAGCTCGCCAACCAACTGGACCGTCGCATCCGGTTTAGCTTGGGCTGAGATTAGATGGTTTCGTCGAGCATGGTCTCTGGTGTATCATGTATAAGTGAAGGCGCCCGCGGGCGCAAGCCAACATGTCTCAGCAGATGCGTCTGCTTGTAGTGTGTTATCAGGTTCGGGCGGTGAACCTAAAGAAGCCATGATGTTGTTCGGAGCTCTATTATCTGTGCTTCTCACTTCTCTACATTCCGTTCGCGCCCAGTACCCGGCTCCTGGTGCATGCTCCGGCGACTGCTTCACCCATGATCCGGCTGTCGTCAAGCGCGCAGATGGCAAATACTTCCGCTTCTCGACCCTAGACCTGATCGGTATCTGGACGGCGGACAACTTAGCGGGGCCATGGACACGGAGCGGAAGCGTGATCCAGGGCGCCAGCATCATCAACATCCCCGGGAACGACGTGGTGAGTATTTCAAGCATCTTAATTGCCTCCAAAGGCTATTTGGAAACATTTTAGTCTCGCACTAGAATTTTCCATTCGTTACCATGAGCCCTTCCGAGACATTTCACAATGACAAACTGACTCAAATGTGATATAGCTATGGGCCCCTGATGTAGTCTATATGCGTGGCATGTACTACTGCTTTTACTCAGTATCAGTCTCCTCGAGCCAAACTTCGGCTATTGGTTACGCAGTTTCTACTACAATGGAATCGGGGTCCTGGAGCGACCAAGGAGCCGTGGTCACTTCGACCTCAAGCAGCCCTTATAATGCCATTGACTCTAATGTCGTCAACGGCACGGCTGAGGACGAGTTTTACATCCAATGGGGCTCTTACTGGAACAACATCTACCAGGCGCGGGTAGCAATCGACGGCGAATATGTCTTCAGGTCGGGCAATGAGCACCAAATCGCGTACGAGCCATCTGGAAACCACCAAGAGGAAGGGGCCTTTATCTGGAAACGCGACACCACTTGGTACTTGTTTTTGAGTAAAGGCATATGTTGTACATACGACCCCGCCACCGACCCGATCGACCAAGTATACCATATCGCAGTCTGTAAGAGCGATAGCCCTGCTGGCCCGTTCGTGGACAAAGATGGTGTTGCATGCACCGATGGTGGAGGCACTACTGTGCTCGCGAGCCAAGGAAATACCTACGCTCCGGGTGGTCAAGGAGTCTTCACCGATGATGCGTATGGCGATGTTCTATATTACCACTATCGTAAGTTCCTACATTTTACCAATTAGTGAAGTGAATACCGTTTTAGGCTGACTTGTTCGACAGTGGATTTGACAGTAGGGGTGGATTATAACGATTCCAAGTTCGGATGGAATGTTATAACCTGGGTTGATGGATGGCCCACGGTATCCTAAGATATTAGAAGTCATCCGGGACAGTACATTGGATAGTATTGCGTAAATTAATAACTACCCCCTTCTAGAAGGCCATACGATACTTTAACTATTTCTAGAGATATTTTAATCTACGAACACGATGACGTCGTCGCACACTACGATATTAATTAGGCCGTGCCGTCCTAGATTAATAAGAGGCTGGAGAGGTCAATTCAAAAGATCGTAGCTATCATCTCATAACTACCTAGTCAGCATACGTGGCCTATGCATAATAAGCATAAAGCTTTGAACCTCCTTTAAATGAAGCTGTAAATCGCGTAGCATATTCCAATGATCGGCAACACTAGCACACCCTTGCGTTAATTACCGGCGTCGAACATACCTACTGCGAGGCAGCATGCTTGAACACAGTAGAAACTGAATGTTCAAGTCGTAACGACATAGCTGATTTATGTATTCGATGAGCGCTTTTCGCAATCCCATATTTCCCCGGAAAAGGAGGCTGGCTAACAGCTAGATCTCGATTCCTATATTAAACCAACGCTGAACCCGTCCTGTTCGTATTGTATAATAGACGTACCTTTTGATATTCGGCAAGCCCGAATGAATGACGAGGTTACGATGCTGCCAGGGTGTAACCAAACTCATCGGCGGCTCTAGGTGGAGCTAATGAAAATCATTCTTTGGGGTCTTCGAGACACTGACCAGAAATGATGAAGAAGCGCCACACAGCATTCGCTAGTCAAGTGAGTTTCTGCATGGTACTCCGCCGAATTCGTTCCCAGTGTGGTTCGAACGGGTTTCTTAACATCTCTTCATTTTAGGCCTGATCTGGCAGTCTGGGTAACGTGGATCACCACTTCATGTGATAGCCGTTTCCTCACCAAAGTAGAACATATGGATAGGACTAGGAACTTACCCTCATTAAGGTAGATTTAAATGTTTTCTACACCCAATACCATTTCTTTGATCGCGTTATAGTGTTCTCCTGCCGAAAAGGAATGTGAAGACTTCCTGTTGTGTCTCGGTATCCTAACTATCACAAGCCGGTCCAATCTTGACATACTTCGGAAAAATGCCTCCCAAAATGTCAACCATGAAGTCTAGGATGACCATGACGAATATACCGATACATACCGAGAGGATGCCTCGTCGAGCCATGAGCATTGGCAACCTTGGGGAGAGCCGTCAAGAGGCCATGGACGGGGATAGTGGTAAGGTGAACTGAGTGAATAATATTTTTATTGATACTAACTGTCAGCTTGGGAAAAGGACGCGGCGACTCCGTTCGTCAGCCTCGTCCTCTTGTCAGGCGATTAAATAAAGTCGAACTCGCTACTCCTATGAAGATATCAAATTTTGCGGCCGGTAGTGTTAAGATGGTGTATCCGAGATCTCGGAGAATTAATACAATGAGAAGCCCATTAAGACTCCACGAGGGCATTTAAAGATGGTTAAGAAAATACGTACGTTGATTCTTGTATTGGAATTTTGGAAATTTCCCGGTTGCTTACCTGTTTTAGAACTTAGGTCCGAGGTCGACTTACAAACAACGACCACAACACTGCGGAATCTATTCCGGGTCGAATAACACATCAAAATCGCATACGAAGGGTCGTGCGAGAAGCTATGGGCTAATACCGAGAACGGACCATGGTGTTTATGATGAAAAGGGCGCCGTTGGGTATGAGGGATTTCACCGAACTCGTATCTTCCGAGGACGTCGAACAGAGCGTCGGTTTTGGAATGGCGCAGCCCTTCAAAGTTCAGGGCGAGCATACGAATGAAGGACACAGGGAGAAATCCCAGACTGAGCTAATTGGGAAGGCGAAGGAATCACGCGACGCCCGAGGCAAAGTACTTGTGATTGGCCGGGTGAGAGAGTTCCGAATGCCTGGATGATAATAGCAAAAGAATAACTTGACGATCCTTACATTTTGGAGATTCTGGAAGTAATGTTTAACATTGTAGGGGTAATTACATAAGCCGATCTTATTGGAATAACAGGATTCTTTTGTAGCATTTTATTCTATATCGATGTGATTACGTCATGGTGGTTTATATAGCTCTATGCCATATAAGGTTTGGTAAAAGCTCGGATATTCAGAAATGTTACATGGGTACCTTCTCTCCAACCAAAAATGTTGAAGGATACAAAGTCCAAACTTGACTACGTATCTAACGACTCCCGGTCCTCATTTTCAACCTTAACATGTTTCGACCTTCGCCAACAATATTCATGCTCAATACCGTCATATTAGGAATCAACAAACATCCCTGGCGGGATAAGATGGAGCCTGCCCGCGGATTCCGTCGATTCAATGACCTCCCGAAAGAGCTCCGCATCTTGATCTGGGAATACCACTTCCAGGCTCATCGCATTCACGTGGTTCATCCCGCACCCGAGAGTGAGAAGATAAATCCGATGAAGGAGGTTCTAGTCTATTCCTGCACCATTCTAGATCCCGCAACCAATCTCATTATCGAGGACAGACGCCCTCCTTCTCCGCTTGTGAACCGCGAGGCCCTCGAAGTCTTTCTATGGTGTAAGCGCGTGTGGACTCCTATTACCTTCAACAAGGATCTCGCTGAATCCGTGACGGCGAACCGGGGCCGTGTGCCTCCCCAGTTCGTCCATTTGGCCGGTAAGCGCGACATCCCGAAGGTACAGGAACGTCCTGTCTACATCGACTGGAGCCGTGACATTCTCTACATCTGCGCTTCGCACACCGAGCAGACTTTCTGGTCACTGCGTTCCACTCCATGGCGGAATGAGGTTAGGAAGTTGGCACTGCTCATTCCTCACGTCGGGTTCGCCGGTGCCATCCCGTTTGGGCCGTCGGCCCCTATCCGCGAGGTTCTTGACTACATGCATGGGGTCGAGGAGCTGTTTATCGTGCTGATTCCCCAGGCCGGTACTGCGCAGTCAGCCACCGCGCAGTCAGCTACCGCGCGCGAAGCAATTGCCCGCCTTCCGAGGGACGTGCACGGTTTCGTCCCCTACGTCAACTATCTCAAGGAGGCTGGCCTTGCGAAAAACCACATGCTCTACAACCGCACCGCCATGCTGATTCGAGACGCTATGGCTAGTGCGCCGAGAAAAATCAAGATTGAAAGAGTCGTTGATGTCGATTATATCACGACTCCTTTTGGCTACTACGAACGAAAACCCCGCTCGCCTTTTGCAACAACTGTCACAAGGCACTTAGTTAGTCCATCCAAGAAGGAATTAGCCCTTGATTAGCTTAGCTGAGCGTGGGTATATTTGGTTCGCTATTCCGTAGGAGCAACGCTCCCTTTTTTCTTGATAGATCATCAGATCCGGCACCTAGTGACTATGCGATAACATCCGCTTCGACTTAGTCTCCATAGGTATGGTAAAGAAGAGATCATTAGAGTTCTCATTGCCTGGGGCTACATTAGGGAAATCTGCTTTCTAATTCAGAATTTTAGCATTTGCGATATATCATTCTCTTGTAACTTCAGAATGTGCTTTAGACGTATATGCTCGGTGAGATTTCAGAGGTTCTAGCTACTCATCTTGAAAGCACTTACTTCTTTGTCAAGACCTTGGGCTCGCTGCTCTCTGGCGGTCCTAAATGTCTAGAAACTACAGCACTAGCGCAAGTATACAGTAACATATGTGGGGACAACGTGCGCCTCTAGACGGGCTCAATGGCTCAAAATAGGATTGTAGGTACTCGCCAGACACGCGTATTGCCCAAGCTACTACAATGAGAACCTCGGCCAACCTTTCATCCATTTCTACTCTAGCCCCTCCAGGTTGGTAAGCCATTTACTCAAGTACGATCTACGATTCGAGTTCCTAGCTAAATATTCGTACAATCAATCTGACCGCCCGTATACGTCTTCATGTTCTTCAGCGTGGGGGTTTTGTACACCCGTAGGCAATAAAAACAAAAACAAAAACAATGACGATAAGACCTATGATGACGCTTCCTTGCAACATATCTTCATTTATCTCGTTAAGGGCTTCCGATAGCCAATTCTATAACCCGATTTCTAGGTTATGATACGCGCGGCCTTGATCTGGGTAGACGCGCTGGGTCGAGAACGCCAGCAGCTGGTTCATGAGATAGGAGGTTGACAATGCCGAGTTTATGTGCGCTTGTACGAGGGGATCCATGGGTTGTACGACCGTCATCCGGTCGGGCACGCTAATTTCTATATGGTGGAATAGGCTCAGGTGCTGAGAATCATCGGAATCCCGGATAGGCGGCCAGTTTTTCGCGGTCGTGGGCAGCCTCAGAAGTTTGGATATGAAGCGCAAGTCTATTGAGGATTGTGCCGCTGGTGGTTGCTCTTCAAGCAAGGCATATTGATCTGCGAAACAACACGCTCGAGCTTCAATCTCGCAGTTCCCGCAAGTCGGCCGTTTTGCGTTACAGTTGATATTTCTACTCTTGCATTCAAGACAGCCTGTCCTCGAGTTCTTTGGAAACAGGTGCCTTTTTGCCTTTCTGAACCAGCGTCGCATGCTGTCCAGAGCGATGCCTCGTCCTTGAGGGTAGACGGGTAACGGCGCGTATGGATTTCAAACAGGTTCTTGACCATAAAAAGATGAGAGAACTTAGAACAAATCGATTGAGAAGGTTGAACTTCCACACACACATCCATAAAACAAAACTGAACGGGCTGAAGGACTACTTGGATGCCTCTACTCACCGCTAGGTATTGACGTATTGTTGTCTCACTAATACCAACTAATAATATAAGCCACCACCACTAAAAGAAAATCCAATTATGGTGAGTTCAACTACTATAGGTAGTTGAGTTATTACAAGTTTACGCGCGATATACTGGTTGTCTTGTAATTGCTGTACTAAAAGTTGCTCTACGCGTAAAATACCCCTAGACTGGCGCAAAGTAACACCATGGATTCCAGTATAGTGCCTTAATGATCAACACTATATGTGAAACAACGGGTATAATCGGCTGGACTAGCATTGCGCGAACCCTCTATCCCTTCTTCTAGAGACTTTTTATACTATAACAGCCTGAATACGTGATAGCTATGCGGAGGGTCGGTTATATGCGAATGAACATGATAGACTACCCCTTAGACTTCGCAATCCTTAATATAACCATTGCCACTAAAAGTCTAGTCATTCTAGTATTTAATAAGCCTTCTAGTCTTGTTTCGTCGAGTTTCGTGTATAATTCCCCACAATAATGGTGGTGTTGCTGACTGTTGGTCTAAGGGATATATGGGAAAGGGATGTATTTTTAAGTACATACTCTTGGAATATAGCCCCCCTTCTCTACTCTACAGAAATTCATATGTCTCTTACACGTATAGTAAAGATCCCACAAGCTCGACAATAGTACGGACGCGCGCTTCGTTCAAAACTCATAAGGTGCTAAAATCCATTCCAGATATGCTGAGAGCATCGAGATTCGATAACACATCCAGACATCCTCATCCCTCCTGGAGAAAGATGTGCCACCAATTCTAGCAAGCGTGTCGAGGTAGTGGTTTAAGATGCGCGCCTCATATGTTCACCGGTCTTCGACAGTCAGGCTACCCGACACGAAGTACGTCACATCGTGGAAACAAGAGCCAAAATGGATACTGCTAGTTAAGGGACCCCAATACCCCTTTGACAAGATACGAAGTCCCCACATGACAGCCGCCGTGGATGAGGTATCGGAACTTGGGGTTTCAAGAGCACAGCCCATATCCGTTACTTGCCTGTCAAATACTCGGGGAGCAGTGGCCGGTGGGCGCCGTGGATCACGTTGTCCTAGTTGGCGGCCATCGCGGTAGCCATGTTCTCCTGAAGCTTGGGGTTAACCCACAGGTGATTTAGTCTGCTTAACACCCACGTCCTGGGGCACAAGTCCGCGAGTTGCTCGACGCCTGCTACGACGCGTTCGACAGGCCATACGTTAACGGGTTCCCTGAACTGCGCTCCAAGGACATTCAGGTCATCCCAGGAAACGATCCCCCGAGTAGAGTTGTTACCAGTCAGGCTTACCGGGATTGAGAGTGATTGAATGATATTTCGTAATACGGAGCAGATTACTGGAGTTAGAAATGATATCTATTCTATCTAGCAGAGTAGGTATGGGCGACATAATCGGTTCAGTTTATTGGTTGTTGGTGGATATATCCATACGTATTCGACGATGTTCCAGGGCGCCATTAGTTATAAATGACAGTCGTCGAGCCTCCCTATTAGCTCGTCAAGATTTGCCCAATAACTGAGGAGGTTCGACGCCCGAAATGCTCGCGAGCATCTCAATCAACTTATCCTGCCGTGTTTCGTCATCTAGAGATCTCTCATAACTCGACTCGCGGCTCGCACCATTCGGACCTCTTGGGCGAGATTTGTACCAGAACTTGCCCGTTTTACCCTCTGCGGCGCCTGACCCCTCAGCTAGTAGCACGTAAGTATCGATGGCAGCACTAATGCTGTCGGGGGCATTCCGGCCACCCATTTTTGTTGGAACCCATCCCGGCTGACCAAAAGAGAGTCAGTAATGCATGCTCTATATAGATACGGTAACAAAGATATTTAAATCAATTTCGATAATTCGAGATGATTTCCGAGATAAGCTAATATAGGGGTAAAACAAATCTCAAAATTACGTACATTAAGAACGTTGCTCGTGACCCACCTGTCCCTGAGTCGCCGGGCAAACCAGAAAGCAAGCAGGACGTTATGTAGCTTAGTGTCGCTGTAGAAAGCCTGTTGGATGTTGCGTAGGGATGGGTCACCGCCATGATGCATGCCACTGCTGATAAACACATAGCGTTTCGGTGGTGGGTCTATCAAAGATGACAAAATATACGGCGCTAGAGTATTGACGGCGAAGAGCGCGGGGAGTCCCTCTTTGCCCTTGAGATTAGATACGCCATTCATAAGACCGGCGTTATGCATGATGGTGTCCCAAGGACCAGTCTGGTTTAGCTGTGCTGCCAGCGACTTGGTCTCTTCCGTGGACGTTAAGTCTGCGACGAATACGTCTTTGGCTTCTGGACACGCAGCACGTGCGTCCTGTGCCCTCTGACCGTTGCGCGCGTGTAGGTAGAGGTCGTGCCCACGTTTGACGAGGGCTTGCGCTGAGCGTAGGCCAAGGCCGTCTGATGAGCCAGTGATGAAGATACGAGCCATGATGGAGATAGTAACACAAGTGTTTATCGAGTCGGTTACTAGAGTGTGGCCTCACATATTTAACCTGCAATGTAAGAGGATCTATGTGGACCGGAGCTTGCTTGAATACCGGTAGAGTAGGTCGGAGTTTGCTGTATAGGTCGCTAATGCCGAAGTCTCGCGGAGTATCACAACCGCTCCTTTTATCTATTTGAGATCTAGATCGTATGTCATGGCTCACACCATCAGGGTATATTATCAATCCCTCGTAGCAAGTACCTTCTACTTGGCTGCCTGTGTATGTAGCTACGTACACTAGGTAGGTCTAGGTAGGCAGTCATAAAGCGTGGGGAGTGACGTCACTCGAGATCAATGATAATGTTCGTGTTGAGCTGTAGACAATGAATTTGTGGTCTTGTTACAAAAGTCAAACGATTTGGTAGTTTGATTGGACGATGACGACAGAGCAATAAAATGTTCGAAGGTTTTTAAAAAGGAATTCATTGGACATTTATGTCGTACATATCTAGGTACTTCAGCTCGATCCTGCCTGCCCCGCCGTAGTGCGGGAACAATGGACCTAGAAAATTTAGTGTACCTGCTTATGGGACTCTTTGCTGCATGACGCCTGCCCTATTGTTCTCAAGCGGCGGGGTGAAGTTCAGCCTTACCTTCTTCATCTTTCGTTTTGCCAAACTACAAACCATCCACCTATCACCGATTTCTTATGAAAAAAGCGACACCAACAACACTACTAGTTTTCAACGAAAATTATGAAAGAAGGGGAACTGAAGAAGGATTATCTACGACAACCCGTTGTGATTTAGTCTTCAACTATTACCGCGACATCGCGCAACATGACGACCACGCGAAAAGCCAACGGCGTCTTGCCCGTTTCTTCTACCCAAGCAACCAATGACGCGCCGAAGTCTAAGGCTAAGGAACCTACTCGAGGAAAGAAAGTCATTGTTCGTCGCCTTCCGCCTGGCATCACCGAAGCCGAATTCTGGGCTATCCTAGGAGATGAATGGAAGAGTGGGAACGGCAAGGTGGACTGGACAAAATTTCAAGACGGCCACGTTTCACAGGAGTGAGTTCTACAGACCACTTAGATCCAACTGCCATTGGAGGGTAGAACCTAGCTAATATTACCTGCCTAGCCCTTCAAATCCATCTAGCCCCGCGCGATGCTATCTCCAAGTTTTGCGAACCGACGATATCCCTGTATTAGCAGAAGTCGTTCAAAGGTCGATTTGGGAAGACGATAAGAAGACGTTTAATGATCCAGCACTAGTGGGACCGCCATACCTGGAGCTTTCTATATATCAGAAAATACCGACGACTAAGCGCCGCATGGATTCCAAGCAAGGCACCATTGACCAAGATCCCGATTTCATGGCTTTTCTCGATAGCCTTACCCAAGATCCAGCCGTGAAAGAAGTCGAGGCCGAACAAATCGCCGAGGATTCTCTCAAAGATAACGTTAAGGTCACAACAACGCCCTTGGTTGAATACCTTAAGGAGAAGAAGGCAAATAAGGGCAAGGAAACTACTAGTGCCAAGAGTACTAAGCACGGCCGACATGAGTCTCAGGGTGGGAAGACAAAAGGGAGCCAGGAAGATTCCAAGAAGAAGACTAAGGAGTCCAAAACCGAAAAAGCCGAAAAGGCGGCTGAGAAGGACGAGAAGAAAGCAAAGGAACCCATAAAACTCCTCACTAAGAAAGCAGCAGCCCAAGAGGCGGCGGAAACCGCTAAACCCACCTCCACCTCGACTACCACAACCAAGACAACTGAGGAGGCGGCACCAAAGAGCCGACGAGCTAACATAGCAGCCGCTGCCAAGATTTTGCAACGCGACCTCGGTCTCAGCCCTGGAAGTGCGCATAGAAGAGCTCGCCAGGATGCGGCTAAGGCGGAAGCAGCTGCTAAAGCTGATTCCGGCAAAGAGAAAGATAGCAAGGATACGGCATCTACAACTCCCACGGCACCAAGTCAGCCTACCTCATCAGCGCCCCCGTCTGCTCCAACTGCTCCGAAGGCCCAAGCAGCGGAGAGTTCACGCCGGTCTCGAGGTGCGAAGGCTGCAAAGCAGAATGCGTCTGGCGATACGGCTAAGGGCAAAGATAATACAGGCAGCACGAAATCAGCCCCAGTAACCACGCCCGTCATTCTTAAGAGGATGGATGATACGCCTCCTACCGGGCCTGCTTCAACGACCCCTGCCGCCACAACTTCTGCGACTCCAACTCCCCCAACAGGCCCTAAGGCTGCCGCTGGCAAGGCCTCGTCTAAATCAGGTCCTTCCCAGAAGAAAGGATCTGGTCAGCCTTCAATCACTGCGGGTGCAACACGTGCTTTCGTAAAGCATGCCAACCCATCACAGGGGGTTACCGAGCCGCTTCTGAAGCAGGCTATGGAGGTCTATGGCCCCGTGACATTCGTCGAGATTGACAAGAGGAAAGGTTTCGCCTATGTTGATTTTGGAGATCATGAGGCACTGGTTAAAGCCATTACGGCGAGTCCGGTGCCTGTCGCGCAAGGCACCGTGCAAGTATTGGAGAGGAAGGAAATTAAGAAGCCAGCGCAAGCCCCGACACAACCAGCGGCTGACAAGGCGAGCAGCGACGCCCCGCCAGATCGCCCTAAGCGTGGCGGCCGTGGTCGAGGCCGTCGAGGAGGTGGCAACGTGAACAGCGCAAACACGAATGCGCCTGCCGAATCATCTAGCTCTACGACACCAGCACCCGCTGCAGATTCGAAGGATTCGAACGCTACAGCACCCCCTGGTTGACTATGAGTTAGTTGTCGCTAACTTAATATCACTCAAGTTTTCATGAGTATGATGATCACGCCTCGGATAATTACGACAGTCGATCCATCAGTGCCGCTTGGCTATATCCTTGATATGGAAACTGACATTGGCTGCTTTATGGGTTCTGGATGGATATAACTTCTTTCCATACAATCATTATGAAAAAGACCAACAGTATCCGGAGGTGCTCAGAGCATTGGGCTATACCGGCTAGGAGTTCGTCTAATATGGGTTCACGACCTATATAAAATAGCAGTTGAGTAGGTAGACTTGGCTTGAGCCCTAAGTACCAGCCTTGTTTTATGACCACCGCTTAGCTAGTTACTTTATGGTACTATTAGGTTAGTAGTATACCAACATAATAATTGACGCTACACCGGCACTCTCATTAAGAGGGTGATAGCTAATAAGGGTAATAATAATATATGCCCTCATCCCCACTCAAGACTGCTTCAAATGTATTGGTATCTCTTGTCCTATTGGTGATTCATCTTGATCTTTTGAAAATTGTCTGTTCTCTATTTATTATCTGCTCGACGTAGAAACCGTGCAAGATTATGTAAAAGCTTTAGAGAAGCTATGAGGGGATATGGCCGTTATATTCCATTGACGCCCTTTATATGGAGGATTAATTTCATTCATGCGGAATAATAACACACGTGAGTTATTCTATGAACTTGGTGGTAAATACAGAATAAAGGAGTTATGTAAAGTGTGAGGTATGCATATAACTAAGTATATGCATAATACGAAAGCTTCTTAAGTTTAACCGAAGGACAACCTTACCTAATGACCGGAATAACCATTTATGCGGAACAAGCCGAGATGGACGGTGCTCAACCTCGAAATTCGGCCGTTAATACTTGCGCCTGAACATCAAGAGGGACCAAAGCTCACTATTACCGCACAAAGTTGCTTGAAGAGACGAAGCATTCGTCTTGAACAGCTCCTGCGATCATACCAAACATCCCTTAGAAATACGATATACTTTGACCACCCCTTGCAAGTCACTGTTAGAAGACGCGATCAATTTCCAATACTCGAAACGATCCAGAGATAAGCAGCCAGTCTGGCATCTACACGCGATTTGATGACGCGCAACCAAATTTGACAAACCTCCAAGCCACTGGACTTCTTTATAGCTCGAGGTCTTCATTATAGTACTTTAGAAGCTTGACGGCGACCGTCGATTGAACCCCTCGCATAAATCTTACCTCCAACGGAGGTTCTGAATCATCTATCTAGTCGAGGCATTCCAGTTGCTACTTATCCAGCCGGTCGCTTCGCAGAACGAACATAAGCGCCCTTATAATTGGCCTGCCAGTGGTCAAGACACTATCTCCGCACGGTTGTACATATCGCGATGAGTTCTTCTAGGCCTGCTGTCCCGAAGCCGGGACCGGCAAAGTTGACCCCGGGTTCTGGCTTAGACGAATGGCTCGAACAAGCTAAGCAATGCCGTTATCTACCGGAACCAGTAATGAAGGAACTCTGCGAGATGGTTAAGGAAGTCTTGATGGAAGGTATGCTCACTTTTGCGCCACGATGGTAAGGTTACTCTAACTCTTTTCTTGTTTAGAATCCAATATTCAACCGGTAGTTACTCCGGTCACTATTTGTGGCGACATTCATGGCCAATTCTACGATCTACTGGAGCTTTTCCGCGTTAGTGGTGGTATGCCGGGTCAACCCGTTACTGAGGCTCCTATAACCTCAACTTCCGTAATTACATCAGCAGATATCGAACCACCCACTGAGATTACTAACCCGAAGTTGAAGAAGAAAATAAAGAAGCCGAAAAATCCAACGGGAGATGTCCCTGGACTTCCTAATGAGGAGTCCACTAATGCAGAAGAGGAGGAGGAAGAAGGCAATGAATCTCCAAGTGCTTCTCAACGCAACTCATCAGATGCTTCGGCAACCGTCAACAATGCCGACACTCGCTTCGTATTTTTGGGTGACTTTGTGGATCGAGGGTACTTTAGTCTTGAGACGTTCACACTGCTCATGTGTTTGAAGGCTAAGTAAGAAGGACCAAAACAATCCCAAGTCCATACCCTCTATTCTAACACACTTTTCAGATATCCGGATCGTATTGTTCTTGTCCGTGGCAACCATGAATCTCGACAGATTACTCAGGTGTATGGTTTTTACGAAGAATGCCAGCAAAAGTACGGAAACGCGTCGGTCTGGAAGTCGTGTTGCCAAGTTTTCGATTTCCTGGTTCTAGCCGCTATCGTGGACGGGGAGATTCTCTGTGTCCATGGTGGACTAAGCCCCGAGATCCGTACCATCGATCAGATTCGCGTCGTAGCCCGGGCGCAGGAGATTCCTCATGAGGGAGCATTCTGTGATCTGGTCTGGAGTGATCCTGAGGAAGTCGAGACTTGGGCTATTAGCCCGAGAGGTGCAGGTTGGCTCTTTGGTGACAAGGTAGCGACAGAATTCAACCACGTCAATGGACTGAAGTTGATCGCTCGGGCTCACCAACTAGTCAACGAAGGCTACAAGGTAATCTCTTTTACTCTATAATACTAATTATTCACTTGCTTACTCGCGAATAGTACCACTTCCCACAAAACTCGGTTGTTACAGTTTGGTCAGCGCCAAACTACTGTTACCGCTGCGGGAACGTTGCCTCGATCATGTCCGTGGACAAGAATCTTGACCCCAAGTTCAGCATCTTCTCGGCCGTCCCTGATGACCTGAGGCACGTGCCCGCAGGACGACGTGGCCCGTCTGACTACTTTTTATAATGCGTTACAGCTGAATTGCAACGTTCCGCGACGAATTTTCGAAACTCTTGATACCACTATCACACAGGCGTTTTAGGGAAGGATTTTTTTCCCATATCGGTTTTTTGCAATGCATGAAGGAATGACGGACGCAACAACGAATAGGGTATAGACAACTGAGGCTAGGGGCATGTATACGTCGCCAGTAAGAGGGATTTTAGCGATGACGACATGGAACCGTATCATGCGGGAATATGGTGACGCAGATGATCAACCTGTATAGTAGAAGCTTAAAAGGGCTACTTCAGGAATATAAGGGTCGGGGATAGCCCGTCCACTTGGTATTCCTGAGACATTGTATGAATTTTACTTGATGAAAAACGTTTGTTATATCATATATGCGCAGTGATATAAGTCAATTGATACTCCTACTTACTTCCTATGCTTCTCTGTATGGATATTTTACTAATAGATATGTCTTAGCCGTTTATGGTTTTGAGGGCTTGGAGCTTTAGATATCATTACGTAAGTGGGCGTAGAGGGGCTACCCCAAAACTTAACCCCGCCAGATCCAAACTCAATTCAAATCAATCTACGCGCAACGGCGCGTCGTCTCCAGTACAACGATTAATATCCATTAAAAGCCAAACGGCCAACCTGGCCCCACTCGCTACGAATTAAACATTTACTTAATTCTTGCTTTTAACATTGTACATCCACGTCCACTGGCCTTCTACATACTTCGCAAGTGAGCGAACGAACACAATGTCCTCAAGCCAGCAACTCCAGCGCTCCATGTCGGCGCTAAGCATCCGGGACCGGGACCGGGACCGCGAGAAGTCGTACTTCGAACAACAGCGGGAGGCATTGATCGGCGAGATAGCTATGGTTCGTTTCATTTTACCCCATCATAAGAACTAAACAAGGTACCTACGGAGAGGATGAAAAAAAAAGCTAATACAGTGTAAACAGAGCTTCGAGCACGTCCTCGCCAACATCAATAAGCTAAACCGATCGCTCGAGGCCGTGGTCGCGGTCGGCAACGAGTTTTCATCCGTTGAGGCACTGTGGTCACAGTTCGAGAACGTCATGGCCAAGGACCCCGAGGACGGTAAGGCCGGTTCCGAGGGCGAGGAGGGCCAGGGCCAGCAAGCGGAGGGGGAGACGACTACGACGGGGAAGAATTAGGAGGGAGAATGGCATTGTCGGGAACTTGGTATAACCAGGAGAATCTGTACCGGGAAATGCTAGAGGGCTACGAATGAATGTTAGGGGGCAATTGATCACGATACCCGCTTTGGCCTCATGAAGCCATGGCACATTACACATTACACTACACATGTCACACTCAAACGATAGGCACAAATAAGCTGTCATGAATTTCTGAATTTCCTATCCCATGCCTTGAAGGATAAACGGCAAGCAGTGCCAAGAGCAGAAACTAGAATTCGTACAGCGAAAGGGGGAAACAAGATCCCTCCTTTCGTAAACAGACGCATGATTTGGTACACGTAACTTCACTTCACTTCACTTTGTTTCCAGTATTCCATCCCAAGGTCGTCCCATCTTTCTCTTCTCGTTGGCGGCAATTTCTTTTGGTTCAGGCGAAAACGGGGAGCAAGCGTGTTCTTCATTATCTTTTCGTCCGAGAAATTAAAAAAAAAGGGGAACTTTGCGTAACCATTAGCTATCGTAAAAGGTGGTGGCTAGCGAAAAGTGAAGCCAAGCCAAGCCAAATTCAGGTCCGAGGCAAAAACAAAAGTGCAAAAATAACAAAAGGACGAAACACCATTTGCCCTTCCCTTTGATCCTAATCATTAGACCCTTATACGAAGGCTGGAAGAGAGAGGGAGAAAAAAAAAGTAAGGGACTCGCGGGAACGCCACGCACATCAACATCTTGAAATGCAAGAAGCTCTCTCTCTCTTTTGGGGGAGAAAAGCAACAAAACGGCGAAAAACCCAACCTGTCCCTGTCCGAGGTCGTGAGAGTAGAGCAAGAAAAAAAACTTTGTCGTCGAGAAAGAAAAATTGTTGTTGTCATGCAAAAGGTCATTAGTAGGTTTGTTTCTCTCTCATCCATCCACATCTCGACATCTCGATAGCACGCTGGCTCTTCTCGTAAGCCCAACACGCACTACCAAAACCGGCTACCTCGGCAGGGGACATTTCACAAGAAGTTACAGTTCCGCTTCTTCTTCTTAAAAGCGCGGAGACCGGGGATATTGCGTCCGCTGCCGGAGGAGGTGCTCGGTCCGGGCATCGAGGTCGGAGCGGCGGCCATGGCGACCTCCAGGTTACGTCGGTCGTTTGCTACCACCGTCTGAATAGCTCGGTCGAAGATCTCGTCGACACCCGTCATCTCCTTGCTACTACACTCCATGTACTGCGCGCCCATCTTCTCGGCTACACCCGCGCCTTGCTCGCTAGTAACGGGCGTAAGGCCTTGGGCGTTCAGTAGATTGACACAGGCCTTGTTGTGTCGTAGATCTGACTTGAGGCCGACGAGGATGAGAGGGGTGTAAGGGCAGAAGTGGAGGACTTCGGGATACCACTAGAACTCCTGTCAGTTTTTTCTCCCTCTTGTGACCATGTAGGTAGATATAGAAAAGCGAGACTGCGGTAGAAAGATAGCGACGAACCTTGTCTAAGACGTTGTCAAGAGAGTTGGGACAGTCAATAGCAAAGCAGACAAAGATGAGATCGGTCTCGGGGTACGACAAGGGTCGGAGTCGGTCGTACTCTTCTTGGCCGGCGGTGTCCCATAGTGCAAGCTCGACGGTCTTACCACTAGGCTGGTGAGTCGGATAGGTGATGTAGTTCTCGAATACAGTAGGCACATATTTCTAGACCTGATGTTAGCTTTCGGCGCAAAGTCGGTTTCTTAAAATACAGGGTACGGTGACGAGGAGGGGTGGGTTATCGTACCTCGGGGAAATAGCCTTGGCTGTAGCTAATCAACAGACATGTCTTGCCGCAACCACCATCACCAACCACCACGATCTTCTTGGAGTACGCCGGTGCCTCTGTCATATGGGTTGCCGACGACTCTCGACCCGTAGACGCGCTCATAACTGTACTAACGGTTCCCTCACTCGATCGCGTGTTACGCTCCTTGCCTGTTGCACGTCGTTGAACACCACTGTCGTTCTTCTCACTCATGCCTCCACCGCCAAAGTAAGAGTTGCGAGATGCCATCGTTAGGCGTGTCGCGGTTGGGGGAGGATTGAATTCGTGTAAAGTGGCTCGATCGGAGTTTTTTTTTTGCTAATACGGTAACGGGACAATTGTGTCTTAATTTACCTCACCGTTGAGATTGCGAGAAAGGAAGAAATGTAGATAGGATAAAGTGGTTTCGGATGGGACGATAGAGAGAAAGGTTGGGAGGAATGGAATGCGGATGGAAATTAAAGGTGAAACTTTTTTATTTTTTTCGTCAAAGGTTCGGGTTCGACGAAATTGTTGAAAATAGGTAAGAATGAATTGGTTAAGACTAACCAAGCAGTACTGAGGTTAAGGAAAAATGTGGGTGTCTGAGGCTCAGTGAATTGTGCTGGTTGGTTCGTTGGGTTGGTGCATTTCGTCAGAGCATTAGCAGTAAATAATAGAAACTCAATTGGTAACGTCGACCTGGCAACCATGGGTCACACAGTTTGTTTCAGCTGGCATAAAACAACTCCCCCACCAGCCGGTCAAGAAAACAATCTGGACCAATCAGATGATAAGGATAGCCCCAGCAACGTGCAGCCGGGTGCACTGATCATTCACTAAAAGTTCACTAAAATCTATTAAAATCGACTAAAGACCGCCACAAAGCAACTGTATCTCACTTGTGGCACCTTATTTGAGGCGCAAACGTCGGAAAAGCTCCACCCAATACGAACATCTCAAAAATTCTTCCTCAACCGAGTTTTCTCAACTTACCGCTCCTCTACACCTCAAAGCAGCCCACCAGCCCTTTCGAGGAGATCTCTCAAGATGAGTGATAGTAAATACATAACTCTAGTCTCCAGTGATGGCTACGAGTTTGTAGTGCTTCGAGAGGCAGCTTTCATCAGCCCTGCCATCAAGAGCATGCTGGATCCCAAGAGTGAGCTTCGTCTTCTCATCTGAACTTATGCCACGCCTTGGAATAGCATTGACCTAAGTTAGGTCAATTTGCCGAGGCCATAACCGGCAGATGCGTCTTCCAGGAGATCACGTAAGTTGGCATTCCAATCCCAATCATCATATACCTCGTCGACCATCGTCTCCCACCACGCATTGTCGGTGATGAATCACAAAATTTCGCTGTGTTCTTACTGACAGACCGTTTTCCTATGGTCTGAATGACAGCACACTACACTTGATCTGAGACATCTCATCCTCCCCCGCATTGTTATTGTATCCCATTATAACATGGCCAACCATGAAAATTCTGGAGCTGACCGCATAATAGTGGTATGGTGCTAGAGAAGGTAGTCGAGTACTTCCACTACTGGTACAAGAACCGAGAGAAGGACAACGTTCCAGACATGGAGGTCCCTGTCGAACTCTGTCTTGAACTGTTGATGGCAGCGGATTACTTGGGTCTTGACAGTAAGAAGAAGCGTTTTGCCCACCATCCCCAGAGAACCAGCCAAGCTCATCTACCTCCCTTTCCTACAGAACAAACGTAGACTCTTAATCAGTCAGGGGTCGAATGTATCCGAAGGTGTTGATGTACTAGACACGAGACATGATCGGCGTTTACCGGCGTAAAGATACCATGGGGCGATAAATACGACTGATTCTTCAATTCAAGGTAGAGGTTATCGTGTACGAAGATGCTCTGAATGGGATCCATGGATGAGCAGAATATGCACTTCTAGATTAACTTATCAAATAAGTTCTGGTCGTTGGTAGGTCTAACAAAATAGTAGCCTGTACCCATCTAAGCATATGCGTTCAATTCTAGCTCCTCCGTGGGTTGAATGTCTATAACGGATGGAAGATTGATCTAATTAATCCCCCGTCACTCTGCGTGGCTTGCGTTTCTCTATCGAGAGCATGCTTTTTAGGAGGGGAAACATCTCTTTTAGGTTGTTTACCAATATAATTTGTCTACTGGCAAAAGTCATTTCATGTGTCCTATTTATTCTGTTCCTTTACTGGGAACAGTAACCGTGTAGCTCTCGATATCTCCCTTAAAGAAGTACAAGGGCTTTCAGCGATCAGCCTCTTCAGTGACAGCCTGCGATTCACTTTGAATGAACTGAACCCCAGTCTGGTGCATGCACCGACGCCTCAACCGATTTTCCCCAGCCTCGTCCTCCCTTTACAAACCTCTCCCGTTTTGTAAACTTGCTATCATGACCCCTTCCACCGCCACGACTAAATCTCGGTTCCGCGGAAGTGACCTTGGGACCTTCCTCCTTCCGCCTTGCCCTTTCCTCGGGGCTCGCATCCCAGAGGTTCGGCACGCCAAGCAGCTCGCAGAACGCCGTCGTCTGCGGGTTCGTGTACTCGTCGGGCTGTTCGTCGACGAAGTCGGGATCGACGCCCCGACGGTGAGGCGGCGCGGTGAGGGCGAAATTGTGGGGCACGGCCAGCTTGCCCTTGTCGACGATGTTCAGCTTCACCCAGGCGCGCTCTTGGTCGATCATCGGCCGATATACTTCTTCGCCTAGATCAGGGGGTGCCGGGGCCATATGCGGCCCACCGATGGTCAGGTACGGCGCAAAAGCACGTGTGATCGCAAGCCATTCCGGATCATACTCCAGCTCATAGCGTTGTTCTGGGTTGTCTGATTTCTTGGACTTCTCCATAGGCGATTTGCTAACGGGCGTTACCTCGCACAACTGGAGATACTTGCGCCCTGGGAGACACTTGTCCAAGGCGAGAAAGCGGACGGCTTTATTTGTGATGGATGGCGGAACCGGTTGGCCTGGATTGACTCCGGATGGCCTTTGCACCGGTTTAGCGAAGGACGCCGGTAGCTGTGCGCGGAGCTCTTCAGAAATAGCGTCGACTGGGGTTGTGCTTCCGGGGTCTGAAGATGTCGTGGTATCGGTCGGTTTGGCTGGTGAGGGTTCCGCTTCATCATCCATGTCCAGATCGATCTCGTCAGGGTTGGCAGTAGCCTCCTCCGAAGCTGCGGCTGCAGCCTTCTGCTCCTCCTGTTCCTTCTTCATTTTAGCCAGTTCAGCTTTGCTTGGATCTTTATATGTCTTGACAGCGGGATATTTGCAGTGCATGTGGGCCGAGAACCAATACGCGGGTCTCAGTCGATCCATGACATATGCTGCCGCAGGGTTCCCCAGCGAGCCATCGAGACTCTCCTTTCGAAAATCAGGCTTCCACTTAAACAACGTGGCGGCATTGCCGTAATTCTCTATAGCTCTTGGCCAGTCGTGGCTCAATACGACGTCAACTTGCTCTCGTAATTGTAAGAGTTTGCGCACGTCAAATTCACGTGTGTGGTAGAAGCTAGACATATGACTCCGACTAAAAGGAAGGCGTTCATAGTGAGCTTTGTCGTAGTGAGGCTCGTTGTAGATACCGCCCATGCCAGCTATTCGTAGAGGGCCGAGTCGCAGCACGTTAGCGGCGCCCATGTAGTAAATGTTGGGCGCGACCCAGCCTCCGTAGAACAGCTCCCACAAATGTGCACTGGCCTCATGGTTCCCGCCGACGAATACGGTCAAGTACGGGGCCTTCTTCTTGCCACTGTAGTACTCTGGGAAATCGCCCAGCTCACGATACTTGGCTGGCACAGACATGACTGAAAGATCCTTCGCGTTGCGGACGGCCTAGGATACTCGTCAGTTTTCGATACATCAGGACATGGATGTTACTTCAACTAAAAGATGGTATTACTTGAAAATCACCTCCGACGATAAAGAGATCTAAATTGTCCCAGCCGCGCGCTTCACAAGATGCCTGCGCAGATGCATAGAGGGCGTCCAGTGTGCCATGGCCCTATGCGATTGAACAGTCAGCATCACAAATACTGCTGGGTATGCATGAGGAGGTTGATGAAGACTTACACATCCGGCGACGGCAATACGAAGACTTCGATCCATGTCGCGTTTCTTTTTCTTATCCTTTTCCTTTTTCTCCTGAATATTGGGCGTGGTTGAGAAAAGCCTGCGACGAAACAGATTTGTTTCAACGGTGGTAGACTTGAGTATTGTTGTACAGATTGGCGCTAAAGATTGAGTTGTTCTAGGGCGCCGTAGGGTGCACCTACTCACTAAAACTGACATGAGAAAACTCATATAGCAAGGCTGTTTCCCTCTTGCACTGTCCGTGGATTCCAACCAATTATAACAGTTCGCTACCAAATTCTCCTCGTTAAACTCATGTTTGGCTTAACGGTCAGTGTCATGTTCATCCATCAGTGATATTGAGGTTGCGTTATCAAGATGTATTAGCTTGAAAGTCATGATCAATTTGGTCTGAAAAGAAGAGGTGATAATTTTTAGGATAACCGAAATGACGTAAGCAATGGTATACAAGAATATCGAAATATTTAGCATGAAGCGGGCACAACTGACTAAATTGCTTATGTAACATGACCTCAGACCAGGCAATTACGTAAGAACGGCGATTGGGTAAGGAGCCTCGGCCAGCTCTCCTGGGCGCTCCTGACGCAGGCTATCTCATAGGTCACAGCGCATGGAAAGCGCCTGTTCCCAATAGATTTCATGCCATGACGCAGCTAAAGCATCTACCCAATCGAACGTTACCTATAGGAAACAGACATTGACAGAACTTTACCTTATCGAATTCACTAATACCTACATGATATAGACTTGCATTCCTCATATTACCACACATTCAACTCCAGTATAGCATCCAAGTGTTTGAATCTGATATTGGATTTATAACCTCATTCTACACATCTATTTACATCTAAGCCTTAGCCAATAAAACCTATTAACTAAAATCACAAGGGGGGAGTAAGCAGTCATGGCTTCTTCATCCGCTCCATCAACCGCGCCAGCTCCAACAAATCCAACTCCACCGATAATTATCAGAGGGAAATTCTTCTGGCAGGGTGATCAGCGGGTAAGCTGCCATTGGTCTCTACTCTAGTAAATATCATTAACGAATTCTAGTTCCTGATCAACGGGGTTGTATACCAACCGCATATCAAGAAACCCCAATTACTAGTCGACCCCCTAGCCGAGGACCAGCTTTATAACCTCGAACGCAGCATTCCGCTACTCAAGGACCTCGGAATAAACACGATATCCGTCTGTAAGGTAAGGTAAGGTAAGGTAAATTTAACGTCGGGGCAGGCCTCCCGAGGGGCATACGACGTGAGAGGCTATGAGGCTATTTTAGACTTTGTTGTCCTGTGATTCCACCGTACCACCGGGGCGACCAACCACAGCACCCCGGGTCGGAGCCAGCGTCCTCCCAAGATGTACAAAAAGAGGCTATTCCCGCTTCCAAGGCGTACTCGCTTATGGGAAACCGCTCGACGAGGGATAAACCACTCTACGCTAGTTCCAATCCTCCACGGATACGTGCCGTACAACGACAATAACCCTCGAACACCTAATATCTCCCATTTCTAACCAAATGGCACACATGAAATTCGACTGTGTTTCCCTCCTCCGGGTGAGGTACTCGACAAACTACCAGGGCTTTGGTAGGTGTTTGTTTCTTCGTAAGGGTTCTGCAATCTAGTCGTGATCCTTACGTCGACGTATAGGTATAATTTCGGGGCGACGACGGGGCGAGAACCTTCCTAGGCACTTCGTATCACGACTTCGAAGTTATCCTAATCGTCTCGTCGTCGCAGCTTCTCGTCGTCGATGCGAATGTTGGATTCCTTGTCGAGAGGGCGAAAAGTTGGGCTCTACACCGCCAGATAGAGTCCTGTTAGCGAGCGGTCGCTGTTTGTATGGGTGTTGTAGGCCATTTGGCGAGCCGGCACTAACGTGGCACTAACAGACGCATGCCAAGAAAAAAGTTGTCAAGGGAAGGTTGATATCCGTCTGTAAGTAAACTATGTCGATATATTTTCTCTTTGACCCCAAGTAAGAGGGCTCATAATGGAGACCCTAGATTACATCGATAATACCAAAAATCATGATACCGCCATGAACATGTTAGCCGAAGCTGGCATATATGTGCTTCCGGTATGTTGCTCCTCTTTTTTCCTTCAAAAGAATGGCATTTCCAAATATGAAGGTCCCGCTCCCTGATATGTGGAATCTCACTCATGTCGTGGACTTAGTGCATCGCGCCATATCACGATGAAGAATCTTTAGATTCTTCGGCGTATAGCTCATATAGGCATGATGTTTTACAATCGTATTTCAAATCTGTCGACGAAATGACGAAGTACTCGAACACTTTAGGGTTGGTTGTGTCTTGCGGATTCATTAACAATGCATCCAAAACCGTCGCTGCACCAGTTATCCGCGCCATTGTACGCGACGTCAAGAAGTACATCCGCCTTATAGCCAAGAAGAAAAGCCTGAGGGCCCTCCCCGTTGGTATATGCGCTCCGGATGAAAGGTCATTGCTCAAATTACAATATGACTATTTTGTCTCGGGGTCCGAAAAGGAGGCCATTGATTTCTTCGGGGTACGTACCCCCTATATGTAACGATGGAGCCTTATCCTTGGTAGGTAAGTTAAAACATCGAGGGCTAATATGGCTCACTATGCTGCATAGTTCAACGATTTCTCCCAGGCCGGTTCATTGCCAATGCAGCAGTCTAACTACAACGAGTTGATCGCGATGTTTACTTCCAGCCCTATTCCAGTCTTCTTCTCCATGTACGGGAACAACGCCATCTCGCCGCGCCCCTTCCACGAGACGAACTCCTTGTACTGTGACTTTAGCATGTTATCGACATTTTCCGGCGGATTCGTTCTCGAATTCTTCCAGTCGTCTGCCAACTTCGGCCTCATCGAGCGAACGGAAAGTCGAAGAGGCAATATCCGCTTCACCAAGCTCACGGACTTCAGAAACCTGCGCGACAGGTTAAGGGGCTCGTTCATGAGGCTGCCGCCGATAGCAAGCGTGAGTCCAACAACCATCTCCGCAGGTATTAGACCGAAGATGCCGAAAATAAGTGAGAAGTGGCTGGCTATGCAGACCATTCCCAAGTCTCCCGTGCAGTGGTTCAATGTTGAAGAGGCGATCGACGACAGCGAATGGGTCGACCTGAGTAAGGATGTGTTGGACGAGGCTGTCGAAGATCTCGGGTCCTCCTTTAAGGAGAGGTTGAATATCAATGACCCATCTTAAATGGCTATTCAGACTCACGAGACTAAGTTTTAAGACTATTGATTGGACTTGGAGTACAGCGGTAAATCAGCGACATTTCAGTGTAAAGTAGCCCATTTCATAACAGCGTTCAAAAATAGCATATGAAGTCTTGATATCTCTATGAGTTACATTTCTGAATCATCGTGATGATTCATCTGTTGAGTCACAAGGTAGATGGGGTATGCTGACTCTATCTAGGACAATACAAATCTCTGAATCATGTTACTATAATCGCAGTCTTACATCCTTGAATAACCTGTTTACGAGCCCGCACATATGAATAGCGAAATGGAGAACGATGTACGTACGTAGTTACGAAACCAACAATCGTGATAAAATAATTTACTCCATAACCATAAAACACTAAAGGGGTTAATAATAAAGCACTTTTAGTTTTACTAAGGTTATCCATATCATGTTGTCCTCAAGCTCTTCCTCGGACTCCAACCAGGTATCTTGATGCTCCAGTTACTAGGGTAATTCTATACAACCATCCTCTTCACCAAACCATTATGCGCCATTGACCTCCGCAGAACCATTCGTGTTGTCTTCCTCATAGCCCTCAACCTTCATATCGCGGAGACCTAGGTCTTCCTCTTCTTGGTCCGTCCGCTCGTAGTCCTCCGTCGTGATCTGGGGATCATCCTGATCGGGATCAACTGCTTTCTGGACATAGCTACTTGCGAGGGGGTCGGTAAGGATAACAGTGAACTTCTTCTCGCCCTTGATGGCAGCATCTATGCCCTCGAAAAACGAAGTCCATTGCGATTTTTCATCGGCACCTAAAGAGTCGCCTCCTTCCGCGCCAGTCTCAAATATCTGGTTGTGAAGATCGTTCCGTACTTGTGTTAGGAGACCTTCAACAGTAGTGAATCGCCCCCCTAGCGTTCCAGGGTTTACTTGGAGATTGAGCTCAGGGCACTCCAGTGAGCAGCTCTCACTCTTCAGTATGTCTCGGGCAAGATCCTCCGCAGTCTCGACTCTTAGTATGATCTTCTTGCCTAGCTTTGGTATTTCACCTCCGGTCTTAACGTCATTCGATCGGTACCCGCAGTCCGAACAGACAGTTGACATCAACACAACGGACTTAAAGTGTGGGATATCAACCATCTTCATGTTAGTTGTGCAAGGGTGCATGCATCCGGGACATGTAGCTGGAAACTCGTATACTTGGTCTGGGATAATATCCTCGTCATCCTCAGAAGCTCCGCCGGCTGGGTTCGTGGCAGCGAGACCCAGGGCCTCATTTTGCTCGGGGGAACGGACGTATTCGTGTTTCTCCCACTTCCCAACACCGTCGCGCATGTTAGGCGTGATCCAAGAGTTCCCGGCGGGATCATCAACAGAGAGCCTAAAGGGGAATGCCTCCCCAGCAAGCATCTCGCGTCCTTTCTTGATGATCTCTTCGATTTTATCATATACTTCCGGCGCTTGTTCTTTTCGCGTCTCCTGTCCAAGCTCTAGGTCATCTACAATTGTAGTCAAAAGACCTTCAACGTTCGTAAGCTGTCCACGGCCTGCGGGTACCTCGAGGTCAAGTTCGATGAATTTGACGATGGCAGTGTCGGATTTGACTACCTGTCTTTCGAAGTCGGCCATTTCGGTTAAACGCAACAGGTAGCTCGAACCCTTTGGCTGGATAGTACCCGCAGATTGTATCTCGGAGTTGGAGAAGCCACACTTGTCGCAGGAAAAGGACATAAGGATAACTTCGCGAAAGTAGGGAATCTTGGTTAGAAGCATGCGCGTCGTGCCCTAAATATCATTAGTAGGCAAATTTATAGGATACGAGCATGGCTTAATGTTGGCACATACATTTTCGTGGCAGTTCATGCATAAAGACTCGATTTCCTCGACAACTTTCTCATCCTCATCTGCATGCGCAACGCCGTTGGTTCCATTGGTAACGGGCGCAAGATGCTCGGCTTTATGGCCGATAGACTCGAAGAAATCGGTTGGCGTCTGTTTCACCAAATCGCCTGATTCTTCAGCTCCAGGCATGTCGAATATCGTCTTTCGGTTCAAATAACTTCGATATATAAATGCACAGTTTTGTCGAGGGACCGTTTGTTTTGTCGGACAAAGGTTCGATTGATCGAGGAAGTATTAATGGAAAGCTTCTTGTTTGATTCAAAAATTTTGGAGGGGCAATTGTTGCCGTAGCGCGGGGTTATGACATCCATATCAGGCTTATCAGTGGCAAGAAGCACCACAATCTCCCGAGAGCTAGTGATCGCTAGTGCCTGTTGGAAAGGTCGAGAACTCTCCAATTTCGTAGTGACGCGACTTCCGTAAGCAATGTACCTAGGTACGGTAGCATTGTCAACCCAGGGAAACGGAACGTATTGAAGAAGTTCATTTCAACATGAAATCACTCAGACTTAGACCAAGTCCATTTTGAGGCTTAGATGTAGAGGATTGAGCTTGTTGAAGCAAAGCCTGAAGACCTTGCTTCCTGCTCTTTGCTCTTTTCTTGCTGCTGGCATTGGCAGAAACCTTGACCGGTTCAGGGGCAGGAATGGGTTTATTTGAGTGCGAAGCACTAAGGGGCAGAGGCTTTGTTAATTTTGGCAGACGACGCCTAGATACAGGTGGCGGTGATGGAACGGGGATATCGGTGTATTGTCCACACATCCCACAAATAAATCGTTTTCGACATCCGGGCGTTGACACTTTCTTCTTGTCTAGACTCTTAGAAGCGCTTCTCCTTTGCACATTCTTCTTTCTTTGGGTGGCCTTATTAGTTTCCAACTTAAGCTCACTGCCTTGACCCGGGATCATGATATGCCCACAAGCACCGCACACGTGTTGTCTCTGCATATCTGATCGTTCTATGTCATTATGGAACATCAGCGAGTCTCGTTGCGCCATAAGGTATGCCGAAGTCTCGGGAGCCGTTTTTATGAGAAGATGAGCAGCATCCGTGAGGAAACTTAGGTTTTGAGAAAGATCATTGCTTGCCATCATAAAATATGAAGCACCAAAATTAAGCGGTAGTTGTTGGATTCTGTCTTCATTTTCTGATGGCCAAAGAGGTTAGGAATTTGTATGATCCACTAGAAATTTAGGGCGATAAAGTCCTTTGCCGGAGAAAAGCTAATCACCTACATAAGCTCATATGGCTTATTTATGTATATTTATGTATATAGGCAGAACCCGCATCTCGCTTCATGCAATAAACGGTGAATTCACTCTCTAATTGCCCCCTTTTTATACCGACCTCAACTGTTTTTCGGTTTATGGTACGAGTTTTCTTGATTTATTTGATGCTGTATATACCTTATGAATCTCTTACCCTCCGATAATTTAAATCATTTGATATGATATATGTATAGCTAGTATGATGGAAATAACGTATATAATCATCTCAATTAGATTCCTACGGAAGCCATAAATTAAGAGAGCATATAAAGTCGGCAGGAAGTAAGAAACCCTTCCGTCCTTTCAAATAAATGTCCAATATTGATCCTCCTTATTATGGAGGAATTCCCAATTTGATATCAGATACGCGCCTCGAAGGTGAATCACATCCTAAGTGCACAACGTGCACCTTAATCCGCCAGCTTATACTCACTCGTGGGCCGTAAAGGTAACTTTGCGGCCGTATATGCCATATCAATCATCTTCATAGTATTGATCGAGTCATCGCCACTCACCCACTGCTGCACATCACGCCCGCGGACTTTGTTGACGAACTGCTCCAGTTGGTATCGGTAAGTTGGCCAGCAAGACTCGCCCGGCTGGTCAATTCCAACTTCACTGAATGTATAAGCCTTAACGGTCTTACTACTCGTCCATTTCTTGATGTGGCCAGAAGCGTCTCCGATTTTCCGTGTTATGAATTCATCGTCAATCTGGATGGAATGTAAATACGTCGGTTGAGCAAATGTCGAAAACTTGATCTTGCGTGTGCGGACTACTTCCAGTCCCTCTGGCACTTTGACACCAGAATCTGCGCCAGACACCACGATTGGCTTGTGCATTACGTGTACGTCAGGCGACAGGCGATCAAGCGGCGCTTTTAGATCGCCTTCCATCTCGCCATGTCCGCCGCCTCGGAATCGATATCGCACCTTGAACAGACGATCGCATTTCGTGTCGTTAGGTCCAGGCTGCGTGATGGATTCCTCGCAATCCTCTGCCAACCCGCCAAACACATGAACCAGAACACTAGCTGTGTATGCGCCGAGATCCATGAGCGCACCACCTCCGAGATCGTATCGATAGCGGATGTCATCGGCACCAAATTTCCACCTCGGGACCCATATCACGGCCTTGGCGCTAGCAACTTCGGCCGGCGTAACGTAGGACATAAAAGCCGTCCAAGCCGGATGGAATAGGTAGTGCGCTGCTTCCAAGAGAATTGGAGCTTGAGGGCCATCTAGCAGAGGACTCTTGAAGAGGGCCTCGGCTTCTGTCGAGTTGTTTACTGAAGGCTTTTCTAGGAGGACGTGTTTTCCAGCCTTGAGGGCGCGAAGGGCCCACTCGTAGTGTAGCCCATTTGGCAAGGGAATGTAGACACAGTCTATGTTAGGGTTATCGACTATGTCTATGAGTGGTAGCAGATATTCCAAATTAGCACCGAACTTCTAGTGAACAATGGATCCCGAGAAGTGCATACCTTGATACGATTTTGCCACTTCTGGTATGCCATGTTTCTGTGCAAACGCGTTCGCCTTTTTGGGATCTCTGGCGGCTACAATATGAATTACTACATCTGGATGAGATCTCGCTGGGAGAATGAGAGCTTGCGGACTAGGTCGAGATTAAAATAAATTTTGAGTTAGCTAGCTCCCTGTCGTTCCGCGAAGGATCGGACCAATTTAAACATACGCGATATCAGCTGCGCCAAGAATCCCAAAGCGAAGCGGCGCAGTAGATTTAGAAGCTTGAGGCGGGTTAAGAATTAACCAATTTCGCCGGGCGAGGCCGAATAGAGAGGCCATCGTAAGTGCTTATTGCTCGTGTCTTGCTGGTACCTAACAACGACGCCGGGAGCTAGAGGTAGTAGCCCTACTTAATATCGTCAATATGCCGCGAATCCCTGTAGTTCGCATTCGACTACGAAAATGCTACACTACATCTGAGTAGCATTTCGATGCGAGGTCTAAATGATGAATGGAACCGAGAACCTAAAATGAATGGTTAGTTACCTAGTAAGTAAGGTCTAAGAATTACTCCTCGGCGAGGTCCCCGGGTTCCGTTTCTACCCGTTGAAGAAGGTGCTTTGGAGAAAAAGTAAATTTACAGTTATGTTCACGGAAGTACGTAAATAATATTTTTTTTGCGACATGTCTGTGGTGGCCTGTTCGTACATCTATGCCAAAAAAAATTCTGAGCGTTGGAAAATAGTTTTGGCTATTCCTAATATAGCAGTGGATATGCAGCCACGACTGGTAATTGTTAGACGAGTACCTACATATGGTGATAGTCTGGCGATTAGCAAATTAGACAAGTAGTACATAAGGTTATATGTAGATTTACTTGTATAAGTAAGTACTTGTTGTTACTGGTAGTTGGAAAACCATAAGCTTACTAGGTACTTCTTAGATTATATAAGTACTTAATCAAAATAATTCAAAACCCTAAGGCTTAAATTACTCGAATTATACCAACGCTAGAACTATAAATAATAAGTAGGAGGAAAGAATTAGAAAGGATAGAGTCTTATATTGGCTAAGTTCTCTTAGACCTTGGATCTCATTGTGGAGATCTTAAATAGGTACTAGTACAATATTAATCGCACCTTCCTGCCATGTACACTCCATCTGTAGGTAAGGTTGGGAATAGCTTCATACAATACATACCGCAACAGTCAATCGCTTACGTAACATCCTCCCACCTATTCGATGTTCAAGCATTTAATCACTCAATCACTCAATCACTCAATCACTCAATCACTCAATCACTCAATCACTCAATCACTCAATCACTCAATCACTCAATCACTCAATCACTTAATCACTTAATCACTCAATCATTCATTTAATTAAAATACTTACCTAGCTTACTTCAAAATCAAATCATTAAAGTAACATGCCCTGGCACTTAAGTTTATATGAGCAAGCTTGTACCTTACATGCTGAGACAATTCTAAATCTGGCATCCGAAGTACTAACTTATCGACGCTAAATCAGGGAAATCTGGGGCTAAGGCGGATTCTTTGCCCCTTTGGGCAATATTCTTAGAAAAATATTTTTTTGGCATAGTTGAACGAACAGGCCGCCGTAATGTCACTTCGTACCCCCTAGGGGTTAAGTTACCACTGGGCAGTTGCAACCACCGTTTGTAGGTAGACATACCTACACAACAACAAATCAAGGAAATAAAACTTCAAAATATCAATTGATCGGATTAACCTCCAAAGACATTAGACTCGAAATAAAGTTCTTACTACGATTTGGCCTGTCTAGCTCATTGAGATATTCGTACTGCTAGGCGCATGTAAGAAATCCAACGATCTGCAAGCCACATGCATTACCTATACACGGAAACATTATGCTTAAAAACGTTCATGGCACTGGGAGGACGGACAACCGAAGTAGATTAATAAAGTCGGCTTGCGCGCGTTATATTTACAAATGCTATAAGGTATCCAAGCATCTAATCATGAGCATGCAGTATCCTGTCCATAAAACGCTTTCTTAAAGTCAAACTCCCCCAATGCAGGCATCCACTACCCTACAGCTACTTTCGAAGGTGAATCACATTTATAGGATGCCGCTGAGAAGACCATCAACGGGGGCAAGGAGTCCACCAACGACGCTGTTCAAGTTACCGACAAGGCCGTTGACTTCGTTAGCGACGTCACCAACAACACCGCTGACGGCGCTGAGGGCGAAGTTGACGACGGGCTTAGCAATGGGCTCGACGGTGGAGAGGACGAGTTGAAGCTCAGGCTTGACGGCCTTAAGGGCATCTATCGAGTTTCGTTAGCATCACTGCTCATTACATCTACATAATACGTCTTATACATACCAGAACCAACACCGTTGACAAGCTTCTGGGCAGTGGACTGGACACCGTTGGCGATGGAGAGAACGCCGTTCAGGAGAGTGGGGACGTTCTGGAGCTCATCCCCAACCAGCTTGGGGACGGTGTTCTGGACGAGAGGGGTGACATCGCCGACAATCTTCTGGACCTCACCAGCGATGTTGAGGAGAGAGCTCTCAAGCTGGGGGACGAGAGCGGAAGTGCTGACGTTGACACCAATCAAGGCCTCAACGTTGGCCAACTCGTTCTGGACGTTGGTCTGGACAGTGCTGACGGTGCCGAGGGCGACGTTCAGGATGTCGAGGGCACGAACTTCCTTGGCGGCCGGGGCGGCGAAAGCAGAGCCGGCTGCGAAAGCGGCAAGAGCGAAGTTGGTGAACTGCATTATGGCGGCTTTAGGTGTTTTAGTGGAATTACTTTAAGTAAGCTAGGAGGCTGATAGCTCAAGATATCAAGGAGTGACTGAGTTGGAAATAGTAGAGAGCGACTGAGTGAGAGACACTGTAAGCTGATCGTTGTTTGATGAGGACGGGAGACAAGAAAAAACTCAAGGTTATGCTGACAGACAGAGGTAGATATATACGTAGAGGCTGTAGAGACTGCACTCTCGCCTACGGACCCCTGACCTATGCATTCAATCTCTGCCATGCCGATTCTGCTATCATCCACTTTGGTGAGTCTATCACCCCTTCGGATGTCGTCACTGGTCAAGGGTCTTAGAATAGCGATGGGCATTTTCTCTCCTCTCATCTCATTGGCGAGTGGTATCTGGGCACAAAATCTTGGCGGACCAAGATGGCACACTCCGGAATGGGTACCAGCAGGATGGATTCAGGTAGGATTTGCGGTAATTGCTTCACAGAGCTTGACTTCGAAGTTCCTTCCATATCAAGCGATAGTGGAACTATCACCGTGCGTTACAATCCACCAACGTGGGTGTCAGGCAGCTAGACTAGGGCTCCCAGTGAAGGAACTTAGCCCCCGCATGGCAGTTCATGGTAGAGCCGTCGATCACAATGTTACCTACTTGACCCCATGCCCCAAAGCCTATTTAGGCCTATTTAGGTCCATTTGTGCCGAAATAGTGCATCCTCTCTATGTTAAGCGCATCTTTGGCGTCCGCCTCGTCCGTTGCCGCTAGGAGATGGATGAATTTAAGCTTATCCGTTCGTGCTGGCGCCTCAAATCCCATCAGACTCAGGCTCAAAAGAAGCTATCGTGTGGCCAGCTGTCATACGTCCTCCATCCACCAGGACGAAGACAGAATAGCTGCATACCTCGACTATTTTCGTCTGCTTTAGCTCTCCGCAGATCAATGGACGAAGATACCTATCCAGGATGCTTATGACTATCAAACGTTATACCTAGCTATTCTAGCTGATCATAACTAGTGCGAGGGCTTTTTAAATTGGAGAAATAAAATACAGAACTCACAGCCCTGCAGATGCCCTGTCGGCCTGTAAGCTTGGGAGGTTTGTATTGGCCCGCACGTGGCATATTGGAAGCTCCGTGGAGCGAGGCCAGCAGGCTTGACAAGTTCGTCGCCGACGATCTCGTTTGGAATACAATATGCGGCAGCATCGTGCGGCATACTATGCAGGTACTCACCGACTACATCCGACCTCTTGATGGGACTTCCTAAGGGTCTGTTGGAGTCCAAATTATCGATTTGCGACTCCCCTGCCACCTTCGAATAGAGTGATTTTAAATAAAAGCGAACTAGTTCTACTAATCTAGGTGATGAAAGAATTGCACGCTCTAACCCCCAGCCTGCTCATGATGGGGGCGGCCTATAATAGGGTCGTATTATTGAATATTCATCGACGGTTTGCATCGCGACATCGCAATGTACTATTAGATGCAGAGATCCCTATTTCTTTGCGCGGGATGGGGCCCTAGTAGGAATGACGTCGCTTTTGGAGGTTTTTGTGTTTTGGCACTAAAATGACACAAACCCCTAACAAATACCCAATGTCACAATATCGAGACACAATGAGGTAAAGAAAGATTTTTCGATGAAATTAAATGCTCCCAATATACCTGCACCACGCATCTCGGGTAGACAAGGATATACGACACCATACAACACCACCCCTCTCGTACCTGCATTGAACAATACCCCTATCAACATTACTTACTCATATTTCTGTGTTTACATATTTATATCCCTATAGACAACTACGTAAGCCTATTCGACATAAGACGAGCTAGTCGATCTTATGACAATGTCATCTTCCGAAAAACTTATGATTACCTATACAATGAAGCTATCATGACTATTACGCGCTTAGAAGACATCGCCGTGTTTTGTCGGATACTCTTTTTATAGACGTTGAAACTTTCCTTTTCTGTCAAGCTGAAAATCCTCCCAACCGGATAGATGTTGACTAAATAATACGAGCACCACATGACCGAAAAATAACCTGATGAAAACCTTCCGGCTTCATGTTTGACTCTGGCTAAAACTCCTAAGCCTCCTAAAACTTCTCGGCGTCAATGCTGCCGGTCGACACGTTGAGAGCGCACGGCCGTCCTGAGACGAAGCTAGTGGAAAAGATAGTGTCATTAACGAATACTCGTGTGGACTCTTGCTGGCGACCGGGGTAGGCGGAACATGCTCGGCCGAGTTATTCCAATAGTTCCATAACATCGCTAAGTTAATAGCGACATTGCAACGTTTGAAAACCCTCGGGTCAGATAATAGCTTATCTGTTCCGCTTCTGTTTCTTACGCGTAAGTCCACGGGCATTTGTTGGGAGTCCTTGCGGCGAGTCCGGAGTTAAATTATTACTTGAAGTCTCTGAAACACCCCTATATCCATTAACCCCTTTAGCTCGGCCACCATTTGCTTTGCTCTTTGGAAATAATTTTGACTTCATTTCTAGAGCCAGTGTGTTAACCATGGCCGTGTCCTTCGCAACACAACGGCCACGACACTTCCAAGGCGCGATGCTGAACCGTTGAAGATAGCCAAAGGATTTGAGCGATGAATGTGTGGAGTTATTTTGGCATACTATGGATTCTACCATTCTCAATTTCCGTACCTAACTTACACGACCTTCGATAGGGCATTCTCGGTGTACAACCATAACTCGTGAGCCAACTCCTCGCTCTTCGCGAAGTTATCCAGCTTGTCATTACTCAGTATCCCAACCGGCGTATAATACGCTCCACTCACGAGTTCATTTCTACTCGCACCAGCCGCCGCCCAAAGTTGGCTCAGGCGACCCTTTTTTCCATCCACAACACCGACCCCCATCAGCCAGTTTGCAGCATATACCAAAACTTTTCTCATATTTGGCAGATTGTTGACGAGGTCCGTGGCCACGACGCCAGGATGGACGGAAACTGCTTTGATGCTAGGATATTGGCGCGCTATTTCGGCTGCGTACAGTATATTCGCTAGTTTGCTTTGCCTGTCGAATGGGGGTCTTCAGTCAACCCTTCATATACTATTGTGTAGGTGTGTATGGGTTGTCGCAGGAATGGAATTCCTTACGCATAATGGAAACTAAACCCCGGTATTCCCAAGTTCTCTTGCTTAGAACGCAGAGTGTCAAATTCTATGCCGTTCTTCGGGTGCATGCACCAACCAATAGACGTCAGAAGGATCAGTCGAACGTCCGAGTCTGGCATCTCTGCTGTCTTTACCATGGCGGGCAGGAGACGTCGGATTATCATTGCGTGAGCAAGGTGATTGACGGCGAAGCGTATCTCAACCATCTTCGCTCATAGCTGGAGGGTTATCCATGATCCCAGCATTACACCTAAACATCATGGGTTAACTGATCAGTCTGCGATGCAAAATCGGACATCAAATAGGGGTTAAGTGAATTAACATGAGAATGTCGAGTCGTCTATAAGAGAACTGATCGCAGGCTTCCTTCACTGATGACAAAGACGTCATATCCATTTCAACGAAGGTCATTCCCACTGCTGGGTTTATCTTCTTTACATCGGCAATAAGCGACTCGCCGGCTTGCGTGTTGCGGCCCGTAAAATATATGTGGGTAGGTTCATGTCTCGCAAGGGCTTCGACTGAAGCACGTCCGAGACCAGCAGTGCCTTCAAATCATCAGCATGCTTAGACAATCATGAAAGTGGTGCTTTATATAGACGAACCGCCTGTCACGAATATAATTCTGTCCTGAAGAGAAGGTATATCCTTTTCAGGGTCGAAATCAACCCCGGACGTTGTAGGCATTACGGTGATTTTAAACATAAGATAAATAAAAATGGGACCCGCGGTTTGGTGGTTACTTGTATCTTTGCTACCTACACAGATCTTGAGATCTTATGAGCACATGGTCATGAAGGAGGAATAAAGTGAATCTAGGAGTACTACTCTACATGATATTCAATCTCTAAGCATTTATTCCTTATGAAAAACACCGCAACCATTCAATTTTCCTGCAGACAATGTGACTCAAGTGATGCTTACGGCAATAGTTGGCGATGTCTTCAAGAGTTCCATACTAGGTCTAGCGGCGCATGTAGGATAAGTAGACGACAGATACGCTATTCCTGCCCAGGCTTAGCCCATCCCAAGGCTATGGTCTGAATTAAGCTCCCGGGGCTAAGCCGCCCTAAAGGCAACAAAAACAGGAACCAAAATACGTGCATATATCTTCGATTCGGACAGTTGTTAGATACCGAAGCTGTTCCAAGATATACCCAGGCGGTCCAACAACATATTTCATTCATCCAAGAGTCCTCAGGCTCCATTTGATATCATGCATCCCATGTTCTGAAATGGATCCGTTCGATAAAAGACGCCCAATAAGCAGAGTAATTCTATGAAATGGCGTATCGGATTTCAGAAATACCTAGAGCAGTTACACGAGTTATGGCGTCTATTTCATGTGTCCACTAACAAGCTCTTGCGGTCTAAAATTTGAAGTTAATGGATTCTTAGGTTCGAATGAAGAATGATGACTAGACTAACCTGTCCGATGCAGCCGAAAGGAGAAAACGTCAAGTATAGCGAAGAGAATATCAGAGAAATTTTGTCTTTACAGCACAGAGAATTAATTCAGCTAGGATCTAGATAAATCACTAACACAAGTGATACATCTTCTCAGAGCTCATTCGTGCAGACTCCTCCACTTACTGGAAAAGGCTCAAGGCGCATCTAAAGTCTCCAAGCATGCGAGATCAACAACGAATGATCCCTCCCATGAAGATGATCTTTGTGCCGATATGGTGGTGAGCTTGGAGGGGTTGATGAAGTGACGACGAGAGGATGGCAACACATAGATGAAAACCCTTGAACCCTTTTTCGTATATTTAACACAGAACCCCATGGGCTCGATGAAGCCGTCACCAATGTTTAGGCTAGCACTACGACTCTTCTCCCCAAGGGCCAACTCCGGGTCCCTTTAGAATCTTTCCACCCTTCCATACCCAACCAATATTCGTCTTTTCTTGTAATATTTTCACATCCTCTACGGGATTTTGAAGCAACCCAAGTACGTCGGCCTCGTACCCAACCTTCAACTGACCCGTCTTCGGAGCCTGTCCTCCCACGCTCAAAGGACCATTAGCCGTAGCAGCCTTGATGGCTTCCAAGTTACTCAAGCCAGCCTGCACTGCATAATCCAACTCCACCGCCATATTAAAGCCCGGCGGCGTGTCGGTTCCCAACGCAATCGGAACACCAGCCTCGATCGCCAGCTTATATGCCGCCAAGTGGTTTTTACCGCACAACTGAGCCTTCTCCCACTGCTGCCGCGACAAGCCCTTACCGCCTGACTGCAATAACATGTCGACGATAGTGCGTGTGGCAATCCACACCGTGCCCTTCTCCTTGATCAAATCAACACACTCCTGATCCGCAAACGAGACGTGTTCCACCGTCGTAACGCCGGCCTCCACCGCCGCTATAATGCCCGGTTTCCCGTGGACATGCGCGGCGACAGCCCTATTCTGCCGCGTCGCCTCCTCGACAATGCACCTCAGCTCCTCAGGGCTGAACTGCGCGTACAGCGGATTATCATCCCTCGACATAACACCGCCGCTCGCGAGGACCTTGATACATCGCGCGCCCCTGCGGATCTGCAATCTCACAGCGCGCCGGCACTCGTCGACGCCATCCACAACAACGCTCATGCCTGCACCAAACTGGCCCGCCGACACGCTGCCCACGCCGAGGTTGAGCAGCACGTCGCCGGCCGGCAAGCTAAACACGTCGCCGTGGCCCGCCGTCTGGCTCAGGCACGCGCCCGCGCCGTACACGTTCGGCCCCACGATCGAGCCGTCCTCGATGGCGCGCGACACCTCGCACCCGTACCCGGCCACGTCGCGCAGCGACGTGTAGCCCCGCTGCACGGCCTCCCAGCACCCGCGCGCGAGCCGCGCGCCCGCCGCCGCAGGGTGCTCCGATATGAAGCCCAGGAAACTATCGCTGCTGCCTTCGGCCTCGGCCTCGCTGTCCCCGCCGAAGTGCACGTGGCAGTCCCACAGCCCCGGCATGAGGTACGGGACTGCGTAGGATTTATGCGGCGCGGACGTGTACGCCGCGGGGATGGAGGCGCGCGACCCGATCCAGGCGATGAGCTTGGATTCGATGACCAGCGCGGCGTTCGGCACGGGTGCGCCGTCGCCGGGGATCAGGAGGTCTGTGGTTATGATGGTGTAGGTGGGCTTAGTACTGGCTTGAGAGCCGTTGGCTGCGTCGTCGTCGTCGCGCCGCGGCCTTATCGCGATGCCGAAGCCGGTGGAGAATACGCGGCTTGGTGGCCCTTCGGGCCGTTGCTGGATCGCGCGCCTGGTCATCCTGGTCTTTGGCTTTGGAGTCGCGTGAGCTCGTCAATTGAATCTTAGGGGCGAAATGACAGGAGTTGGTGAACAATAGCTAAGAGAGTCAGTTTTTTCGTACATACCTAGGTGTACGAAGCTAATGCCTGGATTGGCGAGGCGGAGAAGTGCGACGGTTCGATGCGACGGCGCCTAATATGGAAGGTCAGGGGTAGATACATGGGTCAATACTAGGTAGTAGTAGTTTATGAAATATAACAATTGAATGCGCGTACGCCACAGAGATAAGACTTGATTCAGGGCATATTTTCCATATTTTCCAACTTCATAAGGTTTACGTATGTAAGTTGTAGGTTGCCCCCTGAATGTGTAGTGTAGGTAACATAAATTTGCGGGTGTTGTCCTCCTTGAAAACACATGTAGATGCAAAAATCCTACGTAAACGGTGACGCAAGATTGTAATCTGTAGACCTTTATCCTTCGCATATCTCAACGTCTTCTAAGACAATGGCTAGATGATAGATTTAACCAATCTCCTGACTTCCTTTTGTGTTGGTATAAAGGACACCTAGATAGCAAGGGACTTGGCAGATATAACAATGTCCTTTGATACACATAATAGCATTGTCACCGGTGTAAATGTGTCTAGGTACATAAGCTAAGCAAGAGAAGTCTTTGCTGGAGTAGATCACCAGCACGACACTCGATAACATGGACCCGCACAGCAGAATAGATAAGAGGGAATTGCCGTACTTGCAGCTTAAATGCTTGAGAGAGGAAGAAGGGGAAAAGGCGAGGCAATGTGATATTTGTGACGCTCAATATCGACTTCACTGCACCCATCTCTCATTTGCTCAGTGTGCTGAGTTGAAACCTGCAAGATACAAGGTTGAAGCTGACGGAGATTGCGATTCCATCTGTGTTTACGAGTGTGGACATGCCTATAACAATAGACGCCGCGTAAGAGGCAGATTCCATGGGAAAAGAAAGTATCGGAAAGGGACTTGTATCGAATGCTATCGTGCGCTGATATTCGATGGAAGGGTAGGCCGAACAGGTAAGCCGAGGAGTGCTAAAATATCTCGTAAGGGGAGCGGTGAGGATATCAACAAGCCAATTCGGAAGCAGAGTAAGGCTACTCAGAAGAAAGTACTAAAGAGATGGATCCGTAGAGGCCCGATGAGAGGCAATATTGAGCAGAGTGGAGAGAAGATTGAACTATTCTAAGATAGCGAGTTCTCTCATTGCGGACCTTCCCAAGGTTCGGAATGTGTTATTTGCAGGAGGATATATTGAGCTGATTGGAAATGTTAGTTTATTCTTGAGTGAGAGATAGTAGTAGTATTATTTGACCAACCAAGCTAAAAGTATCACGAGAATGGAACTGTTCGTTCCCCCTTTTCCGCTCTTAGCGCCTTTTCCATAAGGTAGGTAGCTCAATGACAGTTCAACGAAGGTTCAACGAAGGCTCAGCAACAGCTAAGCAACAGCTAAACCTATACAAGCCATACAGGAACAAAATTATATCAATTCATTCAGCAATTGAAGAGCTTCATCTTGATATACGTTATATTATTTTAGATAATTTAAATAAATAATTATAGGTGCTTGTTATTGGTATTGTTGCTTGGGAAGAGCAGTGGGATTATTAAAGTGCGATAGATTTAATTGGTTAAAATTATTAATTACTCCAGGGCTATAGATACGTATTATAACCCCTTATAGTTATAGGGCCTAATAGCGCTAAGCCCCTTAATAATACAAGGTTTACACCGAAAAAATACAGTGTTAATACAGTGCTAATACAGTAATTATATATTGTAATTGAGAGTTTTGAGGCTTTGGCGGTTTAGCTCATTTGGCGCACCGTCTGTTTGTCACCTTCGCATTCTGCACTTTCCATTTTTCGTGCTTTCCTCCACTTACGCAAGTAAACTTAAAAAAAGCAGAAATTTTTAGACGTGTCACTTTTGTTCCTGATTAGGTAAAGCTCACTAAAATAATAGGAAAGAGTGTGACTCCTAACTGACAGATATCGACAACCATCTTGAAAATGGCAATGGCGCATGGGCCTTTGTCGAGTAAGGTGAAGTACTAGGTACTTAAGAGCTCATCAGGTACCACATCACCTACTAGTCGTTGTGTACCTAGCATATTGACATAGTGGTGAGGATCTAGTGGAGCTGATGATCTATGTCAGTAAAGGGGGGGTTATGTGGATATGGGCCTGAATAACCTCATTATTTAATATCGTGGATTAGACAATATTAAAACAACTGTTGGACCCTGTAAAGTACATAAGGCACCTAAAAGTAAAGACTCGTGTAAGTTTGATAGAACACTTGGGTACCTGCTTAGGTCGTAGGGGTACATACTGAGTAGGTACCTTCCTCAATATAATAAATCGCCGGCTTTGCTGTCACTGTTTTTTGACTCATCGCCGACCTCGATCTCTTAAGGAAGTCACCAAGCAATTACAGTGCATATATGTCCTTCACCCATCCGCCGTTCCGCCGTTCTTACCTTCTTCACTTATGCACTCTTCACCAGCTCTTCATCCTCTCTTCACCTACTCTACTATCTACATCTCACATAACCTACATAATATTGTCACCTTCCACCCAATATTTCTAGATTGCAGATCATTAGCTATTCACACACAAAAGCATTCCCTTAACTTCCTCCTTAACCAGCTTAAGACCAATCTTTCACACCATACCTCCCTTTCTACTTCATACTTCAATATCAGCACAATTCCATTGACAACTGGACTACCTAATCATCGAACCTCTCTTGCAAAAAAGAACTCTCAACTACTAAGTATCATTGCCGTGGACCTCTAGCTGTCAAACAAAGCAAGGCAGACAATTACTGCGTAGAGGCTCCAATCACTGAACTCGAAGTCTCCTCTTATTCAACTAACATACCTATTTATCTGACATAACGGACAAGGATTGGCAAGATGTCTGGAGAGATGTCTAGTATCATTAGCTTTCCTGACCCACGCCACCCACTTGCCCACATAACATCGAAGAATGACAAGAGTTATTTTTTCATGCTGCCCCTCGAGGCAAGTAATTCCTTCTATTAAACACCACTGGCTCATCAATCAACTAATTATCTTTTAGATCCGAATCGAAATCTATGAGTATGTTGTAACAGCTGCTCCAGAGGTCATCTATCCCAAGCAAGTAACAAAAGGATCCAACAAGTTCATCCGGGGAATGTGGGGAGAATACCGATGGAAGACTAGTTATGACATCTGCCCAAGCAAGCCTATCCTCGAGGTGGATGAACCGGTACCATTAGACATCGTCTCCCTCGCACGTGTCTCTCGAAGGGTATATCATGAACTAGAAGCATACCCTGTCTTTTACCGCGTTAACACTTTCGGGTTCGAGTTTGTCGAACATCTCCATGTATTCCTAGCGGCCATTACCCCTAAGCGCAGAGCAGCGATTCGACGGCTTGAAGTATCCATATATGGGACTCACGCTGACCGCGACCTTCACCGCGACCCTCACTGCGACCCGTGGTGCTCCTACCGTCGAATATGGGATCCTAACAGGCTTTCCCAGTTACCCTCTTTCCACCCTAAGCCTTTTTTCCTGTCTTTGCTCAGCCAATGCAGAGACATCAGGGAGTTCCGCGTACAACTAAAGCACATAACGGGCCCAGAATACTTGAAAGTTCTTGCGACGTTGCCTCTTGATGCAGCCTCTCCGTGGAATCTACCATTTATCCGGGTCGGGAGCTACTTAAGATCTCAAACATTTTTTGTGTTCGGGGAAACCCCAACCATTCCAACGCTAGCTCTGGAGCATATGTGGTCCATCAAGTTGAGTGATGCTCAATTGAATAGCCCCGAATTCGCGGAGCATATACACTGGTCGAAGCAGTTCCACTTAGCGAGTATTAAGTCCTGTTTTTATATTACCCCTTCCTAACTACCCGTACTTATCATCTCTCGTGCCATGAGAAACATGCATCCCGATTTCAGATTTCTCTTAAGCATGTCTTTGTCTTCCCCTTAATAATCTTGAGTCACTACTGATACTGATACCGTCTAGTGGCTACTCGCAGGAGACGCGCACAGGAAGAAGGAAATAGGTTTCCCAAGTGGTTCACGGACCTGGGTGGACGACAACCGCTCGATGAGGCTATCGGGGCCGCGGGCCTCGACTTCTCAGGAGAGGACCGGGTTAGCCAAGATCGCGCCAACAGCACTGTTGGCCCCATCTCGTCTCGAACGAGACGCAAAAAATGGACGATACACTCGCCAACCGGTGTACTGAACTACCAGCAACCCAAGTACAGTGCCGACGGGATGCTGGTGATATGGAACTATCGTGTTACTGAAGTTCGCTGGAACGACTCACACGAAATCGAATGCAAGTTAAAGTACAGCGAGCCTGATAGAGTTCCTGCAACTTCGTGGGAAAACGTAGAAAGTGTGGTGCGCACGTCGGCTGGTGAGCATACACTCTGCGTATTCTACGATCAAACTCATTGGGCCGCCATAAAAACAATGTATTGCAATCGTGACCTCAACTGTTCTCAGTTGTTGGGCACACCATCCCCAAACGACGTCTTCGAACTTGTAGGCGACATCAACAAGGTCTTATCAGAAGTATATAAAGATCATGAACAACGTTCCGAGAGGAAAAAAAGGTTGGAAGAATGGCGCCAGGTGACCGATAAGTGGATGACTACGATTGGGCAAATCAAGGGGGAGTAGCCGCGCACGCTGACAATGCGGCGAAGGAGCGTGGTAGTGAATAGAGCTAAGGGGAGAGAAAAGAAAGGGAAACGGAAAAGGAGTTAGCAGAAGAAAAAGAGGCTTGTTTTGAAATCTGAATGGGAGGGAGGCAGGGGCTTCTTGATGAAGCTAAGCTGCTGATCACGAAGGTACGGGGGTACGGGATATCGAAACACATCGGACGATATCTAGAATGCCTTCAAAAAGGGTGTGCGTTTTACAATAATTATTTCATAACCCTACACGAGAGCCTAGATAGAGGCATAGACCTATGATGAACTTTCTTCAAAGAAGTTCTCGCCTTTCTCCATAAAAGCAATCATCTAAGGTGAAATATTGTCGCGTGTCTATTTAGATTTACGCCTGAATTTCACTCTCCTGCTTGATCGGCTCATCTGCGTCATTAGCATTGAGATTATCCCTTTCCTGCCATTTGGGCGACCGCCCACTGGCAAGGTTTACTTTCAATTTGCTGCCGCGGAAGTCGATACCATTCAATGCATCCATAGCCGCCTGAGCTTCCTCTGGCGTGGCGAAGTCTACGAAACAGTAATCGTGATTGCCAGGCTTCGAGCGCGCTGATTGGTTGGCCATGATTCTCTTGCTGATCGCATCGCTTTACAACATGTTAGATTTTTAACATGTTAGGCGGCAAGCACCTACGTTCTCTTTCAATAAGACTTTAGAGGAATAAACTTACACCTGGAAATCTTTGAACAACTCGCTCATCTCGGCAGAATTCGTCGCGTGGTCAAATGTCCTAGACAGGCCACCAACGTATAAACGTTGGCCGGCGAAATCTTTCTTATACCGCAGACCTTCTTTTCCCGACTCGGGAGTCTGCTCACTGCGGGGACTGCCCTTATTCCAGCGACTCCAGCGATCTAAGCCGGCAGATTTTTGACTATCACTGCCCTTCGGCACACACGGTCGGCACTTGACCTCCCTACCGAGGAGAACCTTTCCATTGAGCGTAGTCATGGCGCGGTCAGCAGAGTCGCGGTCCGGGAACTCGACGAAGCAGTAGCTCGGGTTCCGGCCTGTGAAATGGTCTATAGACATGTGGATAGACTCAAAATTTCCAAGCTCGTTGGCCTTGAGGATCTCTTCGATGTCGTCTGGCTTAGCTTCATATCGCAAGTTGCCTATATAGATGCGACGCCCCTCAGCGATGGCCTTCGCGACACTGCTCTCATCAGACTGGGGGTTTCCATTTGACCTCTCGCGGTTGATGTGATGGCTTCCGGGAACCCAATTGTTCCGCTGTCGAGGACGAGGTTCACTTCTAGGCTCCCCATCGCCGGCAGCGGTATCAGTGTGATTTGTTCTCCAAGACGAAGTTGTTGTGCGGCTTTGATAAGGGGCTCTGGGGTTTCTAGCCGGTGATGGCCCCGAAACTCCCATCCTCCAATTTGACGAATCCCGCCAGTTACCCGAGTCCGACATTTTGGATCCAGATGTAATTCTAGTTGATCTCGACGACATTGGAACGGACGGGAAAGAAACCCCTAGCTATGGGTATGTTGGGTGTAGTCGGGGAATCTTGGATGATTGGCGGATTTCTGGAACTAGTCAAGATGTGTGGAGTCAGCTAGCAAAATCCATCCCTTTATTAGGAGAGACTGTCCGAAAAATGTTACCATATCGGAGCTATATTTAATCGGTCGGGACAGTTCGTTTGTAATCCGGGCTTAGCCCCCATATTCAGGCCACCGTTAGATTAAATTACCATCAAGGTTCCTAGGTAGACTTTACGCCTTCCTCCCATTTCAGGTACGCAAAGACATGAAAATCACACACCCGGTAAGATAATCACCCATTGATCGAATAAAGACTCGTAAAACATGGAGTATCTTGATTATCTCGAGCGGGTGAAAATATTTGAGTAGAAGTTTCCACTTCTCGCTTTCCCCCGAAACCTTCTTCAGGACTCAACGAGCTCCATTTACGCCACCGGATACCTATCACCAGCAATCGGAATGATAAGGGGCACCTCTGGCTTCTTGCTCCGCGGCTTTAGTTACACAAGAGAAAGAGACGGAGAAAACCGAGCTGGATGCCGAGTACCTCTGCTTGGCAGCAACTAGCATAATATTCCTAGAGGATATTAATACGATTGACCTGGAAAGCTGGTTGCTCATTAGACCTCCGATGTTCTAGCGTCAAAAAGGATCTTATAGGGGATACAAATGAATCACCAATCATCTCAAACTCGAAATTGGACCAATCTAGTGAAATCGGATACTTCTTCGTTGCTGCTATGCGCTCCTCTTCTCCTTCTCCTGAGTTTCGTTCCTTAGGGGGATGCGAAGCTAAAGGTTTAGCTCTGGCGATCTTTGAGTGCTGGTTTTCTCGAAATAATAAATATCTCGTCCAAGATGAGCCCCATCTGTTTCTGATATCGTCTGGACTCACACCAGCACTGCAGACAATGTCGCCAACTTGAGTATGCGATGGACCAATTCCTATTTCAAGTCTGGAAGCCCCTTGCTGACCAGAAAACGTGATCGGCAGCATCAAAAACACCAAGCGACCTTGCATTTTCCTGGACACGTCTTCGATGTAATCTGCGATCTTGAGACGGATCTAGTCTGGTCCATCTAGCTTCCCCTCCTGTCATTATATGAAGTAGTTGGGCCAAAAGCATGTTCATCATTTCGTCGCTCCAATCTGTAATGGTTTTATTGGCTATTACTTGCTTTGCAGCCCATTCAAGTAGCTCATTTATCCATGAAGTAGCAACAGCAGGGCTTGCACCTTTAGGAAAACACCTAAACATGTGTTTAACTGACCCTATATAATAGGCGTCGGGTAGCACGAGCATGACTTTAGGCGTATTGCAGGTGGAAAGGTTTAAGTCGTCATATTCGAGTCGAATCGGTACTCGCGCCTTGGGTAGACGCCAATCGGGCGCCCATGAACAAAATCCGTTCAAACGGGAACCATCTGCCCGAGAAATAGCCTCCCGCAGGAGTTTGCCAAAATTTTCGCTTCCTTCCCATGTTGGGCGCCGAGCACTTGAGGCTACCGCAAAACCAAAGTCTCTGAAGACTTCCTCAACATCTTTCGTATAGTCGACGTCAATGACGATTTTCTCGCCGTAATCCTGGTCGTCTCTAAACGCGACGTCTTCAGCAAGACCCGCAATGGCGTAAATTGTATCTCTAGAATTTGAACAAGCCGCGTCTGAAAAGTCGGCAAGTAAATCGAGTATTCCCTTCTTACGCCCCGCGGCAAGGCCTACATGTGATGTCCAACAGCTCTTGAAGATCTCGATAAGGGTTCGACCCCTAGTTACGCGTCCCCAAGGTATTATCGTAGGAGCCAACAGAACTCTGAGCCATGGAACCGTATCTTTTCCGCAGAAAAGGGTAACATTTGGGTTCAGAGAAGCTTCCTGTATGATCCAGCGCCTGCTAAACCAAGGAAGACGGACGAGTCCATCTAAAGCACCTTGTATATCTTGGATTTCAAGGTCATTAGCTGCCTTCATACGGTTCGTACTATGCAGATGCTGAGTCAATCTGGCAATATTTCTCACATGGGCAGAACCTTCTTGGTCATTACCAAGCCAAACCAGCACAGAGCAGGCACCGCGATATATTTGCGCCATTCGCGGTATTTGACCTGCCTTTTCATGATCGTCGGCTTGGTTAATACATACCGCGTCGACCCAGAGATGTCGCACTTCAGTTGGTAACCTGAAACGAACTAACCCATCGCGGAGAGTTGCGGTGATCTTGATGGATGAAGCTTGGTCAATGATAATTTCTTCATTAAATATGGGTTCACCCCAAGTGTAGGAGACAGCATCGAAGAGGAGGTCGTAGTCTAAGTTCACATGACGTAGACTGGCGTGTAAAGGAGCATTGGTATCTATTGCTGGCTGAAGATCTAGTACCCGCGTATAAGTACTCTTAGGGAGAGGAAGGTATTCATATTGTGGCAGGGCTCCCATTTCCACTTTTTGTGCCATGATACAGAATTGGAGCCGTAGGGTATTCGTTATGGTTCGTGAGCTAGCCGTTTTTCATGAAAGAGTCGGAGAAATCAGGAACAACCAGTCATACACTTAGAGGTCAATCTCAACCCATGCCTTTTTCGTTATGAAAAGAATCACGTTGGTAATATTTCATAACCCCTGAGTCCCTGGACCGGAGCAGAATTGTTCCGACCCAGATTAGGGGAATCCTACTTGCCTGGGTACCTGTGCTATTCATTTTCTGTATTGATAAATGGTTGGCCTCTTTCAGGTAAACTCATGGAAACTCATGGATTTGCGTACTAAGTGAGACTTAATAATTAATAATTCAAGTTGATGAAGAGTCGGTTAAAGGAAAAAAAGTGGTTGAGCTATTTCTGTAGAGTTTACATAATCAATAATATGTGGGCATCGATCAACGTAGGTCAGCATTACGACATTGAGGCTGAAATCCAGGTAGGTAGGTACACTAATTGGGTAAAGTAAAGCACTATAATTCTCTATGATTCAGCGCCTTACCTGGTTTTTAGCGGGATAATCGTAAATACAACGTGGGGCAATCGCGGGGTACAGGGGTAGTAAATGCTATTTCGTTAGGCCGTTTCGACTTATTGAACTTATTGTTTGCTTTCAACTTCAACCACGACGTCGGTACTCACCCAGTAACAAATCTCAAAAAACTTTCTTTTACACTACACGAAAATAAAAAGAACTTTAACAGTAGATTTTATCATAGTAGCGACCGCGACCGTGAGAGTTTCCTCAATAACCACCACTCTCTCACTCCCCTGTGGGGAAACGTCGAAACAATGCCTCCAAAGCTTCTTGAGGCGTACAATGATTCTGGCGGATCACAATGCTACGATGACGACGGAAAACCACTTACACCCAAGACCATCCAGAACTACATCGCAGAGTTAACGGACGTCTTTCTTCCTGTCGGCTACCCAGAATCAGTGACTCCCGATTATACACCTTATCAAATCTATGTATGTCTTATTGCTACATCGCTTTCGTAAATATTTACTAATATGCCTTGCAGGACTCACTCCAGGCGTTCTCTAGCACTATTGCAGGGTTGTTGTCATCCCGAGCTGTGCTCCAGGGTTTCGGTGTTGGAGATTCGACTTCTTCAGCAACGGCTGCAGTTCTCCTGACTGTCTTGCAAGAATCTACCGGCCGCTTGGCCACTATCTTATTCGCCCACCGATGTGGTCAGGCTATCCAACCAGAGTGCAAGTTTTACCGTTTTCTTGCCGATATCGTGAACGATGCAGCTCTATTCCTCGATGTGCTTGCACCTGCCCTCCCCACCTACCCTAAGGTGTTAGCACTTTGTGGGGCCGGCGTTCTACGCGCACTCTGCGGTATCTCGGGTGGAGCTGCGAAAGCCGAGCTCAGCGCTCATTTCGCCAAGAATGGTAATCTAGCGGAGCTTAACGCCAAAGATGGCAGCCAGGAGACCGTCATCAGTCTTCTGGGCATGCTGGTCGGTAGTATCTTCCTGAAGTTTGTGCATGGGCGCAACGCCGTCTTGGCTTGGATGGTCGTACTTGTTACCATTCACCTGTGGACGAACTATCGTGCTGTCCGCTCAGTGGAGATGCGCACACTCAACAAGCAGCGATTGTGCATCATGCTGACGGAGCTTAACTCTCATCGGGCCAAGGTTCCAGATGGAATGGTGGATTGGCTCCACCCAAACCAGATCGCAGCCAAGGAGAACATTCTGATGTGGACCAAGCCCAAGATTTCCTTCGCCAACAGACTCCCGCGACATGGCGACATTACGCCTGACGATCTTTCGGCATTCACCAACGTCCCCTACATTATCGTGTCGCGAAAGGGACACAAGACTATTTGGATGAAGAAAGAGGCAAGGGATATCGATGTCATTGCAGCCTGGGCACAGGCTTGCACTGGACAGCCGTATATACCGAGTATATGGTATCGATCTTTGAAGCGTGCTGGTTGGGACGTCCAGACCAACGCACTTGAGACGGGATCACGCATCCGTATTGTGGTAGACGAAGGACGGGAGCCTGGTGATGAAGAGCCCAAGAAGGACATATAAACGGGAAAGGGGGGAGTTATCTTTACAACGAGTGCGTCAAGGCGTAATGGAAACCGGTCTGGCTTGTACCTACGATACCCCCAAGATATGTTGTGCTTTCTGGGAAATGGGCCTGAGGCGATAGTTAGGGCAAATGGAAATCAATGATCACAGGACTATACATCCATAGATGTGTTAAATCGGAATAGATGAATGGCGATCCCTCTATACCTATACCAATACTTATACCCACACCGATACGCCTTGCTATAACGAGGACTGAAGCCACATATGCTCATAATGTACAGGAAGAACTATCATATTCTAACAAATCCTTCTATACCAAACCAGCGGCTCGCATAGCGCGCATTTTGACTCCCTCCCAGGTATTCAGCTTCGGCCGCACGTCGAGGTAGAAGGAAAGCTTCCCAGCTCCTCCACCACCGTTACGGCCAGCGTAGAAGTCGATAATGTACTCGATCTCCTTTCCACACCTGTCAACGACCCAGTCGTGCCTGTCGAAAGGCGCCTGGTACCCTAGAAACGTGTTGATGCGAGCCTTAGGCGACATACGCGTGCTTAGTCCGGAGAAGGAGTGCAGGCGCGGGCCGCCACAACTATATTTTTTTGCAATAATATTAGCATAACATCACCGAGTATAGAAAAAAGGGGGAGAGAAAAAGAAACATACTCAGACCCCCTGACCCAAGGCTCCTCCCACTCCTTGATCTCGGCCCACGCGCGCTCGTTGACGGCGTTGTGGATGGGCACGACGGTGCGCATGTCGGCGGCGCGCGGGTCGTGGCCCTTGCGCTTCATGGCCTCGAAGAACATCTTCTCCGACGGGTAGATCCAGTTCCCCGAAGCTTGGTCCGCGCCCGTCTCCTGCTCCGTGTTCGCCGGCCTTTGGTCCGTCGTTTCGCCCGGCTTCGAGGACCGCGGGATCGTCGAGATTTCGCGGTTGGTGGCTAGCGGGGAGGAGGGTTGCTGAGGTTGTTGATGGTTGGGAGTGGAGGACCAGAAAGGGATGCGGCGGGGCAGGTAGGTGGTCCAGGATGAGGACGGCGAGCTCGACGCGGGATGGTGGGGAGGATTTATGGACGGTGGGGAGAGAGCTGCGGCGCGGGCTTGTTGCGTCCATACTTCCCGTGCTTTATGGTCTACGGGACATGTCTCGGCGTCCGCTTTCGATATGTCATTCGGAATCGGTGGATGTGACGGGGGCAGCGATTGCGACGGTGCTCCCTCCTCCGTACCGGCCGTTTGAGCTTGTGACATCCATGCCTCTCTGCTCTTATGGTCGACCGGGCAAACGGATTGCGTCTGGGCCTTGACGTCCGCCATGACGATGGCAGTCCAATGCGTCGATATGATGTTTAGAGCTTTGTACAGCCACGAGAAAGAAGTTATAAGCCGGATGTTGAGGTCATTTTCGGCCGGCGGATTCTTCAGATGTTAAATGACGTGACTAAAATTCTAAAAATTTCTTAGGTCGCGCATCGCATTGGAAACTTTTTTATGGGGACTTGCTCCTGCCAAATCGGAATCTGCCGATTGGAAACCGGGTAGAGGGGACCCTCCGAACACCTAGGCACTTTTACCGGGTAGGCAGGTGCGTTTTAATTGATATATGATCTATTTCAGGTACCTAAGGCAGGCAAGTACTGTGCATAAATTGAAACATGCAGGTGCAATGCTTTTATGTTATTAAATGGTATATTTAAATGATATCAGGATCCCTTTCCCCTTTTGCCTCTAATGCAAAGCGCTCCGTATTTGTATATATGTGACCAACAAATTCCGCTCATCTTGTCCAGCCTTCGATGTTGGTATCGGTGGCTTACTCATCAAGAAACCAAAAGATTCGTGAACTCCGATCCAAGATCTAAAACGTCGTCTCTCGATGTCGCTTCTTCATACCAGCCATTCATGCCAAGTGCTGGTCAGTCTTTATCGGACCTTCGCCTACTCCGGTCTGTATAATTCTGCTTACACCGCCCTTAAGCAAGCTGGATGTAGCCTCGTCTAACGCTACAGCCGCAGAGCTGTACGCACTAGCGCCGTCCTTCCACCCATCTGTCGCTTGGAGCAGCTTGTAGAATGTTCCCACAACCGGACCGCTGTTCTCCTCTAGATAGTACACCACGGCGTTCGGGCCAGCGTCAAACGTGTACGCCGCGACAACCTTGCCCGCAGCCGCGTTAATCGCCTCGACAGCCCTAACAGCCGCTCTGGAAACATCGTTCATATAGTAAATAGGCGGATACGTGTCCGCACAACACGCGTGAAACGAGTTAGAATCCTTCATCGTAACCTCAGCGAACTTAGCGAAATCCCTCTCCTTCACAGCAGCCTCCATCTTCTCCATATGAGCAGGCACAACATGCGAAATACGGCGCTGGAACAGGTCGGACGTGGCGACGGTCTGCTGCATACCGGAAGTCGAACTAACGCCCTTCTTGGCGGCCGACACAACCAGGACCAGGGCCCGCATATCGGGCCAGTGGGACGCGGGCGCGACCTCGACGGCCTTGGAGTCCAGGCCGTCGGCCCGCGACCCGCCCTGCCACGCCACGTACCCGCCGAACAGGCTGCGGCAGGCCGAGCCGCTGCCCTGGCGCGCGACGAGCGAGAGGTCCGTCGGCGTGTTAGGGAGTTCGTACAGGTCCGCGATGGCCCGCACCAGGGCCGCGAAGCCGGCCGCGGACGACGCGAGACCCGCCGCCGTAGGGAAGTTGTTCTCGGACACGATGCGCAGGGGATACGTCGAGAGCTTGGGCAGCGACGGGTCGGCCGCTTCGAGGGCGGCGCGCCGCGCGCGCAGCTCCCGCAGGCAGGCTTGCGTGCGGGCTCCGCTGATGTCGGAGGCTTCGCCGTTGAGCGTCAGGCTGTCTTCCTGGCCTTGGTAGGACGCGGAACAGGTGGCGGTGGTGAGGGTGCGGAGGTCGGCTTGGGAGAGGGTGACGGACAGGGAGGAGTTGGTGGGGAGGTTTAGTTTCGGGTCGCGTTTTCCCCAGTACTTGACCACCGCGATGTTCACGGGGGCGGTGGTGCTCGCCTTGTAGATCGTGTCGGCCATCGTTATAAAATTCGGTATATGGTATAAAGTTGTTGTATTATGTATGCTTCATTAGTAGGAGGAGAGAAAGAACGGTCAGGCACTAATGTTTTTTATTTATGATGGAGCTAGAAGAGGGTAGAGGGGTAAGGACGATCGCCAGGGGGACCAATTCAGGGCCAGTGCCCCACCTCCATCCCACCAGAATATGGATCCAGCCTAACCCAGCTGGCAGCTGCTACGGCGGAGCACAGGGCTCAGAACGAAATAACGAGAATTTAATATATAAGTGCACGCCTAATGGGAATTTAGTGTTGTGCACGGATCATTTACAGCGCGCTAGACGCTTTTAAGGCGGAGCTAATGCACGTTTCAACTGTAATTGGATGGATTGCGCATGTACTTTTTTAATATAACGGAAAAAATTCGTTTAACGGGGTAATTTTTTTAAAAAAAAATTATTAAAATTTATTAATTATAATAATAATAATAATAATAATAATAATAATAATAATAATAATAATAATAATAATAATAATAATAATAATAATAATAATAATAATAATAATAAT